CACATATGGTGCACTTCAAATATCTTCAAGGTAATTCTGAGATAATCACCAGAGACAAAGCCTGCCAAATTGGGCTTGGATAAGCATCAGCTATTTATAAAGAATGTTATTAGAAGATTATTTGAACTGACATCCCAGCACATTTTCAATAATTTCACAATAATCTTGGCAGGGTTATCAAGATTGTTATCCAAAAGCAGCTTTACAATAACTGCTTAAGTAATCTTTCAAGTATTTCAGGCTCCGGTTATTCAAAAGCCAATAGGGTGGTTCCTGATAATTTTTTTGATAACATTTCAAATATCTAAGGCCATTGTTACTTGAGAGCTGGCAAGGGCAGTTTTGATAACACTTTTAGATAAAAACAAGTTATTTACTTGAGCCCAGATAACCCCCATTTAAAATATCTTTTTGATATCTTTCAAATAATAAGTCCATTTTTATCTTGAAATGCTTGCAGTGTTATCGTTGTACCCTGGATAAAGCTGCAGAAAGAAGCCTCCGCATTTTGTACATCTTTCATGTCCCTACCACCAATTTTTTTTACCTTTCATAGATCGCATCGGCTTGGAATTTTTCGTACATCAGGCTCGCAGGCCCGCCAGGGCGCCACATCGAGTACAACAAGATGCCTATTGGAGTTGCGCGAGAATATCAGTAATGGCGCGTTACGGTGTAACATTAAATGACTTCTCAATCCAGAGTCGTCGATCATAATATAAGATCATTACTGCATGCTACTTATGGATTAGTCAAACCGAGCGTCGTCTGATTCGCTCCCAGTCTGAGCTCCGGATCGGCTACTCTTTTGACGTGAAGTATCAGGTGTGCCACCAAAACGGTGCATACGACGCGCCCAGGGCTAGAACCATCAAAGATCAGCCTTTTCGAGGAGTGTTCACGTTGATGGCTACGTACACGCTTAGTATGATTGTTATGTCGAGTATCGAACTCTGGCACGATGGGGATGTCAGCTGCTTTTCAATATCTTACTTGTAGATGGTGAGAGAACGTACCGATTGACCAGGCGCAATCATGGCGATGACCAACACTGCGAAAAGGTAATCAATGCCGACTAGAGATCTAGTCATTGTCAGCAGAGAACGTGAAGGCGTACCAAATAATAGCACGAAGTATAGGACGCCTAATTATACGTCAATACCATGAGATGACAGTAGGGTGCTTGCGGGCTCACCGTCAGTGAACATAATCCTGAACAGCGTTGGAAGGCTCCGGACGGCCTTGTCTAGGGCATTGTCAGCGGATGCCCCCAAAACGTGTTATAGAGCAGGTGTTTTTACAGACGAAGTACGACTCGACGAGCAAAAGGAGAACCCAAACTTTCCGAGAAAGCACGAAGTCAGCTTTACGTTCGTGTACCGTCATCAAAACGTTAGACACACCTGCTTCTCCAATCAACACCATGCCCCAACATACCTTGGCCATGACACCGTTCCCAATCATGAAGCAACCCGGATGTCCTGGAACGACTATAACTACGCGAAATTCAATCAGCACGGTATGTTCATGGGTGCACAATGGAGACCTTACACCGCGTGTCTTGGAATAGTTCGTATAAAGTGGTCATGGCTCCGACGACGATACCGACGTACACGGTCGCGACGACGGCGGCTACCTTGCGATTTCGGCCCCAGAGGGCCCATGTTCGCACTGCGAGCACAACTTTGTTGTTTGAGTGCGCCGAGCAGGTGGATGTTGCGAACGAGAGACGTACTTTCAGAGCCCGCGATGCCAACTCCGTCGATCCCTGCACCACCATCCAGTCATATTCAGCTAAACGACGCAGGGTAACGGGAAAAACCACGGGGAGCTCACAGAAAATAGAGGGCACTGCGTTTGAGCATATGTCAGACCGTAAGATCAGGTGCGAAACAGTCTAGAGATCCAATAAGGCGTCATGGGTTGATGAGGGAACCAGGTTCAAGGACGACTGACTCACAATACACGAGCGCAAGAACCGGGGTGATAAACGCTATGTATCGCGTCCACAGGTACAGCGCTTTCATGATGGACCACTTTGCCTGCCAAATGTACTTGACCTCCAGGTCGAGGCTCGTCAGGGTATCGTACGTCTTTCCGATGCGCGTGCTTCGGTGAGCATCCGTAGCGCTGCGTAGGACTGAATAGTGCGCTCACCAGCACTGTCCCGGAAGCAACTGTAGCGCTGTGAGCTTGATTTTCACCACGTGTGGGGAAGGTACCCACGTATCGCGTACTGAGCAAAAGCAAGCGGACGCCGTCAGTCCGGCTTGTTGAGTCTACGGGTCAGCAATGCAGCAGACAAAGCGAGACGCACCGTATTCAGCCGGGTGACGGTTCGCAGCGAGACCTCCTCTTCGTAGCTCAGGCCAGCATGGTTGGCGATATGCATGCGGGGCTGGGCGAGGGGTCGGCACGAGAAGAGTTTCGGTGGGGGGCAGCCAGCTTCCGAATTTGGGGTCTCGACTCCGTTATAAGGCCGAGAAGTGACAGCGGAAGCTAACCGAAGCATGGAGTGTGCTCGTTCTGGTGTCACCGAAGGACACTGACAATCCTGGCTTGCAAGCTGCATCAATCGTGATCTCCAATCATGATCTGGGGTTTCGTTATTGAGCAATTCAATCGCGCCTCGATCGAGACAGCACTGAGGTCCATACCGGGAGGCAGACTGGCAGACAAGAGAGTCATATTTCTTTTTGTTTGTCCTGATGTCGTCCAAGTGTTGACGCCCTAAGCTCGAGGTTGGCGAGCAGAGGTATACAACTACGCTGTCTGAGCGAGGAGCATGCAGTCTATAAGGATAAGGAGACGCCATTCACCCTTTTTCAACCTCGTTCTATGTCAGGTACGTAAACTGCCTGAGTGCAGGGTCCAACGCGTCACTCGGTAATACGGCGGCTGACATCAATGGTAAGTTATATGAACATAAAAGGGCAAGCACCTCTATGTGTAAACATCTTCGAACCTTCGTCCACGAGCCTTGGGTATGCAGCCATGTCAGCTGTCGAGCGCCTTATAGAATGAGGGTGATTGAAGCACAGCAGTTGCGGCAAGAAGTGGAGCAAGCTCCGTCACGGCTCATCTCAGCATGGCGTCCTCACCTACCCAGACCTATCCTGCACCGTGTGCGGCGATCTCGGGCCGAGCCACTTGTTATTCTTCCAATGAAAACGATCTCGACTTCGGGAATCATTAAGCGTGAAATGATGGCTTTGGATTGTGTGCAAATAAGCCATGGCCAGGACTGGAACTTTTGAAGGAACATGAGCTATTGACAGCAGACCCGGGCCGGAAGAGTACTAATTGAGTCACCGCATGGTGGACCTGCGCGCGGAGACTCAAAATAGCCCTTACTCCGACGCTCCGATTTGGGAAGCCGGCGAGCGCCTATCTAGATCCGAGCGTCCTCCGGCCCGACTACAATCTCATAACCTCAGATTTTGGCTTCCTCGCCTCGACTCTCACCTGGCTGAGCAAAAATGAGTTCAGATCTTCCGTACACGATACGATGTATCGCGACTCTCGAAGGTACGCGATCCCTCTTCTCCCCATTAATCATCAATTTACTGTAAACTCTTCCTACTCACTCACTGCCTGCTTGCCCCACTCACAGGCCACCACGACCGCGCCTGGCAAGTAGCCTGGAACCCCGCGAAACCGCTCCTCGCGTCTTGTTCTGCGGACAAATCGGTCAGAATGTACGCCTACTCAACTAAACCCAGCGTCAGCGCCGGCTCCGACGATCCGAGTGCAGTGGGCGCGGGGCGAGCAGACGCGATCGCGCTCACGCACGTCTCGACGATCCCGACGGGGCACACGAAGACTGTACGGAGCATCGCGTGGGCGCCGTCGGGGCGCACGCTCGCGACGGGCTCGTTTGATGCGAATATCGGGGTGTGGGAGCAGGAGGAGGGCGATGGGGATGGCGAGGATGGTGAGAACGGTGGTGGGGGCGGGACGAGGGAGTGGGAGTGCGCGACGCTGCTGGAGGGGCACGAGACGGAGTGTAAGGGCGTGGCGTATTCGGCGGGCGGGGAGCTGCTCGCGACGTGCAGCCGGGATAAGACGGTGTGGATCTGGGAAGGTGGGTGGTGCTTTTCCTTGTTACGCAGCTCTTTCGTGGTCTTATGCGGTTCTGCGCGATGCGGACAGTACACCCCGACTCCGACTTTGAATGTATGGGTGTTCTTATGGAGCACACTCAAGATGTTAAATGCGTCGCGTGGCATCCCTCTGAGCAGGTCGTATCCTTTACTTTTCTCTCCTTCCCTCCCCGTCCCGCATTGCATGCCCATCCCCCCTCGCACACTTAGAACACAGCTGATCTCGAGGCAGACAGATCCTCGCCTCGGCGTCGTATGACGACACGATAAAGCTGTACGCGGACGACCCGGATGAGGACTGGGTGTGCGTCCAGACGCTCGCAGGGCACCAGAGCACAGTGTGGGCGCTCGCGTGGTCCCCGTGCGGCACCTACCTCGCAAGCGCGTCGGATGACCTTACGATCAAGGTGTGGAAGCGCGCGGGCGAGCATCGGTGGGAGGGTAATCTGGAGATCAAGGGCGCGCATACGAGGAGCATATACTCGATCAGCTGGGGGAAGGGGAAGGGGGATGGTGGGCTTGGGTGGCTGACGAGTACGGGGAGCGATGGGAAGATCAATGTCTGGGATATTCAGGTGATTGACCTTGGTTTTGGTATAGATTCTGATTCTGACTCTCATCCTCAGGAGCCACCAGAGGGCTCGAAGGAGCTGGAGCATAAGCTTATCGCGTCGCTGTCCTCGTCGCACGATATCAACGATGTGAACTCGGTGGCGTGGTGCGCGCGTGCTGGGTACGAAGACATGTTCGCCACGGCGGGCGACGACGGGCTCGTGAAGGCGTGGGTGGTTGTCCCGGCTTAGATGTAGATTAGATGTCGAGATGACCTGGCTAGATAAGATAAAGATTTGGTGACTCGATCGGAGTCACGGTCCGACGACCTCCAAAAGCGATTGAAAATGTGTATGTCGAAGTTGTTCACCATCTTGATATCCTCGTTCCCGATGCCCATCCTCGGCCTCGCATCCTCGTCAACACCGGTCCACCCGGCCCACTTCGACATCGAGAAAGTGATTCGGCCAAACATCCTCGCACTGCACCCATATCGTTGTGCTCGAGACGACTACCAGTCCGGCATCCTCCTCGACGCGAACGAGAACGCGCTCGGGCACTCTATCCCTCCCTCGTCCTCTCAAAAGCTCAATGACAGCGTCATCTCACCCGACGCACTCCACCCCGAGTTGCAGAGCATGCTCGGTCTCGACCTGCACCGCTACCCGGACCCGTCGCACGACACGATCAAGCGGCGCATCGCGCACTGGCGCGGGCTGCCCGACGAGAAGCGCGTGTTCCTGGGTGTGGGCTCGGACGAGGTGATCGATCTGCTGATGCGCGTGTGTGTTGCGCCTGGGGGAGCGGAGAAGATTCTGATCACGCCGCCGACGTACGGGATGTACTCGGTGTGTGCGAATGTGAATGATGTGGGGATTGTGAAGGTGAATTTGGAGCTGGGTGGGGACAAGGGGGAGGGCGGGGAGGAGGGGCGGTTCAGTGTTGTGGTTGATGAGGTACGTAGGTCGGGGTTGTTGTGGGTGTTCTGTGGGTGTTCTAACGAGTGTGGGCGTGCGTAGGTGAAGAAAGCGCTGTCTACAGATCCAGGTATCAAGCTCGTCTTCCTCTGCTCCCCGGGCAATCCGACGGGCACGTTGATAAGCCTGAATGCGGTGCGCGCGCTGCTCGAGTACGAGCCATTCAAGGGCATCGTCGTCGTCGATGAGGCGTACATCGACTTTGCCGGGGACGCGAGCAAGGTCAGCGCGGCGGCGCTCGTCGAGGAGTACGCGAACCTCGTCGTGCTCCAGACGCTGAGCAAGAGCTTCGGGCTCGCTGCTATCCGGTGCGTCCTCTTCCTTCTCATTCATTATATGCATCGTCTCATGAACCGAATGCAAATGTGTACAGGCTAGGCGTCGCGCTCGCCCAGCCCCCGCTCATCCAGGTCCTCACGAACACCAAAGCGCCATACAACATCTCCACGCCAACCGCTCAGCTCGCGCTCGCCGCGCTCTCGCCCCAGGGCATGGCCGGCATGCACACTAAATCATGCACACTCGTCTCCTCGCGCACCCAGCTTCTTTCCGCGCTCGCCCAGTCCCCATTCCCCGAGCTCGGTATAGGAAAGGCGATCGGCGGGAACGATGCCAACTTCATCGTCGTGCCCATCCTGGACAAAGCGACCTCAAGCAGGCCGGACAACAAGCGCTCGGAGATGGTGTACACCGTGCTTGCGGAGGGCGGGCTCGTCGTGCGATTTAGAGGGCGCGAGGCGGGGTGCGAGGGGTGTGTGCGGATTACGGTCGGGACGGAGGAGGAGAACAGGGTGTTGTTGGAGCGGTTGGAGGGCGTGTTGGAGTTGGATGAGGAGGGGCTGGATGGGGCGTTGAGGGTGTTGTTGGGGAAGAGGGCGGGGGAGTCGTAGAGGTTGAAGACATACATAGACTACCCGTTCTCTTTCGCGATCACGTCGCGCGTTGGCCCGGACGCGGATATTATGGACGACGTGAACGTTGACCCCTTTTACCATCCCAAGGATCCACATGTTATGAACATGTTTCGGTTTCTTTCTAAGCGAGATCCACTGACGTAGCTGACGGTGATTAGCGCCAGATGACCACTGAAACTTTGCCAATAAACTTCACCCTGGAAACTCTCCTTCCTTGTCCGAACACCACATTTTTATATAAACGCGTCACATTCACGGGGATCATCCTTAACAAAAGCCCTCATCAGCTCCGCTCCCTACACACAATTCTATAGCTCTAGCGTCGCCTCCCTCTCGCTATGCCAGGCCCCAAAGCGCACAAAAAGTCCAAGTCGGGCGCTAAACGCAAGCCGCAGACAGAGGCCAGCACTCAACACGCCAACGACCTGTGCATCGACGTCGACGATGTGCTCGGCTGGAACGCTCTTGTTGATCTGTTGTGCGAGAGGCTCGAACTTCCCGGTGCGTCATTGCACGCACCATTCCCTCTGACCTGACCTGTATCGCGCACGATACAGATCTGAGCACGCGCAGCGGGCTGAAGCGCGTTCATGCTGATTTCGACAAGATCTCGGAGCGGCTGGAGGATGTGTACAAGGCGAATGCGGCTAATGAGCGTATTCTGGGGGGGATCATTAGTATCTACACGCTCATGTGTGCTGATTCGATTCTGAGGAATAAGTTGTTCCATCAAGGTGCGCTATCCTATTACACCGTGTACTGCACCGAACACTGACGTTTTTCTATATTCTACTGTATCGACAGGCCTGCTCGCAAAGCTGATGCCCCTGATCAGCAAAGCCCAGTCCGCCGACTGCCGCCGCCTCGCCATCCGCGCGCTCACAACCATCACACACCACAGCGGCGCGGAGATCCACTCGGAGATCCTGCTCGAGGCGCCCGCGCTCATCAAGGTCCTGCAGGAGCACACCGACGACCTCGTCGTCGCCGAAAACGGCATCGCGACGCTCGCGCACGCCGCAGGGTCCATCATGAACGACATCACCACCTACGGCGAGAGCGGGCCGCCCGCCAAGTACATCCGCGCGCTGAGGGCGCCGGAGCTGCTGCGCGTCGTCGTGGACGCGGTGCGCCGCCCGGGCGCGACGTACCAGCTCATCGCGCACGCGACGGAGCTGCTGCAGTGCCTCACGCTGCGGTGCCACCGGGAGTGCCGGGCGTGCGAGCCGGCGGTCGCGCTGGTCGTTGCGAATCTGCGGAGCAGCGACATGTTCGTGCGGTGTTGCGCGCTCGGCGGGCTGCTGCGCCTCGAGGCGCTGTCGGCGGAGCAGGACCAGCGGGTGAGCGATCCGGCGAAGCTGATGGCGGGCGTGCGGCGCGGGTTCCCGGAGCACGTGTCGGACGCGATGGTGGCGTATGGGCCGCAGCGGTGCGAGGTGACGGGGATGATGCAGTGCGCGGCGGTGTATCAGCGCGCGATGGTGGAGTATGCGGGGGCGCGGGAGCGCGATCTGCATACGCTGGGGGCGACGCTCGCGGATCTGGTGCTGCGGAACGAGTTCTCGATCGCGGAGGGCGCGTTCGGGACGGAGGACCTGCGCACGGGGCGGCAGACGATGGACGAGGATCTCGGGCTGGGGTTCACGCGGTGGGTGGACGCGCTGCCGCTGTGTGCGGGGGCGCTGCGCGTGGGGAAGCATCCGGAGAGGGCGGATATGGCGGATATTCTGCAGATGAAGTTTTATGTGATTCGGCAGCGGGTGATGGATGCGGTGAGGCTCGCGGAGGAGAGGATCGAGAAGGGCGGGAGGACGCATCCGTATTTCTTTTATGTGATGACGCTGGGCACGGATCTAACCAAGGGTCTGCGCTGCGCGAAGAAGGCGCTCAGGATGGGCGATGTCAAGCCCAAGGCCAAAAGCCAGGACCAGGGTCAGGCGGTCGTTTCGTCTCAGGGGCAGGGGCAATTGCAGGTGAAGGGCATGACGCCCTTTGTGCGCTTCGCGCTGATGCACCGCGCGGTGGAGATGGCGGCGCATCTGGGCGTGGAGCGCGTGCTGGACTCGGTGGTGGGCAACCGCGCATGGGAGGAGGGGATCGCGTTCCTGACGAGCGCGCTCGACGATGCCAAGGCGTACGTCGCGCAGGCGCCGCCGGACGCGCGGCACATGAAGAACGTGGTGTATTGGTATGTGTGCTTGATGATCGCGGTCAAGGGCCCGGATTTGGCGCTGAATCTGAATGAGCTGGAGGTGCGTGGTTGTCCCCTCGTTGAGGGTTGTGTGGTAGCGGCTAATGGTGCGTTGTGGTTGTCAGCCGGCGCTGCAGCGTCTCAGGATTGCTGAGGAGATCGGGACGATCACGGGCACGCCGCCGCCCAAGACGCAGCTGCGGCTGACGATGCAGAATATTCTCAGGTTGTACGCGCCCGCGCACAAGGAGTGGGGCAAGGTCGTGCGGCGGTGCGATGCGCTCAGCGAGGACGTCGCCGCCGAAGAGGCGCGTGCGCCCCTTGATGAGGAAAAGGCGTCGGGCGATTTTGCGGCGTGGCTCGGCGAGCTGAAGCTCAACGGCGACGGCAGCGATGGAGATGGAGATGGGGATGGGAGCGGCGTCGACGGGCACTCGGATAGGTTCGGCGCGTATGGGGGTGGTGGGTGTAGGCCGAGGCCGCATGCGCATCCCAAGGTCGCGCCGAATAGGGTGGCGTTGTATCGGTGCTCGTGGTGCGGGAATCCGAGCGCGGTGCTGAGAAAGTGCAGCGGGTGCGAGAAGGCGAGGTGCGTGTTTTTTTGTTGGCGCACATTAGGTTCAAGGGGTGAGCGCGCCGCAACAGGTACTGCGATCAGAAGTGCCAGGGGCTGCACTGGTCGTCGCATAAGGGGGCGTGCAAGACGTGAGATAAGGGTACGTTGTTAGAGTCCGAGACATTCGGGCTTGATGATAGCACTTTGGTGAGTGTTTTTTTTAATGTTTAGCATTTCTACTGACCTTTTCTCAGCGACGCCTGTGGTTCTTGACTTTGTTGTAGCTTCCTATCTCACACCACGACGTTGGGTGTGAGTAGGGAGACGGTATGTCCTTGGAGTTGTACATTGGAAGACATTGCCATATGTGTCAGTGCCCCTGTTCCTTCGAGTTGCGAGGAACGTGGACAGTCTGATGCTTCATTGTCGCGCTTGTCGTTGTGTTCTATTATGTACTTCTGATATTGCTGTGTGTAATGCGAACAACTCGTGTACTTATCTAATGCCATGTTTTTGATGTGAGACATGTCATGACATACGGGACGGGGATTAAGCGTTAAATTGGGCGAGGCTTGGCCAAAGTTAGATCCGCATAGGCGTTCCGTGGGGAAAGGAACAGTCTCACCTCCACCTCCTCATCGTCAACGCCCGTTGTCCCAGCCCCCAGAAGGTTAGAACTTTGCACGCTCACACCACGCCTCATCTTACTCTTATTGCGCCCCGTTCTTCCAGGCCAACTGTTGCTGATTTCCATCTCGATATTCCGCCTTTGGACGAACGCACCGGCCGTTTCCGAGATCCTAGACGTGCATAAAATTTCCGCCCTCGCGAGATCTTATAATGTTGCGCCTTCTTGCCAGACCACTCGCCCGCCCTTGCACCCGCCCCGCCTCCTCCAACCTCCTCAGATCCTCCCTCTCCCTCAACACCCACCTCAGAAAAATGGCCACCGCCAACACGCCCGCTTTCGTACGTGCAACCCCCTCTATCTGCGCGTAAGGCTGACCAGGATTGCATGCGTAGAACAAAGTGCTCTACGCCCCCCTGGCCGAGATCGATCCTGAGGTGCAGAACATCATCGACAAGGAGACCTGGCGGCAGTTCTCGGGGCTCGAGCTCATCGCGTCCGAGGTGCGTTATATCCCCTCTCTCTCCTCTCCTCATTTTCCGGTCATCGACCCCATCCCCCACTCCCTGTCGTCGTCGGCGTGGCTGATCGCTCGCGTAGAACTTGACCAGCAGGGCAGCCATCGAGGCCAACGGCTCCATCCTCACTAACAAGTACTCCGAGGGTCTCCCGGGCGCCCGCTACTACGGCGGCAACGAGTGGATCGATGAGCTCGAGGTCCTGTGCCGCAAGCGCGCGCTGCAGGCGTTTAACCTCGACCCCGCCAAGTGGGGTGTCAACGTTCAGCCGTACTCTGGCAGTGTATGTCTTCTCTCCTTTTTCACGGCTGGGGATAACGTGTTGATGGTATCTGTAGACCGCAAAGTGAATACTCTTATGTCGCTATATGCGTTTGACATGGACGATGGCTGACCTGTGGATGCTTTTGCTCGCAGCTTCGCCGCATTGACTGCCATGATTCAACCTCAGGACCGTATTATGGGTCTCGGTCTCCCCGATGGTGGACATCTGACCCACGGCTACTACGTCAGTTCACTCTATCGCTCATGCTCGAGACCATCGCGTACTGATTCTGTCTCCAGACCGCTAAGAAGAAGATGACCGCCTCGTCCATCTACTTCCAGTCCTTCCCTTACGGTATCGACCCCACCACCCACCTCATCGACTACGAGGGTCTCGCCAAGCAGGCCAAGATCTTCAAGCCCCGTCTCATCATCTGCGGTGCCTCCGCGTACCCCCGCGACTGGGACTACGGCAACCTCAAGGCCACCGCCGAGCGCGAGGGTGCTTTCCTGATGGCCGACATCGCCCACACGAGCGGTCTCATCGCTGCTCAGGAACTCAACAACCCCTTCGAGTACTGTGATGTTGTCACTACCACCACGTGAGTCTCGCGATGTCCGAATCTCCCTCAACTACGGTAACTTAACATTTGTGTTCAGCCACAAGACGCTCCGTGGCCCTCGCGCCGGTCTCATCTTCTTCCGCAAGGATGGTGACAAGTACGCCGACCTTGAGAAGCGCGTCAACGAGGCCGTCTTCCCCGCGTGCCAGGGTGGCCCCCACAACAACGTTCGTGTTCTTCTTTGATACGCCCCTCGCACGTGGAATAGCCTTTTCTCACCATCACCAAAACATTGTTTACTTGTTCAGACCATCGCTGCCGTCGCCACGGCTCTCCTCCAGGTCGCCCAGCCCGAATTTAAGCAGTACGCGAAGCAGGTCATCGCCAACGCCCGCGCCCTCGGCGAGACCCTCGTCTCGCACGGCTACAAGCTCCAGACCGGTGGCACTGACAACCACCTGCTCCTCTGGGACCTGCGCCCGCTCGGACTTACCGGTAGCAAGGTCGAGAAGGTTTGCGATCTCCTCGGCATAACTATCAACAGTGCGTGTTTTTTTTTAACCCCACGCTACTTTAAGCTTTTGAGCCCACCACGCTAACCTTGTCTTGTCGACCCCTCACTCCGCTTCTCTTTCCAGAAAACGCCGTGTCCGGCGACGCCTCTGCGCAGACGCCCGGCGGCATCCGCCTGGGCACGTCGGCGCTCACGTCGCGCAACATGACGGAGGGCGACGTGCGGCAGGTGGGCGAGTTTTTGCACCGCGCGGTGCAGCTCTCGCTCGTGCTGCAGAAGGAGGCGGGCACGAAGCTGCTCAAGGACTTTGTCCGCGTCGCGACGACGGACTCGGGCAAGGAGGGCTTCACGCAGGTCAAGGCGCTGCACAAGGATGTTGTCGCGTTTGCGAGGCAGTTCCCGCTCCCCGGCGCGGACGTGAGCACGCTGAAGCGGCCTGCTGGGATTGAGGAGGAGTTTTAGGTTCTGAGTTCTGGGTGTTATGTTGGGACTGGGACTTTGGGGTGGTTGATGACGGTGACGGTGATTTCTTATGATTCAACTTACGTTTAATTGTATGTAGCGTAGAGTAGGCATTCAACATGATCTACAAGTACAGAATGTATCTATAATGCGAAATGTTCAGTTTTCGGGATATCTAATCAGGTCTCAGGCGAGCGAGACGCTCGGTTTGCCAGAGCAAGTAGAGTGGCCGCGGTTCTCGCAATGACTTCCGAGAACCCGAAATAACATGTATTTTTGGGCAATCTAGTGCGCTAGGCAAGTACAGGATAATGGTAGTGAGGCCGTAGGACACATGGAAGATAGAAATTATAAAGGGAGCGACGTAGCTAAGACGCGAGGCCCGGGGGAAGGAGGGTGGGACGCGAAATAAGTAACTCTAAGACTATCAGCCAGATCACGAAAATGAGTGGATGATAGAACGTTCAGAATAATCGAGTACTTACGAAACAGAACGCGAGGATTCGACATCCACTCATCCTCGCGTTCTGTCTCCGTTATTTATACTCCTCCTCTACGAGGGTGCTCCGCCTTAGGAGCTCTGTCGGGACTCAGACTGGTGTTAGTCCCGGTCCTCGACGCGGAAGCAACCCGTAGTTTCAGACGCGATTGGACGCGTTGGAAAGGAGCAAAACCCCTGTGCGCGACGCCCGGTGCGGGCGACGCTGAAGATACTCGCAAGGAGTGATCTTCGTGCCACGCGTACGAGGAGTACACAAATGGTCACCCAGCGGATGGGCTTCCATGCGCGCGTGCCCCGAGAGCCTGAGGGCACGCTACTGAACATATGGCGCTCGCGCGACGTGCACCACCATTTGTCCTGATTAGATTAGAGTAAATCTTAAAATTTAAACACCATATAGGTGTGACGAACGGGATGGAATATCGTGTTTGTGAATATCGTGTTTGTGAATATCGTGTTTGTGAATATCGTGTTTTGCTACAAAGCGAATGGGGAAGAATCGAACACTGGAGAGATTAGCGGCCCCAATATACACCAACGCTGACCTGCTCTAGTGTCTGTAGTAAATGGCAAATGAACGGGTATCTGCCCTGAGGCTCAGCACGTGCCAGTACGATCAATCATGCCCTGGAGAGTCAACTCTCGACTTGTGCCCGTAGTGAGATTGCAGTCTGGATCTGTGCATAGCTGGTTCAGGTCTATGGTTGTAAACGTCGTTCGGTCGCTGCACGTGGTCCAACCACATAACTTGTATATGAATGCCACGATGACGAGGAGGTTGCACACCACGAGCGAGAGAGCGGTCTGTAATGGTTGTGCGGGCGCAAGCACAAGGATAAATCAGCGACGCGCTGAGGGTGGTGCAATATTATTACAAGGCGTGAGATTATGCACCTTGATGTTGGCGACCAAGGTCGCGGCGTGCGTGGGGTCGCCGAAGAGGATGATGGAGTGCGCGATGGTGACGACGGTTATCGAGAGGGAGGCGGAGAACGCGCAGAGGACCATGACGCGCCGTCTGGCGCAGAGCTTGACCTCGCGCAGGAGCCAGATGGGGAGGACGACGAGTGCGATGTCGGATATGCTGTCTGCTGCAAACAGTAAGTATTAGGGTTTCTAGTCAGCGATGCTGCGCTTGCAAAATTTAGGTTTGTGTTGTACTCTAGGAGGGGGCGGGTGCCGTGCGGTTCATATTGCGCGAAGAGGGAGTGTCGTGAGTACTCACTGACGAGCTGGGAGATGGCCACTGACTCGCCCATGACGCACCCGTTCTGGTGGCAGATGATGAACTTCTGGGTGACCAGCGCGATCCACATCACCCAGAAGCACAGTCCGATGGCCTGGCAGACTAGCCTGGTTCTCCGGCCTGGGTCTGAGACGCGCACAGCAGACCATAGAATGCTAAGGCGTGCGGTCCTGTGAGTTGGACTGTCAATGTGTTACGCGTGTTCAAAACGGGCGTGTACGAACCATACAACGGAGGTGAAGCCCGAAGTGATGAGGTAAGATACCACGACGGTTTGGAGCGGTCGGTTGGGACCTGGGCACCTGGTAATGAGAGAGCCTTTCAAGGCCTAGCTAGGGTGGTTACGCACCGGCCGAGGGCTCCTCGAGCCATACGCATGCGAGGCAGAGGACGTCGAATATGAGCGCTACGCCTGCGTACAGGTCTTCCCACCACAGCGCGAGGATGCGCAGCCTGTGCGCCAATCGAAGGAGCGTGCACGAGATGGCGACGCCGTGGAAGACGCTCGTCAAAACTGCACGCAGCGTGGGGTGACTGCATGAGCGCCTTCTTCTTTATATAGGGGGCCGGACACGAGCATAAGACGTCACTCACTTTTCAGCTGCACAGGCAGGGCGAGCACGGAGGGCGTGAACGGTATATGGTGCATGTCGACGCCGTGTGCGTGGTCGGCACATGCACTGAGGTCCATCGTAGCGAACGCGGGGGCGAAGACGGGGGTGGGGGAAAGCAACACGATACAACCTCCGTCGCGTTGGCTCTCGCGAGTAGATGTACCGTCTGCACGACCGGGGTTATAAGCTAGCCATGAAAAGCGTCCGGCGCTCTGCTATCGGCGCAGCCCGCACTTAGCATGAAAGCGTATTAGTCGCGCTCGGTGGGTCCAGACTCCAGTGCGCTCCTTTGAGTTTCGAACTCTCAAGGGATGTTGGGTAATGGGTCCGCGGAGCCTGAAGGTAATGACACCCGCCGCCTGGCTGAACGTTCCGCTAGTAAAAGTTAACGGGCTTATTGGTCGGCCGTCGACACGGCACGCTTCTCCACGCTTAGTTCGAGGAACCCAGAAGAACGGCAGAGAATGGCACAGAGGCTGAAACCACGGGCGCCCATGATGAGCAGGATGGCTAGTCCTGGTCAGGAGGTGAACAGATCTTCACATGAGCGGTCGTCAGGACTTGGACCTGAGCGAGTTTTAAAAACTTTCAATTGAGGGCAGGGCTTGGCATCCCCGAGCGCATGGGAGAGTTTGGAAGAACAGAAGACTCACGCGCCAGTGCATTGGGCTCTCACGCTGAGGCTCCAGCGCTAGGATTGAGCTTGGCCCGACGAAGGCCTGAAGCACCTGACGTTTGGTACCCACTCCAGCGACTGCTGACATACTTCACTTGTATGTTCGTGGGAAGCGAGCGATGTGATTAGGAGGCCACCTTTCTCCAGAATCTAAACAAGAATTCATATGACGTGACGTGACGCACTGAAACCCCTTGTAAATCTAGAAACCCTTTATGTCCGCAGGAATTTCGAAACCATGGAACTTCTTCGAATACACGATTGTCGGGACCGCGGATTTTGAGCGTTCACGCTGGAAGCTCCCGGCCCGCACGAAGCGAGCGATTAAGGCGGCTAGGGATTGCGAGCGGGGGGAGGGGTTGAAGAGCGATACGGACAGTCAGCCAAAGGGAAAAACGCAAGTTCATCATTAGAGTTAGAGTTATTAGTCATAGAGTCAGTCGCAGAGTGTGTAAAGTTCGCCATCTCCATGGTTGTGGGTATCGTGCCTGAGAGGCAGGTGTTGAGATCAACTGCAGTAAACGTTATCGCGGCAGATCGATTTAGCAGCCGGTCCCCGGAGCGACCGAGCAGTCGGTGGAAGCATGACATAAGAACAAACAGGTTCGAGGTGGTGAGAGAAAGTGCGGGCTGGAGTTGAATTAGTTCGTATAGTCGATCGAGCAGTTGTAGAAAAATAAAGAACCTTGAGGTGCATGGACATAAGGGGCAGCCCGCCTGAAGGCCAGATAGCCTCAATCGAATCAAATACAACGGCTGCCGTGATGACGATTGTCGAAATGTAAACCGCGACGATTGTTGTCTTGTGGTCCCGGGATAGTTTGGACGTGCGACATAACCAGAGAGGCAAGGTGATAAGTGCCACATCAGACACAAGCGCGGCTAGTAACAATTTACAATCAGCAAAGCTGCGAATAAATAGCGGTCATCGGTCTCACAGATGATTTGTAGGATGCCTGTGAATCGGTTGGAGCCGCAGGAAGCGTGCGCACAACGGATCATTCGCTGCACAAAAATGGCGAACCAGAATAGGGCGAAGGAAACTACCGTTGCGTACGCGACGCGCCGCTGCAACGATTTTGGGTTCGTCAAACGTACGATGGAGAGCAAAATACTCATGCGCGCCAGCCTAACAAATCACTGGTGAGCGATTGATGCAGCTGTGGGATCGAACGGTGCGTATGTGACCTACCAGACGACATCGGCGGGCAGTGATGCAGCCATATAAAGCAGCGGCGCTGGCCATGACGAGTTGGACTCTACTTCATTTAGATGGTCATGAGAATGATTTATCGTGCGGGAGATGAAATGGAGTGGCATGACCACGGAAAATAAGAAAGGGCGGAGAGACACACGTGCATATGGCCAATGGACCCACACTAGTGCTAGGCAGAAAGTGTCGCCCACCAGGGCGAGCGCGGCGAAGGCGTCTTCGAGCCAGAGGCGCTGGGTATACAGGCGATAAGAGAGCCGGAACGATGTGGAAAGGATAGCGAGCACGTGGAAGACCGTGCAGGTTACTGGTTATGTACAAGGACGAAATGGAACAGCGATCATGTCAAGTCGGTGTTCATGAAAATGTCCCTTTGCGTGAGCCCAGTGGGCATGCACACAATGTCAACCAGCGAGACGCACCTTGGTGAGGGACCGTCCATTCCAAGTCGAGCGCCATACTTGCGTGCGCGAGCTCGATGCTTCCTCCGCCGGGTCAGACTCGAAGTTTGGTACCAGCGCGAGCGTCCATATGATGGGCGACCAGAACCAAGTTGCAACCTGTTGCAACCCAGAAGAGCGGGCACGCGCCGCCAATTGAGTCGAGGACGCTTGATGGGCCACGCTACCGTATTTGTGGGACGGCAAGACGGCGGGGTCTCCCGGGGGCTCCGCTGTATGTATTGATTTCCACGCGTCGGTGCAGGGCTACGTCAAGTGGCTAAAAACGCGCACCCACATTCGCCCGGTCCAATACGTAGCGTCGGTAATCTGTTCATTCAGTCGAGTCAAACGCTCTTCGTCTAATCGAGGGCGACTCGGAGGCCGCGGCAAGTTTACGAGCTGTGTGGTGTCTGCTGTGTGCAGCGACTTCGTGGGCTGAGAAGGTCGTGTTAGGGAAGACAGAGCATGGGAGAGTTGACTGACTGACTGAATGATTTGGAAATTGTTGAACGTACCGCCAAGAGATGCCTATACTAGTTTAGATGACTTGGAGCCACATGAAGCATCAGACAGGAGCAGAAAAAGCAGCAGCCAGCTTTCAGACAACATACACTGAGTCCTTAAGAAATGGTACTGACTGGGGGTAGAGTGACATTGGCCGGTGCAAATTTACTAAGTACCACTGGATGAGCAGGGTCATTCAGAGGGAAAAGATGGTTCGAATTTTTGAATAGTCGGCAGGTGAAGTGACTGACGGGCGCGGGAGTCAGAGAGCGTGCGAAAGATGTGGCTGCCGAAGGATTTGGTGACAATTTCACCTTCTCACCTTCCGATTTTGAGTCGGTCGGGATGTCGAACTTATGTCGAGCTTTGAGCTAGCACACGATGTTGAAGCCATACTAAACACCCCGCCAATCGCCTGTAAACATTTAAACACCGGTGACCATTCGATACGAGTAAATGTATACCACCTCCATCGATAAGGCAGGCTCTTCCGATGGTTTAAACCAGTTCGCGGTCGTGTGAGGTAATATGAGCGTATGGTCAACATGACCGCGTCAGGTTGACATCTGGAGACATCACGGTAAAGGGCAAGGGCCCTCTGGAAACCCACAAGAATGAGCCGAAGCGATTGACCTTTTGTATATGAGCCCTAGCTGCTCATGTGCGTGACCACTGGCATCAGGCTACTCTAACTCCAGTCAGATAAAACATGAACCAGAAAAGCTAGAAAACACCGGCGGTTTGAATGATGACACGTATATTCCGAAAGTACACGATCTATACAAACATTTGCAGATGTTACAGCAAGAGATAAAATTCGTCCAGAGTGGTCCTTTTATGCGCTCGTCTCTCTGCCTGTGGCAGACCAGCCAGGGTTGTTGAGCGCAATGTTACCCACGCCGCCCTCGTACACGCCTTGAACGGTGAGATTTAGCGTCGGCGAGACGGCGGTGGACTCCATGGACCAAAGCGCGACAGCGACGGTGCTGAAAATTTACCGTCAGCAAGTGCTCGATAAAGACAGAATCTGTACACCCACTTAGTGCCATTGTAGTCGAGAATGCCCTGATGCACGGGGAATTGGTACTGAGGTCTAAAACCAGGAATGAGCCTTCTCGTCAGACTTCAAAACAGAGAGTTCATAACATACCCGAGGTTCGCGACTCGCTGACCCATCATCCACCCGTTGACGAACAGCCTCGCGCGGTATGTCTGACCCAGCTCACTCTCAAAGTTGAAGGCGATGGGCACGTCGTATCCCGCGGGAATACTCAGGTCGAACGTCGTGACGAAGAAGCCCACGCCAGCCGTGCTGTTGGGCAGGCCCTGCGAGAGGTCGCGCGCCTCCCAGGAGGACGTATCGAAGCCTGGCAGGTGCCAGCCGGCGCGCTCGCCATACAGACCGCCCTCGTTGAGCACACCGCGGACTTTGTCGGGGTAGCTGTAATTGATACCGCGTGAGTCTGGAGGCGGATTATAGGAGATGGAGTCCACGTACTTGGTGTATCCTCCGATCTTGCCCTGGACATACCAGTCACCAAAATCGCCGGTGTTCAGCACGAAACCACGGATACCGCGGGGCGACTTTTCTTCGTTGCCGGTGGCTACATTTCGCTATCAGCATCGCAGACCTGGAGGATTATGACAGGCACGTACACCCGGCCTCGTCCAATCCCATGTTGTCCTTATATCAACGTCAGCATCTATTCGAGCCACCCCGTGATAATCTCCTACCTGAACGACGGTGACAACGTTGTCGCCTCCAATGTTGAGGGATCCTTCAGGGAAGTAGAACTTTTGGTCTGTCTCGACAATGGAGTTTTGGTCGTTCGTGGAGCTGCGATAGTAACCTCAGAGTTGTCCTAGAAAACAACAACAGTCTATCACTCACTTGCCGTATGAGGTATTCAAGAATACATCATTGACCCAGACGCTGGCAGCGAACGCTGAGATGTACGGAAAACCGATGTCAGTCATGATTAGAACAAAATTTTTGGCTCGAGAAGCCCACCTTCTCCGCCATTGATAGACAGGTTCATCCACTGCGTGTCCTGCGAGGCATTGAAATGGCCGCGCCAGAGGTTGATGTTCTCGCAGCTAAACGTAATTTGCCGCCATCAACATCCTCTCGACTCCAAAAATGCACGAAAACAAACTCACTATCCGTAGTCGCACCCATACAGAATACGCCCGTCCCCATAGTAAGGCGGGAACGGAATAACCGTCGTCGTATGGTTCGCAAGCGTCCATCCGGCATCCGAGAAATTGCTTTGAACCTCCGGCAAACTGTCCGCGTACTTCCACCCCGCCAGCTGCGGTACGCTAATGCCCGAGGCGCTCGCAGACAGCGCCAGCTGGCCGACGAAACCGCCTTCGTGCGTCAGACCGCTCCCCGCCGCAGCGTCCACCGAGAGCTGTGCGCCGTTCCACGTGATGGTGCCGACCGAGGGCGGCGCGACGACCGTCAGGCTCGTGGTGGCGTTGAGGTCACCGTACAGCGCGAGCGTGGAGCCGGCGATGGTCGCGTTGCGGACGAGGTAGGGGCCGCCGATGAGGACGGACGTGTTCGTCCCGAACTGCCAGTAGGCGCCGAGGGCATCGGAGGTATCGATGGGCGGGACGTCGGGGGACCAGAAGTTTCCTGCCGTGACGGTGTCTGCGAACAAGACGAGCTGCTCGGTCGAGTCGTAGACAGTGACGAGACCCTGGATTCCAGGAAGGAAGTTGACGACGGTCGCGTTGCTCTCCGAAGCAGGAGAGGTGGTGACGTCGCTCGAGTTGGCTTGCGAGTACGGTGTGCCGGTGAAATAGACAGCTGTCTCGTGACCTTGATCAGAGTCGCCGTAGAGGAGCACAACGTCCCTATCTCCGATGCGACCAGCATACATGATCTGGGCAGTAGACCACAGGATCTTGGACGAGGTACCAAATGTGTAGTCCGTGAAGATGATCTTGGATTGACGACCAGACAGGGTGATGTTAGAGGCGACCTGGGGGACCTGGAGAGATCCAGCAGAGGTGGTGACGTTGAGCTTGAATGTCGTCGTGTCGCTAGTTCACAACAAGTCAGAAAGCATTTCGATAGAAAAGGGGTTATATTGTGGCAACTTACGTGGAGGTCGAGTCGTTCTGCCTGGCAATGTAGAACGAAGCCGACGTGTCGGGGTTACGGAGATAAGTCACAAAGACGTCCGGATTGGAGACGGTGACAGCATCGGAGCTGCTGTTGCCGACCCAGTCCGTCTTGTAAAACTCAGGAGAGCTGCGCAAGAACAAGCCCTGACGCTTGACTTCGGGGTACTTCCACGACAACACTCGGTTTTCTGCGATGGCACTACCGTAGTCATAGGAAGCTGAATAGATAGTCAATGACATGTTACCTTCAGAACAAGCGTACTCACTGTATACTCCCGGGAAAGGAAGGCCTCCCCATGAAGTTCCACTGCACGCTTTTAGCCCTCGCATAGCCTTGTCACAGATTCGAGACATACCCATATAGCATATAGTAGCTGATCAGCTTGGCGTTAGTCGACCAAAGATCCAGATAGAAGACGTTCTCAAAGTCGGCACCGGTCAGGACACGACAGTTCTCGTAACCTAAGAACGCGCTGCTTTCAGTGAGGTGATGCGAACAAGAGACGCTGTATCGCACCAGCAGCATCAGGACCCCACGCATCGAAAGCGCCACCTTGGAACTGCAAACCGGTGAGATGAAGCCGCAAGTTTATCAGACCTATAACGAACCTCGGGAAAGTACCAAGGCTGCCATGGATTGAGGTCTAGTGTATTGTTAGCCTCTCGGATGCACGTGTATCTGCCCAGAAAGCACCTTCGTGGTAGCTGTGCCAGTTGGTGACAACGGGGCTCCAGTTTTCAGGAGTCGAACAGTCAAAGCCTTGAGGATAAGCGTCCAAACTAGCCAATCATTAGCTTCCTGCAATTCCACCCATGGTCTTGCCATACCCATAAAGTTCGACGGCACCCTTGGGCAGAAGTTAGAAGCAGATACAGGGCCAACTTAGAACAAACTCACGGTGCCGGTGACCCAGTTGTCTCCCTCTCCCGGATCATTCGCCGTCAACGGAACGACGATACCGGTTGAGTTGTAAAAGGCCTCAAGCTCCGCGAAGTATTCAGCGTGAGTGTCAGGGTATTGACCGTATTCATTATCTATAATGTATGAGTATGATATGACAAGAATCTCGAGAGCACACTCACCGACTTGAACAGCTGTTGAACAGTCTCGCAGTGAGAGAGCGTACATACGTTATAGAGGTGGAAAAAGTACCAATGACCGGGCCACCTTCGGTGATTTGGTACCCGAGGGTGTTGTTGACGATGCCGTGCATGTAATCCTGCCACGACTCGTACCAGTCGGTTGCGTTGGTGCGGAGAGTACCGTTGACCGTCGACGTGAGCCAATGTGCGATGCCTCCCGCCGTCGTTTCGGCGTTGATGTAGGGGCCTTCAGGTACAAGTTGAGTCGTTAGGTGGTCTGCGCCCCGTGAAGCACGCCAGACGTACCCGGACGCAAGACGATGAAGATGCCTACTTCCTTCGCTATCTCGTACAGGGGCTGGACGGCACGCCAGTCGTTGAAGTCGAGGACTCCGGGAGCCGGGTTGAGCAGGGCCATGTGCGTGTAGAGGCTGATGGTGTTGTACCCTGCTGCCTTGAACTTCTGGAGTATGTCGCGCCAGAGATCGGGAACAGGCAAGCGGAAGGTGTGGAACTCTCCGGAGCTAGCAAGCGGAATTGGATTAGCTTCGGATGCGTCAATGGGACCAGCATACACACTTGATGAACACTCTCTGTCCCTTCACCACCAAGCTGTATGCATCCCACTGCACATCAGTTTGTCGTCCGTTGCCCAGCAAGGTCGTGTTTGACGATGCGTCTTCCGCACGAACGTCGATACTTTGGGTCAACGCATCTTCGGAGCGTACTGGTGTCCACGAGAATGACCTGACGGGCGACGCCAGGACGCAGAGCATAGAGAAGAGAGCAAGTAACATCCATGACGACTTGTGCGGACGCGTAGCCGCGCCCGGCTTGTTACCGAAGGACGGCATGGATTTGATAGGTTGTTTGAGGGGCGCGTCACTCGGACTTCTTGCGGGAGGAGGGTGAGCCGTCGAGGATGGCTCATGGTGGACTGATACTTGTTTATACCCATGCCATTATTCATCTGGGCCCCGGCGACTGCTCGAGAAGTTGCGGTCCTATGACCGCGAGGATTCACGCGTTCACGCGCAGTTCATGCGTCCTCGGAGTACCCGTGACTTGCCCGCGATGCGGCGGGCCGCTCGGTGAATTGGTTTTCGAGATGGAATCGCATGAAGAACGTTAAAAAAACGATGGATGGCGACAAGTTCCCTGGGTTTCACGACGGAGCACCGCAGGAAGTCGAGTGACAAGGTTGGTCAAAAACACTCGACCATCTCGACGTCATCTATAGTTTCCCACGCCGAATTTGCATTATATCGCGGGTTTGACCGAGACCGACAAGGCCGCTATGGATATCGCGCACACCGTCCAACGACGGAATCAACCTTCAAGTAGGCGATCATGCGTGAAGATTATGCATATGACTTAGGTGTTGAGTGATTTCAGAGGGTCAGTGAAGGTTTCGTATATTGCTATGTGGCGCTGATCCGCAACATTGGCCTGAGCTAGCTCTCGAGACGGAGATAGCAACGACCAAGCGCACCACCCAAATAACTCACGACTACTTGTGAGTCGCAGACGGCATTTCAGCGATGCAAGCGGTCCCCGGCGCGACTCCCGGTTCTTCACAGCGACTCAGGATTGTTTCCGCGACAAGGCAATCAATTAATTCAACGACGACGATCGCATGGACTCCGCCGGGCCATAGCCGATGTCGATGAAGTCGCAAAGGACGCCGCGTAACACCATGACTGGGACCTACCCACCTTCGCCCCCATAATCAAGCGTCGAGGGGGCCTACCCTGAGAAAGCGAATTCGCCTCTGGAAGTCGAGACTCGTACTTAATGCAGACGAAGGGCGACTCAAATCCGCCAACCGCTTCCCCCCCTCTTCCAGGCCCAGAATACTTCATGGACACGGAACGTGCGATATACGGCTGCCTAGTGGCTGCCTCTTAAATAAAACACTGAACCGGTCACTGCTTCGCGGACGACTTCTACGCGAAATAGGTCCCCTCTGAACCAGTATGTTGCGGATGTATTGCTCGTTTACACCGAGACGTTGTAACAACGGCAGTGCTTTACCCAACCTTTCACTCCATATGCAACTGCGGAACATCAAGCCCCGACTCCTGCAGCCACGGTAGCCGGTCCTTGCAGAACACCTCCTGGCTCGGCACCCACGTCACGGGATCGTCCAGCGTCCCCGCCGCGACGAAGACGCGGTCGAGGCGCTCGCGCTCTTCAGGCGTGTGTCCGCCGCCGCTCTGGTCGTGCCTGTCGGGCTTCAGCGGGTTCCCTAGTTTGACCAGCGACCCGCACTTGGTGCAGAAGTAGCGCGAGACTGGGTTCCCGGATACCGTGTTGCGCTCTATCCAGCACCCGAGTGCGTCTTCGCCTTGGGTGATCTTGTATTCCTGAAGGAAGGTGTTTAGGTTTTGTCAGTAACCTGTGACCTCAAATTTCATTGGTTGGGACTGCGTTGTCGCTCACCGATCGGGTCTCGCTGAAGCAGATGTCGAGCGAGAACGCGGAGCCTGAGGCTTTCCGGCAGTCTATGCAGTGGCAGATGTTGTACCAGACCATGTCGGCGTCGGCGTTCAGCTCGTAGCGGACGGTTTTACAGAGGCACGAGCCGCGCACTTTGCGCTTTTCCTCTCCTTGAGTATGTGTGGCCATGGTGGATGTGGTGGCTGCTCAGGAAGTGGAGACGTGCGAGGAACAGCGGGACAGCTGCCTTTATCATAACTGTCTTTATAAGCGCAACAGTAACAGAGACCACGAGTGACATCAGCAGGACAGATCAGCGGATGCATAGGGATGCATGTTATTGGGAGATTGAGAAAGGACATGGGCAGTGAGTGACCTAGCTAAACAAGATACTCCGAGTTTACCCCGAGACAGAGCAGAGTCAGATACGGACCCTTTCACTGTCCAAGCACATGCGGAATATCGAGTTGGACGTCCTTGAGCCACGAAAAGCGGTCTTTGCAGAAGATTTCCTGCTGAGGCGTCCACTCGACGGGATCGTCCAGCGTCCCGGTTGGGATGATAACGTAGTCGAGGCGCTCGAGCTCTTCGGGAGTGAGCACGGCGCTCGTTTCGCGTTCGTGGTGGGGGCTCAAGGGAAGCTCCAGCTTGATGGGCGACCCGCACTTCGTGCAGAAGTAGCGGGCGACTGGTTTACCTGAGGTCGTGTCGCATACTGTCCATATCCCGAGAGCGGCTTCACCCTGTGTGATTTTGTACTCCTGACAAACGGCGTTGGCTCTTCAGCTTCGGCACGCGGTGTGAATGGTAGAAACAGGGCTTACCGACTGAGTTTTGCTGAACCCAGGATTGGCCATGAACGCGGAGCCGGAGGCCTTTTGGCAGTCTTTGCAGTGGCAGAGGTTGTACCATAGCACTTCGGCGTCGGCGTTTAGCTCGTAGCGAACGGCTTTGCAGAGGCACGAGCCATGGGCTTTGAGTTTTCCTTCGGCTTGGCTGGACATGGAGTACGAATTTGATGGATGTGGTCGGCGTTCAAAGGGGCGAACCTCGTGGCAAAGAGGGACCGCGATTGACTCTGCCCGAGATCAGCGGACTCAGATATGTAACTGAGAGAGAACACGGCACCAAGTAGAGCGACGCCACTTTGATATGGCAGCGGCGCAGCGCTATAACGAGGCCGAACTCAACACGTCGTTCCACGCTGTCGATCCATAGGCACACATGAATGCATGAACACTAGCAAGGTCCTAGAAATAGATGACTAGGCAGAGCTTATGCACAGCCGCTGTCATTGACCGGCAGCCACAGCCAGGAGATGACGATTTGGGCTGAAAGCTTGAAAGACCGCTGTAGTAACAGAATCGAGTTGGGTGCCTGCGGACTGCTAGGCGCGCAGTCAGACGTGGCGTGGCAGAGAGTGGGGAAAGGGAGAGGTGCGCGAGAGCGGCGATGGAGAGTGCTTAGATAATTGAGGTGAAGGCTGCGTTCCCTGTGCGGCATCTCCCATCTCTCTCTGCCCGACTGGAACCAGCACACCCACCAACAAAAGGAGGACAGTCCATGCCGTCCACCTGCCCTCTCACCCTCCGCCTCACCCCTTCGCTTCCCCCTCGTTGATCCACCTACCTTACCATTAATCTATTTGCGCATACACCCGGCTAAACCACTCACACTCGGACGCACACTCTTTCTCTCACCGCTGCCTTCTTCAACATGCCCAAGCAGAAGCAGCCCACACCCCAAGAACTCTACTGGGCCCGCAAGGAGCGCGAGGAGGCAGAGAAGAACGCCCGCCTGCCTCCAGGGCTCTTCAACCATGGCAACACCTGCTTCATGAACTCCGTCCTCCAGGGCGTACGTCCCCCTTCCCCCCCTTCTCTCTCTCCCGATCACGCCGGCATGCTCACGCTCACGCGCGTTTGTTGTTCAGCTTATCGCAACCCAGTACCTCGCGGAGCTCGTCCGATTCCAACCCCTGCCTGAGAACGTCCTCCGCACCGCCCAGACCTCGATCATCTCGCAGCGATCGCCCGAGCTCACGAATGCACACGGCCACGCTGGGATATACGAGCAGGCCTATTCTAATGAGATGCCTCTGGGCGACATATTTGTTGCGCTCATGCTCAGGGCGTGGGGCGTGCAAGAGAGGCGGGTGAAGGAGAGCATGAGTCCCAGGTGCGTGTTGCTCAGTCCTCATTGAAAGTGTTACAGTTCTCACACGCTTGGCTTCTCGCACAGGGACGTGCTGCAGCTGCTGGGGCAAAAGTACGACCAATACCTCGACTTCCGGCAGCAGGATGCCCACGAGTTTCTGCGCCAGCTGCTCGATGCGATGCGCATGGAGGAGGTCGACGTACGTGTTCATTACCTATCTCTTGCTTCTCGGTGGGAGCGGAACACTGATCGAGAAGTGGCGTTCAGGTCATCAAGAAGCGGCAGCCCCCGCCACAGTCGAAGGGAAAGGGAAAGGCGAGCCAGACTGGCTCGTCCACGACGCCCTCAACGCCCGAGATCAAGCCGCTCGGGCTGTCATCGCCCCGCCTCCGCGCCCCGTCCCCTCTGTCGCAAGTCACCACTACCTCGTCCGTCGAGCCCGGGGATTCAGCTTCCCATTCTCAGCCGCAGCCTGTCCCTCGACCACCGCCACCACCCCTCCCTTCGGACGCACCCGAACACCAAGGTACATCCGACGCATCCCGAAATAGCCTATCAGCATCAACATCAACATCATCGGCGGCAGACGCTAGCTCGCACCCGTCCCAAGACGACCTGGAGCACGACGAAGAAGCAGAAAACCTGATCCCCTTCGTGGACATGCTCTTCGGCGGGCGCCTCGCGAGCATCCTCGTCTGCCAGACGTGCAAGCACGTCTCGCACGTGTACGAGGACTTCAACGACCTCAGTCTCTCGCTCAAGCCGGAGGACTACGTGCGCGAGCGCAAGCGCGATCGGTTCAAGCAGCTCGCGAAGAAGCTGAGGCATATCTCTGGCAGCGCGCTTGGCGTTGGATCGTCTTCTTTGGCTTCTGCCGCTGTGATTGGGACTGGCAACGGGGCTGCGGGCGCGACACCCGGTCCCGGTCCTGGTTTTGCTTCAGGTGCGGCACCGGGGTCGGAGCTAGAGCCGATAGCGTCGGGGCCCCGTACACCGGTACTATCGATGCCCCTTCCGATTACACTCTCGGCTCCGCGGTCGTCGTCCGTGCCTGCGACGCCCAGTAGGGGCGACGCGCTGGATAGCCCCGAGGGTGCGCTCGAGGATAGTGCGCCGCGGCGGAAGAGCGTGGACTTGTCGGTCGTCGATGTCCCTCTGGGGAGCGACGACGAGCGGGCACCGTCGCCCCCGCCACGGCGGCTGCCTCCGCCGCTCAGATCGGCGAGTCTCGCTGCAGGGATGACGCCTGTTACGATGTCGCCATCGCCGCGCGGGAGAGCGGGGGCGGAGGGTGGAGGTGGGATTTTGTTCTCGCCGCCTGGACTAGGGGTTCCGTCGGATAAAGATGTGCATGTTGGGTTTGATCTGCCGAGCGGCGGCGCTGTTGCACCGCGGGACAAGGAGAAAGAGAAGAAACCCAAGGACAAGGACAAGGATAAAGATAAGGATAAGGATAAAGAGGACGACGGCTGGTCGCGCTTCGGCCGGCGCATCAGCGTCTCGATGAAGCGCCGCCCGCGCCAGACGGACAAGGACAAGGACCACAAAGACAAGAAATCGTCGCGCGATCGCGACCGCAGCCACGACGCGAACGGCGGCAGGCGGGGCAGCAGCGTGACGTCGACGCCGCTCCTCGGGCCGCAGCGGGAGGAGACGGACGAGGAGTGGGCGCAGTTCTCGCCCATCCCCGGGCCTGCTGCGCCCCTTCGAGCTCTAGCGGATGGTACGATCTCTCCGGACGGGCTGAGGTCCCCCGAGCTGCATGTGCGTGTGGACCCGCCGAGTGTGGCGGCGGTGAGCGATAGGTTGCAGGCGAAGCTGGTGGCTGCTAGCCCGGGCTATGGGAATGTTAATGCCAATGGCACCGGACCATCGCCATCGCCCGCGCTGTCGCCGTCGCCCGCGCCCTCTGGCCCATCGACACCGCGATTCCCGCTGCTCGGCCGGCCCGAGACGCCGGCGAAGCAGTCATCGAAGCGGCACGAGAGGCACAAGATGAGCGCGGGGGAGGCTGCGTATCTGCGCGATATTCTGGCGGACGTGCCGGCGCCCGGGCATGGGTTTTCGTTCTTTGGGAAGCATCATCATCATTTACACCATCACCACCATCATCATCATCATCACTCGGGGACTCCAGAAGGTGGCGGCGGGTCTGACTCCAGTGGCGGGGCGGAAGGGGGTGGAGGCGGGGGAAAGGCGAGCGCGGTGCCGGGGTTTAGCAGTGCGGGTGCGAATCTGTTTCTCAAGGCGGGCGCGGGCGGGCATGTTAGTGGGATTGAGGAGTGTTTGAGGTTGTTTACGGGCGTGGAGGTGTTGGATGGGGAGAATAAGGTGGGGTGTCATCGGTGTTGGAAGATCGCGAATGGGAGCTATAGGCCGAGGACGAGGGAGAGGATGGATGAGGATTCGTGTTCGGATAGTGAGGAGGAGCGCGAGAGGGAGAGGGAAAGGGAAAGAAGAAGGGAGGATGATACGAGGGCGAGGCTGAGGGAGAAGGAAAGAGAAAGGGAGAGGGAACACCAAAGAGCGAGGGAGAAGGCGGGTACAACTGCGATGGCTATCAGCGCGAACGGGCGGGGAGGTGGGACCGCGAACGTGAACAGGTCGCCTGGGGCGCTGACGGCGAGCTCGCGATCGAGCTCGACGTCTTCCCTGCTCGCCACAACGGAGGGCGGCACAACCGTGACCAGCACCACGACGCTCCCTCAGTCCGAACTTGCAGCTACGCCCAGCCCCGTGTCTTCCAAGGACCTTACCACCCCACGGCCGTCCCGGATCGAAAGCGCGCCCTCCTCTCCCTCCCCACCAATGCACATCCCGCTCCCCATCCCGACCATCTCGACCACCGCGCCCGAATCGCCCGGCTTGCTCGAACTGCCTCCCGGCGTAGATGCAGGCGATGGCGATGGCCCACCGACCGCGCGTCCAGCGCCGTTCGCGCGCAGCGACACCCACACGTCGCTGCAGTCGCTCGCGTCCTCCGTGTCGAGCGCGTCGTCCAGGCTCAGCGCACCGCGCGTCCGCCGGCGAACCGTGAGCTCCGGCGAGAGCGAGAGCGAGGCGGAGAGCGAGACGTCTGCGAGCGCGAGCGGGTACTCGGACGTGAGCGCGGTCGCGTCGCCGAGCGCGTCGAGGGAGGACTTGACGCCGCATCCGTCGATGCGGTTTTTTGGGCGGGACGGTGACGGTAATGTGGGACCGCCGGCGCCGGTGTCGACGCTTTCTACGGGCACGGTGCGCGCGTCGGAGGTCAACGGAGAGCGCTTCTATCCCCGTAGCAAGGGCAGTAGCGACGGGCATGCCCGCGCCCACGCGCCCGCGCCGGTACCGCGCATCCCGCGCTCGAAGCAGGTGATCATGCGCGCGGCGTACAAGCGCTACCTGATCGCGACGCCGCCGCCGGTGCTCGTCGTGCACCTGAAGCGCTTCCAGCAGATCGCCAAGAGTCCGTCGCCGTTTGCATCGTTTGCGAGCGGGTTCAAGAAGCTCGATGAGTTTGTTGCGTTTCCGGAGCATCTTGATCTCGCGCCGTATCTTGCACCGAGGAAGGAGGCATATGGGCCTGCTGCTGGTGTCGGAGGGAATGGCAACGGGAAGGAGAAGGAGAAGGAGCAGATGAGGGGGCGGGGCGGGAAGGGCGCGAGGGAGCGGTGCATGTATCGGCTGTATGCGGTTGTGGTGCATATTGGGAATATGGTGCGTTTTTCTTTTTCTTTTGAGCGCTTTCCTTTGGCCTTAGGTTGCTGATTTATGGGTTTGCATATAGTTAGGTGGGCACTACATCGCATACACGGCCCTCCCGCCCTCGGAGAGCAACGGCAGCGGCAGCGGCAAGTTAGTCTCTGCCAGTTCCAGCAGCGATGCAGTCAGTGAAAGCACCAGCGAGCCGGCGGTGTCTTCAGCATCGACACCAGCGACGCAGCCGCAACCGAAGGTGCAGAAACGGCAGTGGGCATATATCAGCGACACAACCGTGCGGCTAGCCTCGCTCGAGGAGGTGCTGAAGAGCAAGGCGTACCTGTGCATGTATGAGCGGATTTGATGTCCCGTCGAACTCGATGTTGTATTCTCTTACCTTTACTCCGCTTCGTTCTTATTTCGTTCTAATGTTGGAGTTTTCCCTTTTCGCTTGGACTCGGCGTCGCAGTAGTATGGACAGTTACCTAGATTTTGTAGCTTATCGCATTTGGATGGACCCTGTTATTTGTCTTTTGGCTGGTCGTACAGCGCGGTTTCTTACATAGTATTAATTGTTCTTGTTGTAGGCTTGGATGTAACCTATATCCCAATTCATTGTAGAAAGCATGTAAAGTAATACTGGCACTGTTACTGCGTAACCAACTTGTCGGTAGCATCCACTATTTCACAGCTTGACGTAGAGATCCACAGGCCTTCGAAAACCTACGAGTGTTCCCGATCAGACATCACGAACACGACAAAGGCAGCCCCTTATTAGAACTAGACACATACCGCCCTCGCCCGTCGCACCGAGGTGCCTCGCCTCGTCAAACCCGAGTCCACGCAGCATCTTGCCAAAGTCCTCCGGCTTGCACTGCAGGCCCCTGGCGTTCTCGCGCAGCGTCGCGTCCATCTTGCGCGCCTTGGCGTACGTGTCCCACGGCTGCGGCTCGACGACGAACGTTCCGCCCGTCCGCAGGGCAGCGTGAACGCGGGCGAAGAACCGGCGCAGGCCGGCGTCGCCGGCGTTGAGGTGGATCCATTTGGTTATCGAGAAACTGGGTGTTCGCCAGAGCGGACGTGAGTCGGGTCTTTCGGGGTTGGGCACGGATGGGGAGGGAGGAGGAATATGCTCACGCGAGAATGATGTCGTATGGTCCTGCTGCGTCCTCTGGGATGTCGTCCTGCACCCAGTCCGCGGTGCGGAAGGTGACGTTGAATGGGAACGTCCTTGTGTGTGCAGTTGGACAACCTGCTTCGCTTACATCGTCGGAGGACTTTATGCTCGGATTTGGAATGGGGAGAGGTCCGTGCATGTGCTCGCACGACGCGGGGAAGAAGCCGACCACGTCCAGGATGTCTGGCTCGGGTGCTGGCGGTTCCTTCTGCTTCTTTGCGCGTTTCTTCGGCCTGTCGTGACCATTTTCACCTGAAGCCGCATTGTATGACGGCGCCGATGAAGCGACAGCATCAGGTGGTGCTTGAAGAGACCAGACTGTCCTCCGCCGTCTCCAGGCAGCACGGATGAGCGAGTCGTCGATATCGACCCCTACGACTTCGGACGCGCCAAAAGTCTGAGCTGACAGAAGTAGAATCAATTTCAATGACTGTTCCAGCGTTTGAGTTCATTAAATGCGTACCAATCTCGCAGGTGACCCACCCCTCGTTGCAGCCTACGTCGAGCACGCGTTTACCCGTGAAGAAGTCCTGCGGGAGGAGCGCAAGACGCGGATCGCGGTGCGAAGGTCGCTTTGAGTAGTACCTGAAGCATTTGCTCTCATTCAGCAGTAACTTGGGCAGACGGTGAGCTAGAGGACGTACCCATGATAGTTGCCGTGGATGGGGACAGACGAAGAGGACATTCGGTCCGTGGGAAGGAGGCTGGCGCGTTGGCGCGTTGACGCGTCGCTCAGCCTGTCACGATGAAGGCGACGTCCAAGCGACGTCGCACAGCGTCGATCACCTCCAGTCAGCTTCAAGCTGTGTCACACCGCCATGTTTTGTTTCCGAGTAACCTCTTCTCTTGCTGGCTCTCTTCGGTTTCCTTCGTAACCTCTGGCTGCCTCGTCATCCTGCGTTCTAATTGAGCGTCTACCTCAAGCACGATGCTGCCCTCCATCATACAGCTCGGGGAGACCGATGATGTCGCAGTGCTGGTCATGATACACCCTGGACCGCGTGGACTGGTCAACGGTCAAAGCTCGGCGGTATTCGTCTTGGTGCCCACCGAAGTATTCCACTGTTCAGGTCCTTCGAATCCCCAGCTTGACGTCCATAATTAAAAGACACCTTTCATATCGAACAGCTTATAGTGCCGACTGTCTAAGAACATTGCTCTTTCGTTGACGGTCACCACTGATTAGCCACTTACACCCTCTTCACTAGACATCGAGCACTGCCCCTCTCCTTAGCCTTCTGTCTGACGCTCGCTGACCACCCCAGTTCCGGCCACGTAGAACGCTGACACCCCAAGCTTCAAGTCAAGACTGCACCATCTGCATCCTATTGAAGATTCGCGACACGTAGTCCGGCGAGCACGGCCCCGCGCGCATCTTTCGTGATGCTCGCTGATGCTCGTCGTGCGCATATGAACAGTTCTTAGTCTTCGGTATCAATTCAGTATGTTGATGCGGCTCAGCTTCTTGTGCCCAAAACAAGCGCGCACCTGCGCGCACACAGGGGAGTTCATCTACAGACATACGACACTTCTACGACCAACCTTTGGCACTGACACAAGGACCTACTGTATGTCGATCGATACTGCGTCACTTGGCAGGAAATGACACGTCGACGTCACCTACGCCTGTCAGTCATCTCAAGGCTGGGCCTGGCCCTTGGCGGTCTTTGTGAAGGAAGCTCACACTAGCTCACATCGCAATCTCACTGTTGACGTGGCATCTGTGCACGGACGTGAGTTCTTGTATGCTCGTCTGCCGTAGATGCGCTGGCTTCAAAGCCACCAGACACAGTCAGCCACCTTGTCTCAGTGGATAATACTCCCGGCAACGCTCGGCGACGATGATGCAATCAAGTTCAACGCACAGGATTTGGGCCGATATGGGCTACATGTCGCCCGAAGCCTGCCAGGACAATGCTGGAGAATGCACAGAAGCCACGAACACCTCGAGACGTGAGCGCTTCCGCTACGTCGATGACACTATGGTTCAATGATCCTCGGTAGAGAGTTCGACGCTCGGGTGTGCACCCATGTGCTGTCTACTGTAACGGCACGACTTCCGGGCTGTGTGTCGCGAAACGGTGCCAATCCAAGACATACCATACGAACTTCTACGTGTAAATTGCGCAGCACCCACCCAGCGCTCAACATCAAGCCGGACGTGTATAAAGGCAGGTGGAAGAAACGTCTAGGCTCCCCAGGTCCAGCACCATCTTTCACATTCTTTCTTCGGCTTCGGCTCTTCGTCTTCGGTCTTTTATTTACTTCAATCCGATCAACGTTCATTCTTCGATAGCACTCGCGCATCTAGTCGCCATGGTCGCCTTCACTTCTGCCCTTACCGCTCTTTGTGCTGCTGCACTTTCTGTCACTGGCGCCATTGCCGCCCCTCTTACGCAGAGCCTCTCCACGCGTGCCACTCCGGCTGCACCCCACTTTGTCGCATATAGCGACAAGTGGATCTCTGGTGAGACCGGCCCCCCGGCTACCTCTGCCCTAACCGGCTACAACGTCTTGTGCGTATCTTCAAATCTCCAAACCATCCGTTGACTAACACGCATTTTCATCGTTAGCGCCCTCTCCTTCTGGCGTCCCGCTGCCGCCGTCGACCAGGCTCTTGAGTGGGCGACCATCGACGCCGCGACGCGCAACTCGACCTTGTCGGCTTACAAAACCGCCGGCATCAGCCTCGTCGTGTCTGCCTTTGGCGCCGACTTCAACCCGACCAGCGGCTCTCCCGCGCTCGACCCGACCCAGACCGCCGACCAGCTCGCGGCGTGGGTCATCCAGTACGGCCTCAACGGTGTTGATATCGACTACGAGGACTTCGATGCGATGAACAAGATGGATGGCTCTGCGGAGCAGTGGCTCATCACGTTCACGACGGAGCTCAGGAGCAAGTTGCCTGCTGCGGACTACATCATCTCCCATGCTCGTGAGTTTTCGTCTCTTTGTGCAGTAAAGGGCACGGTCTGAATTGGCGATAATAGCCGTCGGCCCCTGGTTCTCGACCAAGTACACCTCGGGCGGTTACCTCAAGGTTGACAAGCAGGTCGGCTCCATGATCGACTGGGTAAGCTCTTTCACCCACGCATACGCGTACCCCAGAACCCGAACTGATCGCACCCGTCTCCCCTCCCCCTCCAGTACAACGTCCAGTTCTACAACCGTAAGCCCCCCTCTCGCCAGCTCCCCCTCCATCCCCCACTAACGCACACCGCTTTCACAGAGGGCACCACCGAATACTCCACCTGCGACGGCCTCCTCACCACCTCCTCCACCACCTACCCCAACTCGGCCCTCTTCCAGATCGTCGCGTCCGGCGTCGCCGCCGACAAGCTCGTGATCGGCAAGCCCGGCACGACCGGCGACGAGACCAACGGCGGCTACATGAGCGCGTCCGACCTCGCGTCGTGCCTCCAGCAGGCCACCGCCAAGAAGTGGAACGCCGGTGTTATGGTCTGGGAGTACCCCGACGCCGCCGCCGACTGGATCAAGTCCGTCCGCGCGCTCGCGTTCCCTGAGTAAATGTGAACCGCTCCAACGCCGTTGCCGTATTGCTGGGGCACGAAGGATTCTTCCTTCTTATGATATTGTTGTAGACATGTACTAGGATTGCGGGTTTGTGGGGAGCCTTGATGGTTGCCCTACCGTCTGCTGTATTTCTTGGGGTCGTTTGACTGACCACTCGCTCTTTTCTGGGTTGCTAATATTATCCTATTTATTGCGCGCTAAATGAAGCTAAAGAGTGTGAATTTATGAGCACCCAGCCTGTGTCCGCCTGGTTTGTTTCCATTGCTATGTACGATGCCTTTACTAGCAGAATATCCAGAGGTGATAATACGGTGCTATTTTGTGAAACATTACCCCTCCAAAAGCGACGTCCTCTCTTACTAGCTTGATACATAGATTGGCGTCACCGCGAACCTGTACGGACGTCGTTCAAAGCCGCCATCCACCCTCAAAATCATGGCATAGTAGCTCATTAGTGGCATCCCACCCGGTCAACGAGCCGATTGGGTCTCTAACTGAGGCATAGACCGCATTTTCGCTTACGTGGAGCCCTACTTGTCGATAAGAGGGCAATATAATATTCAACAGGACTGATCTCTTGTAAAGAAGGACATCCTTGGTCCTCGACTCCATGCATAACCGTGCAAGAATCTAGTCAAGGTGGGAATAGAGCCTCGGAGATCTTCTCCTTCGCTCCACTTTGTCGAGCCTACATAGCGGAGCAATAGCGCTCGTCATCTTCTTCCTTACGCTGATCATCAGCTCGTCGATATACTCAAGGAAGTGCACGGCGCTGATCAGGTTTCGGGTGAATGAATGGACCGTCATGCACGCCCGCAGCAGAATGGGAACTTCACTGGCCACCAAGGGCCAGGAGAGTTAGTCTTTGTTAATATAGTCAACAGGTGCATCATTGTTCTGGCGGTGACTCGGAGGTGTAAGTAAGCGAGACGCACTGCTGCGGGTCCGCACATCGGGGTGCACATGCCGGATAACTTCAAGTTGAGGATCCACCAGAATTGCAATGGGAAGTCAATTGCAGTACTTATTCAGGATATGCATCGATGAATCTTAGTAGTTTGGAATAATTACTCTTCGAACCGACAACATACTACTGAAACTCACTCGCGGTTTTCTGAAGACTCGGAGAGGAGAATAAGGTAAATATTTGTGTTTATGGCGTACCGGTTGTGCCGTAATTTGAACTTAACACGATACGATTTTTCTCGGAGCCATCCAACTTCCGGTACGGACAAAGTGAAGCGGTGGGAATAAAACATAGCTTTCAATAGCGCTAGAACCACAAGAGACGCTGAAGGAATACGAACGAAGTTAGCGACGGAAGGGTGTTTGCTGGCGCCGATACGGGCGCATCGCTTCTTGTAGTGGATCCAAGGGTGGGTTGTCAGAGCGAAATCTCACGCAATCTCAGTCATTAAGCAGCCAGTACCTGGTGTTGCTATTTCCACCCTTATTTCAGAAACTGTGCAGGTACAAGCTCTGGGTGAATCATTGACCCATGTGCTGTTGAGGCACAAGTATAGCACTTAGTATGTACATCAGCTGTTTCATCGAGCTATTGTGGTCAGATAGCAACAGGACCATGAAATGAAACTCAGAAAACTCCGACAGTGGTTCTTTATGCCGTTGTCGCGACTGTAATCTCAGTGTAAGACCTTGCTGGGGGGAAATACAATGGCTCGCTCGGCCTGTTGTTTTCCGCGAGTGCTCGTTGTTGCAGCATTGAGCGTTTGTGCGGACCTCACTGTGGTAATCCTCATTGTGAGAGACCGCCGGCACCGCCGCGTTGCTTCCAATGATGGTGATGGATGCGGCACCCGCCGACGGCGCCGTTCATGTTGACAACCGATTCACGGGTAGATCGAGGTGGTTCAGATGATCCACTGCACTACGGCCCACTACGGCAGGCAACCAGGAGAATGACAGCAAACACCACAGCTACGTTGCTACCCCTGTTTTTACAGACCATCCGACGACTGGTATGCAAGCCGTTGTGCGCGAGGAGGATTAATTGTCGCGGTGCGCGTTGCTCGTTGCCGAGTATTGTCACCGTGGGTCGAGCATGACGATGGTAGGCGACAGGATTCGAGACCCTGGATTGGCTGACTGCCCTCGAATTTTTCTGGCGATGGCAGATGGCAGCGGGCAGGACCAGTGCACCCCGGCGCGCAGGAGCCACGCGGTCGTGCGCTGGCTTTGAGGCGTGTGTCCCAGGCCGGCGAGCCCGGATGCAGCCCTGAAGACAGCGGACATGGATCCCCGGACATCAGAAGTATGGACAAGGGACATATAATAAATAGACAAAGCCCTGGCCATTCATCTCCAGGCACTCCTTCCCGCAGTCGACCCTCGCCCTCGCTCCCTCGTCCCGCCTACTTAGGCCCAGCCCCGTCCTTCGTTTTAGCCCCTCCCAGGCGCTCAGGTCCCCGTCAGACACAATTCTGCAGCGCAGAATCCTTACGACAATGGTCCGCTTCCCTCTTTTTGCCACGCTCATTAGCCTCACCGCGACCCTCGCGGCGGCTCTGCCCTTAATCCGCGAGACTGCCCTCGTCACCCGCGCCGCCTCCGCCCAAGCCGCTCCCCATTGGGTCGCTTATCAGGATATGGGTGCCGACGGCGAGAACGGTGCACCCAGCGTAGACTCCATCAACGGATTCAACAACTTGTGAGTGTTTATCATTGCTTTCTTACCTCGCTTCCTGCGCAAAAGGTGCCCTTGGATTGAACTGACGAATCCTCCGCTTCTCTCATCTAGCCTGCTGTCTTTCTGGACTCCCAACGGCGCTGTCGACCAAGCCGCAAACTGGGTCAACCTCGATGACGGCACCCGCAGCTCCATCAAGTCCTCGTACCAGGCCGCCAACATCAAGCTCATGATCTCTGCCTTCGGTGACCAGATCACGCCGACGACCTCAAACATGAATCCAAACACGACCGCAGACCAGCTCGCGGCGTTCGTCAAGCAGTACTCGTTTGATGGTGTTGATGTTGACTACGAGGACTTTGCCGCGGTCAACAAGATGGATGGCTCTGCTGAGACATGGCTCATCCAGTTCACGACCGAGCTGCGCAAGCAGCTTCCCGCTGGGCAGTTCGTCATCACGCACGCGCCTGTTGGACCGTGGTTCAACGCGGTGCACTACAAGTCGGGCGCATACGTTACTGTGAACAAGGCTGTCGGTAGCCTCATTGACTGGGTACGCTTCGTCTTCTCGGCCGAGTTGTCACCCTAACGCTAGACACTAATCTTACGGAATCCAGTACAATGTGCAGTTCTACAACCAGGGCACTGACTACGAGACCTGCGACACGCTCTTCACCAAGTCGGCGAGCTCCACTTCTGTCCTGCAGATCAACGCTACCGGCGTCCCGCTCGACAAGATCGTCATCGGCAAGCCCGCGCTCGTCAACAGCGCCGGCGAGGGCGGCTTCATGAACACGACCGCTCTCGCGTCCTGCCTCACCACCGCGAAAGCCAAGGGCTGGAGTGAGTCCTATCTTGCTACACCGCTAAAGCGACAGATTACTCACGTGCTCTCGTACTTTCCCATCCACAGACGCTGGCGTCATGGTCTGGCAGTACCCCCAGGCGGACTCGACCTGGATCCAGGCCGTCCGCGCCCAGGCTTTCCCCGTGTAATTGACCCCTCTCTCTCTCTCGCGGCACGCTCACGCTCTTTTCTGACCGTCGCATCTCCATCCCTCTCAGTTCATCGGGTAGCTGCAACGGCCCGGCGCGCACCTTCACCACACCGGCCCATCCCCCTGCTACCCAGAGCACCTCGTCTGTGTCCGCGTCCACGACCACGTCTGTTTCCACGTTCTCATCCGCGCCTTCGTCCACCTCTGTGTCCGCGGCCACGTCTCGTTCTACGTCTGTGTCCACGTCCGCGTCTGCGTCCCGCCCTGCCTCCACGTCTTCGTCTGCGTCCCGTTCTACATTCACGTCCGCGTCCTCGGCATCGACCTCGGCCCCCTCCACGTCGTCTCTCGTTCATTAACGCTCGAACACTCACCAACAGAAAATATCGATTTCTTCCTTTCATTTCAGGTTATAGGTTATCGGTGAATGGTTGTTCCTGACTGTTGCCTGCTGATATACCTTGCTCATCTAACTAGACTAGACTAACGGGTTCCATACGTTACGCTACACTAAGTCGATACTAGGTCTACTCGCGATATTCCTTCCGTTCTTGGGTGTTCATCCTTCCTATTCTTTATTTTTTATTTGTTCATGCCGAGGACTCTGACGAACTGTGCTTCTTGGTTGTGTTGTTGCTCATTCCTTCTTAGCTATTGTTATAATCCTGGGTAGAAAATGTAAATATCTATCTTGGCTGGGACTCTATCTCTGTGTCTGTTGTAGCATGTTGTTTGTGCTCGTGCGCGTTTTGTATCTGGGGATTGGTTGACTAACAGACTAACTTAAATTGTTTATCGTTGGATGTAGCTGGCGTACGTGCACGTCTGGAGGATGCGGTGAGCTCAGCCATCGTAAAAATCATTTGTTGAGGCGCTCGTCCTTATAAGAGCTTCTGGGCTGTTAATATACCTCGTCCGTCTCAAAGCGGCACGGGGGGTACAACATAGACCCGGTGCCATCAGGCTAAGACGCCTCTCATGTCCAGCAGAACGCCGAGAACCACTGGAAGAGAATCCGAACCGCAGAGGGCGTCTCGAAACAGCAATCGTATTGGTCAAACTTCGAGCTTTCGAGGCTAATCCTCCGGACTTGAGCCGGGCCGTTTCCTTACATAAGCCATGACAAGTCCAACTCGGGCGCGTCTCGGGCATCGTTGCATCAGGCCTCCATCTTCCCGCATCACACCCCTTATATAGCAAGTTCTCCTCCTCCCACCAGCGACTTTCAGGCTTGAATTTCGTCGCCTTTGTCAGCAGCAGTCGACCATCGACTGCATGATGGTGTCATGTTGACGTTTCGGCCGGACGTTCCGACTTAACCGCATGCATATTAAAGTCAGAGCCGTCTTCAGAGGGTCAACGTGGTCCACCCCGCTCGAACTTAATTCTCTCTGCCTCGTGTCCTTCTCTGAGTCGGACTTCGCTGCCTTCCATGACCGCAGAACCAGTAGCATGTCATGCTAACCCTAGCGGTTTTATGTCAGAACAGGTGTATCCTCTGAAAAAGGATGGCTCTACAGAGAAGTCCAAGGAATGGACAGCGAATGTCACGGAGAAGGATAACTATGTAAGGCCTTCCTACTGTTTCCTGTGCTTCGATTAACGTTCGAACCCGATGTCACCTTCTGTCTTGGAGTAGGTGGAGTTTGAACACAACGATCCTCGGAATCCCGTCAACTTCTCCTACACCAAAAAATGGGCGATCACGCTCGTCGGTGTCGCCTTTACTGGGCTCAGCGGTTCGTCATCCCGCCCACTTACTACGACATCGATGCTCATTTGTATTCATCACTTGTCTAGCTGCGACGTCGTCCGCGTACTCGTATGGGTACGACACGATGATCGCCGAGCTCGGCTGCACGCGCATGGAGGCCACACTCGGTCTCAGCATGTTCACGATTGGCTTCGCCATCGTCCCACTTGTCTCGTCTCCTTTTAGCGAGGAGTTCGGGAGGAGACCTGTGTATCTGGTCTCGGCGTTCATTTTCTTGATGTCTCAGATCATGATTGCATTGTACGTCTCTCTTCTATTCTCGTCTCATTGTCTTGGTCATTAAGTCACCGGGCGGACACTTCAGAGCGCCAAACGTTGCGGTAGTTATTGTCGGTCGGTTCTTGAACGGATTTGCCGGTTCGACGGCTGCGACACTTGTTGGTGGAACCATCGCCGACATCTGGGAGCCAGCACAGTAAGAGCCCGTTCATTTATGAGGTATCGCAGCTCATCAGCAGGTGTTGTTCAGGCGTGGGCTCCCGATGTCGATATACAGCCTACTCGCTATGTTCGGCACCTCTGTCGGACCCGTTGTCGGCGGATGGATAGACATGAACCCGAATATGCACTGGCGATGGATATTCTGGATGGGTGCGATGTGAGTTTGTTCGCGCTGTCTTTTCTGTTTATCGAGGTAAACTAAAACCCACGTGCCGATAGATTCTCTGGGACATACTTGATTGTAGCCCTTTTCTTCACGCAGGAGACGCGCTCGAGCATCATATTAGCAAACGTGGCAAAACAGAGGCGCAAAGAAACAGGCGACGAGACTTTGCGGTCACGGTCCGAGGTTGACAGCCAATCATTCTGGATGATGCTCAAAGCCTCGTCCACGCGCCCGCTATGTGAGTTATATCGTACTACTCATGCCGCAACTAGTTTTGCTGACGTGGCTCTTTAGACATGCTCTTTACTGAGCCTGTGGTGTTCGCTTTTAGCGTAAGCGTTCATTAGTCAGTGATGGGCGGTCCCTGTTAAAATCCCGCACAGCTTTGGATAGGGTTTGCATGGGGTCTCGTCTACGCACTGATAGAGCAAGTATTATCTCTCTCGCTCTGTTCATCAATAAACTAACGTGACCGTGAACAGTTCGATTGGCTCCGTCTTTAAGAGTGTATACGCCTTCAATACCGGCGAGACTGGCTCAATATTCACATCCCTTTGGTTCGCTGCTCCCTTTTCTCATCATCATACTTGACTGTCTAACCACACCATCAGCATTGGCTGTCTACTCGGCTGCGCCCTGAACTACTATCAAGAGACGCTCTATACGCGTAACTTTGCAACTCGTGGGCCAGAGGCACGCCTTTATGTTGCGATGCTCGCCGCAGTGCTCTTCCCCGCGGGAATGTTTATCTACGCATGGACGGCTTTCCCATACGTGCCGTGGATCGCTCCAGCAATTGGTCTGACGGTGTTCATGACATCGTGCTATGTGATATACCAAACTGTATTCGTGTATCTGGCGGATTGGTGCGTCGTCATCTTCCTGCCTTGTGATTATAGTAACTCGAACCTGATACGAATGCTTTAGCTATGGGAAATGGGCATCGTCTGCTTTGGCTGGCCAGAGTCTCCTCCGTACGTTTCCGACCTCGCAGTTGGACGGTACAGCAAGTACAGCGTTCTAATACAATCCCCGATGCAGGCAACTTGCTTGGCGCAGCATTCCCTCTCTTCACGGAGCAGATGTACGACCGCCTGACGTATGAATGGTCCAATACTCTCTTTGCATTTATCGCAGTCGCGATGATACCAATACCCTACGTACGTATTTTTCTTCGCGTCCGTTAGTTCCGAGCTCAACATGACTGTGTTTCAGGCCCTGTTCTTCTATGGAGACAAGATCCGCGCGCGGAGCAAGATATCCCAAGAGATTACTGCTAAAGATACCGACTAACAAGTACTTCTTATGGAAGCAGTCGTGTAGTCTTGACGTCGTTTCTATAGCGGGGTTTACACTCTGTTGGAGCTCAAGGCCAGGAAATCACGAGAGATTGTTCCAAAGCCAGTAGTTCTCTCCAACACCCAAAAGCATTAGACATAGCCCAGAGACAAAGTGGAAACTTATGTTCAAAGAATACCAGCAATGACTTCGCAACTGACTGACAATTTTGAGAAGAAGAACTTCACATATTTATAACGTAGGAAAGACAAGTTTCAGTAGAGAGAAACTCGATTAAGAATGTATACGGTACATATAAGTTTGAGGAGAAAGTGTATCATATTTTGATGTAGATGCCATAATGCCAGACCGTGATCCTGAGCCTCCTGCGCTTCCCCCATTTCCACCACCCGCGTCGCGTCGCGGCGTTCCAACGCGCCAAGGCGCATAGTCGTCGAGCCCGAAAGAACAATTGAGCCAGCGAGAAAACCGATCATGCATCACAGAAGCGCAATGGCGTCGAGCACCGCCACCGCGAAGATGCAGAACGATCATATCGCCCATAGGAGCTCAAGTCATTCCTCCGGCGGCTTGGACAGAGACTAAAGGCAGTTGTCGGACACCGATCGGGTGTTCGCAGACTTCCCCTTGTTGCCGCCCCTCCTGGGCTTGCCCCTGTTCCTGTTCGACCGAGGCTGAGATGAAGACGCCTGGACAGACTGAGCGGCCGCGAGTTCTGCGCGCTCTTTGTTGTCGCGGAGTCGCTGGCTCCTCCGGCGGGACGTGGTCGGAGGCTGCGGAGGCTCGAGCGCCCAGTTGGGAACGGAAGAGTCGTTGACAGGAGGAAGCGAGGACGAGGTGGCGGTGGCGCAGACGAGAGCCCAGTTCGGCGTGTCGTCAGCGTCGGTGGACCGAGACGCAGAAGCGATGGTGGCGCATTGGGCGGCCCAGTTAGGGATATCGTCGCTGTAAAGTGCAGTGGGAGCAGCACTGAGAACAGGAGCGCTGGGACCAGGGACGTCCCCAACAGTGAGTGGCGTGAGCGTCGGCTCCACGGCAGCGGCGGCGTCCCTCTTGCGCTTCTTAGTAGCAGCACGTTTCTGAGCCTTCGTGCGCGTGTCCATAGACGAGCGGGAAGGCTCGGAGATAGCATTGTCCGCAAGGATAAGGTTCGTAGCGGGAATCAGCTCGGAAGCGTCTTCGACAGGTGCTTCGATTCTGATGCACTGGGTGACGTGGTTCGAAGAGGCCTCCTGTAATGAACAAAGGTTGAGATCGTGCTTCGCGTTTGATAAAGTAAGTAAGCCACGTACCGTTTCGAGCCGCCCTCGCGCCCACTTCTCAGTCAAGGCAGACGCACTTCCTGCGGTGAAGTCGCCAACGTCCAAGGAAATCAAGAGTCGATCTTGAGCATCGACGACTCGATGTTCCAAGGGATGGGGAACATTGCATCCCGCGAGGGACAGTGCGGAGACGCTTGGTGTCCCAAGATGCACCATCTAATGGCAACCGGCGATCAGAAACACGAGACGACTCGTATGCGTATAGTGCTTACCTTGTCAAAGGACGCCAGCATAGCATCCAATTTCTTCTCCTTCTTCTTTCGCTTCTGGACTGCGTTCCTCGAGGTACCATAAAACTTTGCAGGAAGCTGGGTGCCGGGAAGGAGACAATCGGGAGAGAGCTGGGCTCGTAGAGCAGCTGCCTTCTCACTCCGCTGCTCCTTCCGTTTCCTGTTCAGCTTTTGGTTCCTCGTCTCCGGGATGGACAGCGTAGGCTGAGTGATGGAGAAAGGCGACGGCGGCGATGTTATGGAGCTCGCCGATGTTGTCGCCGAGCAGCAAGTCGAAAGGACGCGGGCAAGTGCTTCATCGTCCGAGGCGGCGAGGTTGGGGATGATGTCTTCGAGGCGTTCGGTATCGAGAGACGTTACGAACGCGTCATGCAGGGATACCTCGTCCACGAAGACGGTTACAGCTGACTTGATCTCGGATCCACGTTGAGCCTCGCATTCGTCGCCAGAAAGTCCACGGTCGCCTGCGAGCATACTCGCGGGCACAATGTTCTGATCGGCTTCGAGAAGGTCTTTGTCCTCGTCATCTGAAATTGGAAGTGGCGTATTGACCGCGTGTCCGAAAATCTCATCATCGTCGATCGGTGGTAATGCTACGAGCATGGCGTGCTCGTGCGCTTCGTCAGAGTCAATGGCGGGGAGCGGGGTACGAACGGCGTGTCCAAGAATCTCGTCATCGTCGACTGGTGGCAATGCGACGAGAACAGCGTGCCCGAGGATTTCATCTGCGTCCATAGGGGGGAGCGGGGTATTGATGGCATGGCCGAGAACTTCTTCATCGTCAATCGGGGGCAATGCTACAAGCATAGCGTGCCCGAGCGCTTCATCTACGTCAATGGCGGGGAGCGGAGTGTTTATTGCGTGTCCAAACACTTCGTCGTCGTCGATCGGTGGCAAGGCTACGAGCATAGCGTGCCCGAGTACTTCATCTGCGTCGATGGCGGGTAGTGGGGTGTTTACTGCATGTCCGAACGCTTCCTCATCGTCGACTGGTGGCAATGCGACGAGGATAGCGTGTCCGAGTGCTTCATCTGCATCGATAGGGGGCGGGGTACTAATCGCGTGCCCGAGAACTTCTTCGTTGTCGACCAGGGGTAATGCTACGAGCATAGCGCGCCTGAGAATGTCTTCCGTGTCGATGTCCACTGCGTGTCCAAGCGTCTCTTCATTGTTCGTCGGCAGCGTCCTGAGCATAGCGTGCTCAGGCCCGCACGCCGACTTGACAATGGGGAGAGGAATGGTGCGTCCAACTCCCTCGGTGTTGACCGGTGGCAGCATCTTGAGCATAGCGTGCTCAAGCCCGCACGCCGATTTTACAGGAGGGAGAGGCATGGCGCGTCCAAGCGCTTCTTCGTTGTTGACCGGTGGCAGCATCTTGAGCACAGTGTGCTCAAGCCCGCACGCCGATTTTACAGGAAGGAGAGGAATGGAGAAGACGGACACGTCGGGCGTGAACAGACAGATGGGAACGATGGTAGGACACATCTCGAGGGGGTCGCTATCGATAGGGAGGGCGATGTCGAGAAGATGTTGGCTAAGGGTGCCGTCACCGACGACCTTGCTGGGGGCCGAGAAAAGCCCAAATAGAGCATCCTGAAAGATCCATGAACTACTAAACGCTGACGACGGTTTGAAGTACTTACTAGGACAGTTGACAGCACGGCGACGGCAATGACGCGGTAAAGGAGACGCAGTAAGAACAGTATGTCGGCTTCCGAGAAGTGAGGATGGTACTCCTCCAAGGGTCCTTGTACCCCTGGGTGCGCGTAAGACTTCGAGTAACCCACGTCAAGGACCAGAGGACCAGAGATGGCGGACGACTCCGCTGCGAGTTCAGGAACGTGAAACTCGCAGGCGAGGGGCTGAGGTACGGCGGATACATTATACGAAGAACCAGGTACGTGTTGAAACTCCTCAAAGGTCTCATTGGCCGATGTCCAAAGGATGGTAGCTAGTAGTAGTTAGTAACCACCCAACAGCGGAGATAATTATGCTTACCATGCTCAGAATAGGAACCAGAAGCAATTACCGGGCTCGACACGCCTTCATGTAAGGTCGAGCCATTGACAGAGGGCTCAGTGACGTTGAGAGGGGGGGACGAGGACGAGGAAGTAGCCGAAGACCAAGGGGGAGTAACCGTTGAGATGAACCACCCGCCAGCCAGCCATTGACCGATAGCATGCGGGATCGCGCGGATGCCGAACAAAGGGGCTAGCTCAGCGAGAGCGTTGGAGAATAGCGGACCACCGGGGAGACCAAGTGGACCGGGAGAGGAGGATGTGAAGGAACCGGACCCCGCCAGCGCATAGAATGCGTGGAAGGTACGGAGAGCTACAGCGATGTATGCGGTGAGGATCATTTTGATCGATAGAAGAGTATATGTGCGAGTGGACAGTTTACTGGAGAGCAAACGTCCGAAGCGCTGCCAGTATTTAAACCTGACGGGGGACAGGTTTGGTGGTGTTTGCCAGGACGTGCTTTGCGGTTCAGCTTGACCAGTCTCGTTCAAAATCTTGCGAGGTACAGGTTCAGACCAGATGTCCCGGACCTTCGAAACTGTGAGCTCAAACTTGAACGCTTATCCCTTAGTACGTACCCACGTAGCACATATGAAGAGCCTTACGCTCGCGCTCGATATCCAGAGAACCAGCGATTTTGTATTGACCAAGTGCAAGAATACGCCACCATACAGTAGACCTGTTCGATCACTGAGGTACTTTTGCGACGTTTCTAGCAGCATGAAAGGCTAACAAGGTTTGAGCCGCCAGTCCCGATGAATCAAACGTAGACGTCTGAGACTCCGCTTCGAGAACTCGACCTGTTGACACCGCATGAATACGATTTGAGATCAGTCCGTGTATTAATCGATGAAACTCACGTCATATCTAGATTTGAGATTCGCCTGCTAATCCAACTGGTTGCTCGAGCGCAAAGCAAAGGTGATAGTGAGAGTAAGACGGGGCGATCCAGGCTTCCAGCACACGAGACATTCCAACCAGAGTGAATCATCCTTTCCCTCAGCGCAGTCGAGGCTTGTGGTCGGAACGGGAACACAGCGAGGTCAGAAGAAGGTTGCCAGTCCGGCGCGAAACTGCGGTGGTTGATTAATTGCAAACATCGCGTCGCGCACGTGCGCCAGCAGCGCAAAAGCGAGGATAACGGGGAATCCACATTTTCCGGCGGTCCAGCATTCCAGCAGTCCAGCCGTCCGTCCGCCGGTCCAGCTGTCTGGCCCCGCATTCCATCTGTCCGGCGGTCCAGATCCGCAAAGTCAATGCAGATGATCTTGCCGCGTCATATCCACACTCGTCCCCCATGGTGTTCGCCTCGATCTAAGCTTATAATAATTCAGCTCGAGCCGGGACTGCCGCTTCTCGTTCCCAATCTCTTTCTTTCTTTCCCCCCACTATCGCTAACCGGCTGCTGTGCGGTCTCTGTCGACACTCTTTAACGCAACACCCAACCCTCACCCTGTCATGCCGCCTCCGGAGCCTCACGTCTTAGGAACTGGAGACGTTCTCTGCGTCTACTGTGATTGCCAGATGCCGCTTTGCCCTCGACTCTGTCGAAGGGGGCAAGCATATTGCCCGCGTCTATGTTAAGGTGAGTTTATGCTTCCTCCTTGCCTCATCCAATCACTGACAATGTCATTCTATGTATCATTAGTGTCCCTGTGTGCACCGTGGCCCTCAAATACAGAGGGCAAGTCGAGATAATCCTCCCTCGCGGTTGGGGCAGTCCATATATAATCCTTTAGGGCCCGCCAAAGGATGTGTATATGTATGTCATCAAGGTCAGTAGCATCACCGACTATCTTGGCGTATAGGTGGGGGATATTCGGCGGTGCTGCTGACGTGTCCGTCGAGGCGTGCTGTATGTTTGCAATGTTGCTGCGTGTCTCGCAGCAGATCTTGATGAATTTCATGATTTGGTCCATGGTCAGTGCGGCGAGAGGCGGATATCGAGCGATCCTCGTGTAAACATCAATGAAGGGAATTGGTTTGGGTTCCATATGCATTGTATATGATCTGTAGGCCGAAGACAGAGGCGTAGGGACAGGGAGGTAGGTGCAGAATACAAGCAGAATACGAGATAACGGGAAATACGAAGGACAGGGGCTATCTATCTACTTGTGGCTGGCGTGACTTGATCACAAGTTGGTTGACTTCTGTGTTCCCACGCCTGTGGCCGGACAGCTGGACAGCTCGCCAGACGCGGCATACCCAAAATGTGAATTCCCCGTTAACCTGGCAAAAGCGAGAACACCCGGGAAATGGGAAAGGTGGCATATGCCGCCGTGGCGGCGCGGCGGCGCGGCGGCGCGGCGGCAGTGGCGGTGCACATACCTTCAACTGGACCGGATCTACGCGGATCCTTTACTCCCTCGACGAGCCACCGTACGGACGGCTCGCCGCCGTAGAAGTGGCATATGACGAAGAAATACAGACTACGAACATAATCCGTGCGCCGAACCTTGGTGTTGAGAGCGCCGTTCAAGAGCATTTCCGGTGGCATGGTACAGAGTTACAAGCCTTTGAGACGGAGCCATATTAAGGGAGGATATTGTACTCACACAATCTTCCAGAGGGCGGGTCTGAACGCACAAAGCATATGAAGCATTGTCTGTTCGACTTTGCATAAGTAGCTTCCGCATACTTAGGTACTCTACCAGACTACCCCACTGGAGCCCATGCACCGGAATTTCGACGTTAAAATCAGCCGCGACTACGTTGATTTTTATGTTAAAAGAATCAACGTAAAAGCCGAACAAAATGTTTATGCATAAGCGGGGACCACCCGCTACTACGTTATGGATAGTCTGCAAAAGATCAACCTACTAGCCGCTGCATACATTAGCTGCATCGCAATGGAATATGTATTGTGAGAGCGGTCCAAGGCCTGCTTGAACAAAAATCAAGCTAGGGCTCGAACTCGCGGCCTCATAGACGCGTTTCCTACTCAATTACCATTAGCGATGCTTTACATAGTACACCACATGGCTGTAAAGATTAGGCGGCTGAAATTGTATATAACCGCTCAGCGCTGGACTTAGCGAAAATTCTGGCCAACTTTGCCATACATCCCTTCAGTCACTTCGTGAAATTTGTACTAAGTCCTTTCTTAATAATCATATACCATCAAGCAAGGTATTCTCCACCAATACCGTGGTGCAGTGGTTATGGTGCCAGCTCGAATTCCATTGATACCTTGTGAGGTCGATGGTTCAATACAATCAGGAGTCTCTTTTTTCTGTCAAAATAGTCTGGAAACACCTTGTTTTCTTCACTCTGAAAGTGAAAAGGACTCAAACAACGAGAGAACGCTCATCAGGCATTTACATATGGTTGTATGCCTGAATATATAGATAGCTAGGTACACATACATGCGTGTATATGAATACCAAATTGTGGATGGATATCGATTTGAGTACGCATCAACGTACTAGCGGCTGATTTTAAGATCGAAATTCCGGTGATGTGAGAGCTGCATGAAAGAGGATGGAAAATGTGGACCTCTTGAAAGGCACGCGAGGCTGCAATCGTAAATGGATGAACGATGTCTAGGGAGGATATCGTACGTTTATAACCCGTATCTTTAAAATTATGGATGAATTTTTGATGGTGGCTGAAACCTTATTGTCCATTTGCCTAAGTTGTACTATGACCTTGAGCTTCAAGTAGCCTTCTCTCGGTGGAACTTATACGAACTAGTGCGTTATGGGTATGGTTCTCTTTTGCACAGCATGAAATTGCGCCCTTTCGGGTTTGCACAGCATTGGTCCTCTTTGTCTACGTTGTTTAGCACCCTTGCGCATTTGCACAGCACGGAATATCATAGCTTCCCGGATTACCGGTTTTAGGGTGTGCGAAATGATACAAAATAGCTGTGGTTCTTTTGTGGTTCTGCAGTTCGTTCATGTTCATCCGGTTTCTATCCGGTTTCTACAGTGTCCATCTATGTTCGCAATTGTCCTGGGCATGTTTTGTCTTTTGAACGGCCGTCAGGTTCAGCAGACTTCTGCTGAGTCGACGGCAACCGTGTTCCATTGTTTTTATGATACTGCATTCAAACGCGATGATGCGGATTGACCTGCCACGGAGTTGCGGATTTATAGCCCGTTTGGTGGCCAGCCTGTTGCTGAGGGCGGTCTCGCGCTGGTCTTTGCCAAGTCGTCTTTTCTACCCGGGTCTACTATCCAACTCGATTCGCAGCCAGTCCTTTCCTATTCCAGGGGAACCCAGTGTAGCATCTTACTACGAAAAGGCACCCGAGATGCAGCAACCGTTACTTATGGCTGTCGGTCGCGTTTCAAGTTCCAAGGAGGTTGTCGACGGCACGGTGACATTCGACCTTACTATCCAGGAATTTGTCCACAAATATCGTTGTGTGTCGGTCGTGCAGTACGTGTTATACTTTTTGATTGTATCGTCTGATCATTTCCTAGCAGAGTGCCGAATGCGCCGAGGTAGGCACATACTCACGCGCCACAGGCCAACTCGATCGTTGCTGTTCTCGCGGTTGCTGCGGGCGTCATTGCTTCAGGCTTCAGGCTTGGTTCGGGTTCAGCTCTTTCAACTTAGCGTGAATATCGCTCCTGCGCCTGCCGTTTTCAGCGTACAAACGCGGAGTATTCAATCAACGGTGGTTTCGTTGCGCTTAACAGCATTCCTTCACGTGATGAGATGCTTCCCTTTATACGTAGGGTTTCCAGCCGTGCGCAGGAATAGGTTGAGATATTATAGTCTGTATAGGAAACATCTGCGTTTGCGTACTTGGGCACTGTATGATAATAACAATGATATCGGATGTTGACGTTGGATGGGAGTTAAGTTTCTTTGAACGCGAGTGCGTTTTTGCTTTCGAACACTGCAGAATACGCCAGTGTGTCTCATTGTTCATATTGATAATTCCGGAGCGGGAGCGAAGGGCCCGTCCTTGTGTAGACGAAGGATCTGAGCGAAACGAGGATGGCTTGCGAGATGAACAGCGTATGGATTGTCTTTTGGATTTCGCATAGCACCTTGGATACCAGGCTATCGTCTGCAGTTGGACGTACCGATACTATGATTATCCATGCCCACGTACTACGATGCTCGTGCTATGTCTCGCTGCCTCATTGTCAACGCGTGCAGCCATTGCTGCTCTATCACTCTCAACTGGACCCTGTCGCTGAATTTAAACAGTTCCATGCAACTCAGTGCATGACGCAGCATTGATACAAAGTACAAAAGTAGAAGAGAGCTGATGCGGTCAACATAGCTACACTACACTCCGAGAGAGAAGTTAAATATCGTGGTATCGTCGTCAGCCCGAGTCGCTGGAGTATCAATCTAATTCATGTTCACTGGAGTCCGAATCGGCACTTTCAATAGAGTCCGAATCACTCTTATTGGAGTTTCGATATGTCGAAACTTATAGTGTAGGGATGCAACGTTGGCGGACTCAAACACGCTCAGTCTTTGCTCAAGCACGCATAAGCGTGGCGGCGAGGCGACGCGCGGCGGTCACATCGTGGGATTTTTATTTTGTACACCGCCACTGACGCCGCGCCGCCCAGCCTGCCGCCGCGACTTGCCGCCTTTCCCAGATCTCGGACTTTCTGGCAAAAGCGGCACGGCGGACCAACGGCGGAGTTGCAGCAGTTTCGGACAACGCCGTCACAGGAGGCCAGTCCCAAACCGACCCCCCAAACCATCAGAAGCCCTCGAGTCCATATCAAACCTCGGCCTCAAGGCCTCAGCACTCAGCTTCAACTTACCGGCATCGCCGCTTATCTACTCGGATACAGAGAATATCATTGAAGATGGATCTAGCAGAGCGCCGTCATAGTGCGTAAAGTAAGCTCGCGTGCGTTCTTGTTTACCTTCATGCAACAGTTGCAGCAGCGTATCATATGGGTTTCCACCGAACAAGCCACTCATTTTCTGGAAGGAGACAGAACTTTCATCGTAAGGTATGGTGTGGGAGGTGCATCATTTCATTGTCACCAGTCTGGATTCACACGACGAAACCAGCTGCTTGGAACGTTCTAGAAGACTCCGAGCCTGGACTACTTGTGCATTGCGTCGGTCCTGAATTCGACGTTTTGATCCGCTCTGAAGCGTTACGCTCAAGGTCGAAGCGGATGGTTTGAGGGCCGAGGCACACTAGGGCGGACGGTCAGTCGCTCGGTAAACGTTAAAGACGTGCAATCAGAAACTCACTCTCGCTCGGTACATAATCGAGAGGTTATGACAAGCCTCTACTCCGCTGCGGTGTTCATTAGCAGTACTGTTTGGACAGCGCTGATCCACGTAGGTTTCGTTACCTTGGCTGAATATACAGTTGCTGCTTTTACTTACTTGCCGAGCTCTCATGCAAGGAATATACTTGGCGGTTTTCGCGAAATGTTTCTTGGGACTCACCCATGAGATGACCGTATCTACCGGGCCCCTTTCACTCTCCTATTCTTTCGACTAGGCTCGAAGCTGAGAATTAGGCTCTAAGTGGCTTTCTCCACACGGCCCCGAAGGAGCGTCCAGGCCCGGTGTCCTTTATCTTCTTCCGTTATCACGCCATACAATATTGTCACGCAGAAGCCTGGACATCACATGGCCCACCCCTGGGTGGACATTGGGTATATTAACAGCACTGTGCACCGCTTGGATGCCCAGAAACTCGTTGACCACGTCCGAATCACCGAGATGCTCTCCAGACTAGCTCTCTCCATGACACCTATGAACGGCCCCGCCGCTCATCGTTCGCAACTCCTCACCGGCAGCCGATCTCCTCACCCCGTTCAACGCATGCACACTGGCGCCAACATGTCAAACCATCGCGACAAGCTCGACTACATCCGCGAGCTTGCTTCTACTGGTGGTGTCCTTGAACGTGCAGTCTCACAGGAAAGTCGGCCTTCAGAGATGGAACTGACGACGAGGGAGATGACTGCGGCCTGACACCGGTCAAGGTCGATTAACACACAGGGGCTCGAGCAGTAAGCACACTTGATTGCTCATAGACGAGATACGCTCATTGACATTGACTTGCATTTAGCCAGTGAGAAGCTTGAGTCTCTGCGAGGCGAAACACCACACTACATCATTCGTCTATTGATGACAATCACGATTCTGCTCTAATCGGCCTGCGTGCGGTTGTCGGTTTTGACTAATCGGTATCTTACTACCATGCAGATGGTAGGCCTGGGAGACGTAGGAAGGCGCAACGTTTCTGGATACGCACGATATGCGAGTTCCTGCATGTCAACGCGAGGTGGCGATGGTAGAAACATATGTTTTATAAGGTTTCGGGCAGTATCACGTCCTATGTATTATAGGCGCAATGCGTATCGTTATTGGTTTATTTATCAGAGTGGTTTTATTATTCGCTCGTAATATTGCCACGCCCAACAATTGCTCGTTGAATAATGGGACGACTTGAGAAACACATTATTCTGGTGCAAACACAATCCGTGAATAATCTCTGGTAGTTAAGCGCATTACTTCTGTTCCACTGTTGACTTGCAATCGTCAAGGTTCTTGCCGGCGATATCGTCAGGCCCTCCGCTAAGCTCCGGCGTTGCACCACTAAAACGTAGGTCTAGAACGTGCGGTGCTGAGGTCTCGACAGCAAGTGCTGCCTCCAAGACTGTCGTAAGGAGTTGACTGTTATCTGCCTCTGAACCATCCCCACAGTATATGAGTCGAACAATACATGTCACGATCACAAACAGGTTGCATATAATCAACGAAAGCGCTGCCTGTCATACATCACGTATAAGAATCTTCCTTACAAGCTCATGAAAGGGGACATACCAAGACATGCGCGCCAAGGACGACCATTTCGTTGAATGGACCCATATCGTACACGCCGTGGAAAATGACCAACACGGTGATAACCATGGAAGAGAAGAACACGGCGTAGACGAGCATCCGTCGGTTCCGTGGCAGGCTGGAGCCTCTCAGCAGCCAGACAGGCAGCACGATAAGTGGGATGTCGGCGAATACGCCGGCTAGTCGGACCGAGTCAACAAAGGCGCACCCCGAGGATACTTTGTATGTGAAACGCGCACGGACTTACTAATTATTTGCATCAAACTTGCCGTTTGATCCGCGATACAGTGTCGATACTTGCAGAGGTACATCTGGCGCGCGAAGAGTGCGAGCCACATCAACACGAAAAAAACGGCGGAGACATAGGCAGCGCGACGCTGTGGTGACTTGGTGTGCGTGATGCGTATGAACGAGCAGAGGATGCTCATGCGTGACCACCTACATAAAGTCTGAGGAAAGCAGCTATCAAAAGGGAGATGGGTCTCGGCTCACCAAACAACGTTGTTCCACATACACGACGCCAGCCATGTCATGAACATGTACCTGCCTACGAATCCAGATACTGATATTCATTCGAATAAGGAGCTGTAAGCTTAAGCGCAGGTAGAGAGAAGGAAGCGACACGTACTATTATGCTCCCATAACGCCCATGCGAGAGCTAGACAGCACGCGTCGCCGACAAGCGCCAACGCAGCCCATGCGTCTTCCCACCACAGTTCGCGTCTGTAACCGCGATAGCAAAGCCGGAAAAGAGTGCAGATGAGAGCGGTAATGTGAAGGACGTTACATGCGACTGAACGCGGAGGTAGAAAGTATGAGATAAGTAATCAAGACGAGAGCTACGACCTCGGACTCACCAAGATCACCTAAAGTCCAAGTTACAGGGTCAAGCTGAGGCGGCTGCCGCATCTAGCACACGCAGCCTCGCCACTGGCTAGCTGGGGAGGTCTAGACACTGTCTGCCAGTGCGTTACGATGAAGCAAAACCTTCGAGAAGCCGGGATTAGCAGCGCTTCAGAAGAATGTGCAGGCGCACAGCGAGAAGAGGTCGCAAGAAGTATTCAGAGCAGCGGTATAAGCCAGTACTGTGAGTACGAGAGCTGAGAAAAAGCAGAACCAGAGCGACGCCGCATATATAGCGATGTTGAGACTGGTGCCGGTGGCTAGTGACTACTGTATAGGGGCTGCGCTTGCAGCAGAGACAAACACCGTGCGGCGGAGTGAGCGTCAAAGTGGAATACATCTAGTCAAGGCGAGAACCCCGACATGTTTGGCCTTCCGCGCTGTAAATAAATGAAAAGGAGAAAGTTCTTCCCGCAATTGGAGCCGACTGGGAATACGATTGGCTGAGCTTCCCGCCACATTTGATTTGACAAGGGTTCCTCGTCCCTGTGTCGCACGTTTCATGTTAACCTTTGCGCGCTTTCTAGCCAGACCTCCGCCCATCTGGACCTGGTGGGAATAAAATCGACAAAAATTGGGGTGTGTTTCATACAGCATCCCATTATCTTACATTAAGTAAATGTACAAGACCCTTAGCTTCCCATTCAACGATATGTAGCTCTGATTCGCTGAAACGTACTGTTGCCGTTTGTTTATCGTAGCCCCTGGTAATATTCAATCTCAACCTCAGTCGAAGTATAAATCCTCGTTCCATGACCCGTATTTATCCGCGGTATCCGTTAAGGTCTTCGCATTTTTTTCGCATATGTTCGAGCACGACCCGATGTAGTGCCAACCGGAGGGGGCCTCTAGGCGCGACAGGCGGTCGATCATACCAACTGCCTTCTCGGCGAGACTTTGACGTTATCATATGCCATACGCGTGCGAAAAGGACCTGGCTCAATGATTGTGATCTACGTATACAAAGGCGGGTCGTCAGCAACAAAAGGGGAGGGCGAGAGCGCTCGAAGGTGTAAAGTTCAGACCTTAATGTTCCATGAAGCCCCCTCAATTTCTGCCTCTGATAAACCCCCGAGTGCTAACAGATTATTAGTCCAAACGTACGGCCCGTTGATCCTGGAGAAAAGGTGGCTCGGCCTTACCAAAATTTCTACGTGGTGAATACTAGGATCGTCATGCTTCCCTTGCAACTAAGCTCAAGATTTACTTACGTTGCAGAATTATACACGTTTCCGGGGCTCACCCATAACGCTAAGAGGTGGATTCAACAAGAAGACCCCAGGTCTGTTGAGTCAGTCACGCTCCTTCGCACCCGTGACTTGTGACAGGAACGTCGCGCAAGGTTATGCGCCGCGTTATGTCACGTCACATCTGCGTCACCTCGAGCCCGAGACTCGAGTTAAAGCTCGAGTAGAGTATGGTAGTAGGCTGGTTTCCGCGCTGAACCCCACTTCGAGATACGCTGTAGCTATTTCATCCATGAACACAGAAATTAGGAAAGAAAGAGCTCACAATGCAGCTTTTATCCCCCTTCCCTCACCCAATTTTGCCCTACGAACACCGGTTCGAGAGCTTGGTGACAAAATAAGGGCTGTCTCTACCGGTTTGACCTTCAACGTCACATACTGTTATACAATTGTCGTTTCACCTATGCGTCATTAGTCTATTCTTACAGTATATCCGCGTGTATAAGATATAGTCATGCATCACAACCGGCCGCCCGAGCTCTACACAACTGCTGGAATGTCCTGGCATTCCCGTGGCGTCGTGGGTGACCACGAGGGTGAAGACGTTGAGAGTCTTGAGACCACCTCCACTTCGACACAGATATCGACAGCGACGTCAATATCGCCGACAGGGCGGCCTTGAACAGGACCGAAACTGTCGCGCTCGGGCCAGCCAAACTCCATGGGCGGAAGGATTGTGGAGACGTCTTGCCAACGAGAGGCCACGGGTACGTCTTTGCCGGTTATTTTGCGATGCGTTTTGGGAAGGCTTAGTGTAATGCGGGACATCATCGCAACGGTCAGCCTGTTCGAGAAGTTACGATCCGCATGAGAAACGGTGTGGTGACGCCAAGGTGAAAGGGGCACGTACGTGAGCTGTAGCCTACAAAGCGAATGTGGCGTTCGGTTGTGAGCCGAGAGCTACGATCGCGCGGATAAGATGTGGAAACTTACTGCCCAAATACGTTCCGTACTCCGTCGGGGGTTGATGACATCATGACAATGGACGCGACGTTAACGGATGTAATGACGCTACATCAGCAGTGGTGAGCTGTACAAAGCCTAAACGCGCCGATAGTGTGAACCTTACCCGTAGTAAAGCAATCCGTCAGTGAGCAACGCACGGGCAATAGTCTTGCCATTCCGAGCGGGGTGGAACGGTAGCGTGCGTGCGACGATGAGGCTAACTACCACAGTTTCGTATACGATCCCGAACCAGAGTGCTGCCGTTGAGAGAGCGCTGACAACAAGAGTATATGTAAGCCATGTGACATGGCTGTAGAGGAGAGGTGGTCCCTACTGCCACGGCCCACGGAAGATAAGTGTGCACGCTAAACGCGGGAATAAGCGAATGCTGTTATTAACCAACATGGGGACTGGCTCACAGTGTACTGCGGTGGAGTGGGGAACCGCTGAAGCAAGGAATTAGGGCCGAAGGGTTAAGCGGGCCGGGGGAAATTCACTCACGTCCACCGTATGCAACAACCCATCCCGAAACGGCGACCCATATGACGTAGAACGCAGCTAGTGCCCAGGAGATAAATCTTTGGGAATATAGCGCAGCCACCCTAGTCATATCCATGTGAGGTGTCGGCACGAGCAGGCAAAAACATGAATCGGCACCTTCTAAGCATCATGAGTGATGCGACGAGTATACCAAGCTGGGTCATAGCTCCTTCATATTTCACGAAATGTTCGCAGCTTGCAAAAGATTTAGGTCAGCATCACGTGGCGAAAGAGCGCAGTGGTGCTTACTCCTGTACGGGTAGATGCTTAGCGATAATGTCAAGTCCATTGAAATGGATACGCACTGTACTTGACCAACTGGGGGATATGTACGCTAGACGAAGCGGCTTCAGTCACAGCCCGGCCGCCCAGGACAAGCTATACGCACCCACAAGGTTGACGATGAAGCCGAGGGGTGTTATATAGCGGTTCTATTCAAGTTTTAATGAACACACTCCGAGAAAACGGGGAAAGGGCCTTACCAGTATGAACAGCCAAGACACTGATGAAGTCAGCGGGACGTCTACAAGCGAATTCTCCATATGTACTGCTTACTGAAGGTTTTGGGTTGCCGCCATATGAGCTCAACCTTCCGTAGACAGAGTCAGATGTGTCTCTTCTAGGGACGAAAGTTGGACACGTACCTCATCGCCGAACGTGATCATATGGTCCCACAACAAGATGGTGAACGCAATGAACCCAACATACTGAGCAGCTTCCGGTCAACAGCGTTCAAAGATCAAGTCAAGCTGAGTGCTCACGATGGTCACGATGCTTGAGTCCAAGTCAGAAAAGCGGTTAGCCTCGAACCGCCCTTGGAAATCGAGTGCGAATAGCATATACTCACGAATCCTGCTTGTCATTCAGTATAGCCCTCCAGACATCCTGTTCAACGCCCTCTCCGAGATCATGCATCCTCTCTCCTCATGTAGGGAATCGCACCCTGCCACGGCAGCGATGGAGGTATGAAACTGAGCGGGGCGAGAGCGTAAGGCAAGGAGGAGGGTAGGAGAGGGAGGGGTGTTGGCGCACGCCCCGATGCACATGCCCAACATAGCACTGTCTGTAATAGTTCAAATTACACTTGGAATAGAAAGCAAATTAAGGTACGGCAATCAGCGTAAACCGTATACCATAAAAGGAAGTAAAAGGCGTAATGCCATCATCCCGGAGCCCGGACCCTGGGTCTCTAGCCAATCGGAATACGTCCGTCGTACGCCCGGAGGAGAGGTGATGCGTCTTCGCGCTTTGCCGAAGCAGTTCTTTGTTTTTATCGCCCTCGTAACGTCGTCAGGACTTGTTCATGTGAGTCAAGTGCGCAGATTGCCGTCGGCTTTTAGAATATGATAGAGCAACTTCGTCCGTTTTTCTCTCTCTCCGTGGCTATGTTGTACTACGATAGCTGAGAAGCACGCATGAGATGACCACTGACAGCTTACCGTTACTAGGGTTGTTTCTGGGCGCTGATGCGCCTTGACATTCGGGGGAGGGTGGGTTTAGGCCAAGGTTTAGGCAAGCGTAAACCCGACCGTGACATCGTATAACTTTGAGTCGAGACTTCCCAAAACATGCCTTTTATTTTATCCGATATTTCTACCCCAGACAGACATGTACGATCAAGGACCCGTCGCGGCGGTGCGGCCTCCTTCTGGCACTGACGCAAACCATCATTGTGGGCAGAGTAAGCAGTGTTGTTATCTCTGTGGAATGAGGCGTTCTATACTGATGGTGCTTCTTCGTCTATGCTCACATCGCATCAAACCTGCATCAAGCCTGTAGCTCGTTTTTCTGCTGTGTCTGCACTTGGAACCCGATCTTAGCAACCGAGCTCCTATAACAAACGTTCTGACACAGACATAACTTGAGCCTGTTGTATATTCATGCAAAACTCAACCCCTTCGCGATGGCTATAGGCTGAACCATTTAGGTCCTCCCAGTGGACTGTCGACGTCCGACAGGTGAGACAACCAAGCAATATTCATTCTACCCATGGCTATTTCACATGCACATAGATGAAAGTCACCGCATAGAAGCATGAAGGCGTAACCCGTAATGAAGAGTGTCTCGGGACTATTCCAGCTCGAACTCGACGTCGATCCTCTTGCCTCTATACCGATCCCGAAATCCGGCATCATGTACATCCTGGACGAAGGAACAGCCAAACCTTGCGCTACATCACGAGAGTAACCACAGCGGGTGGACCTAAAACCCTCGTCCCATCGAAGGTGATTGTCCCAGTGACAATGTCGACGAGACAACTATGGTACCGACAACGGAATCTTGAGGGAAGTACTATGCCGCCGGAGCAGGGAAAGCCTCATGACATGCGGTACCCACTGATGGTTTGGAGAGTGGTCTCACTAATTGCGTTTTCGAGGGAGTACTGATGGGCGCATTGGGTAGCTCGTTCAATCCAGAACGAGCCGAGCAATACGGTACGGAAGGTCACGGTGCCGTGAGTAGCGCGACGTTGCGGAGATTTGACTCGGCAACGCGAGCGGACAGTGAGCATAGGATCCCCGGAGAGGTGTGATGCAGCGTCTGGGAGCAGTGGTATGGAGCATCAAACACGAGATCGCTTGAGTATCTCGTTCGATACATACTTGTCTTCAAGGACGTCGAGGACGATGTAAGCGATCGTTGGGATGCGGGCGAGATAGGCGCTCGGCTGAGTCGGCTCGGAGCATTGGAGTGTCGGGATGCGGAAGAGATCCAGCCTTCGCGAGCACTCTAATTTGTCGCCGACTCAACTTTAGTCCACGGTGACGAGATGGAGACGAGTGGGTTCAAGCTGGGGCCGCCGAAAAATGCAGGCGGAGGAAGATGATCATGGATCATACTTCTAGAAGTGGGTCCATGTGCTCTCATCACGACTTGACTGACATAAACGTTTAAACCGGCCACGCCATGATTCATACACGCTTCTTCGCTCTTTCATTGGACGACGCATCATGGTCGAGAAGAACGTCTACCAGTCAAGAACCTCCGCCGAGTACCACGCATCCTCTCAGCCTACACATATCCGTCAAACGACACAACAGAAACGGCTGGATCATCTGTCGAACTTCGTGATCCTATCCCCCGGGTACCGTCCGACTCCGTGTTTCACCTAATTCCAGCTGGGTGGTGAGTTATAAATACGTACCCAGGTAGACCGTCTCGGCATCCAATCATAACTCGAGGACATATGCAAGGCGCCTAATTATTGTCGTACTTATAGCGCAAGACCTCGGGTTCAGAACATGACTTGCGCGTGGCCCCCCCATACCAGCACTTGCTTCATCTCGCGGCAACGAGTCCTCGATGGATTTCACCAACGCTATCGACAACCATGATGAAGATATTTCGCTAAGAAACGTAACTCTACTAAACACAGTATGTCACACTGTTTATCACATTTCCACCACAGTCCGGAGTTGGCGGATTAATGACCATTTTCATCCTTTGGAACACGCGTAGTACGTGACGTGTGCGTACATCCCTAGAAGTGCCTCTCCAAAAAAGAAAAGCTTATGGCTACTTCAGTCGCCTACGCAACAATGCTGGTAAGAGTTCTGAGCAAAGTGCTACAAGCGCCCGCTGACGCCCGCCGTCCCGGTAGATATACGACACCATGACGAGCCTAGATCTGGAGGTCAAGTACGTCTGGTGGACGCAGTGGTCGTTCATAAAGGCACTGTACCTCTGGACGAGATACTCAGCCTACGTCAGTCCAGCTCTCGGGCTCGTATACCGTGAGTGACCTCGAAATGCGCTAGCCTTCCCCTCGTGATAATCAAATTCTTCTCGTTCAGTGGGATTCGCGCCTGGCCTTACGCCTCGCATGTGCTTGAACGCAGTGTCCGCTATGCTATGTGAGCCCATAGCACAGGTACACTCAACTCGAGCTAAATGTGACTGGTATCATCACGGCAGGGATCGACGCATGCGGGATCGCAATCTCTGAAAGTACGTCTCTCTCCATCGGCTCGACTCGAAACCACCCAAAATCGAACAAGGAACAGTCGTGCTAGCACTCCGAACGTACGCTCTCTGGAGTCGAAATCGCAGGGTAGCAATCGCCGTCGGGGTCGTGTACATTAGCAAAGTCATTGTCGTGATCTTCGCCATGAGCAAGTTCTTGCAGGAGACGCAGAGTAAGCATCAATTCTTAATGGTCTCTTATCCTACGGTTGTATAAACTCATGGTGGACTGAACTTGGTGCCCAGTCACTTCGATACCCGGACATCCGGGTTGCTTTTTCATTGGCAATGGCGTTTTGTTGAAAGTATGCTGGTCCATGTTGCTGTTTGGAGAATCAAGTACGTATCAGGCGTTGAATCATATGCTCGAGTTTCATGACAGTATTTTTATTCAAAGTATGGGTCACATTCATGCTCGTCGAGTCTTATCGCATATGTAAGTTTGCTCGCCGGGACATCACCCCATGCATCGATGCAATCACTAACGCCCGCACAGACAAAGAGATTCGGAGCTTCCCTATGCTGTTCAAGATAGTGTTGACCGACGGTAAGTCCACGAAAACGTCAGGTGATGACTGCTGTCTCACGTTAGCGATACGAAAACAGGTATCTTGTACTTCGTGCTGCTATTAGGTGCGTGTGATACCCCAAGTTCAGCAAGATATACCATGCATGGCTCCGGTTTCAGCTGACAATGATCTTAGTATTGGTTATTGTTGTGATCGCACCCGCACAATCGGTGCGCCCTTTCAAGACTTATAGGTGGAACTTCAGGTGAACAAAAATAACTGACAGACCCTCGCCAGAGTTCGACATTGGATCTGACGGTTGTACTATGCACGTAAGTGGTGACATCGACCCTAGCAAAAGCTTCTGATTCTCTGGTGACACTAGACCCGCCCGCATCATGTACTCCGTGTTCATCGCACACCTAATACTCCACGTCAAAAGGGTAGCTGACCCGGAGCTGATAACGGAAGCGAGCCAAGTGACCCTCAGCGTGACGACTTTTCGAGTCGCACGCGGTACGATCGCTAGAGCATGATGAACGTCTGCTGTCGATGGAAAGGTCAGTTACTATAACACTGCATTAATACGGGCTGATGGATGCCGACTTCATACGCCGTTAGCTTAATTATACTATGCAGAGTAGTCCAAAGTGTACGGTAGCCACTATGGTAGTACCCAGAAGACGTGAAAGAGATAATACTTGGAGGGCCGCAACTTGGTCGGGAAACTTCAAGTTGAAGACGCGCACCGTGACGGTCGATACAACCTCGATATCGAAATTTTCAATTTACTGTATAATGCTCTACCTGGCCACTGTGATGCTAATACGTGCCTACCCCTGCGGCCTGAAGCTTCAGGTGAAGTTGCAAGTTGAAGCATAGAACAGTCAACTACTAGTGACAGTCAAGCAAGCTGGTTAGTACTACCAGTGTCCGCCATAGGGCTATGCCATCTTGGACATTAAAATGAATAATCAAATCAAATCAAGCAAGTTGGTTGACTGCACTGGCGTCGTTTACGAATGGGCCTCGGAGAAGCAAACCACCTCAAGACCACTGTACCAACCCAGCCTTCGACTCGGCGCGATGCAGTCGAGGACGACGTCGAGTCATAAATAGGAAGGATGGTGCGCGAGCTGAATTACGGTTAAATCATGTTATACCATGAAACTAGTACCACGGTTCTCCTCAGAGAACAACACTTCATTTTGCTGCTGACAGGAGCTGACCAGAACACGATCCCACTAGACATCTAAAAGTAACATAACTGAACGTGGCTGGTGGTGACTGACATCGACAGATCACTAGTATCAGCGCGAATCTCCAATATGATATATGACCATCACACCAAACAAATTCCTCAACACATCACAATAGATTGCCGACAGTGCAACTACTAGAGCAGGTATAACAGAGACAAGTACGCGTACACAGCATTAACCTGTAATAGCATGGGGAGGACATCAAGTACCTAGACTATATATATAGTGATGTAGTACAGAACCGCGCAGCCGATCGACGGGCGGCGCATATATGCGTGTACGGCGCATAACGCCGTACAGCGAGATCCTCGAGCCAAGTCGAGGGGAGAAAGTGTAGGTGGATCTGCCAGAGCCCGAGGAAAACAAGACCAGCACGACGGGCATAAAAAGTAAGAAAGCTCCAAAGGAATAAAAAGAAAATCCATCGACGGGACCCAAGCCGCCGCGATATCATAACACCAGCTAGGCCGCGACAACTCAGCTGCTGCCCACCGCGCCCGTGATAGCATCGAGCAGGATATCATTATAATCCCCGCCCGTCTCATACAGCGCAAAGCCCTTCAGCCCCGCGCTCTTAATGTACGCGCCCTTGGCCGCAAACGACGTCGCGTCGTCGTACGCAACCATCACCTGGCTCGTCGGATCGTACACATACGGCGTCTGCGTGCACTCGTCGTACCTATACAGCTTGCCCTGCGCAACGGTCCCGTTGCCGTTCAAGAACCCGTTATCGACGAGCCCCCAGAACTCGTACGTGCCGCCCGCCGGCGTCGCGTTCCCGCACACGTCCGTGCCCGCAGCGCCTGCCCACTTGTCGCCGGGCGCGGCCTGGCCCTTGTTAAAGCTCGGGTACGCGACGAGCGCGCTGGCGTCCGAGGCCGAGGCCGCGCCCGTCGCGTCTTGCACGGAGACGGACCATCCGTGCCCATACGAGGGGACGCCAAGTACGATCTGGTTGGCGGGGAAGCCAGCCTGGGACCACGCGGCGACGGCCGAGACAGCCGAGCCGGCTTGCGTCGCGTTGGAGGGCATGCAGGTGTCGTTGAGAGGCGAGTTGGGGCCGACGACGGAGGACCAGCCGGGGCCATAAACGTCGTAGTTCATGATTTCTATGCAACGAGTTAGTAGATGCGTAGGACTAATTTCGAAATGCCAGCGTACCGATGTAATCAAGAACCGACGCAAACCCAGACAAATCGGTGACACCAGCCCAAGGCGTCACGCCCGTAGCGGCGGAAAGCGTGAGGTTGTCAGCGCCAGGCTGCTTGCGGAGCTCCTGGAGGAACGACAGGAAGTTCTGCGGGTCCTGCGTAGACTGAACGTTGCAGCCGATGCCGGCTGCGTTGGGGTACTCCCAGTCAAAGTCCAGCCCGTCGAGACTGTACTGCTGGACGAGCTTCATCATGGTCTGCGCGGCGGCCGTGCGGTTGCTGTCCGTGGCAAAGTCCGAGGAGAAGTATTGCGAGCCGGTCCATCCTCCGACAGTGAGAATGGCCTTGACGTTATTTGAGTGGGCAGCCTGGACGAACTGGGGAAGGAGAGTTTGGTCCGAGGACTCGAGGGTGACGGAGCCGTCTGCGGCAGTGACACTGCGGCGGGAAGATTAGATCTTGATCGGACTACAGACAATAGGAGGGGATTGGCGGGACGAAAAAGGGTACTCACGCGACGAAGTAGTTCATGGCGGTGTACTTGTTCCAGCTGATGTTGGAGATGGGGAAGACATCGGCATGGTAGCCAGCGAACCAGGCGAGAGCGACGGTGCCGTTGCTGCCACCCGTGCTGTTGCTGGGGGTGGTAGAGCCAGAACCCGAGCCAGAGCCAGAGCTCGAGGTGCCCGAGGAAGTGGGAGCGGGAGCGGCGGCAGTCGACGTCTTTCCCTTGGCCTTGCACGTGGGAGCGGCCAAAGCAAGGTTGAGAGCGGAGATCAGTGAAATCCAGGTAAAAGCGCGCATGATGAGGATGGTGATGCTGTGTGGGATGTGGGTGTATGTGTGGGATACCGGAGTACAATCAATGCAGCGGGGCTAGGGGTATGGGGGAGGGTTAAATGGGAGATAGCTGAGGTTGCTTCAAGATGTGGGTTTGCTAAAGGATGGACAGCACGACGGCTGGGTGGTACAGGGGTGGCCTGTGTAGGCGTGTTGATTGTACAGCGCGGCACACACGTGCGTCGCGAGGATGTGGTGCGGAAGGAGGAGGGGAAAGGGAAGCGGAGGAATGGAGGTGGACGAAGGTTTGCCATGGCGTTTATGTACCGTGTGTACGCGAGAAAACGAGGACGGGCGGGAAAGAAAGACAAGGACTCCAAAGGGATCATGTGGAGTAGTCCGAGTAGCGGCAAGTCGACGCACAACAATGGAAGTTCTTCTTTCCATAAATAGAAACTCCTTCTATTTCCGGCTGTTTGTTGTCCTTTGCATACGACATAAAGGGGCTTCCTCACCTCCGATCCCGTTTGTCTGACAAGCGCTCTGACCGCTCGGGTCTGTACCAAAACAATACACTCGTCCGCGCTAAAATTCCAGCCGACCTAAGCGACCCAGTCAATGACGTCCCCTGCCGCTGCATTGTGTATTCCCGTACTATTGTTTATCCAGCGGCCAGCCTTGATGCCATTCATCTTTGCCCGGGGCCATGCGCTACAAACTTCATATCCTAGCAGCCTACATCACTCGTCACCGCAGTTCATCGTCTAGAGACCTGTTGCACATCTCTATCCGTACTGTATTCAAGTTCACCGCGTCCTAGAGACCGATGCGAGGGACCGGTAGCTGACGGTTGCCAAGCGCTCGGAGCCGTCCCAAACCTTCGTTCTGTCATGTGCCAGTCCCCCGTCTTGAGCCCGAATGACAAGGCAAAGGTCGACGATCGTTCAACTGAAAAATGATCCTCCTTGAGCTCCACGACTCTCGAAAATGTGTCTCATGCCAGTAACCAACGATTTCCTTCGAGACCGTGTGATTGAGCTTGGATTGAGCACCTTGGTGTCGGTGCTCTGTGGGGAATCGCCCTTTCTTGTGCTGTTCTTAGTCAGTGATGGCCGCAAAACAGTGCTGAACATCATAGATGCCACTTTGAACTTTCATGGACATCTCCGGTAAAACACTGACGGCCATCGAGCAGACCGATAGATATGAATAGCACTTGTATGTACGCATGGCAGTAGCATGGCATTGCATCTCTCGACGCAACTCGCACGGCTGCCCGTCGAAGCTCGTCCTGAGCGCCGAGCAACATCCCGCACGCGCACGGCTTCATGAGAGCCTCGAGCATCCCGTGCGATATACATACGCTCATGTCGCACATCTCATTCTCCACCTTTTTCTCTCAGGCTAAAGCCAATCATGCTTGACGAGACGCACGTACAAGTCCCTTTAAGTTAATCATTTCACCCTCCTTCCCGAAGCCGAACACGAAATGAATGAATGCAATAAAGATAGCTATAATAACTTCCAACTTCCCGTTCAACCCTCTGGCCCAACGCAACAGCGATGCGCCAAACAAACACGGCGATGTTATCGTCGCATAATTTAGAAGCCCGCGCCACCGCGGATGGCATCCAGGAGGATATCATTGTGGTCGCCTGCGACCTCGTAGATCGAGAATCCCTTGAGACCCGCCGACTTGACATAGCTGCCCTTGGCCTCGAACGACTGCGCGTTTTCGTACGCGACCAGAATCTGCTGGCTCGGATCATACACATACGGCTGTTCATTTCACCCCACCCCACCACCAATCAGCCACTCACCCCTCCGAAGTAGAAGAAAAAGCGCACCGTCTGCGAACAATCATCAAACGTGCTAACCATCCCACTCGCCACGCTCCCATCATCGTTCAAAAACTTCGAATCCACCATCCCGAAGAACTCATACACCCCCGAACTCGGGTCCGCCCCGCCGTACGTGTCCCCCGGCGCGATCCCGTTGTACGCACCGAACGGCACGATCGTCGTCCCCGACGCGGACCCCGTCGCCTGCGTCTGCGTCGCCGTGTACCCGTACCCGTACGCGGGCACGCCGAGCACGAGCTGCCCCGCGGGGAACCCGGCGCCCGTCCAGAGTCCGACGGCTGTTTTGGCGGACCCGCGCTGGTCGCCAGAGGGCGCGCACGAGTCGTCCAGAGGCGCGTTCGGGCCGAAGACTTTGGTGTATGCGGGGCCGAAGGCGTCGTAGTTCATGATTTCTGAGTGGCCGGTCATGCGTCAGGAGGTGAATGGAGGGATAGCGGGGAGGGGACGCACCGACATAGTCAAAGACCTTTGCAAAGCCAGAGACGTCAGTCAGCGGCGCCCCGTTGGCGTCCACGAAAGGCGTGTCCGACACAGCGGCCGAGAGCGTGATATCGCTCGCACCATCCTGCTGGCGGAGTGTCTGGAGGAACAGCAAAAAGTTGGCGCTGTCCTGCGGCGACTCCGTGTTGCCCGACGCGCCTTGCTGTCCCGGGAACTCCCAGCTTCAAATTCCCAGTACACCGCGCCCGTCAATACTCTCTCGCACTACGACGTGGAAGAGACTACGCACTCAAAGTCGATTCCGTCGAGGCTGTACTGCTTCACGAGCGCCATGATGCTCTGCGCGAACTGCGTGCGCCCCGCGTCCGTCGCGCAGTCCTGCGAGAAGAACTGCGAGCCCGAGTATCCGCCGATGGTGAGCACCGCCTTGACGTTGTTCTGGTGCGCCTGTTGCACGAACTGCGGGAGCAGCGTCTGGTCGTCGGATGAAAGTGTGATCGCGCCGCTGTCTCCCGTCGGGCTGCCGTCCCACGTCATCACGTTAGTCGTGGAGGGGGGAAGAGTGGACAAAGGGGACGCACACGGAAAAGTAGTTGAGCGTCGTGTACTTGCTCCACGACACGCTCGACAGCGGGAAGTCGCTGCTGTGGTAGTTCGCGTACCATCCGACTGCGACCGACCCGTCGCGCTTCACGCTAGAGGGCGCGCCGAGGGCGGCGCCCGCGGCGGAGAGAAGGAAGATCAGGGGGAAGGCGCGCATGTTAACAGGTTATCGACACGGGCGGACAGGCGGGGCGGTGAATCGAGACTTGACGAAAGGAGGGAGGGGAGCTCAGGGAGGGCTTAATGATGCTGATCTCGACATCTTCCCTCGCGGGCTATTTGTAGTCCCGTCCTCTTGAGCACGTCCATGCGCAACGATGATGGGACTAGTCAGCTCGCCAAGGAAGCGCAGTGCAGCCGCATGCAGAGTTGGGCACACGCAGACGGATGACTTCTACCGCCCAGGTCCCCGCTCCCCAGACTGTCGACACGACCGCGTGCTCTGAGCCCGTCTTCGTCGACTCTGTATTGGCCCGGTGACCCACCCAGAAGACGCTATACAATCCAGGCGATTCCAGCTGTAATGCGAGTCGTGAAGACGAGAGCGTATACAGTGCATGAGCGGATTGCGGTAGGTTTCGGTGAGCTGGCACTGCGAGCGCATCTCAGCTGTAACCTGCTGAGACTACCCAGCATCGAAACGGCAACTCACCACAAGGATGGCTGACATCGTGACAACGCCTTCGCGTGGAAAGCCTCCGCGCAAACGCTTGGTGGCCGGGGTGTTCCCTGGTGTTCCAGTTCCTGGCTGCCTACGTGGACGTGGCGACGGTCGCTGGCAGATTCTGTCATCAGCGTCAATTGGTCGAATGACGATAGTAATGAATGTGCTCACTTTTCGGTTGCATGGTCTACTCTTGGTCTGTTCCGGTCTGCATGCTTGTAACCGCTGATGGTTTGTCCGAGCCCAGCAAAGTCAGCCAGTTGCCCTGTTGGAACACCGAATTCACGAAGGGTTTAGAGGGCTCAAAGGCTCAAGCCCCTAAGTGCTGTCGTTTCACACGTGGCCGCACATGTCGGGCGCTTGCAGAGGCTCGCTGCAGCTCCATTCGATCTCTCGTGCGTCTATCGTCAACTCCACGACACTCGCATGGATAGCATTTCCCAAACCTTTAAACATGCTATTTGAGTAGGTTTTATTGCTACCAAAAACTTCGCAACTGGGAGATCATCAAGTTGTTAAGGGCCCCTCCGTGAAACGTCTCAGACGACCTTGAAGCGCTGACAGGGTAATCACGGTCTCCCTAAGTTGACTAGCATTGAAAATGCCTTATACTTGCTGTATATCTTGACTGTTCTCGGAGACATTCGATGATGCAAACCAAGATAGGCACCGTAAGCGACGCATCCTCCAGGCGCAAATCACTTATTCGGCTTTCATTCCTCCACAATGCACATCAACCATCCCCTACTCAGGACCCTCATATGCCCACTCTGAACACCTTACCATTCTCAACCACTGGTCTCAAACGGAGGTGCATATCGACTGTATGGTAGTAATGTTCGATGAAACCGAGTATATGTTACAAAGAGAGAACGGGACTTATTACACCCACAGCACTATCTGAGATTGCGAGGTCTTATCCAGTATCTTCAAAGCTCAAACGACAATCTTCCTGAAAGACACATCCTGCATGACCCCGTCCCCACGCGCGGAAGCCGCAGGAAAAGTGAATGCACTCAACCCCAGCTCCCAGTCGTATGTGTTCACCCCGCTGGTGAGTTGATCGAGATCGACGGTGGAAAAGAGGGCCTCGTCGCCGTCCCAGTTCTGCTTCTTTGCCCTGCTCACTAATCTCCACACGAGCATCCCGAGCACCATCAGATTGGCAATGATCAGACTAAACCCGGCCTGAGACATTCGCCGTGGGCGTTAGCGTCGTGTCGATGTGATAGGGAAAAAATGGTTGATCAGGGGTTCTCTCACCTTCAGCTCGCCCATGAGTATCCGCTCGGAAGCAAGAGGGGCAGATACGAGGAAGACAATATGGAGAATCCCCGCTGCGGAGGTCAAGATGCCCATCACTAGTATCGCTAGCACGATCCCCCGCTTTCGGCGGGCGAGACTGGCGTTGCAGAGGATCCATATGGGGAGGGATATGAGGGAACAATCCGATGCAACGTCCGCTGTCGCTTCATCAACATCCCTTTCAACGGCGTGCTATTTCGCAGGTGTCACTCACTGATAAGCTGTGTGACCCAGACCGAGTCATTCATGCGGCATCCCGTCTCACTGCATACATGGACATTTACGGCGACAAGAGCGAGAAAAGCGGCCAGCGAGATCCCTGTTACGGCGATCGCGACGCGTCTTTGGCGGGTGCCGGGCATCGCAAGTCTGATGATGGAACATAGGATGCTCAGACGGCACGACCTTTCTAGGGGTGTGAGCACATCATCCAGTTGAGGATGCTGCCGTGACCCACCAGACGACGGTTACAACTGCTACAAGCCCAAAGTACGACAATATGAGCTTGGACATCCCCTCGTCTAAGAAGAATTATGAACAGAATCAAGTCAGTCGTAGAAATATGGAATAAAAAAAACACGACACAGTTGGCTTACAGACGTTTGACCAGACCGTCCACACCGTGAATACACATATCCCATCCCAAAGAAGCGCCAGCGCAGCGAAGGCATCTTCATACCAAAAGAATCTGGTGTAGCATCGATAGAAAAGCCGGATCACAGAACACGAGATGGCGATTGAATGGATGACGGTGACGGCGACTAAATCACACAGCAAACGGCGGTTCCGTTGGCATTTGTATGGCCAAAGCTGACGCCCAGACCAGATGGGGGTAGACCAGACTCACCTTGATCCGCCGTTGACCAGTGGATGGAAAGGACTGAGGGGGGCTCGTCCATCGAGAAGGGAGGACGAAATGTCGAGCAAGCAACATGGTCATGGGACGTTATCATCGGGGCAGAAACTTCAAACTCCCCGCTATCATTTGATAGTGCAGCTGAGCTAAGGGTCGTTTGTTAGTAAGGTGGCGGGCATCGCGCACACCTGAATTGCCAAATCCTTACTCAGACACCAGTCAGATCGTAGCTTCTTGTAGGGTGGCGCAAGGTGTTGTCCGTCCCCAGCATTTCACCGCAAGACAGACGTCTTTACCGATTGTCACAAAACGTCTCCCGAGGCTAGATGTGGTCGCATGAGCAAATTATTCTCAACTGTCACCCATATCCTGTGTTTTCTGTCGGAAGCCCCTCTCTCTCATACACCGCACGCGGCCATGCTCAAATCAGCGTGGTATTGTATCCCTTGAGTGCGTACTCCCCAAATACTCGTACACACCTGCTTAACCAACTATCTGCCCACCTCTAACGCAAATGGCTATCCTCGCACCCTGATGACTTTTTTCTTTCCTTTTGAAGCACCCATACCACCCATGCCACCCGCACCTCCGCCTTCTGCCTGCGCGTTCATACCGGCCTTGACGGTCTCGATGAGCACCCCACTCGGAAGGGCTGGTGAATACGGAGATACGCGCGACGCTAGAGACGGTAGAGGCGCGGGTGGGCGAGGGAGCCTTGCTTTCTGCACGTAGTCGTCCTGAGTTGATGAGGGCGTAGCAGACGCGACAGTGAGCGCGGATCCCGGTTTTCCCTTCGCAGGCTGCTTCCCCTTTGTGTTCGAGGACGCGTTCGACGGCGTCTGCGCTGAGGGGGCAGCGGAGGGCGTGGCCGACACGGGTTCTGATGGGATATTAGGGTCCCGCGACGTCAAGAATGGCTTCTTGGGGATGTTATCTGGCTTCGTCCGCTGAATCTGAAATGAAATCATTTCCAGAAGCTGCTTTTCTGTCATATTGCGATACAGTTAGCGACTATATCCTAGCTTAGAGCCGCAACTCTGATTACACTCACTGCTCGCGATAGCCGAGTTGACCAGCTTGCCATCCTTCCGCCACTGCACACGGACGCGGCCGGGATTCTCCCAGTCTCGGGGATGACATTTCTGCACTTCGTGTAGCGTCCCGAGGCCAAGTCGACTACACGCATCGGCAATGTCCTTGCTCAGCGGCCACCAGATGCTCTTCTCGCGCGATATCCGGCGCTCTCCTGTACCATACGCGCGCTTCGCGTCGATATAGATCGGATAGATGCATGTCCACCTAAAGGCGGAGTCGCAGGTAAACGTCAATAATCGTGCTTCGTGGTACAGCCGTTGGAAACGAACTTCTTGTAAGGGGTGATATCGGTAACAGTGTTTGCACCCCCTGCTCCTGCGCTCGACGCGGCAGTGGGAGGTCTCAGAAGGGACGCGGGCCCGGGCTGGGCCTGAGTGCTATCCGTCCCAGTGGGAATATCGTATTCATCGTCATCGACCTCCTGAAGAAGGGCCCCACGAGTGCCGGTGTTTGGTAGAGGACGGGAGGGAAGGGGGAGGTCGGTATCGTCGTCAAACTCTTCTTCTATCGTCGTTTTGCGATGGGACATTGTGTAGTGAGGATGCAATGTTCAGTGAGAATAAGCTGGAGCACCTGATGACTGTGGACAAGCTTTGTTTCGGCCTGAGGTGGGGTTGGTGTTATGTACGATGTCGCAACCGAAAGACAGGTGGACGCACTTCAAGAGGGTGGATCTCTCGTTCCCACGCGCTTTGTTCTCATCATCATCTCCCCCATCGCACGCGTTCATGCTCTCATGACCATCCGCAATGGCCTGACGTCCCTGGCCCTCTTGCTTCACCTGTATCTCATGTAAGTCTGACATGTGCTGGTCCTGGACTGTCTACCCATCGTCTTTGCGATATCCTGATTGTACAAGAGCAGATTTGTGCTATGCTGTTTTCCCCTCTCGGCCAACGCATTCGCCGCACATAGGACTCGACAAAGACATCACGGTCCCCGTGAAGCCGCAAATGCTAACACGGGGAGCCTTTTAGCTGCTCGAGAAGGAGCTGACGCGGCAAATGTGACTATAACATGCGTACCGTTTGGAGAGTGCGAGGCTTGTCCCGATGACGCTGTACGTCCCTGCATTCGTCATTTCTCTTGTCTTTCCCATCTTCTGTGTGACTGGATTCCTTACATCAAGTCATCATCGGTAGCTGCACGAACCCTTTTGCCAGCCCTTCGGCAACCGTCGCCTCATGCACTGCTCCCCCGTCTCCCAATCCACCACCAACACCTCCTCAAACCATACAACTACCGACTCAGCCCCCGTTCGATCAGGGAGCCCGCGACTCAACAACGGAAAATCCGCCACGCAGGGTGAGACACCCGCTTGGCAGTCCTGCGGGCGCATACCCTCTGTAGAGCGCGCCGACTTCTACGAGTTCTTCGCGTGCAACCTCTTCCTCGCGCTCGCCGCCGTCCTCACCGTGCTCGTGCGCACAAAGCTGGTGCAAACCCGCCAGGCGCGGAACGTCGCGGCACGCATCTGGGGTCGACGGTGATGTTTTTGGATTTATCAACGAATGCATGCCCTGCTCCTGCCATACATTTACATGCCCTATAGTGCATACATACATAGCTGTACAATATAGTACCCGACCTCAGTTTGCTTCCTTATACCAAATCACGTCGACTTATACGGCTTTCAGTATCCTGATAGACCTGGACTTCGTGCCACTTTCCCTAGTTAGACGGGGGCACGGTGCACGACGCAGCACGACATGACACGACGCTTATGTTTCTTCTGCCTGGACGTCTCGATGTTGAACATTTGAACGAGTGCTGATAGCATTGGCTATATGACACAAGCGCTTACGGTTTCTAGTTGTTAGGCTTTAGTCAAAGCAATATGGAAGCGTCTTACATGCTCGGCAGAGTCGTGCAAAGGTGTTCACGGGGTGCAACCTTACTAAGAACACTAGAGACAATATTGACTGTCAGGCCTGGTCATTACGGGGCATGAGACCAAAGTACATGGTTTAATATTTAGGAACTGTTAGCTGAAACGCTTTGAACCCGCCTTCCAGAGGCTCCGTCCTCGTCGTTTCCCTTGCTCGTGTCCTCCTCGTCCTCCGTCGCAGTGGTGTTGTGCAGTTGCTTGTGCGAGATGTGCTCTTCTCCTTTTCGCCTACCTGCCCGTGCAGAGCCCGATCGCGAGTCATCTGCCCCTTCGGAAGGAGGGTGTTCGTCTTCGTCTCCTCCCTCTCCGTGTTGCTGAGACGCCTTCGCGTCCTCGCCTTCGCCTTCGCCCTCTTCGTCCTCTTTCTCCGAGTATTTGTCCTCAAGAATATCTCCCAAGAACGCAGCGTGTTTCCGGTGCCGCGAGACGTCGTCCTCGCTCGTGTGCCTGCCCTTGGCAAGCCCACCGGCAAGGGCCCATTCGCTCTCGGTCCTGTGCGTGCGCTCGACCGTGTCGTCGTCCAGCTCCTTGTACGAGTGCTTGCGAGAGTGGTCGTCTGTGAGAGTGTGTGTATGCTTTGTTCTGTACTTTGCGCCACCAGTACCGCTAGAATGAGGGTAGGATGGATCGCTGGGAGGGTAGGAGGGATGGTCGCTGAGATTAGACGTCGGCTCGCGAGATGATTCGTTTGAAGCTGCGGAGTGTAGTTGAGCTTGGTCGAAAACATACGGAAGGACGTAACGTACACGGGGAGGTCAGGTCAGGATCAACGGTCGAAGAGTCATCATCTGTCACTGTTAGACATTGAGCTTAGTGAGCGACGCAAAGGCAGATGCGATGAGAAAAACGTACCTGGAACCGGAATGCCTTGCCCTTGCTCCTGCCCTCGATCCGGAGGAGGTGATGCCCCGAAACCTGCGTCGGGAGTACTTCCGGACGTACTGGGGATGGTAGCCGCTGCATTCCCAACATTGCCGGAATATGGACTCGAACCTGGGTTCGATGCAGGAGAGGTAGAGTCCGCCTCTGTACGACGCTCGTACGTTCAGTGACAGGTTTGATGAGAGAAAAGAAAGAGAAAACGAACGGGAGGCGCCGATATTTCCCGTGCTTTGAGGTCTGGTGGCGGAATGAGCTTCAGAGGTAGCGTCGGTTCCGAGTGCATTCAGCTCACGCAGAGGAGCCCCGTTTCCCAAAGCTTCAGTCACAGTAAACGCGACGCGAGATGAGGAGGGAGAACCATCCCTACCAATGGCCCCAGTCAGAGTGCCTGCCACCGGAGCACCAGGTAGATCGTCTTTGACATGTCCTAGAATATTGGCAACGGATGTGACATTAAGAGAGCTGACGTTGCCAGCGATACGAGTCAGGTTGATACCAGTGTGCGACAGCTTGTCCTCTGAGGTAGCGATGAGGGTAGGTACAGAACCAGCATGTCCCAGCACCCCGTTCTCGGCAGCAGCAACCTCAGAAGAGAGGAGACGGGTAGCATTTCCAAGCGTTCCGTCGACGCCAGCCAGCTCGAGAACCACAGAAGCAGAAGCAGAGGAGTTGGCGCGCACAAAAATGGCGCGTCCATTCGTCGCATTCTCGAGTCCAAGAGCACCAAGGACAGGGACCGCAACAACTCCGTCCCCTGCGTTAATACCAGATATCTTGAGGTCAGAGGAGGAACGCTGACTGATAGACCCTCCACTTCCGCCTACATGAACCATCCGCTCCACTACAGCAGCGCTAGCGTTCGTGCTGTTGGTGCCAGCACCAACGACAGCTCCCGGGCCGGGATCCACGCCGAGCGAGGTAGCGCTCTTTTTATCCGCGGCGTCGCCGTGACCATCACCGCAAAAGATTGAGCGCGCCAAGGCGATTCGAGGATCGTTGCTGCTGCCGCCATCCTGCTGCTGAGAGCACAACTCCACCAGATCCAGAGAGCCCATAATACGCGATAGGTCGTCACTGCCGCTACCGGTGGGGAAGAGTTCGCCGGGACCATTGGCGACATTGGGAGTCCGCTCGTTGCAAAAGAGACATATTGGCTCGGGCCCCGAAGCGGAACGCGAGCTAAAATGCGAACCGTGCGGAGGGCTTGGAGAGCCCAAATGCCCACCGCGGTGCCGCTGCAATCGTGCCGACACGACCGCGACGAGTGAGAGACCCAACGTCAGAGCGCAAAGAGGACGATGATGTGGGTAATAGGACGGCGCCAGAGGACGCATTGAGGTAGTATGGTGCAGAGAAGATGTTCAGCGTGTGCTATAGCGATGTGAGGTGGGGGAAATCCAACGGTGGTGAGCTCAACAGAGACGAGAAAGGTGGAGGGAAGGGAAGAGAGGGTGCAAGGTTCAAAGTGGTGACCCGAAGAGGAGATTCGGAGGATTCCAAAGCCACGCTGGAAGTTCTGGTATTCCAATGGTTGTGATCGACGTTCCAAAAAGTCGGTAGACTCATAACCGAGCGCTGATTCGGTTGAAAGCATGAGCTAGTAGCTCGAACAAGTGGATTAGATGCTGACGTTGTCACGCACATGTCGAAAGATCCCCTCTGAGGTCAGCTGTCGATGGAATAGTACATGAGCGTAAGCGCGGCGCCCTGGTCTGAAAATTCGCGCCAGCCATGACACTTCTCACGTTTCCCGCCCTCGCCCGTGAATGAAATCAGTTTTTGCCAGTGTCTATTTGTTTTCGGCAAGGATTCGAATGTTCAAAGGTCCCCTAAGGAAGACATACCGATCCGAAGTTACTGAGAGAAAGCAGAAGACGGCATGGATATCTGGTCTCGATTCTCGGAATCCAATGGAGGGCCCGGGTGCGATGAAGGCAGAGAGTATAATGTTTAGTGAGCAAGTTTTCGGATATCACGTTAGGGCCGGTGTGCCGTCACCAAGTCAATTTTGGGGCGTTGTTGAGAAAGTAACTCAATAAAACTGAACCTCAATCAAACGAATGCTCATGCTTGCCAGGGCCATTTCAAATGAGAGAAAACGAGTGGAAATTCGAATAGATAGAAGGCAAAATGGTACAACTCAAACGCTATCAACAAAAGCTCTCCTAGTCTTCAGCCGGGTATGCACCCGACATCGTCTAGTTGCCCCAGCCGAACCAGCCGTTCCTGCCACCCTTCTTCTCATCCCGGTGGAAGGCGTCCTTCTCGGCGAAGTCCTTGTTGACGAAGTCGTCCTCGAACTTGCGGTCCTTCTCAAAGTCATCGGCCTCGACCTTGTTCAGAGACCTGTGCTTCTCGTGCTCAGCCTCGAACTTGTGCTTGAGATCGAATTCCTTGCGCTCAGCATCGACTGCAAGGTTAATCCTGTTAGTTGAAGAAGAAGAACGAAGAGATAGAAGACAAAACGTACACTTTTTGACACCACCTTCGCTACGCTTGTAGTACCCACCACGGTTGACAGCGTCCTTCTCGGCGAAGTCCTTGTCGACGAAGTCCTCCTCGAACTTACGGTCGTTCTCGAAGTCGTCAGCGTGGATCGCGTTCAGGGACTTGTGGTGGCTGTGCTTGGACTCGAACTTGTGCTTGCGGTCGAAGTCCTTGCGCTCAGCGTCGACTGCAGATAAGATGAGCGACAGATGGATAACAAGTAGGCAGAGTGAGACTCACACTTCTGGACGCCACCTTCGCTGCGCTTGTAGTTACCGCCGCGCTGGAAGCCGCCCTCTTGACCTCCGTGACCGAAGTCTTCGTGCCCGTACTGGCCACCGTTCTTGCGGAAGGCGTCCTTGTTGGCGAAGTCCTTGTTGACGAAGTCCTCCTCGAACTTACGGTCGTTCTCGAAGTCGTCAGCGTGGATCGCGTTCAGGGACTTGTGGTGGCTGTGCTTGGACTCAAACTTGTGCTTGCGATCGAAGTCCTTGCGCTCAGCATCGACTGAGAGGAAAATATTGATTAAAACAGTGACGCAGGAACGAACTTGCACTCACATTTTTGGACGCCACCTTCGCTACGCTTGTAGTGGCCGCCACGGTGGACGGTGTCCTTCTCGGCGAATTCCTTGCTCGAAAAGTCCTCCTCGAACTTGCGCTCTTTGCCCTTGTCGAACGCGTTCACCTTGTCGAAGGCCTTTTTGTACTCATGTTCGTACTCAGACTTGTGCCCACGGTTGAAGTCTGCGCGCTCAGTGTCGACTGTAGCATATGAAAGAGGGGTTAGCTCCGATCAAACGCATGGCGGTAGAAAAGAACGTACCCTTGCCAACGCGACCAGAGCCGTGACCGTGTTCGCCTCCGGAGTGCTTTCCTCCGTGAGCGAAGCCCTGGGAGTACTCGCCTCCCTGGTGGAAGCCCTCAGCGTGCTTTCCTCCGTGGGAGAACCCCTGGGAGTTCTCGCCCCCGTGGCCGAAGCTCTGGCCATGCTCGCCGCCGAAGTGCTTACCGCCGCGCTCGCCACCGTAGCCAAAATCCTTGGAGTACTCGCCTCCCTGGTGGACGCCCTCGGAGTGCTTTCCTCCGTGGGAGAACCCCTGGGAGTTCTCGCCCCCGTGGCCGAAGCTTTGGCCATGTTCGCCACCGAAGTGCTTGCCGCCGAAGTGCTTGCGACCGTTGTGGCCACCGTTCTTGCGGAAAGCGTCCTTCTCAGCGAAGTCCTTGTTGACGAAGTCTTCCTCGGACTTGCGGTCCTTCTCATCGTCGTGTACCTCGATCTTGTTCAGGGACTTGTGGTGCTCGTGCTCCTTCGCGGACTGGTGTTTGCGGTCGAAGTCTTTGTGCTCGACGTCGACTACCAAAACAAATGTCGTTAATGAAAGATTAAGCACAGAGAAGGTTAATTAACACTCACGCTTCTTGACACCGCCGTCGTTGCGCTTGTAGTTGCCACCGTGACCGAAGTCTTGGCCGCGCTCGCCGCCGTAGTTCTCGCCGCCGTGGCCAAAGTCGTTGTGTCCCTGGCGACCACCACGCTCCTTGCGGAAAGCATCCTTCTCAGCGAAGTCCTTGTTGACGAAATCTTCCTCGAACTTGCGATCCTTCTCGAAGTCGTCGGCCTTGAGGTTGTTCAAGGACTTGTGCTTCACGTGCTCGGTCTCGGACTTGTGTTTGAGGTTGAAGTCCTTGTGTTCAGCATCGACTGCAATGTTTTGGTCTATGAGCTGAAGGAAGAGGCGAGAGAGGACGAGACGTACATTTTTTGACACCGCCTTCACTGCGCTTGTAGTTACCGCCGCCCTGGAAGCCGCCCTCTTGACCTCCGTGACCGAAGTCTTCGTGCCCGTACTGGCCACCGTTCTTGCGGAAGGCGTCCTTCTCGGCGAAGTCCTTGTTAACGAAGTCCTCCTCAGCCTTGATGTCGTTCTCGGAGTCGTCGGCGTTGACCTTGTTGAAGGACTTGTACTTAACGTGCTCCTCGGCGAGTTTATGCGCACGGTCAAAGTCAGCATGCTCAGCGTCGACTAGCAAGAAGGTCAACTCGCGAACTGCAAAGCTACACGGACACTTACACTTGCCAACGTTGCCACTGCGACGAGTGATGACGCCTTGGTTGGTGTAGACGGGGGTCACGCAGTACGCCGACCCCTGCGTCGCCATAGCCTGAGTGGCCTGGCAATATTGGAGCAGACCGGCGAAGGTACCGCGCGAGAGGCCACGAGGAGGCTGGAGGTTGCCGTTCTGGAGAGCGCTGAGGGCCTGTTGGCTATCTTGGTAGAGCCGGTTGCCAATCACGCATCCGTTCGTGTTACCACTCGCGGCGGCGCTGGTGGCGACACTCGCGGCGTAGGCGGTGCGATCGTTCTCCTAGAACGTAGACGAGGTGAGTGACGGACGAAAGATGAGCAACAAGGGGCAGACTAACGGTGGGACGCGCATAGGCGGCAACGGCGAGGAGAGTGATGTAGAAGGCTTGCGAGAGAGAGACCATTGTTGAAATTAAAAGGAGTGTGTGGTAGTAAAGTGTGACTAGAGGGGAGAGATGTTGCTGGAGGACAATGAGGAGAGCATGCAGCCTTTTATATGATGCTGAAGGGCGGGCGAGTATTCCACTCTCTAAGCTTCTGAAATCAGCCAAGGCAATTTGGACGCCAAACCATGGCCAGAGCTACAAAGGAATGCAGTCGGGGTGACATCGTGAAGAACAGAGCCATGAAGAAGCTCAAGAAGTTTACCGGCTTCGAGATTGGCATGGAATCGCGCGGCTTCCTCGACTTTATCACTCCGTCTGTCAGATTGCAATGTGAAACAGCAAAGACGCCGCGTTTGCTGGAGTTCTCATGAAGATAAGCAACTGCTAACCCGCAGGCCTAGGAATAGGCGATGGCATGCCTAGGTCATCGCGTCATCGGATAGCCATGGGAGAAGCAAAGAAGCGAAATGGATAGGGTAATGCGCATTCCAACGGTGTTGCATACGGTTGAACAGACTTGTCTGGGTGGATGCCATGGCTGGCGTTGGCGAACAGCGGTGACAGCATCGCGACTCGGGCGATGGCATGACGGAGCCAGTTCGGAACGTCGGAATCCGGAATGACCATTTGGGCCGCAACACTTCCCCAAGTTGAACTCCTACGAGCACTGGCTGTACTGGGCCTCCCTTGGGCCCTTGCTATCTTCCGAACGGCTCTATAGACTCTAACGTACACATATCCATCAACATTACATCATAAGGAACTCGCGAGAACAAACCCTATACCCCAGAAGATCCAACAAGTGAGGAGCGACTTCAGGGGGTTCTGGACTAGAGAGGTACGTCTCTTCAGTAGTGAACCACCCCTACGTTCTTTCCACGTATGCTCATCCTACGTCGAGACCATATATCGAACGATGCCCTATAAGTGCAACTCTTGCCCGGGGCGTGCCTTCATAGACCGGCATGCGCGAGACCAACACGTACGCGCGAGTCACTCTGCGACATACGAATGCGACTATTGCAACAAACGGTTCATGACTCCCGAGGCACGCTCCCAGCACATTAACCATAAGCACCCTACCGTTGAATTCCCCCAGTGCAACAGCGTATTCTGGACAGTCGAAGCCAGGGATCAGCACGCCTACGACAAGCACCCCTCCTTCGAATGCGCCCGCTGCGGCAGAGCCTTCCGGACTCCTGAAGCGAGGGATCAGCATGCCACCGACACACACCCGACCTTCGAATGTATCCATTGTGATAAAGTATTTCGGACTGCTGAAGCAAGGGATCAACACACCGTCGACACACACCCGACCTTCGAATGTGTCCGGTGTGATAAGGTATTCTGGACTGCTGAAGCAAGGGACCAACACGCCTCCGACAAGCACCGGACCTTCTCATGCGTCCACTGCGACACAGTATTCTGGACTCCTGGAGGAAGGGACCGACACGCCAGCGACAAGCATTACGTCTATGACTGCGACTATTGCGAGCTCGCATTCACGACCGCGGATGGGCGCGATCAGCACACCGAGGACGAGCACTTGACGTACTTTTGTGCGTTCTGCGACAAGACATTCAATTCGTGTCAAGCTCAACTTCAGCACCAAGACGCCAAGCACACCGTCAAATGCCACGAATGTGCCCAACAGTTTACATCTATCGAGGCACGCGCCCAGCATCAGCGGGATGTTCATTTGGGTTACTCGAGTCGGTCCCGACCCACTGCACTCTTATCGTTCCATGCCACCGGGCTGGCTGACTCGTATGGGTATTCACATAAGGCCGATGAATCTACAGCGCAGGCGGAAAGCCTACCTGTTCTCAGTTCGGACTCGTACGTCACCCAGTCTCCTCAATGTACGGCTCCTCTTAACCCTCTATCCGCGCAGTGCCTCCTCCGGAGATGAAACACCACCACCGAGGTCACCAGATGACCCTTCGCACGTCGATGAACCGGAGGTCGAAGAAGGAGGAAGGGAGCTTCCCATTCGTTGCCCTGCGTGCGAGGGCGGGGCTGAAGTGCTCTGCAACTGCACCGTTTGCAAGCGAACGCAACCACCCGCTTATCTTCAGGTCCTTGGTGGTTCTGAGGGCGACGCTGAGGGTTCTGAGACTGAGGGAACGATACTCGAGCCAGAGGAAGATTTGAGCGTTATGGGACTGTCCACGTTGGAACCGTCTGCTCGGAGCATGAGGTTGATGAGCGACTATGGTACCGATGCTGAAGAGGACGCCGAGAAACTTCGGCATGAAATGGTGGTGAGTCTTACCTTGTTCCGCATAGACGTTTCTGATGTCGAATGTTGCCACAGCGAGGAGCTAGGGTTACATTCGTCGATGTTGATGACCAGTCCACCGAATCAGATTCCGAGGTATGTCAAGCCCTCCCAGTCATTCGCCCGCCCTAGCTGAGGGATGTACGTACAGAGCGCCATTTGCGACTATTTGGATCACTCCGTGCACTCCATGACGAGAGCGTCTACGGTTGCCTCCAACCGATGCACCGTCGGAGACAATCCGCACTTGTCCATCCTCACTGAAGCCGATGCCGACGTTCAGAACCACGGGCGCTCGCGCTCAAACTCTCCAGTGCCACAGCAGCACGAAGAAACATCCAGGTTCGCATGTTTGCAATTCGCCTTAGTACTTGACCAAACGCTCACATATCATTTGCCAGCCTTCGTAGCAGCACCCCTGATAGCGTCGGTGTCAGTGCCTCCGTCGCCCCTCAAGGATGTGACGAGGACGCAGATCAGCTGTCCTCGCCCACTCCGTCCGAGTGCGGCAGCGTCCGGGACCTCATTAATCTCGGTGGCGACGGCGACACCCGTTCGGAGTCCCCAGATGCAGCTGCAGATGGTGGCGGTGGCGTCCGACCTCACTCCCCGGACGGGCAAGATGAATCGGTGTCGGCGCTTGCAGTTGTAGATGGGAACGCGGTTTCAGGCGCAAACCCCCTGAGGCCCGGCCTGGATCCGGGCCCGGTCCCGCCGCCCCGCTGGATGTCCGCTTCGCCCGCTCCGGACTCGCCCTGCTCGACAAGCTCATTCGACATCCTCTCGCGGTCGAGGTACGTCCCCAATCGCTACTGCACCTTTCGCATGCGGGGTTACTTGGAACCCCGTTGAGCAACGGGCGCTCACCTCATGGTTGTCTAACTGACCACATTGTTTCTTTGCTCTTCCCATACCCGTCGCTCGGCGCACATATGACATGTCAGCTCCCCGTCGTCCCCGTTCTCGTCATCCTCCGTTGTGCTCATCACAGCCGAGTCGCTTCCGCTCTTCGCGCGCGAGAACCGGCCCTACCTCGTCGCTTCAAGCGGCCCCGAGGGTCCGCGCTCCGAGTCCTCGACGCCGCTCCTGCTCTCGCCCGTCGCGTCGAGCATCGACATGCCGCCGTCTCACCTCGCTTTCGACCGGCCCCTCATGCGGCCGCCCGGCGTGGTGGATGACCGCACGGAGGAATGCTCCGTCTCCCAGTGCGCATGCGAGTCCGAGTCTGTGTCTGTGGCCGAGACCGCACCGCCAGCTGCTGGCTCCAGACTCAGCGTGCACTGTCGGATGTGCGGACGTGACCCCTGCGAAGAGGTTACCGCGACTATGTGCGGGCACTTGTTCTGCAAGCAGTGAGTGAAGATCGCGCACTTGTAAGACAGATTGAGCGCTTGCTGACTTTGTTCTGATCTGCTCTACTCTGCAGGTGCATCACGGAGGAGGTCATTGCGCACTCGGCATGTCCTGTGTGCAAGCATGCGGTTCTCCTGTATTGCCTCTTTCCGATCGACCTCGCCATTTGATCGGCACGACGGAGAACTGAACATTACTACCCCATAGACTTGACGTTCTCTCTGACGCTTGCTCATTCTTCTTTCTCATTCGCTGTACACTTCGCTGTCCAATCACTGCCGCTTTCTTGGATCACACTCACGACATCACCCACGAGCTTCAAAGTTAACTTCATCACTGTATCACCATCTCTGTCGATCGATCATGCCTCCGCACATACATACATAACTACATCATCATGTTTCTGATCTGTCGTCATCTCGCGTATATCTCTGTGTACAACAACGTATATAATTTGCTATCGACCTCCTATGAAAACTCTGCTTCTCGTAACGTTTGATGTGATGATGGGACGACCCGGTGAACCCCTATCTCGGGCCCAATGGGCGTCCTCGAGTATCTAAGCCAGCAACGGTGGCATACAAACTATACAAAGGAAGCTATACCCCGCATGGAGTCTAAGGCGAGTTACCGACATCATGTCCACAGACCATGGGAGATCCCTTACGGCATGCTATACTTATGGGCGCGCAACGAAAGGATCTTTTCTTCCTGCTAGGGTTCGTGAGGCGTGAGGCCAATTTGCGAGGAACTAGCTAAATCAAACTGAACATACGCCAGTCCAGGACATACAGTGTCCTTGTCAATCGGAGCGGAGGCACCAGGCAGGCGGCGCGTAGGCCGCCGTAATTCAGTACTGTAGGCCTTTAGATCACTGTTTTAGGGTCGAAAAGGTACAGTCTCCGTCCTGAAAGGTGTAGGATGCGACATAGGATCCGTCGCGTGGCTTCGTATTCTCGAGCATCTGGAATGTTCTGTTCGTCCAATAGCACTACCAAGTGTTAAAGTAGCGGTAATAGCACGTCGGGCGCCGGCCCCACCGTCATAACCTCCAACTCTCTGCTAGCCCGCATTCCTCTACCCATATGTGTGCTCTGAAGTTAAGCAGAAGACGAATCAGTGACATCACGCCGAAGACTCATGACCTAGATAGAACATTCCAAGACGAGCGTTCTATGTTTATAAACGCTGATAAACACTTTAGACTTACCGGTACGGCTTCCCCGCCCTTCCACTAGGAACCTCCTGATCGCCGACGAAGGTTGTTTCATCTGACAAATATAGGCGTTCGTGTGGTTTTGCTTTAGCATGACGACAATGCGGCCACAATCCAATGCGCGACAGGATGTAGGTCGTGAATATGAAGGATTGATAGTCATGTACCTAGGTCTGTTACTTTCATCTGCTGGCGTAGCCGACGGAGATCGACTCACCCCGGACCCAGAGGCTAATCATCAGAAAGGCAAGAAGCACACCTTCGTGTTTACGAGCTTGGCAGGGAGATCCCAGGAACATCCGGTGACTCGAAAGCCACCAGTTCTAATATTACACGCCCCACTGCACGGCTGCCTTGAGCGTATCATGCTCCTTACTCGTTGTTTCATAGTAGATAAATGACCCCGCCTGCACATGGCGAGGCAACCTTGGGTCGTCGAAGGCCTTGTCTTAACCTTGCAAGCTACCGACGGCATATCATGTGCTTACCTCGGACGCAAAGGTGCTGCGCGAATACCGTAGACAGCTGTAGACCTAGATTCAGCGCACTGCCAGAGAACCCGGAGAGGAGCGCCAAATCGGGACGCGCAACCGAGGGAGTGGATGCCCGTGTGTTGTGCACATGTCGTATGCAGAAGAAGGCGCCTCCTCGCTGGAGCTGTTCCTGAATCCAACGTTGAAGTACGTTGCTTAGCTTGTCATATGTACCCCTGGAAAAACATCAACAAATCCGAAATAATCGTAACAACGCTACACCCCGACGCTACGGTATGGGTTGAGCCCCCAAACGTGGTAGACGTACCGGCAGCATCTGTTCCGCTGGAACATGCGGAGAACACGCCAAGCTGCCACCTGAAGTATCAGTAACTCAACCTTCGAAGGGAACCCAATAGCAATCTGCTTATTCGCTGTTCAACGTTCCAAGAGTACACTTCATATTACTAGCAGCATAGTGAATGGCAATGAAAGACGTACCGATCAAACTCGGAAGAGCGGCGGGCATGCGAAAAAAAAAACGCAAAACGATACAAACGCAGCACAGACCTGTGGCAACTGGATTCCCTTTCTTGCAGTCGGAGCCGCTGACTTGGCGCACTTTGAACTTTCGGCATCAGCTCTGCCTCAAGCTCAGCTTGACAGCTCTGGGACCCAACAGCTGCCCTCGAAACGACCCGCGCTCACATTCTCGCGCTGCAACGAAGACAACGATGATTCCGGAACCAAGCGCATCTCGAGCCGGTGATAACACGGGAAGAATGGATCTTCGGGGGTGCATGGGTGGCTCCGAAACTCTCCGAAATGTGTAATGAGGCTCACACGCCGGTGACAGCGACGCATCGCGTGTTATCTGATAAAAACTTCATGAGACGATCTTGTGCAGACGCTTACGAACAAGTCTCCATTTGACCAATGTGGTGCCATTTCGCCGAGCCATCATGCATCATTTTTATCAGATAACGCATGGCCCCCATTGTGACGACGGTGATCCAGGCTCCATTCGGCCGCAAAATCACTCCCAGGATGATACACGCGCTATCTGATAACTCTCCATGACGTGATCTTGGGCTCGTTGGGGGTGCCTTGTGGGACTTGGCACATGAATGGAGCCATCACCCACATCATTTTTATCAGATAACTAGACCACACTCCGACAATGTCGAACCTCAGCTCTTCGAGTCTATCTGCGGCAGCCGGTCCTCGTTACCTGACATCCGATTTTAGCATGATCACCACAGGCCACTAGGTTTTCCGCAGAAAAACCTCATATTTATGATTAGAATCTAATAAATCCTTTTTATCAACTGCGTTCCTGGATTGCCCACTGATCCCCACCAATATTAAACCGAGGACTCGACATAGGCTTCCAAAACATTGGCAACGATCGAAACTTAATTCTTGGGAAGGTGAGATAGTCATATGCACAACGGAAAACATGCCATAGTTCAAGCGGCTGTTGTAAGGCCCTCAGGAACGGAGAAGCGTCGACTCCAAACGGGTCGATGTCTCAACAACTCGAACCCGATGATCTGCTCGGTGCGGTCCACCCTTCTGATGGGCGTTCCGAAGTAAGCGTCACCGCGGAGGTTCCTGGAGCTCGCGTGGATGAAAGCTTCTCCCGGGAGGCGCCATCGAATAACTACGACCCGAGAGCGTTTGACATTGGCCGAGGGTGCGAAGAAGTACAATGAACGAGAAATGCCTGTTAGTGATACTTTGTTGAGCAAACGTAACAAAAGGTCACGATTCAAGGCACGCCTTTCTCAACTAACCTTCAGATTGTTAAAGACGTTATAGGCCGAACAACAAATCTTCATCGTGAGGAAAAGTTTCTCTTCGTCATTCAACAATATTTCACTCGACGAAACAATGAGTCAATAGGCGGCTGACTTGATATGAAACTACCACCGTCCAACGATGCTACACGTTCGGCCGAGTTTTACCTCTCAAATTCGAACCATACCGAGTCGTACGACTTTGGAAGCATACATACCCGAGACCAGCTTCTAGCTGCCAACCGTGTCCGAGCTCCGTGGACCCGAACAGGAACAACGGCTTTGTGGTGACCAAGCAATGGCGCACAGACACGAGGTAATGGGGCATGGAGCATGTGGAAATCACCTTCGCCAAGTCCGATAGTCTAAATTCAACGCTTGGTCGGAGTTAGCAGGCCTTGACAGAAAGCAGGGAGCTAAGGCCCGCCCGCGGCAAATTTGCGGGCAAGGAATCTAGCGAAGTCTTTGAGAGTACTTTGGAAAGGAGAACTTGAAAGACGTGCATTTAATGGTAAGTTTGTCAGCGTTCTACGCTTTGCTTCTTAGTCAGTTTTTCATAACCCCGGGTACAATGTTGTAGGAAACGACTGGAAGTCGGACGGGGAACAAGCTAGGGTTTCAAGGAAGCGCATTTAGCGCAAGAACGAGCTGTGGTCACTCAGAGACACAGGAGATAGGCATAAAAAAATTTCTTTCTTAAGTAACTGTAAAACAATAAGACTACGATACAAGGGCAACGAAGAACAGCAACAAAGATCGGAGTACAACTTTAAGTAGCTATTAGCGCTAGTCCGCTCTCGCAAGCAGACCGTGAAAAGAAGTAAAGAGACTGCCGTAGTCAGTTTACTTCGGGAGGCTCTTCTCGTCAGTCGACTCAGAACTGGCGCGCTCACGCTCCTCGTTTGCACGGCGGCGGCGCTTGCCAGCCGCGGACTCGAACCAGAAGATCTTGGTGCGTCCCTCTATGAACTTCAGACGCACGAGCGCCGCGATGACGGCCAACCAGTAGAAGACATACGAAAGCACGCTTCCCTCTGCAAAGCACCCGTTAGCCACTAGCAATCAGACGTGTAGGAGAAAAGAATACTGACGGGTAGCAGAGTTCTGCCAGCCAAGGATAGCGTTGAAGATGGAGTACCCTTGGGACGTCTCGGGGTTGCAGCAGTCGAGGTGCCACACGTTACCGCGGACGTCGTACGAGCCGGGGCCGTTTCCGCCCGAGTCGTCAACGTCGGCGCCGAGCAGGGTGTTGAAAGCGTTCTCCTGGAAGGACCAGACAGCCTTGGAGAACAGACCAGCTCCAATGAGGAGGATGAAGCTGGTCATGATGATCAGGAACATGCGCAACGCTGAAGTGTGACGTTGAGAAGAGGTGTTTTACGCGTCCATGCGAAAATAAGCTTACTGGTACGGCTAGCGAACTGGTAGATGAGGAAACCAGAGATCAGACCGCAGATGAGACCAACAATGGCGGCAATGGGGATGGACGTTGCCGGTTGTCCTAGGGAGACACCACCGACGAAAACGACAGCTTCGATACCCTCACGAAGGACCGTAATCATGGGCAAGATGAAGAGCACCCATTTCCCAGTCTTCGTGCGACCGTCGACATCTGCACAAGTAGTCAGAAACCAAGACGCGTGCGAGAGCTGTCGAGAACATACTTTCGCCGCTGAAAGAGCGCTGCAGCTTGACACGCCATTTCGCCTTTGCGCGGTCCATTTTTAGCATGGTGATTCCCATAACGAAGATCATGAGCGAAGCAATAAGCTCGAAGATACCTTCGGGTCAAAGAAGCACGTCAGAGGGAAAAGAAGAACAGGTAGAAGGATATGACCTCACCTTCCCACAGGTTCTCGGACTTGGTCCACAGGTCGGCAGCTTCGGTAAACCACACCGCGATGAAAGCGGCACCGATGGCGATGGCGACGAGGAGACCAACCATAGTGCCAAAGAAAATCTATGCATACAATCAGCCATGAACACGGGATAAAGACGCGTCAGAGCGTACCTGGACGCGCAGCTTGCGAATGAGGCGCTTCTTCGAGATGAGCTCGTCTTCGGCTGCCGGGACGGACGACGAGTTTTCCGGTGACGCTGACTCGTCGTTATCGTCGCCCCCTACAGTGACATTATGGGTAATGGCTGGGCGCTGGGGTTCGTCACGGAGGCCAGCGAGTCGGTCTGGCTCCTCGTTTACGATTTGCTCAACGAGACCAAGGAGGACAGAGACGATGACAGCGGCCTCGAGAGTTTCACGGAAGACGACGATGAAGATCGAGACCGAGAAGAGGTTCTGTGCTCCCATGGCGGCGGAGAGGAGGCGTCTGGCAGAGCAGGGCGCTGGGGGAGCTCATTTTGCCGACGGGAGAGGGATCTTATAAGTGAGGAGAGAAGGTGAACCGGAAGAGTGGACCAACAAAATGGCACAAAAAACATATTCTTTCGCTAATCAGATAATTTTTACCTCCGAATACCGGCCGAATGGGAGGGAAAAGTGTCGGGAGCGAACCTCGTTGGGTTGTCACACGCCATAAAAGGGACAAACCATTATCTCGGAAGCGAGTGCTACCAAATCTGATAAGATGCTGGTCTTACCACAGTTCCGGATGTTGCCGTAGTGGGTTTGCTACCAGTCTGAGGAGATGAGTCTTCCTTACTTCTGGGACAGGTCTGCCTTGCATCAGCAGCGACGATGGAACATTCTCCTCCGCCACCATCCCATAACTTCGGTCTCGTACTCAATGCGCGAGCGGTTAATAAGAGGACGCATGACTTGGAAGGTTTGCGTGGCGGTTTGATCCAATTTACTTCCATTTGGTAAGCGAGCCCTGAGGGGGATCTCAGATTCCGTCATCGTCCATTATCTGATAATTTTTCTCGGCTGATGGCAAGGGTCGGTCGCTTGGGTCCAACACGCCAAAATGTCTCCGAATCCGAAACTGAGGTTCGCAACACCACTCTCCCGGCTTACCAGATGCTTTTAAGCCGCCTCCTTCTTGAGCGTCAAACACTGGATCCGCACCCCTTCTCCTAGGTTCTCCCCCACCCACGTACTGCGCGTCATCCTCACCGACGCGGTTTTTGGGACGACAATGGCTAGGCTCAACCCATTTGTGCTTTTCCTCGCTCTCGCATCCCCGGTCATCGCGGGCGTCCAAGATGTTTGGTGGAACATCACCTATGTCGAAGATGTCAACCCAGATGGCCTGTATCCCCGTCGAGTCATTGGCGTCAACAACACCTGGCCGTAAGTTTCAGCATGTTGAGAGGGAAATTTTCGCTTACATTTCCTGAAATGTAGCCCGACGCCCCTGAACGTACAGGAGACCGACTCCCTGGTTCTCCACGTCTTGAATTCCCTCGACGTTCCTACTACTGTGCACCACCATGGGCAGTATTTCAACTCCACGTCGTGGTTTGATGGTGCTCTTGGCGTCGGACAATGGTCTGTCGTCTGCCGGTTTGCCGTGTGTTCACTCCACTGATCTTTTTATTCGTGTAGCGGTATTCCTCCGGGGCAGACATTTGACTATGTCGTGCCTATCAACAGCTCGGGTCAAACCGGCACCTACTGGGCGCATGCTCACGCAACTGTAAGACGTACTTGAGTTTACGACCTGGGGCACGCATTCTAACAAATTGAATCTGACAGGGTCAATATGTCGATGGTCTTCGTACTCCACTCGTTCTGCACCCTACGCAAGAGCACTACCAATATGACGAAGAGTACACCATTGCCATCAGCGACTGGTATCACCAGGAACATAGCGTCTTGCTTGCGCAGTTCGTCAATATCGCAAACCCAGGTGGCGCGGAGCCCATTCCTGGTCAGTACTGAGCGTATCCCATCGTTTTGATGACAGAAACTTACTATCGCTATCGTGGCGCGCAGATTCAGCGTTGATGTACTTCGCACAGAACACGACCTACCTTCCGCCCATCTCGGGGACCCACCCAACGGGTCCGACAGCAGGTGTCGGTTTCAACGAGAACGCAACTCTACCATTCGAAGCTGGCAAGACGTATCGTCTGCGTGTGATCAACATGAGCGCATTCGTCGGGTTCTACTTCTGGATCGACGGACACAATATGACACTCATTGAGGCGGACGGCGTGAGCCCCCATTATCCATTATCTCTAATAATCTTACTCATTGGACGGGTTGCAGACGTCCATCCAGGAGTATCCGACAGATCAGGTCATGTTGTCGGTTGCTCAGAGATACTCGATGCTCGTTACGGCACGCAACGACACTTCAGGAAGCTGGGCCATTCACTTCAACATGGATACGACCATGCTGGACACGGTCCCAGACGATCTGGTTTATAGTACGCCTCACGCACTTCTCCCGGCTTGCTAAGGCTCAATCAGAATCCTAGATCTCACCTCATCCATCTCATACGGAAACGAGCCAAGCACGCCAACCGACCTCGGCTTCGTCGACAGCTACAACTACCTCAACGACACGCTCCTCACGCCAGTCAACACCGTCGCGCAGCTCCCGCCATCTTCGGAGACGCTCAACCTCACGTTTGAGTTCGACACAATGAACGACGGAACGAACCACGCGGTGATCAACGGCATCACGTACAACACGCCGCTTGTGCCCGCTGTGATGTCCGCACTCAGCCTCGGTGACAATGCAACCGTCCAGTCGGCGTATGGCCCGTCAAGCTTTGTCGTGCACCACCTTGATGTGTATGACATCCTGGTACATAACAGTGATACGGGAAACCATCCATTGTATGTATTCCCGCTTGACTTTTCGAGGGCCGACGCTCAGTCGCTGTGTAACATCCCGCAGCCATTTGCACGGCCATACCTTCCAGGTCATCAACATCGCCACACAATACAACGTTAGCGACCTGAGCCTCAACCCGCCCGTGCAGGAGGGCCAAGCTAACCCTATGCGCCGCGACACGATCATGATCCCCGCCGGAGGCTCCGTCACGCTCCGCGTGGTCGCCGACAATCCAGGCGTGTGGTTCTTCCACTGTACGTACTTCTTCTTGTCCGCCTTTCCTCTCCGCTAGACCTAGATATCGCTGATCCTGACCCGCTTCGTGACCAGGTCACATCGACTGGCACTTGTCCACCGGTCTCGCAATACAGATCATCGAGGCGCCGCAGCAGATGCAGGAGCGCGCTCAGGGCATCGTACCCCAGTACATGTACGACCAGTGCCAGACGCTCGGTACACCCTACCAGGGCAACGCCGCCGGCCACTTCTCGACGACGGACCTATCCGGATGGTTCCTTGGGCCGTACGAGCAGGAGCTCGGCTGGCTCAAGAAGGGCATTCTCGCCATGTTTGGGTGCGTCCACTCGTTCTTTCCTTCGTGTAGCGATCTGGATAATCTGATGATGTTGTATTCTCCCCATTATAGATGTGTCCTGACAGCCTGTCTGGGCATGCTCACCGTGATGTGGTACTCGCTCGGCACCCAGTTCACGGACGAAGAGGTGGAGGAGGCAGTCAAGGCCCGCATCGAGGCTAAGGCGAAGCGCGGCAAGCTCTTCGGGCTCATCAAGCCCAAGCAGGACTAGTCGGTGGCGGGTTTTGGGAACGTCTTGGTTTTTTTGAGTTGATCAGCCTTCACTCCCTATGATAATGATGTGGCATTCGCTCTGAACGCTTTCAAAATGTAGATTTATGAGAGTCCATTCGACTTCTTGATTAATGCAACGCTGTATCACTAGAACCTCGATTCGAGACATCGTAGGCAACCTGGAGGGATGACCAATCTTTGAACACACCGCCATTTTAGCAAACGTCGCTGATGCCTTACTTTTCGCCGCCATCGAATGCACAAGCTGCAAAGGCGTAACAATACTGGTAAAACCAATCGCAAGCTTTTATGGCATTGCAAACGGAGACTTGTCTCCTTCAGATATACCAAAATATAAACGGAAGACCAAGCTTCTTGATATAATCTACAATCCTTAGAAGCATAATCCACAGCCTTAGAACCGTCACTGGGGCTGATGCAGACGCTCGAGTCCAGCTGTCGCCTGACTAATTCGCTGTTGGTTCTTCTCCGTAATCTTCTTATCTAGCGCTTCTTCCTCTGGTATGTTCTCCGTTGCGCTGACGGCACCCCACGCGAAGTGAAGCGCCCGCTCATATTGTCTGACGTTCAATGACATCTGCGACGCGTTTCCCAGCGCGATTACCAGCAGTCTTCTCGCCCCACGAATCTCAGTCGTGTAGGTACCTTCCGTGTGCGTATCCAGCGCAACCAAGGCGGCCGCTAGCTCGGCGCTGCTCGCGAAGGCTGTGCCCGCGCATAGATACTGCCAAGCTCCCTTCTGTTTCGCAAGCCACTTTCGCCCCGTCTGCATTCGATCCTTCAGACGCTCCTGAGCGATTGTGATCACTCGTCGGATGACGCTAGGGTGGGTGATCTGCTGAATATGACCGAGCGAGGTAGAAGGTGAGAGGCCAGGTGGGGCGTGGCGCAGAGTTTGGATGCCGGCCAATGCCTTCCGCTGCGCCAGGACTACAAGTAAACGGATTAGTGCGGTTGGGCCAAGGATATTTTCGGGTGCAACCGTCAACGGAAGCTCAGTGTAGTTTCGTGGATCATCTTCCCGCTGGGGGTTTCGGTTGATCTCTTCGATATTTTCCATAGTGAGTGACCTGTCCTTTGGAGTGAAACAGTCGGGCGGAGATTTGCATTTGCGGCTCGCCTGGTATGCAACATGGAGAAACGATTCGATCTGCGCATTGGTGATACCGCACGATTCTGCTGCATGCGTGAGAGTGGTAAGCAATCGTAAAACTATGATTCGACTCTTTCCTATTGGCGATCAATAACAGTGTAACAAAAGAGCAAGAAAAAGGGTCCCACATACCGCGGTTCTCAAAGAGTAATTCGGTTCTTTCTTCTGATGGAGGATATATTGGGTCGTAATTTTCGCTCGCCGTGGAAAAGTACCTAAGTAGTTTCTGTTCAAGTTGATTATAGGCAGATATAATACGCGACACGCACTTCATAGATCTCTTTATGTCTTCTTCCTGTAGTCGCATCCATACCTCGATAAGCCTCTCAGACCAGTCCTCACGAGACATGAAAATGGAGACCGCCTGCAACATGGCCTTCCAATCCGATGCTTTAAAGGACTTGTATGTCGGGTCGGATAAGCCGGGAATAACATGACTTGGCCACTGAAACAGCAGAACCAGCGTTTCTCCTGCGAATGTATCGACCTGACTGTTAGGGAACCCTGGCCGCCGCTCAATAATCATGCAATCCAGTAGAAGATCAATAATCTGAGGTTTATCCTTGAGGATGTCGAGGCAGAACTTCCGCGATCTGAGTGGCGATGTAGCGAGGAGACTGTGAGCTGTCAAGATGGCATTGACTTCGCCTATTCCATGCGTTCGAGGGTACGATTTGTTTGCCTCGTACTTGGGGAGCTGCCGAAATATATACTTAGCACGTGAAATATATTATTGACAATCATATGTCCTACTACGTTTTGTCTATTCGCGAAGATCGAAATCTGCCATGATGTATTGGGGTTAAGTAGTTGCGCAACAGAATATTGCGGTTCCTTGGGGGCCTTTAGCACGAACATACAAGCCCTCTCAATGACTTCGGCAACCTCTGAAGACGATAGCTTGTCCTCAAGCCGAGATTCTTCCACAAGTTTGTATAGGTTGTCTACGGCAACTTGTCGTAGGAGACATAGATCGTGTTGCATATTCTGTACGTAAGTAGCAGCTTGAGGCTACTGTTTGAAGGACTAGAGGTAAATGCGAATAGACTCACCCTTAGACATACCGCCACAAACCCCTCTCGCACCAGCCTATCCAATAGTTCCTCTTTCTCGGACTGATCGCCACTCTTTAGTAGGTAGCCAAGCGAATCCATTGCATAACATTGGGCCACATATTGATCCTCGGGTAAAGGTGAGTCTGCTTGGGCAATACTCATCATCGCTTCGACCAGCCCTGCTCTCATGCAAGCCTCTGCGAATGGACTGAAGCTAGTTTTGACCTCCGCTTCCATCGGGTTTGGTGCAAGTTCTTTGAGTGCGCGGCATATGTAAATCTAACATTGCGGATGGGCGGAAGCTTATTGGGTATCGCTAGAAGTAAGGGTGTATCGAAGCACTTACTACATAATGCTCGATAAAGTCCAGATCTTCTTTTGGATCGAGGAATCTTTCGAAGATCTCTCTCAGATTTTCTGTCAGTTGGGGCTCAGGAGCGCGTAACGTTTCAAGGACATTGTCCATAGTAATAACCATGGTGGGAGTAAGTGGGGTTGCGGGATCAAGCTGGATATGAGCTCCGTCTCCCCCACGACAGCATGGAATTGTCAACAGAGATCAACAGGGAACACGTTCTTTCACGCCATCAGATAAGGCGAACAGGTTTCTATTTGCGCTCGTTTCGACTTTTGGCAGCATACATGCTTGATTCAGATTAGGCGAATGTTCTTGTAAATACCTCGCAAATTGCAGCACTCCGTCGTCTACGGTGAAGAGGAGCATCCATCAGTTTATGTGGGAGATAATCAACAGTGACTCACTCCGGTATGATACTGAGTACGGCTGAGGTGACCGCTGGATGTCAGTCATGATTGTATTTACGATCGATGCAGAAGTCCATTAATAATATCGTTCGCCTGCTCAACTCGTTGCCTGGGCCCTGTTCTTCACCGTGAGATCAGAATCTAGACCTTCCTCCGACGGAATGTTCTCCGCTGCCGCATCAACACCGCCCTGTGCAAATTATGAAGCGCCTGCTAGCAATGCTTGAGGTTGAGGGCCATCTGCGCAGCATGGCCCGGGGCGACCACGAACTGCTTCCGCGCCCCTCTAATGTACGCCGCCCGGGGAATTTTTGGCTTCGATTCGATCCGCCTTCACTTCGTATGATAATAATGTGTTATTCGCTTCCACTTCTTTCAAAATGTAGATTTATGAGTTGATCTGACCTCCTGATCAATGTAACTTTGTATCACTAGGCTCTGAATTCGAGACATCGTAAGTCTGGCGGGATGAACAAGTTCTGGACTCACCACCATACTAGCAAAACTCGCTGATGTCATATTGACCTTCGCCATTGAATGCACAAGATGATAGTGCGTTGATGTTTTCGCCCTCCTCAAGCCTCAAATGTTTCTCCCCTCGTATAAAGTTTTGAGTAGTATCTATCGAGTATACAGTAAGCGTCGTACGCGACTTCTTGAAGGTACATTAGCTGAGGTACCAATGCTGGTCACCCAATTACAGGTTTTTGTGGTACTGTACATTGAAAGGATGATCGCTCTCAGATAGGTCAAAAGATAAAGGGACGACAAAGCTATTTCAATATAATCTACAATGCTAAGTTGATGCTAAGAAGTACAATCTTACGACGCGGACTGCTGACTTTCAATGAGACTGTTGAAGGCGCTCGAGCCCAAATGTCGCTTGGCTGATTCGCTGTTGGTTCTTCTCCACAAGCTTCTTGTCTAGCCCTTCTTCTTCTGGGATATTCTCCGCTGCGCTGACAGCTCCCCACGCGAAGTGAAATGCCTGCTCATACTGTTTGACGTTTAGTGACATCTGAGACGCGTTTCCCAGCGCAATTACCAGCTGTCTTCTCGCCCCACGAATCTCAGTCGTGTAGGTACCTTCCGTGTGCGTATCCAGCGAAATCAACGCAGCTGCGAGCTCGGCGCAGCCCGTGAAGGCTGCACACACGATATGGTACGCCCAAGTCCCCTTCTTCCGCGTGAGATTCTCTTGGATCATCTGCATTCGGTACTTCAAGCGCTCCTGGGTAATCTTGATTGTCCGACGAATGACGTCCGGGTGGGTAATCATTTGTATCTGGCTGAGGGAAGTGGACGGAGAGAGGCCCGGCGGCGCATGGCGCAGAGTTTGTATCCCGGCCAATGCCTTCCGCTGCGCGAGAACAGCAAGCAGACGAATTAGTGCGGTAGGGCCGAGGACATTTTCTGGGGAGATCGTGATTGGAAGTTCAATAATATTGAATGGGTTGTTTTCCAGCCGAGGATTTCGAGTTATCTCTTCGATATTCTCCATGGTGAGTGCCTTGTCCACTGCATCTAAGCACTCGGGTGGGGACTTGCATTTGCGGCTCGCGTGGTAGGCAACTTGAAGAAACGACTCAATCTGCGCGTTGGTGATTCCACACGACTCTGCTGCATGTGTGAGAGTGGTAAGAACTCGTAGGACTGTAATTCGGGCTTTTCCTATAGGAGAGCAATAGCATACGTGTGAAAGGGTAGCATGAAGTAGTAGGTTTTAACATACCGCGGTTTTCAAAGAGTACGTCCACCATTTCCGCTGTTGGGGGGTGTACTGGATCATAGTCTGTACCCGCGGTGTAAAAGAACCTACACAGCTCAGTTTGTTAAAACCGGGAAGGAAGAATGACTCGGAATTATACGCGCCTCATAGACTTCTTTATGTCTTCTTCCTGTATTCGCATCCATGCCTCGATAAGCCTCTCAGACCAGTCCTCACGAGACATGAAAATGGAGACCGCCTGCAACATGGCCTTCCAATCCGACGCTTTAAATGATTTGTATGTCGGGTTGGATAAGCCGGGAACAACATGGCTTGGCCACTGAAACAGCAGAACCAATGTTTCTCCCGCCAACGTGTCGACCTGACTACTAGGGTGCCATGGCGTTCGTTCGAGAATCATGCAATCCAGCAGAAGATCTATTATTTGTGGGCTTTGCTTGAGAATTTCGAGGCAAAACTTCCGCGATCTGTGTGGGGATGTGCAGAGGAGTAAATGTGCCATCAATATTGCGCTGACCTCGCCTATACCATGAGTTCGAGGGTACGATTTCTTCGCCTCGTACTTCGGAAGCTGCCAGGAACGTATTTAGCATGCAGCGCCGTGCTTGGAAGTCAGCTCACATTTTGTCTAGCCGCGAACACCTGGATTTGCCACGACGTGGTAGGGCCAAGCAGTTGTGCGATAGAATATTGCGGATCTTTGGGGCTTCGTAGAATAAATAGACAAGCCCTCTCCATGATCCCTGCAACAACGGCAGAGGATGGCCTGTCTTCTAGACGAATGCCCTCCACTAGTGTGCGCAAGTTATCGACACCAACTTGGCGCAAAAGACATAGATCGTGCCCCATGTTCTATGAGAAAATGAACAAAGCGAGGTGAATGTTTCAGCATCGGATAATGACCTGCAGCGAAACTCACCCGCAGGCAGATAGCAACAAAACCCTCTGGCAATAGCTGTTCCACCAAACTCTCCTTCTCAGATTCATCACCGCTTTTCAGTAGGTAGCAAAGCGAGTCCATCGCGTAACAGTGAGAGATGTATTCCTCCTCCTGCGAGTCTAGGGACAAGCCTATCCGAGCCACAGCCATCATTGTTTGGACAATCCCTGCAGTCAGGCAAGCCTGCGAAAAAGGACCGAAGCTAGTCTTGGCCTCTCTTGCTAGCGGACTAGGAGCCTCCGCCTGGAGTTTGCGACATATAGAGACCTGACATTATAGATGAGCGTCTATCGACAGTCGTAATGGCGTGAGTACTATGCAATGCTCACTACATAGCTTTCGACGAATCCGATATCCTCTTCCGGACCGGGCAAGCGCTTGAAGATCTCTCTAAGGTTCTTGGACAGCTGGGGTTCAGGAGCCTGTAACGTTTCTTGGACGTTGAGCCAGGACGTCCGGTACTCCATGGTGCATGCAAGTAGGGTAGCGTTATCAAGATGGACGCGAACTCCAAACCACGGCGGCAATACACGCGTTCCTTTAGGACGCCACCCCGCTATCGCCGGATAAGGGAAAGAAGCGAACTGATGCAGACGTTGGTTTGCGCTCCGCAGCAGTTGGCACAATGTAAAGCTATAGTTAGTCCAACTTCGTTTGTCTTTATCATACAGTACATCGCATTTATGATCCACTGTAATTCTGGGACAAAAGCACTCATCAGTCTGTGCGTACGATAGAGACGGATAATCCTCACTACATGATAATATACATAGATCATCGTTGGGACAAGGAGACTCCAAACATGAACGTACCTACGATCGATGCCGGAGTCCATCGTTCGCCTGCTTAACTCGTCGCCGGTTCTTCACGGTGAAATCCGGGTCCAAGCCTTCCTCCGACGGAATATTCTCCGCTGCATTAATACCACCCTGCGCGAAGTGAAGCGCCCGTTCGTAATGCTTGAGGTTGAGGGCCATCTGCGAAGCATGGCTCAAGGCGACCACGAGCTGCTTCCGCGCCCCTCTGATCTCCGTTGCGTACGTCCCACTTGTATGAGTATCGAGCGCGATAAGTGCTGCCGCGAGCTCTGCAGCGCTCGTGTACGCCGCACAGGCGTAACCGTAGTCGTCTCTCTGGAGCATGAGACGCTCACGACCCTTGTCCAGCCGTGCACGTATGCGCGAGTGTGACATCTTGATTATCTGGCGAATGACGTCCGGTCGCGTAATCTGCTTGATCTGAGCGAGAGACGTCGAAGGGGATAGGCCGACAGGCGTATTCTGCAGTGCCTGGATGCCCGTCAATACATTTCGCTGCGCAAGGACGACAAACAGGCGGATGAGTGCGGTAGGGCCCAAGATGTTCTCAGGTGCAACAGATTGAGGATGTTCCGAGTTCTTTCCGGTGAAGACGGTCCACATTGGGGAGCGGAAGGTTTCTTGCTCGTTCTCAATGGCGGTGAAGGTCGCCTCGAGGCCCAGGCTTCGGTTCAGGGGTTGCACCTTGCGTGAGCCACGATAAGCGACGTGGAGGAAGGACTCAATCTGGGCATCTGCGATGCCACATGAGTCTGCTGCGTGAGTGAGAGTCGCGATCAGGCGTAGAGTAGAAATACGTGAAAAGCCTGTGAGTCACGAACGTTTAGACGTCGTGTATCCGGTTGGACTAAGCACGCTGCGTACCGCGATATTCAAACACCTGAAGAAACGCTTCCTCATCCGGTGGATTGAAGGCACCATAATCGAGATTAACTCTGGCAAAATAACTGCGCGAGACGTGAGCATCATTTGACGGAGACATATGGCGACCATCCTTACCCCTTAATTTTCTGTATATCTTCGTTTTGTAAGTGCATCCATATATCAATGACCTTTTTGGCCCAGTCTTGCCGTGACGTCAAGATGGCCAATGCTTGAGACGCGGCCTCCCTCTCCTGCACGGCGGCCAGTTGATCCGTAGGAACTCCAGGGACCATGTATACCGGCCACTGGAACAGCTGCGTCAAAACCTCACAGGCTATGGAGTCTACCTGTGTCTCAGGATACCACGGTTTCCTTTCGAGTGCCGCGCACTCGAGGAGATAATCGAGAATCTGAGGTTTGGCCTGGAGGATCTCGAGGCAATGAGCCCGTGATCTGGGGGAGGAAGTGCACAAAAGGCCGTGTGCAGTCCACATAGCGCTCTCCTGAGCCATAGCAAACCACCTTGGACAGTATCTACTTGATATACTGGGGGGAATCTGCGAATAGAGAGGCTTCAGTCTAGATTGGGGTAAGCTTGGGAGGAGCTTACGTTCTCTCTTCCCATGATCATCTGGCTTTGCCAGGTCCTACCGGGGTCTTGCATTTGCTCGATAACATGGTCAGGCCCTGAAAGGGTGTACAAACAAACCGACTCTATGATGTCCGCCGCGAAGCTCCCGGAAACTTTTTCTCCCAAAAAAGATTCCGCTGCTATCACACGCAGGGTGTTGACGGCCAACTGGCGCATGAGGCATAGTGGATGTTTCACCAGCTAAAGACGAGCTAACCATGACACAACATCCAACCTAGGATGAAGAAAGCTTGGCTTACCTGTAAGCATAGCCCGACAATGTCTTCTTCCAACAGCTTGTCAAGAAGTTTCCGCCGGTCCGATACGTCTCCTGTCCGCATCATATCACATAAACCATCCATCGCGTGATATTGTGCAATGTATCTCTCCTTGGCAACATTTTCTCCTGTCCAGTCTTGTCGTACAACGGTTGCCATCGTGGGCACGATGCCAGCTTTCAGACATGCCTGAGCGAACTGATTAAAACGGGCCTTAGGTTCTCCACCGGGCTGTATATCCTTTCTGAACTCGTGTTTGATCGCTCCCTACTAGGGCTGAGCATTCGCATCGAGGGGACGAACTGGGTTAAAGTATACATACCGTATAAGTTTGCAGGAAGACCGGGTCTTCGAGCGGATCGACTAGCCTCGCGAAGATTTTCTTGAGATTCTCAGTAAGATGGGGTTCAGGCGCTTGCAGCATCCGCCGCATGTTGAGCTTAGCGAACTCGTCCATGGTGCAAGTAGTGAGAGTGAAGTATTGGTTGTTGGCTGAATGCAGGGTCTGCAACGCGTCGCCAGGAAATTAGGCAACGCGACGCGACACAAATTCAAGCTCCGCGAGCACGACACCAATGACGTCGCTTGAAAACTTGCACTTTTTACGTCCACATCATTTGTCTTTGCATGACCAAGGACGTTCAGATACCCAATTCATGAAACCATGTAACGGATCCAGAACTTGGTATTGGCGCTATGGGTCTTCTTCTTATCACTACAAGCAAGACTGGGAGAGTCCACTCATGGACCGATTGGTTGAAGCACAGCCTATGGGACGCCAAGGGTCCAATATTCAAAATCTAGGATTCTCGACTTGATCATCAAGTAAGTTCATAGTGCCCTTTGGAGACCGCAGTATCTTCTCGAGAGCCATTGATCAACTGCGGGTCTGAAGAACGCTCAATGGCCCACAGGTACGAAGGCATCGTTGCTGTCGGGAGCAGACGTGAATAACCCGAAGCGCAATGCTGTGCAACGTGCTGTGCATGAACTCAAGGCCGTGCCACTACGATTGCAACAACCTCTACCGTCCCAGACGACATTGAATGTAGCTTGTATCAGCGTATCACCGCCTTTCTGTATTTGCCTGGGATTGATGCAGCCTTGTTCTCGCCCTGCTGCGAGTCCTACACACTGGAGGTGACATCGCATCCCAAGCCACTATTGACCTTTGCCAACGACCAACCCGCAGTTGGCCGCACGATCGACCACAACATCTCAACCCGCCGTATGACGGCAAAGAGCTGCGGGCGCTGCGCATGTTTACTCTGTTCCCATCGCATAATGTCGCTATCAAAGGTTGAGAGTATAAAGGCAAGGAACGAACTGCGTAGTCCTCCATCTTCAAGTTCTTTGTCTGTCTGGAACAGGCCCTCTGTCTATTACCTTCAAGTTTACCAGCTGTTTTAAAAAGCTTCTACGATGACTTCCTGTGAGGACTTCAAATCCTCACTCGAACCATTCCAATGCTGACCGCATTTTCTCTGCAGACGAGATTTCGACGATGCTCACCGCGAGGGACAACGTCACCGCCACAGCAGCAGCCGTCCACAGTCCTTACGGCTACGTCCCTTGGGAGAGCGCCGGCGTGATCTTTGCTCTGCTTTTCGGTATCACTACGCGTTCGTTATTTGCTCTCTCCCTTAGTTATTCCCCGACTGACGTCCCGGTCCCAGTTGTCCACCTCGTGCAATCCTTCCGATATGGCATGAAGTTCCTCCTACCGACAGCCGTTTTATGTGGTGTCTTCGAGATCATTGGCTGGGGTGCTCGTCTCTACTCCCACTTCCAACCGCACCAGCAAAACCCGTACATTATTCAGTGAGTATTCAGCACCTGTCACAAATCAAGCGACTAAAGTCCCGGTCTTTCACTGTAGAATCGTGACCACCATTGTCGCTCCAATCCCCCTGACGGCAGCCAACTTCATTATTTTAGAAAGGATCATCAGGAAGCTCGGACCCCGGTACAGCAGGCTGAGTCCCCGCAACTGTGAGAAATATACCTAGCAAATGATGTCCGACACTAATCATCGCTTCCTTTCAGACCTGCGTCTTTTCCTGGCCACGGTAAGTGTCACTGAGATGCCAGAATGTAGAGTGCATTTTCTTACATTTCCCTCCAGGACGTCGTCGCCTTCCTCATCCAAGCCGGTGGCGGAACGATTGCTGCGAACGCGACGACGCTCTCTGGTGCTAACCAGGTTAGTCCAATCCTGAAGCGCCCGTAGCTGTTAATTCCGACAGCTTTAAAGGGAGGCAACATCATGCTGGGTGGCATTATCATACAGCTCGGTACGTGTCGATGTTATTATCACTCGCCAAATTGACTCACAGCCCCGTCTACGTAGTGTTTATGATACTCTTCATTGGCCTGACCGCAGAAGTGTTCTACCGGTACAACGTTGACGCGTCCATTCGTCAGCCCACTGACGAGGAAAAGCTGGAGGAAGTTCCCTTCTTGCTCTCTGACCACCCCCGCACTCTGGTCATGATCGAAGCCGGCGCATTCAGCACGTTCTGTCTCCTCGTACGGTTGGTTTTAAACATACATGCATCGCCACTTCGTACCTGACTTTGCCTTATCAGTGCCGTGTACCGTACCATCGAGCTCGCCGATGGCTGGGACGGCACCGTGATCTTGACGCAGTCTTACTTCAGTATGTCTGGCATAGCCCACGTGTTGGTATCGTTGCTGACTTCTGTGTCTCCGTGTTACAGTTATCTTTGATGCTCTGATGGTCACCCTTGCCATGTTCGCCATCAACTTCTTCCACCCCGGCTATCTCCTCCACTGAAGAACGGTTCGTAAAAGACGGTCTATCATCTTTACTTTCATTAGTAGAACATCGACACCTTTTGTTTCGTTTTTTCTTTATATATTGGCGCATTGATATGGACTTACTCCTATCTGGAGAACGTACGTTCTTTCATTGTTAGCATTCCTTCTAGGGATCAACAAATGGACTGTTAAATAATGTGTGTAGTAGTCTCGCTGGAATAGTACAAATGTGCTTCGAGGCTCTGATGTTCTTCCTGTGTGATCGGTTCCGTTTTGCGCTTGAAGCACTTCAAAATTGTTGACATTCAGCCTAATGTCATACAGTAGGACATATTCGTACAGTGGCTATGAAAGACGCGTCGACATCGGACAACAATGATAATATACAGAGGTTTTGTAGATTCGGAAGCACAACGGACACATTTGTCGATTCGAGGCAGATTCAAGGCACCAAGGCCTCGCATATTCGGAGTGTTCAAAGAACCATATCCTGGTCATCACGCATCACCGTCGGAAAGTTGCTGAAGAATCTGGGAAGAGGACTGATGTTTGTAGTTGATTTTGCCACGAATATCGCGCTGTACTTCCACTCCATATACGGCTGCGTTGTGCTGGAAAACGTACAGATGAGTCAAGGAGCCTTTGCAGTCAATATGCGCACATCTCTTAACGGTACATTGTCGGGCGCCAGTGTACTCCAAGGGCACCTGTTGCAGACGTAGAGCTTTTTCGAGGGGTGGACAAGCTTTCGAGCATGTTCGGCCTGTGTATGCTCGGCTAGTGCGGTTTTTTGCTCCATGAACCCACAGATACTGCATTTGTTTTCCACTGGCCTAGCGTGCTAGAGGGAGGATAGAGGCTGTTTTAGCTCACAGCTGGAGAGGTTGTAGTAAGCCCACAGTCGCGCACCTCCTTACTCCCTTTTGTTTTGGATGAGCTCGTGAGAGAGCGTCTTTCGAACTGAACTTTCGGCTCATAGCGGGCCGGAGGAAAAATAACTTTGCCGAGGACAATTTTCGTAGCCGAAAGCCGGTCTCGGGACGATGGGTCGAATGTACAAACCCCTTCTGCTGTTTCGTCTTCGGCGAAAATGATCCTACCATTATCGAGCTTGTCTTCGCGTTGCTCAGGGTATTCAGAGCGCCACTCATGCCGCGCCCAAGTGTGCCGAATCAAGCCCCCGTTCCCTCGCACGACTTTGCGACATATGTCGCACTGGGAGCCTAACTTATGACGGACATGTCGGTGCTGAGTCAACAAAGATTATGAGCCGTTGAGATGAACACAGGGACAGTGTGACGCACGCGCTTAAGCCCTCCGTGGCTTTCGAACATGACGCTCCCGGTACATAACTTGCAGTGCCAAAGCAGCTTCGGGCCCTCGTATCTAGCGCTTGCGCGCTTTTGATCCCTAGCCCCCAAGTTGGCCGGACGACGTCGAGCAGAGCGCGTCTGAGCAGAGGCCTTGCCTTTGCCGTCAGACTTGCGACCCGGTGGCAGACTCTCGTGTTTGGCCTTCCTGTGCATGGCGAGACCATGTTCATTCTTTACTCGTTTTCCGCAGTCCTTGCAGCAAATCACTGGCAGCTGGTGGGTTCGAACGTGCTAGACGAACAAGAAAGCCAGTTAGCGGGCGTCATTCATTTCCAACTGCGGTAATGTGTACCAGTTTGTACCTTCGTTCACTCTCAAATATTTCGGGGCAAGATAAACAGAAAATGGGATGATGGAAACCAATGCCTTCACCAGGGGATGTATTCATGATCCAGACGACTCTAACGAGAGCTTTCTGGAAGAGAACACAGCTGAGGTGGGTTGGCGATGGGAGTCAGATAACAGGAAGGAAGCGGCTCCTTCGTGCCATTTATCATGATTCAGTATCACCTCGTGTGCTCGCTTCTCATGCACGCATCCGGTACACCTCTTACCGCATTTGATATGGGTGAGAGTCGACACAAACAAGGATTAGCGCCGTCCTTGGGCAAGCTTTGTCACAAGGTCTGGATGGATGATTGCAAGGAAACCATGACCGACGGAAATGGGTATTCGATCAGAAAATAATCGCTATCGATACAAAAGTAGATAGTTCGGAGCTATACAACCAGAGCTCATCATGAACACTATGGTATAAAGTCCACTCAGTCCCAATGTCCTGCATTGCCACTCGCTATACACGAACAACCCAATCAAACCATCCAGAAGGTATTCTCAAGGGCATAGCTCGCCGAGTCATAGTCGTCGCTCTTGGCGCGGGCATCAACCTGCGCGACGGAATCCATAGGCGAGGCGCTGCGGCGTGCCTTCCAGAACGTGTTCTCAAGGGCGAAGCTGGTCGAGTCGTAGTCGTCGCTATCGATGCGGGCACCAAGGCGCGAGACGTAGTCGTTGAATGAGGTACCACGGCGTGCCTTGCGGAGACGGTTGGAGAAACCAAAGCCGAACGAGTTCGACGCCGAGGGGGATGCGGCGGAGTCACTGTCCGTGGGGGTCGCGGCGGACGAGGAGCCGTCGGCTGGGATGTTGGCCGAGCCAGACGCGAGTGATGCGGTGGCGGTGGCGCCGTTCAACATCACGGTAGTAGGGCTGGCAGCGTTGCTGTCTGTGGGGGAAGCGCCGAAGACGTTCGTGGCAAAGCTGCCGGTGGGAGTGAGACTACCGGAGGAGGCGCCGAAGGGGTTAGAAGAGGCTGAGCCGGTGGCGGAGGGGTCTGAGGATGAGCCAAAGGGATTTGTCGCGCTCGGGGTAGGAGTAGATCCGGTGGCGAAGGGATCACTGGAGGCAGTCACGGAAGGACTGGCGGAGGATCCGAAGGGGTCAGACCCGGTCGCGGTGGGACTGGCTGCAGAACCGGTGCCAGCTGGTGCAGTCACGTAGACAGTCGACATGACAGTGACAGTCACCGTGTCCTCATCTCCGCAGTCAGGATCGGGGGTCGACGTAGGGGCAGCGGAGCCCGACACCGAGCCCGTAGGCGTGAACGAGCCAGTTCCCGTAGGGAAGCCAGTGGCCGAGACGGCAGATGAGCCGGTGGGGACGGTCGTACCAGATGAACCAAACGGCGACGTGCCGGTAGGAACAGCGGAAGAGGAGTCTCCGAATGGTGAGGTTCCGGAGGGGCTGGCAGAGGAACCGAATGGCGATGTGCCAGTGGGGACAGCAGACGAAGAGTCACCGAAGGGGGAGGTGCCAGTGGGGGCAGCAGACGACGAAGAATCCCCGAAGGGAGACGTCCCGGTGGCTGATGGGATGAAAGAAGAATCGCCGAAGGGGGCTGAGGTCCCAGTAGGGATGGAAGAGCTCTGGTCAGAGGTTGAGGAGCCCGAGCCGAAGCCGAAGGCGGTAGAGTCCTGACGCTTCATTGGGACATTAAGAGCCACTATATGAACCCGTCAGCGGAATCCAGGGTATGCTTGGGTTAAGCGACTCACCATTACGGTCGTGTTTGGGGGCAGGAGCAGCAATGGTGGATGAAACGGAGGCAAGAATAAGAGCGGTCTTCAGGAATGCGTACATGGCGATAAGCTATTGAAGTGCTAAGTTGGCGAGCAAGAAACGTTATGGGTCGTATATTCTGGGAAGCAAGTCTAGAGTTGAAGAGGATAAGGACAGGAAGAGCACCAGGCTCAAGGAGATCTATGGGATCACGAAAAGTGAGAGGACGTCTACGTCGAGAGCGAGTGCTGGACTGAGGAAAATGCCGTCGTCGCAGGAGAACTTATAAGCCATCTCATACCCGAGCTCGCTTAGCATCCTTTTGTCTTTCGTGCGACCTAGAGACGGTAAGTTATTGTTTATTGTCGAGGACGAGTGCGCGCTCATCAACGCCATTGTTCACAAAAAGAGTCCGCCTCGTGCTGTTGTACTCGTCCGCGTGGTCCTGTTTGGTTCTGTTGTTTGGGCTGTTAGCCGAAACAAAAAGATCGCTCGTTATGGAGATAAGCCCCTATATTTTCCGCTCTCCAACCGCTTCATCGCGGACATAGACGCATTGACCTCCATATTGACTAACAAGGCTGCTATGGGCTAGTGATTCGTTGATAATTACCGCGGTGATTCTGATTCACTTGTGCTCATGCATCGTGGCTCGGAAAATAGCAACTGCGCATTGCAATGTAAGACCATGCTTTGTACATAGCTCCCTTGCGTCACCTCTGCGGTCACAATGATGACGTAGAAGAATGCCAGCACCGGTATGCCTTCTTGAACCTCCACGAACGTTTGAACAGTCAGTGAGCAATGAAAAACGTCGAGCAATGCATTCAAGCACCGGACCACACGATTCTTTGATCCCAAGACACCATCTGCTCAATATCACCACACTACATCATGGCATATACCGCACAATCCGCCGAAGCCAAGGCCCACGCAGCGGTAGGCGTCTATCATCCACTCCGCTTTGTCCATCGTGATCCCCAGCTTCTGCGATGTTAATGATGCCCGGTTCCAGGTGACATCCGGAAGCCTACCCCACCCTCCGCATGAAGTCATCGTAGCCGCAATAACCTATGCAACAGCGAAAGCGTATGAGCAAGTCACTCAGGCCAGCGGCAGGCCTTCAAACGGCTCGGACATTGATCAAACCGCTGAGATGCTGTAAGTGTTTGCTTTGTCGTCGCACCGTCTACCATCTGACGGCTCTCTTCGCTATTCTAGCGATGGATACGCGGAGACTTTCATTGACGGCGTTTCGAGCATCAAGGAGATGCCCAAGCTCGAGCAGACGAAGTTGAAGCAAGAAGGTGAGTCAGTTAGATGATCTCCGCGTCTCCTGGTAACCCCATACGATAGCTTGCACCCGAGCTGAGGCGGCCCTCAGAGCCAAGGGAGAGCTCTGAAAGATGAGAGCGAAACTAGTAGATTCAAAGTAGCGCATAGTAATTTGCAAAGCTCGACGCTTAGTGAAATCACCTAGAAGAGCAGAACATGACAAAGGAATACAATGTACACTGCCAGACACATGAACACAACTCGCTCCTTCGAACTCAGCTCGAAACCTTACCTAGTATCTGGTCAAGGCGAGAGGCCGAAGCTGCTTCGCTCATTCTACCCTCCCAGTTTTCTCCTCTTTCCTCTTCCTTCCTCCAGTACACTTTCCTTCCTCTCCTCGACCCTATCCAAAAACTCGACCTTTTCAAGGTATCCGCCCCCGCGCTGATTCTGCACGAGTTCGTCGGCCACAGTACTCGGCTGGGTAGAAACGTGTGCACGCCAGTCCATCGCGGATTTGTCGAGCGTCGTCAGCTTCTTCGCCTTGTTTCCTGACGAGGGGAGAGAAGGGAGGGACGTGCGTGGTTTGCGTGGACCAGGGCGCTTCGGTGCTGGTGTACCTGTGGTGGCGGTAGGTGGAGAGGAGTGTGCGGAGGCAGACGCCGATGTCGACGCCAGACCGGAGTTGATTTCCCTTGCAGTAGACGGTTCTGGAGGAGTTGACTGAGAGGAAAGAGATGTTGGTGGTATTGGTGGGGTATTGGTGGAGGGTAGATTCGACGGCTTTGAATCGAGTGAAGCGCTCGCAGGCTGGGCCTTCTCAACCTGAGTATCCTCTGGTTGGCCATGTACGTTCCACTGGGGCCACTTTTTCGCATCCGGCGAGTCTTCTGCTACCTCAACAACCTCGCTGCGAGCAAGGTGTTAGTTGAGCACGAGACGTCCGCACCCCAGAGTGCGCCACGTACACAATCTCCTTCCCCGCAAATCGATAACGCTTCTCCACTTTTATCATCCTCTTCTCCTTCGTAATGGGACTCAGAGCGCTTCCTCCATCCCCGTTCGACGAAGTAGCAGAGGCTTGGAAGCTCGCCCACAAAGCCTCGCGTTTCCTGTAGTCCAACGTGTTTCAGCATATATGAGCGAGAAATTTTACTGATAACGTGTCGCATGGACTATGTATGATCCCAAAGGCAGGAACTCTTACTTCTTCTGCTCCAGAGATTCCTCTGTCGTCGCCTCCTTCACCGGCTCCTCCAACAGAGCCTCCCCATCCTCTGAATCGTCCGAATCTGCAAGACAGAGGATGTATGAATAATCCCAGTCACCCTAGGAATGTATAGTGCAGTAGTGAGAGAGATTTACCAGGCTCCTTGGGCGGGACGTAGTCTCCATCTTCTGCGCTATCGTAGTCGTCTTCCGGAGGTTTGGGTAACATCCTGGACGGTCGGCAGCAGTGGAAGCAAGGGGTTATTTGGAGTTGTTAGACTCCAAAGCTCTTGCCAAATGCGGCACCGCTCGCCAACCACTCGCTCCTCCGTTCCTTTCCCTTTGATGCATAGTTTGTGTACGTCTTTTAGTGAAACATTGCGCAATATGGTGGAATCGTCATCAGTATGAATGCTGGACTTATACTACGATTAGCTTATTGGTCATTAGTCTAGTGCCTAATAATAGGGTTTGCGTAAAGACCATCGCTGGGACACAGGTGAGTCCTCAAGTTCAATACGAGGGCACTGTCCGTTATTGGAGCTAAATATGGCGCTCTGACATGGACATCATCTCTGAGCCGGATTCTGGTTCTTCCGTGGACCCCAAGTGACTATGTCCGGGCCAGCTGAACGCAACAGGTGGGAGGATCGTCGACGCATCTTGCCATCTCGAGGCAATCGGAACATCGACGCGCATAATACGTCTGTGGGTCTTGGGTAGGCTGAGAGTTATTCGGGACATCATAGTCACTGTCATCCTTTCAAGAAGACAATGTTACACAATATGAATCGGGATGAGTCAATTGGCAGAGCCCGCACTTACGTGAGTTGTATTCTAAGGTTGGGTGAGTGAGAAATGGGTTACTTTGTTTAACTTTGGTCAGGAAACTCACTGTCCAAACATGTTCCTGATTCCAGGGGGACAACTAGAGACCATGACGATCGAAGTGACGTTGACCACGCAAATTACACTGCGCAGGTCATTATGAGTAGGCAGACACTTTGAGTAACAGTGATACGTACGCATAGTAAATTAAGCCATCAACAAGCAAACATCGTGCAATGGTGTTGGCATTCCGACAAGGGCGGTAAGGAAGTGTACGCGCAACGATCAATCCAATCACAATCGTCTCAAATGCCAGCTCGAACCAGGTAGCTGACGTAGCCAGAACACTGTCAGTTGACAAACGACGGTAAGCGGCTCGGCGATAGCATTTGCTTGGTCTAACACTCACTAAAATTTCCCTTGGAAGATAAGCGTGCATGCTATGCTTCAATTAGTGGGAGCGATGACACCGAGTCGACAACATGATATCCTTACAGTGCACAGCAGGTGTATGAGGAACGGCTACATCCAAAAAATGGGTTATGGATAAGTTAAGCGATGGCTAAATGCACTCACGTCCACCGCACATGACGACATAGGCCGCCACGCCACACCAGATGACAAAGAAGATAGCCAGCGTAGCGGAGAGGATCTTCTGAGTATAGAGGGCAAACACTCTGTTCGGTGTTCGTTTCATCATTGTGGATTACAGATGGGCAAAGGACAAACCTCCTGAGCATCATGAGCGCTGCAACGTGAACGCCTATCTGATTCATGGCCGCTTGGTACCGCACGAAGCGTTTGCAACTTGTGGATTAACGTGTCAGTCGGTAAACTAAGACGTTAACCACCGCGTGACTGACTCCTATGTCAAATCTCTGTTAGGAAAGCTCAAGCTTTCAACACGTGTTGAGTACGTACTGATGTTGAGAATTGAGGGGAAATGTATGCTGCGTGAGGTCAGTCAGTCCACGGACCAGGACGGTCAGGCAAAGGCGGCGGACACACCAAACAAGTCCACGATGAAGCCTAGCGGGATGATATAACGGTTCTAGACGGTGGAACATGAGTTAAGCCGCTGAATCATCAAAGCATGGAGGTGCATCTGACAAAGAGAAAGAGCGACGACACTGGCTTTAGTCAGCGCTGTTGTGCGGGCGACAGGCGCAACGAAGACTCACTGAAGGTTTTGGGCTGCTTCCATATGAGCTCCATCTATGAACATTGCAGAAGAAGTGAGCGTATGGTGACAGTGCTGATGCTGAGCCTGTACCTCATCCCCAAACGTAATGAAGTGATCCCAAACCAAGATGGTAAAGCCGACAAAGCCAACCCGCTAGAGGCCATAGTCAGCAACATTAGAAGCCGAGAACAATCAAAGTACGGCGTACTATTGTGAGAAGTCTTGATGATCGACATATTCCAATTTAGTAGTCGCAACAGCTTCAGTGAGACAGATGGAAAACGTACGAGTTTTGTTTGTCCACCACCATCTGGTCGTATAACTCATCAAAGTTATCCCCTACATCATACATCGTCCCACGCTGAGAGGTGTCGCGCGAGACCTCGGAGAGCCGTTAGAGGCGGAAGATAGATAGTCGCAAGGGTGGCCGTCTGGAAGTAAGAGTGAGGAAAGAGGGGGTGGCGAGTCTGCGCATGTGCATGAGCTGATGAGGCAACCTCGAGGAGTTCCAGGGTTCGGTGCGAAAATTCCAAGAACGACCCCCATCAGCCCTGCTTATTCAATCCTAAAACAACTGATACAGACTTGGATACAGAGAGAACTTTGCTTCCACGGCCGCGCGAGTCATTCGGGTTGCGGAACCTTTCCTTCCCCATTCCGTCTTCTACAAGGGCACTGGTCATTAAGTGAAGTTGAACGCTGAAGTAACTTCACGTCGGTATAGACAAGGTAACTTATGTACATATGTTCCTTGTCAGGTAGCCGACGCATGCAACAGCAGCCCTCAGGTTTATTCAACGGAGTGACCCCACCTGAACCCGACACTAGCTCGCCGCCACAGGCCGAGGCCTGCCGCTTCCTCATGATTCCCGTAGTATGATTTGACAATTGAAAAGCGGAGAATATTGTTGCGTTTCGTTGCCACGTGCGTTGATTCGGAGACGACAGCTCAGAAAGAGTGAATGCCACAAACATGCACCCACAACTGTCAATGTGAAACTCACGTCTACGATCGTCAAGCATTACAAACGACGCTCACTCGAAGTGAGCGTCAATGTGCTCGACGCGCTGCTGGTGCGCGCAGTGATGGCCCGCGCGTCGTGAGGGCGTCCCGCCATGTCTCAGTTCGCTGGTCTGGGCTCTGGTCCAGAGTCCGACTAGGGCCCCCGGGACTAGCGCGTGACCGACCCCACAGTGTCGCGCCCAGCACGAGGACAAATACCATTACAGTACTGTCCCTTTTCGACCGTAGGCTTGCGGGTGGCGTGGGAATTGTGTTACCCCATCCAGACTGTCCACCATGAGGCTCGAGGATTCTGAGCAGGGGTGGACGCCAGGCTCCTACGCAGCCGTCACTGAGAGGAGAGTAGCTTATCCTAGGGCGCGGTAGACTCAGCAGAATCCGCGACAAGTCTTTCAAGTAGCGATTGAAACTCAAGCCGTAGCTATTAATCGCCGATTCAAAGTTTTGAACCTTAAGCTTCTCGTCCTCTCAGTGAAAATGTTCGGGTGGATCCGTAAGGGTCATGTACCTCAGATTCCGCTAAGTCCCTCTGCACTAGCAATTGCCTCACTAAACTCGGAATGACGGCTGTGTAGGAGCCTGGGTGGACGCCAAGCTCGCGATGTTCAACGTTCAACATTGAACTATTAACCCCGCCACAATTGAGTTTAAATCGCTTTCTTCTGTATGGTAACCATCCGGGCCTAGACGTTGAATCTGCAGCGACTTCTGTCGTCAGCCCATGCAGTCCATGAGCATTGCACCATTGACCCTTCCAAAGCCAGTGACACACAGTAAGATTTTCCCGCACCGTAGAATTTATTATCCGGATATAGAAAAACTGAGGCGGTGTAAATGTCGCAAGATTATGAACATGAAGTACGATAGACTCTTAGGCCACTAGGACACAATCAAACGCTTGTGGATTTTTTCCCGCAATCTACGTGACTTTTTTCGACAATTTACTGGCTGTCCACCATTTCAAGCTCGCATGGGTCCTGCAGGGGTGGACAGTCCACCCCTTGTAAGCTCGGCTCGCCGGTCCCGGTGGACAGGGGACGAGCCTACGGTCGAAAAGGTACAGTATTGTTCTTGTACCTCTCCATCTGAGATACTGCACTGCCCGGTCGGGCACTAGAGACGCAGTAGGATGAGGAAATGGGCCGCTCGCTCAGGCTTGGTGGCCCTGCCAGGTAAGATTTTCGTCGACGTTGTTGTCCCACCGATTGGTCGCCGACTCCCTGGCCCTGACAGTTGTTACGTTAGCTTCAAGATAGTACCCACCCCCCTTCCCTCGGCAAGTACTCTGCCTCATCTTTCGCTCGTTAACTGTTCTTCCTTCGTTATTTTCTCACTGCGTTTTTTCTGCTTACGGTATGTACAAACAGCCTCCGCCATCGCACGTTATACAATTGTTCGTGTTGGGCTCGCCGAGTCCCGAGATGGCTCGGGAGCCGCGGTTCCTTTAACGAATCGCGTGCGACTTCAGGCGAAGCAGCACGGGCCTTGATTAGAGACTAAATTGGGACGATCCCTTCGTGTCGCTTCCGGTGCACTCGGAAACGTGATATTACATCAGGTCTGCACTGCCTGCCTAATGACTGACGAAGTCCCGAACAGCAATCCCGCTCAGCGAACTCGCCCTGCAGCCAACTCGCATACATTGTCCCATGCAGCGACTTTCAATATTCAGGACATGCACGACTGGAGTTTGGGTTTTCAGCAAAAGCAAACACATACCCTTTTCATCCGTGAAATGTATGAGTCTTCGTGGCACCTGTGATGCAAACCCAAATGAAAGTTGAAGGACATGAACCGATGTCACAATGGGGTCTCCAATAACCATGCTTCCCGTCCTATTTTCATCAAGATGCAATGATCAGTTCATGTTGCCAGGGAGAGTAGTACAAGAGTCGTAGAGCAGACGAACAAGGGTGATTAGTCGAAATTGAGGCCTATGCAAAGGGAACTCCCTCGGCACGAAGTCCTGTGTTGGCTTGGTCGATTCGCCTTTTGTTCTTTTTGATAATATCCTGACTCAGTTCCTCCCCGGGCGGGATGTTTTGAGAAACATTGGATGCGCCCCACGCAAAGTGAATCGCCTTCCCCCACTGCTCTAGATTTAGCGCCATCTGCGCCGCGTTTCCCAGAGCAATCACCAGCTGCTTCCGCGCCCCGCGAATCTCAGCCATATACGCGCCCTCCGTGTGCGTGTCGAGCGCCACTAGTGCCGCTGCCAGCTCTGCGGCTTGCGCGAACGCTTCGCGCGCATACTGGTGATCGCATGCGTGCGTTCCCTTGGCACTCCCGCGACCATGGTCTAGCCGGACCCGTAGGCGCTTGTGCGAAATTTCGATGATGCGACGGATGACGTCGGGGTGCGTGATCTGCTGAATCTGGCTGAACGAGGCCGATGGCGATAGTTCCTTTGGTGCCTCAGTTAGAGTCTGGATGGCGCTGAGCGCCTTCCGTTGAGCCAGGACCGCGAGTAGGCGAATGATTGCTGTTGGGCCCATGATGTGCTCAGGTGCGACCGTAACGGAGGCTTCCGCGAGTCTTGGTGTGTCGAGACTCCACATCGGAAGGCGATAGACCTCTTTGTGATTTTCGATGGATGGACCATCTCTGGTGAAGAGGCCTTGGGATGGCTGAGTTTTACGACAACCGAGGTACGCGATGGCCAGCAGGGATTCGATTTGCGGCGTTGCGATGCTGCACAAGTCCGCGGCGTGGGTAAGAAGAGCGATAAAACGGAGTACGACTACTCGAGAGGTCCCTAGGTGTATGCCTCGTTCAGTTGCAGAGAAAAAGATTAACATAGAGACAGGCGTACCGCGATTCTCGAAAACCATGTAGGACTCAGTCTTCTGACCGAAAGCAGCATACGCGTGTGCAGACGTCGCGACAACACTATCGATATCTATTAGCAGACCTAATACTCCAGATTGGTGACTCATACTTTTGAAATATCTGTGTATCTTCCTCTTGTATGCGTGTCCATACCTTGATAAGTTTCTCAAGCCAATCTGGCCGTGACGTTAAGATAGCCATCGCGCGTAGCGTCTCCTTCCAAGACGGGTCCTTGTATTCCCTATCGCGTGGTGGCGAGATGTCGACCCCTGGTACCACATAGCATGGCAGGTGAAAGAGGAGGGCTAGGACCTCACAAGCCGTCGCTGATGCATCGCTCTCTGGGTGGCTTGCTGACCGCTCGATGATCGCGCAGTTAAGGAGGAGGTCCAAGATCTGGGGCTTCCTCTTGATCATATCGGAGCAGAACTGGCGTGAATGACCGGAGAATGTACAAAGCAGGCCATGTGCAATCCACAGGGCGCTTTCCTGTGTGATGGAGTGATATCGACGAGCGTGCCGCTTGGCTTCAGAAATAGGTGTCTACAACAAAATTGAGCTCTTTCGCATAAACTGCTGCGTGACTCTTACCCTATCGTCGATGAAAAATAATTTTGCCTGCCATTCCGTCGCTGGGTCGTTGAGCTGAAACACAAAGTCGCTCGGACCGTTAAGAGCATATAGACAAACGGCTTCAATAATGTTGGCAGCCGTCGATGGGGAGACTTTCTCTCCTAACATAGACTCGCTTGCAAGGCACTGCAGCGTATTGATGCCCAACCGCCGCATCAGGCATAGCCGATGTCGAATTAACTAAAAATCAGCGCCGCGTTTCAACCTCATTCAATTGACAATGAGAAAATGTAACGCTTACCCGCATACATAAGTCGACGACACCCTCTTGTAGCATTGAGTCTAGCAAACCTCGGCGCTGCGGTATATCACCAGCGTTCAACAGTATAGAAAGAGCCTCGATCCCGTTGTATTGAGCGATGAATACCCACTGATCAAGGCGCGGATCCAATTCGGGCCACTCCTTGTTAGCAAGAGCTATCATCGCTCTCACTATACCCGCGTTCAAGCAAGCAATGCCGAATGTACTGAACCCAGCCGCCGACGCCCCATGCAATCTACGTCTGAGCTCCTGGTTGATTTCAAGCTAACAAAACTTGTGAGTTATGGTTACACGGCGTGACTGGAAGCAGGTAGTCGGAGTTGATAGAGTACTCACCGCATATTTGACGACGAAGACAGGATCTTCATTTGGGTCAGCCATTCTCGTAAACAACCCCCTCAGGTTCTGCGAGCGGTGGGGCTCAGGGGCATATAGTAATTCCTCCATGTCGGCCGGAGATACCGAAACCATGATCGAAGCAAGGGAATGATGCGAAGGGCTTCGAGGGGTTGGTTGGCGTTGGCAAGAATGTGAGACAGAGATGCGGGACAAGGACAACGCCATCACGGCCAGCAATATGTATAGCCCCTATTGGTGACGTCAACATGAAACACTCTGGGTCAAGCCTGCATCTAGCCACTCCACCCAGTCGGCAGGAAGACAGCGCAAGAAAAAGTTTCTCAATCACACAAGAGATTGAGAGCAGCGAGAAAGAAGATGGAAACGATACTGTGTCAGCGTGTCAGCCATTAGACTCATGGCAACGCGGAACTTTCGCCCAAGGGTTTGTAGTACACAAAACCGGTTTCTGGAGTCCTATATCAGCAACACCCTCAAGAACAGGGTCATGTAACCCACTTCTACAAGAAGTCGCCGCCCGACGCCCAAGTTGCAAAGCTACTGGATCCCGAGCCCAGCCTTAGCGCACTTTACTCTTCGCTCGTTTTTCTCCGTGATACCTAGACCCAATCCCTCTCCTGGTGGGATGTTCTCCGCGGCATTGATTGCACCTAGTCCGAAGTGAAGTGCCCGCTTGTACTGTTTGAGATTGAGCCCCATCTGCGACGCGTTCCCCAGAGCAATCACTAGTTGCTTCCGCGCCCCGCGAATCGTAGCTGAATACACGCCGCCTGTGTGCACGTCCAGTGCGACCAATGCCGCCGCCAACTCTGCGCCGTTAGTGAACCCAGCACACGCCCATTTCCAACCTGCGTCCGCTAGCTCGCTGCTGCTGGCAGCGCGGTCACGCGCTCGGTCCAAGATGTCACGAAGGCGCCGATGCGAGATTCTGATGACTCTGCGGATGACGTCGGGATGGGTGATTTGCTGGATTTGGCGGAGTGATGTCGACGAGGAAAGACCGTCGGGCGCCTTGGGTAGCGTCTGTATGTTGGTTAGGGCGCTTCTCCGCGCGAGAACAACGTACAGCCGGAGGAGGGCGGTTGGCCCAAGTATGCTCTCGGATGCAATTGCGTAGGGTATATCGACGTTGACCTTCATGTTTGAACGCCACATAGGGGCGCGAAAAATGTCTCGCTGGTGTTCCATTGTGGTAAAGGTATCCTCTTCGCCGGTGCAGTCGTCAAGGGACTTGACTTTGCGACACGCGTGGTAGGCGATATGGAGAAAGGATTCTATCTGTGCGTTGGTGATACCACACGTCTCTGCTGCGTGGGTCAAAGTAGCGATCAGTCTCAACATAGATATCCTGCATATGCCTGTATGCGACACATGAACTGAGACACGCTCGTGACAGGACGGGCAAAACGTACCACGACAGTCGGGAATCAGTGTAGTTCTCGCTGATGGGCCGTATGGAGCAAAATCCTTTCCAGGGAGACCATGCTGCGAGAACACGCTGTCAAGGACCGTCAGTTTGGGCACGGAAAGGATGACACATTTATCCTGCCTGTAAAGCTTCTGCACGTCCTCTTCCAGTACGTGCATCCATACTTCGACAAGTTTGTCAACCCAGTCCTGACGCGACGTCAGAATCGACATTGCTTGCCACATAGCCTTCCAATCCTGCGCTTGGAAGGAGCTATCCATTGTCTGAGCAACACCCGGTACGACGTGAAAAGGCCAGTGGAATATCAAAGCTAGCATCTCGCAGGTTATAGAGTTAACGCCGCTCTCCGGAAAGCACTCGGGGCGGTCCAGGATTGCGCAATCTAGAAGAAGGTCAAAGATTTGAGGTTTCTTCCTGAGTATGTCAAGGGTAACTGCGCGTGGCTGATAGGGAGATGTACAAATGAGGTCATGCACAGTCCACACGGCCTCCTCTTTTGTCGTAGAATCCATGTACATCTCTGCAAAATCTGCATGTAACTACGGGAGAGTATTAGTGAGGATCAATCGTACAAAGGATAGGACGCATTACATTCTTTCCATTCCATCTCGTCCAAACGACCGGTTGATCCCCACTGCGATCCAGCTTACGGAGTATATATGAGCATACCGCTTCGATGATGGTGGCCGCCGTCGCAGGTGAGACTCTGTTACCCAAAAAAGACTCGGTCGTGAGTGTATGCAGGCAGTGTATGGCCGCTTGATGCACGCAATGCACTCGATAGTTCTGCAAGTTCTAGAACAAATAGAGCTAATGTGTTCTGTAAGGGGATGAACCGGAGACTTACTCGTAGGCACACCTCCACAATGCCCTCTTTCAGCATCTCATCCAGTAGGTCGCCACGTTCAGCTGCGTTTCCGGTTCGCATCAGCACCGAGAGGCTATCCAGGGCATCGTTATGGGCTAATGTGTTCGTTTGTGTCCAGATCATTTCATACCACCCATTTCGTGCGATGGAGACCATTGCTTTGACTAGACCTGCGCTCAGACATGCATGGGCGAATGGACTGAAACTGGTTTCGAGCTTGTCTGCAGACATGGGAGGTGGTCTTCGACGCTCTAGCTCTTGGAGATCATTGTTAAACTCATCCCAAATGGCATTCTGCGAACGCTCGTGAGCTATCGGACGCGTTGTGGGCTTCAGGTTGGCCCGACCGCAGGAGTCAAAACTCACGACAAAGTCTTTAACGAAAATGGGGTCCGCCCGGGCATCAACTAGTCTTGAGAAGGCATTACGGAGTAACACAGATCGTTTGGGTTCAGGGGTGCGTTTGACGGACTGTAGGAACTTGGGCGTATCCTCCATTGATATTGAGCAAGCAGAAGATATGAAGTGTCGCATCTGGCGATGGCGCGGCTTACTTTCCCTTGCCTCCCACGACACCAACACGGCACAGCGCGACTCCGACGTGCCTTCGCGGACGACGGCCAACCATCGATATGGTGTCCCTACACAGCTCCCTAGCTAGCAAGCATCTATCGGTCACACAAACACAAGGGCTCATCTTGACCGTGTATTGATGTACACGAGTACACTTGCCTGGGTCTTTACACAACTTCCAGGTGCGCATGTTTCCTGTCAAATTTCAGGGCTTAACTCACAACCCCACTGGCTAGCAGGTGTTCGACCGGCGCGCAGCACGTACCCTCTCTTGTTAGCACGCAGAAGCTACGTGGAGTAGGTTTTCTCCGCTGTGTGAGGTGAGGGAGGTAGGCTTAGCTGTGACGAGGTTCGCGGTGCGTAGTTCTCTGTCTGGCCAACAGTGAATAGGGTTGCTGAACAACGAGATAGCTCCATACCAGCGACCGCGTCGGCGACAGGGAATTGGAGTTGATGACAGGGTCAGATGCCGGGGCCGTCAGCAGACTTTGGTGGGTGGGAGAGCCTTGTCCCGGTTCGCACACCCACGCCTTTGGAAGAATGTGTAACATAGGAAGCGTACATCATGTATGTACTCGCCGAGCTCATCTAGAGCGTCACTCTTCAATCCTACGACTCACGTTGAAGCCCATCCTTAGCGTAATCTACTCGTCGCTTATTCTTCTCGACGATCTCTGGATCCAACCCCTCTTCCGGTGCTATGTTCTCCGCAGCGGTAACAGCACCCCACGCGAAGTGAAGTGCCTGATTGTACCGTCCGAGGTTCAGCGCCATCTGCGACGCATTTCCAAGAGCAATCACCAGCTGCTTGCGCGCCCCGCGAATCTGACGCGCATACACCCCACCTGTGTGCGTGTCCAGTGCGATCAGAGCCGCTGCCAGCTCTGCCGCGGTCGTGAACGCTGCGCACGCCATGTGCCAATCCCAGCCAGTCTTCTTGCTTGCAACGTCGTTTCGGCCCGTGTCCATCCTTGCGTGTAGGCGCGCCTGGGATATCTTGATGAGGCGGCGGATGACGCTGGGGTTGGTGATCTGCTGGACGTGGACGAGCGAGGTCGTCGGCGATAGTCCATTTGGTGGCTTGCGTAGCGTCTGGATGCCGTCAAGTGCTTTCCGCTGAGCGAGGACAACGAGCAGGCGGATGAGTGCGGTTGGGCCGATAATGTTCTCCGGTGCCATCGAGCTCGTCTCGGCGGTCACGGTCACGCCGGGAAGGGCAGTCCAGACGGGAAAGCGATTGTTGTCGACGTTATTCTCAATGGCTAGGTAGGACTCTTGTGGATAGAAGCACTCCTCTGGGCGCTTCACCTTGCGACAACCCTGGTAGGCGACGTGAAGGAATGATTCGATCTGAGCGTTGGTGATTCCGCAGACATCAGCAGCATGGGTAAGTGTGGTTATCAATCGCAAAACGGTGATCCTATTCTTGCCTAAATGGCGAGTTTATAAGCTTGGCTCAGAGAGGGCGATTGAGCGCAAGATGAGACGTACCGCGGTATTGGTATATGTTCTGCGGACCTTGAGTCGCATAGTAGTCGCGCTGCGCGTTGACAAGATCACTGTGGGCATCATTTTTGAGTTCGAGTCGGTCAATTACGAGGTGCCGAGCATAGTGCACCATACCTCAGTGTCTTCTCCATATTCTCGTCCTGTATCCGCATCCATACATCGATAAGTTTCTCGGACCAGGCTGGTCGTGACGTCAAAATAATCAGTGCTTGCGATATGGCCTTCCACTCTCCCGTCTTGAACGTCTTGTCCATGGGCGTAACGACTCCTGGGACAATATGAAGCGGCCACTGAAACAGCAGAGCCAGTGCCTCGCATGCTGTCACGTCTACCTGGGTCTCCGGACAGTACAATGGCCTATCCATGATCGCTACATCAAGGAGAAGATCGATCACCTGTGGTCTCTTCTTGAGAATATCGAGCGCAAACTGGCGCGATCGAGGGGGAGATGAGCACAATATATTCTGCGCCGACCATATCGCACTTTCGCGGCCTGTGGCAAAAAGCCGGGGACCCCATTTTGCGGGCTGTTGTACCAAGAATGTCTGCAGGGTGGCGAGTTGGACCTCAGGTGCGGGTAGCTAGGACTGTCTTACGTATCCTCGTTCCGCAAATACAGGGGTTTGCCACGCAGTCGCGGGGTCGAGCAGTTGATTCGTGAGGTGGTCTGGGCCTTGGAGGGTGTACTTGCAGACAGCTTCCATGATATCGGCAGCGAGCGAGGCGGATACTTGCTCTGCTAGGCAGGTTTCGGTTGCAAGCGAACTGATCAGATTGATGGCGACTAGCCGCAGAGAGGATAGAGGGTGTTGCAGGTCCTGCAGAAAGATTATGAAGTTGTTTACGGGGTGCTCTCTGAGAAAGCTTCGAAATAAGACCCACTCGGAAACATATCTCCATGACATCCGTCCGCATCATCGTTTCCATCTCCCTCTTCCGCTCTGACGCGCTGCCAGTCTCCAACACATACGAGAGAATTTGTGACGCATGGTATTGAGCGGTGTATCTTTCTTTCGGGGTGTTACTTGTCGGCCATTCTTGGCGCAGGACTGCCAGCATCGTCTTCACAAGCCCCGCATTGAGGCACGAGTGGGTGAAGGGAGGGAAAGAGGTGACTTGGTCATCAATGTTCTGTCTGAACGCACAGCGTATTGCATCCTGCAACACGTGCCGTGAGCAAAATGGAAGACGACCCGGAAGATAGCCAAACACAAGTTTCGTGGTCGCGCTCGATTCGTACTTACCACATACTTGTGGACGAAGATATGGTCTTCATGCGGGTCGACCAGCCTCTCAAACACCTTGATGAGGTTATCAGATAGCACTGGCTCAGGTGCCCTGAGTGTTTGCTCGGCGTTGTCTGCAGTTATTGACGGTGGTGTACGGTGGTGAAACTTGGAGATGGAGTTCATGTTGGAGGAGCGGTAAGACGACCCGGACATTCACTGATTAGAGTAGCATGTCCTGTTCCATTGCAGCCGGCGCGCGCTAATGACGAGAAATTGTGAATTAGCCCCTGTCAGGACTTGACTTCGTCAAAAATTATAATCTAGCTGCTGATTATCAACACACCAGGGGCCCTAGATCTAGGTACCTACAGTACAGTAGATGGCCAGTTTATAGTATGCTAGCAGATACAGTAAATATTGCTTCCCTGTCGACACCATCATCTTCATGGCCTGTAAGCTATTGCGGGAGACTTGGCTGGAGACCAGCGCTCGCATGGTCAACTCGCCGCTTATTCTTCTCCATGATCCCTGGATCCAAACCCTCCTCCACCGGGATGTTCTCTGCCGCGTTGACCGCACCCCACCCATAGTGAAGTGCCCGTGCGTACTGCTTGAGATTAAGCGCCATCTGCGACGCGTTCCCCAGCGCGACGACGAGCTGTTTCCGTGCACCACGGATCTCTTTCTTATACACCCCGCCCGTATGCGTATCCAATGCGACCAATGCAGCTGCCAGTTCTGCGGAGCTCGTGAATGCCGCGCAGGCGAGATCCCAGTCGCCTTCAACGCTTTTCGCTGCTACGCGATCGCGGCCCACGTCCATCCGCGCACGTAACCGCTTCTGCGAGATTATGATCGTCCGACGGATGACGTCCGGGTGCGTGATTAGCTGGATGTGTTCGAGGGACGTCGTGGGGGATAGGCCGAGTGGCGGCTCCCGGAGCAGTTGAATGCCGTCGAGTGTTTTTCGCTGCGCAAGCACAGTGAGAAGGCGAATGAGTGCGGTAGGGCCGAGGACGTTCTCTGGGGCGACCGTTATTGGACTCTTGGGCGTTATATGCAACGTATCCGTCCAGGCGGGTTTTCTAAACATCTCTTGGTCGTTTTCGGCGCGGAGGTGCCTGTGCTCCTCGATGCTACTATTATGCGTCGATTTGACTTTGCGGCAGCCGACATAAGCGATGTAAAGGAACGACTCGAGCTGAGTGTTTGTTATGCTGCACGTTTCCGCGACATGTGTGAGAGTCGTTATTATCCGTAGGACGGTTATTCTGGAGACGCCTGAGGTCGGGTTGAGCGAAGGTATGAGAGCGACCAGGCGGGAGACACACCACGATACTTGGGGATCGCCTCGAAACCACCTTCAAATTCAAGCTCGGGGAACGTCCCGTAATCGCGCTCCACATGATCGAAATGTCTGATGTAGATAGGTCAGTTTAGGACGTGGTGTTAGTGATAATGACGAACGATACACCTTCGAACCTGTTTTAAATCTTCCTCTTGTATCCGCATCCATATCTCTACGAGTTGTTCAACCCAATCTGGACGCGATGTCAGGATTGCCATCGTCTGCGACATAACCCTCAGTTCTTGTGTTTTGAAAGCTTTGTCCGTGGGAGTGGCAACCCCCGCCACAGTATGCGGGGGCCACGCAAACAGAAAAGATAGCATCGCACACGCCATCGAGTCTACTTGAGTCTCTGGATGCCACTGTGGTCGACCAAGGATTGCGCAATCAAAGAGTAGATCAAGCACTCTTGGTTTCCTCTTGAGTATATCGAGATAGAACTTGCGTGGTCGGGGAGGTGAAGTACATAGAACACCATGAACTGTTCGTAAACCTTCCTCGAGATCCATGACATAGAAACGAGGAGGGTTTCCAATCCTATTCAAGATCTCTACGCGCCTCTACGGGACCAAATGAGTTGAGAGAAGAGACGCACAGGGAGCTTTGTGGATCCTACACTTTTACCGTCTCTGAGAACTCGGGTCTCTCCTGTATCTGGGTTCACCAGCTCAGATATGGCATCGCTACGTGTACGGAGCGTAAGAAGACAGGCGGCTTCGATGATGTCTGCAGCCGTAGAAGGAGAGATGCACTCTCCGAGGAACGAATCGGAAGAAAGGATATGCATCGTACTAGCCGCCACCTGCCGCATGATTCCTAGCTCATGCACAAACATCTGATCTCGAACAAGAAATGTGCCCATAGCTTAGGGACTGCATGCTGGGGATCGAGGCAGGACACTCACTTGAAGGCACAGCCCGACGATGTCCTCCCGAAGCATGATATCCAGCAGCTCTCGTCTTTCAACTATATCTCCAGACCGCATCAACTCGAAGAGGCATTGCATCGCGTTTGATTGAGCACTGTATCGGGTACCAGACACGCGTGGACCAGTCCACTCTTTCCGGGCCACAGCCAGCATCGTTTTGACAATACCTGCATTTATGCATGCTTTTACGAACGGGGAGAAGTGAGGCGCATCCTGATGTTCCTCAATGGACCGTCTGAATTCATTCCTTATTGATTGCTAAGCTCACAACATCCAGTTAGCAACTACTACGTATCGTGAGGAGCGAATGCTTTCAGTGGCGGGCTTACTGCATAGCTTTCGACGAATTTGGGGTCTTCGCGAGGGTCAACCAGCCTTGCAAACACCTTCTTCAAGTTTTGCGTTAGTCGAGGTTCAGGTGCGTGTAAGATCGCTTGTATGTTGGACGTGGATATGCTAGCCATTGCTCGAGTTCAAGAAACATGACATCGCTGCTAGTGGCCTACGCGACGCGTTTACCCGAGAGCTGTCAAGATAGCTGTCAGGCCTTCAGGCCTGCAGGGGCAACACGTTAATTCAAACCCCGCAACCTCTGTCTCGGTTGGCTTGAACTTGAACTCGACTTCGAGAAGCTCGCACAACGGAAGTTTGATGAGGTAACTACTATGAATAAAACAATGGTCGAGACCTATAGCTAGTAGATATTTGCATGGTACAATTTATCTACGTGGTATTCAGCGTGGTCGAGTGCGAGAAATTGAAGAGAAAAAAGACAATGATCAAGACAGTGGTACAGGCTGATGCATAACGAGCTACATCGCAGACCTCGTACATACACCCCAGCTGAATGGTATGTTACAATGACAAGTTGAGTCAATCGGTATGAATCTTGAAAAGACAGTACAACAACTGTGGCGACTTGCACACGGGGCACTGAGAGCGCTCTTTGATTTCGTTGGTGATACATCTGCAAACCTTGCGTCATACATCAAAACCATAAGATGAGCCGAAGTATTCCTTACGGGTTGCAGAACAAGTGACCGCACATGGTCGCCGTTAGTTTGTCACCGGCGTCCTGGCTGCAAAGCCTACAGATGAATTTCGACCGGGCTGGAGATTCGTTCTCAACTTCGTGCCGTGGTGACCCAACGTGGTCGACGCGGTAGGAGTCGTACGTCCACCCATTGCTAGCTTTCCAGCCGTTCTTTGGAGGGGTCCATCTGGGGAGCTTACTTGAACCTGAAAGATCATTAATGACCTAGCTTCAGCGCCCTTCAGGGCATGGAGGTCATCAAGGCACGCACCGTTCGTTTTTCCGTTCACCCTCGACAACTGGATATTAATGGGAGACCTCAACGCTGACGTCGGCGACGGTACGCCAGACGATTGAGAGTAAGACTGCGACGCATCCCACCGTTCATCCACGAGTCTCTCCTCAAAGTGAACCTCGCGGCGCTGCCCGCCATTAAGATAGCCGTAGCTGTCTTCGCCAACATAAGGGGAGGAAAGACCAGAGCTCAGTGGCATGGGAGGAGTCTGGGTCCGTGGAGGGGGGGTCCTCGGCGCCGAAGGCGCCTCCGAGTGCTCTGCCCCGTCCTGCATCCGCATTCGAGTCTCTGGTCCGTTTGTGATGGCAAGGTACGCCCGAGCTTCGCGCACGAAGTCGGGTGTCACAGGCGTCATGCCTCCACCAGGGGACATGCCAGATAGGGGTATACCGGCCGACTGCGGGGAGATAGAGCTGGGTGTGATAGAGACAGAGCTGGTGGGTGGTATATTAGGTCTCATTCTGCAAACACGCAAAACGGTGAAACGGACCTTGGCCGAGTGAAACGGCGGGGCACCGTCAGATACGATTGAGAGGGTAGCATAAAGCTTCGCGGCGGCCTTCCAGGGCTATTTTATTTTCAGTAAAGCAGGAAGGAAGAGCGGCGAATATCCTACCTTGAATATGGAACCTTTATCTGCGACAAAGACGGCATCGTAATCCTTGTTACATCCGTCGAACCCTGAGCAGACGAATCCTGGGGCGAATAAAACGCTGATGTCTTATGCATCTGCGTCTGCGCAACATTCGAGGCTGGTGCAGCCGAGGTGAGCGTCGGAGATGACAGCTTGCTGCTACTCCGAGTCCGAGACGGCACCGACCACCCTCCATCCGAAGTCGGAGTGGGTGCGACATGCTCTATTTCCGGAAGACCCACCGACGGCGATGTCAGCTCCGGAGACACAGGCGAACCCGACTCGTCCGAGGAGGTAGAGTGATCGTCGTCAATCACGAGCCTGGGCACGCGACGCGAGCTGACGCTCGAGACACTCGTATTCGTAGAGTCGATTCTCCTCGGCGAAGACGACACGCGCCTAGGAGAGTCAAAGTAGCCTGGCGGTGTCTCCGGCCGGTTCTCGGGGTTGAACGGGTTGCTTCGAGCGCCGTAGCTAGCTGCTGAGAATCGCCGCTCGGGGATGGGGGTCGCGATATCCGCCACGTTGGACAGCGGTGACGATGCTGCGATGTTCATCACAGCTGAATCGGCGAGTCCAGACAGCGAGAGCCGGCGGCCTTGCTCACGCGCAAGCGGCGAGCCGCGTCGTAAGGGCGAGGCGACACCGCCTATGGAGGCTCTCGTGCCGGACGAGGTCAAGGACGCACGACGGAAAGACCTTGGACTCGACGCGCGGCTCACACTGGCTGGTAGCGGGACTACAGCCGCGTAGGATGGGCTGTCTTGCTTTATGGACAGGCTTATCCTGCGGACTTGCGGAGGAGTGGCTGGTGCCGTGGTGAATGGTGTATCCTCATGAGCCGTCGACGTTGCAGCGACAGACTCGGGCCACGAGCTGCGTCTGACGTGGTCTGGTTCCAGGGAAGGCTGCCTGTGGCCCTTGACGAGATGCTAATATTTTTGTGTTAGCGAGCCATTCAAGTGATATAGACTCCGAACGTACGTGGTGGAGCATCTCTTCGTCGGGAAATCGCTCGCCGCAAACTTCACACTGTGGATGCTTTGAGAAATGTTTGACGTGGTTTTCTAGGCCCTCAACTGTATCAAACTGGAAGTGGCAAAGAATGCAATGCATGTCTGGATGCTGGTATGAACCGTGCTAAAAGCCAGACTGTGAGACGGACGAGCGGACAAGAAATAATATTGCATCTACCTCGATGAATGCCTGGTGACTCGGGAAGCCCTCTGAGCATCGGAAGCAAGTCGGATGTTTACTCGAAGTCACCCAGTGCCTCGGAAGATCCTCAGCCTCAAATACCTCGCCATCGCAGACCTCACAAGGAATGCGAGGATGGAACGACTCAACATGCTACACACAACAACGAATCAGCGACCGAACCCCTCTATATGAGAAAGGCCACTCACCATCGCAAGATCCCCATCGGCCTCGAACCCCAGCCCGCACCGCGGACACACGGGGTGCACATCCGGCACGCGCCTAAAGTGCTCCGACAGCTCCTCCTCCTCCGTGTATCGCGTCCCGCACACGCCGCACCTGAACGGGTACCGGTGCTCCCCGACGTGCTCCTCCAGCGCGTCGCGGCTCCGGAAGCCCGTCTTCAGACACGTCACGCACGTGTGCGCCGCGTACCCGTGCTCCTCCGCCTGCTGTAACGTAGCGAAGCGCAGCTCGCAGAAGCCGCAGCTGAACATCGGCAGCGGCGGCGGGTGTTCCCGCCCGACATGCGCATCCAGATCGGCCTGCGACCCGAACTTCTCCGCGCACCGGTCGCACGGGTAGCGCTCCGCGTCGTGCGCCCGCTCACCATGCTCCGCGAGCTCCGCCTCCGTCTCGAAATACGCCTCGCACAGCGCACACGGGAACGAGTGCACGAGGTCCACGTGCAGCTCCATCTCCTCCCGCGACACGAACGTCTGCCCGCACTGCGCGCAGCGCACGTAGTGCGTCGCCTCGAGGTGCGCGGTGAGCTCCCCCGCGGACGCAAAGTCCGCGCCGCGGCACGACATGCACTCGAACCGGAGGTGCTTGGCCTTGCGGTGCGCGCGCAGCTCGTTGTCGTTACGGAGGTAGAGCCCGCAGTGCGCGCAGAGGACGCGGTGCGCGTCGACGGTGTGCTGTGCGAGTGCGACGGAGGACGATAGAACAACGGTGCACGCGTCGCATGCGAAACGGTGCTCGGCGCTCTTGTGCTGCGCGAGCGCCGCGGCGGTTCCGAGCGTCTTGCCACTCGGGCCGCACTCGTCGCACTTGAACGCAGGCTCAACCCTCGTATCAACCCTGACAACAGGCGCAGCCTTCTGCTGTTGCTGTGGAGGTGGCGGCGGCGGCGTCGACGGAGCTAGAGGCGGTGCCGACGGATGCCTCGCCCGCACATGCCCCTCACGCACCTCGGGCCCCACAAACGGCACTCCACACACCCCACACGTCGCACGGCGCGGATGCGCATCCGCGATATGCTGCTGCCGTGCCGCGCTCGTGCGGAACGCGCGCGCACACCCGCCGAGGCCGCAGACGTGGTGCGCGCCCGCGTGGCTGCTCTTCATGTGCGCGACGTGCGCGATCGCGCTCGGGAAGGGTGTGCCGCAGAGCGCGCAGGTGTGGTCTTCTTCCTCGACGTGTTTGTGTGCGGATGCTGGGGTGGGAGCTGGAGCTGGGACGGGTGCGGGAACGGGGGCTGAGGCAGGAACGGGTGCGGTTGCGGGAACGGGAACAGGAGCGGGATGCACCACCCGCGCGTGGCTGGTGCATCTAGCCTGCGAGCTAAAAAGCAGCGGGCACTCCGCGCGCTCGCACTTGATGTTCATGGGGTGCTTCGCGGACGCGTGGGCCTGCAGGTCGAGCGGCGCCTTGAAGCCCGTCGCGCCGCACTCCGCGCACGCGTACGCTGTCTTCCCGGTGTGCGCCTGTGTCAGATGCTGTCGTGTCGTAGCATAATGAGTAGGAAAGCAAGATGTCAGTTAACCGAATTGAAGTCATAGACACAGAAAATGAAAGGACGGAGACTGCTGCTGAGCGGCAAACGAACGGGAGGGGACTGGGACTGGGACTGACCTGATGCAACCCCTTCTTGTCCGCGAACCACACGGCCTTCGCGCCGTCAGGACACAACGCACAGTACACCTTCGTAGGCTGCGGCATTATGCTGTCACGGTCGAGCTGAAACTAGCGTCAAGGAGTTGATGAAATGCGCTGCGCTATTGTGCCAGCCAGCCAGCTAGCCTGCGACGTTAGTGTTGATGATGTTGATGATAGATGATGACAATGCAGACCCAGCCGTTCCCTGCAACGCCCGTTCTTAAGGGACCTGGGCACCCGGGTGGCACCATGAGCCTGCCTCATGTCGGGCTCGCCTAATATCACATCACGGGTGCCCAGCTCCCCTGGCCCCGCACCGGCGCTATCTGTTACGTGAGAGGTGAAATGTTAGGGGGCGATGGGGGAGCCGGACGTGCCACAAACCATCCGCTTCAGCTGCAGCCACTGCAGCCACAGTGCAGTTGTATGCACCCCTCGTTGACCCGGTGCTGCTCGCCACACAGCGATCGCAAGACGAGCGCCACGTGCCTTGCCTGGAGAGGCCATCTGCGGCACGCAAGAGGCATGTATGTCCCTTCGACAGCATTAAGCAGTATCATTGACGTGGAAGTGGAATGAAAGCCGACTGAGTGCAGCCTACTAGCACTATCCACCGGCTCCGCGGCCCTGATCGCGGTCAGCCGCGTCGGATGTGCTGTGTGCCCTGGGCTACGCGTTAGCATTAGCCAGTCAGCAGGGAGCGAAGCTGATGTCGCTGGGTTCGAAAGGGCAAGTCAGACACCACTTTGCCCGTTAATGAAAAGCTTAATGAAGCTTAACCTGGAGCGAAGCATATACATGCATGCCTGCTATAGGCCCTTCACCAGGCCTCATCGCCGGGACCCGTAGCGAATGATTGCGTTGCGGACAGTGATTCGCAAACGCCCTTTGTCAGATTAATGGGCTGTGGTAGATTATAACATCGCAGGCCGAGCCAGGAATAGATAGATAGATGGATACCGAATACAATACTACTTATGTTGCTATTAGTTGAGGAAGTCTTGATACGCCGCTCTCCACGCAGCGTTTCCCCCCGTCTCAATCACATCCTGAGATCGGGGTTCAGTCAGCAACAGCTCAAGCGCGATAGGGTGAACTAGAGCATACCCCGTGGCAAGGAATGACCCTGTCAAAGTCCCAGGAAGCGACAGTCTTAGCGTCCCGGCGCATGTTCCTAGAAAACAGTATGAGAAGACGGATAGGGACGGGGTATGCGAGCTTACTCTTCGTGGTCGTGATGGCTGTTCACGAACTTGCGGTGCGCGCTCGAGTATGGGTTCAGAGGGAGGAACTTGAACGGGTTAGGCGACCAGGTCTTGGAGTACTGCGGGAGAGCAATCAGTCACTCGATACCCGACCCTTTCCCTGCCCAGACATGCCTGTTCCTTGGCCGGGAGGTTGAACAGAAGATCCGCCTGGACCATGGTCTTTGACGCAGGATGGAAGAACGCGGCGTCTCTGTTGCTGAAACCCGAGAAGTAACTACACGTATGGGCGTAAGCCATACCACACGTAGCTTTCGGAGCCGTTTACACACTAACCAGTACTTTATCTAAGATGGATGTGTTAGTCGGATAAACCGAAGCATGCTGCTGAATAATACTCGCATCGTTCTCGAATCCGTACCAAGCGTCCGGTGGATCTCTTCCCAACACTAGGCCGCCATGATAGTCAGATTAACAGCCCAGCCGGTTGAGCACTGACAACGTACATCCATCGAACCTGAGATTTTCATCGATCCGATCCATAACGCCCTCGGGTGCAATGAGCTTTGCATCCGGATACGCCTTCTGGAACTGCCCTACGACCCGATACAAGGTGAGATGAGCGGACACGTTGTGGATGCATGCACCGAATCGCGCCACTCACCCAGGTACAGATTGTGCACCAGGTCCGCGCCTATGATGTATCTAGAGGATGCATTCAGCTACGTGTCTAGGGGCAAAGGGGAGGGAGGGAGGAAGGGGGAAGAGAAGAGAAGAGATGGATACGGACTTGACGTTGCCCAGCTCGCCTAGTTTTGCCTTGGTCTGGTCGCACAAAGGCGTGGAGGCGAGGACCCAGACGTCGCCGTCGCTGAGCTTGATGGCGGTCGAGCGGCCGCCCACAGGGAAGACACCGTAACGCGCAAAGGGGCTGGTAGAAGGTTCAGGACTTGAAGTGTGTGTTGTCAAGATAGGACAACGTACCGCGAGAAGGTCCAGATGTCTTTGGTGACCTGCAGATAGAATGAGTGAGTATATACGTGTTTAGTTGCTGTGTAAGCTCACTTCGCGAATGATAATGCCGCTAGACATGTTGCTTGACTTTGCCCCTTTCTTGTGTTGGTGGAGGTTTATATATGACCTCAGACCGCGCGAGACCGACTGGATCACGTCATTGGCTCGGCAACTGGGCACGCCGCCTGAGAACGGACAGGGGCGCATTGGTCATCCCGACGGCTTGTCGGTGGGTCGCAGTCACCGGACGCGCTCAAGGCAATCACACTACATCAAAAATTAAGGTCGCGCTTTGTGATTCGCACCGTAAGCGTTCATTAGAAAACTTGTCATACATATGATTCACCGCGACTCTCTTCGACTTGGCGCACGTTACTTGCCGCGACATACCCGGCCGTTTTCACACTCGAACCGCTTCATGGACGTTCTCAGCCCCCGAGCAACAATCATACTAGTATCAGAAGTACAGTAGCAAGTAAAACCATAAGTTACAGAACGACCAGCAGAACCAAACCATCATCACACAAATTCATCAGTACCCGCCCTCTTGAGCGTATCCTGCCAGTCCAAAGCGAGCTTTGCCAGCGTCTTGCTGCGCGCTGTAGCAAGTTAGCGAGGGAATGTTCCGCGACTAGCACTACGGAACCCACCAAAGATACCCAACACCTCGCGCAAAAGGTCTCGTTTACTGAACCCAAGCACAGACGGCGTCCAGCTCCCGTCCTCCCGCCCAGGCCGCCTACAAGCCATCATCAATCAATCACCGTAAACATGAGAAGGGACGAAATGAAAACGCACCAATACACCGGCCCATAAAACTCCCTGATAAGCTCCTCCGCCTTGCCCCTGAATCCCTCATCCGCGATCTTCTTCGTGTACACCAGCAGCGCCTGCTTATACTCCGCCGCACTGTCCAGCGCCCTCGCCGCATGCATCTTGCTCTCCAAATGACCCAGCGTCAGCGCCGTACCCCACCACTCGGGCCGCACCGCGATCGCCGCCCCTCCCCTTCCTCCTTCCGCGCCACCACCACCACCCCCGCCGCCGCCAACAGCCTGACTCTGACTTGTATTCTCCTCAGCCGCACCAGCAAGCGCACTCTCCACCGCCGCCAACGCCCCCTTATCGACGGCGCGCGACGACACGCTCAAAGCGGGGCCAGAACGCTGCCGCCCCTGCCACGCGTCCGAGCCCTCCGCCCACCACCGCTCGCTGAGCTTCGTCCACGCACATAACCGCGCGTCGTACGCGTGCGCCGCGCCGCTCGAGCACTGCAGCACGGGCACGCCGTTCGGCCGTACGGCGGCCGAGACGATCGCGCTGTTGGGCGTGTTGAGCAGGGGGCGGACGGAGACGGGCGGAAAGTGCGCGGTTTGTTTCTTTACGTTTCTGATGCGATTGGGTGCGATTGAGTTCACGATCAACTTGAAGAGGGGATGGGGAAGGACGTACATGGATGTGAGCTGCCCAGATGCGGAGAGCACCATGAGCGAGCCCTTGCAGCCGTGCATCACCGAGCACGGCGAGCCGAGGCACAGTGTAGGCATCAACCTATTGATCAACGAGTGAATTTAGTTTAGTCGCAATGCAATCGAGCGTGCGGAAGCACACGAACCTCCGGCCCGTATGCGAATAAACATTCACAGATCCATCGTGCATCGCGACCGCGCAGAAATAGCTCGACACAGCGAGCGCCAGCACCGGCGAGGGCAGATAGTCGAGCCACTGCGTCTGCTTCCCGCTCGTGAACATCACCTCGTTGTACCCTACACCCCACACCAAATCAAATCAATTTCAGTTTCAGTTCCACGCCACTCAAAACGCGAAGCAACGCACCACTAGCACCCCCCTCGGCGTTCCTCACCTCCAACACGTCCTCCGTGCCCTCCACCTTAGCGCTCAGATAGCTCATCAGCGGTGCAACAGGCAGCATAACATCCCCCTCAGCATAATGCGGCACAGAGGGCCCCGGCGCCGCATACGAAGACGCCGACGCCGACGAAGCAAGCTCGCGCACAACGACGACAGGCTCGCGCGTGCGGTCCCCGCCGAGCGTGCGCGGCTTGCTCGGGCGCTCGCCGCGCTCGTCGACGAGGTCGAGCACGGACGCCTTGCGCTTGCCCTTGTTGTTGTTCATGCTGATGCTGTTGCCGTGCGGGGACGACCCTGCGGTGTCGAGCGCGTCGATGGGCACGTCCATGTCCATGTCGTCGCCGAAGCCGAGCGTGGAGGTGCGCGGTGACGCGGAATGCGAGTCCGACGTGTGTCGCGATTTGATGGACGAGGAGTGTGTGGGGAGCGGGAGGGACTGGACTTTGATCTCGGCCCGGCTGGACATGGGGGCGGACGTGGAGGCGGCGGCGGCGGCAGCGTGGCTGCTGCGGGCCGCGGCGGTCGAGGCAGAGGGCACGTTCGCCATGAGCATCGGCTGCACCCGTTTCTTATTCTTCCCCCGCTTAGCCACAAGCGTGTTGATCCTCTCGCCGGCACCGTTAACACCGCCAAAGCCAACAGACTGCCCGCGATCGGGCGAGCGCGAAGGGGAGGGAGGCGGCGTCATGCGTGCGACACTCGGTCTTTGCGCGTCCGCGTCCGCGAGCGCAGAGGCGCCGTGTGAGAAACCCTCGGGTAGTGGTGGAGACACGAAGCCGAATTTCGCGAGGTAGTGCTCCTGTGCGCTGTGCGGCGCGATGCCCTCGAGCTCGTCGGGGTCGAAATTGAACACGGCGATGGTCCCGTCAGACGAGGCCGCGTATAGGGTAAGACCGTCCCACGACCTATATATGTACGGCACGAGGCCTGAGCTAAGCCGAATGGCTGAGGGTATGGACAGGTATGGACGCACCAGCTGAGGTCCATGATTTGCCGCTCGAACACTTCGCGGGCGACGATCAGCGGGCGGGCAGACTTGGTCTGCCAGATGGAGATGGACCTGTCGTCTGCGCCGAGGGCGACGACGGAGCATATGTTGGCTGTGGCCAGGGGTTGAGAGGGATTGCGGAGGAAGATATGGGGATTATATGACTGGTCTCGTGATGAGTAGAGGCGAGAACCAACGAATAGAACAGGCGTACTGCTACTTCTACTGTATTTTCATGTCCAACGAGGCTGATTTCCGACGTCCAAGAGCCCCGGGTGATGACAGCGGCAATAAACACAAATCCCTTGTTGTTCGTCGCGTTCGACGCGGTTATATGCGCGCCATCTGGTGACCAACTGCATCGCCAAGTCAACCCCGTGCAAGTAGCTCCTGTCGAATAATACGTACCTTAGTCTCCGGAAAAATGTGCTCCCCGGCGAATCTTCAAACGGCTTCCGTATCTCCGCCTCCAGCTCCCAATCCGTCGTCCGCCATATCTTGACCGACTTGTCGTCCGACTGCGTCGCGAGGAACTCGCCGACGGGGTCCCAGCACACGCCCTTGACGAAACCGTGGTGCTGGTCGAGCTTGCGTATCCGCTCGAGCGTGTAGCCGCACCACACGATCACCTGCGAGTCCAGGCCGACCGACGCGAGATAGCGGTCTTCTGGCGACCATGCGACGTCCGTCACGTCTGCAGTGCGATGTCATTTTCATATATCACAGAGAGAGAAAGCATGTCCGAAGACCTACCACTCTCGTGCCCCGGCAGCCGCTTCATCGGCTTCCACCCCTCCACATTCACCTCGTTCGACCCAAACACCTTCCCCCTACCAGACCTGTACCGCGTCAGGGGCGAAGCCATTCAGTAAAGTCAACAAACCCGACACAGCAAAACTCACGGGTCCAAATCCCAAATCATCACAATCTCGTCGTCGCTCCCGCTCGCGAGCCAGCGGCCCGAGTGCGCCCAGCGGACGACGAGCACAGGGCCCGTGTGCATGCTGAGCGTGCACAGCGACTTGGGCGGGCGGTTCGCGAGCTCCGAGGTCTCGTTGAGGATCGGCTTCGTGCTCCATATGCGCACCTTGGCGTCGAGCCCGCCCGTCGCGATGCGCGAGCCGTCCGGGTGGACGTGCACGGAGAAGATGGAGAGGCGCTTCGCGCTCAGCGGGTCGTTCCGCGTCGTTACGTCTGTGTGGTCAATGTGAAGGTAGGTTGGTCATGGGTGTGGAAGAGGTAGGAAGGGACTTGCCTTGGTGAATGACCCATGAGGGCTTGGTGAACCGCATCGCGCGTGGCGGAAGTTGCGGTGAGAATTCGGGGGGTACAAAGTTCGAAAGCGCACGTCAGAGACTCCCATTTGCGCTCTGTGAACGACTCCCACGCCCCGAAGATTCGAATTAGCTCCTGTCAAGACAAAGTCGAGTTGATGTATCACACGAGAAGAGAGAAGAGTTCAAGGCACAGTTGATTCAACGCAATATATCGTACAACAGCGTTCTAACAAAATAATGAAGCTACAAATCGTTCAAGTGTATCAGAATGTCTTTTGAAATATAATAATCGGCACAGGAATCGAATTATGAAGGCATCTTTTCCCTAACAATCTTTTCGTCGTCGGTTTAGTGGTGATCGCTGTTTGAGAGTATAAGGTAAAGACAGAGAAAAGAATGCTGGAGACTCACTGTCTGCCTTGGCGATCACCGTTGTCGCCGCGGTGTTCTCCCCTCTTGTCGTGATGACCCCCCGTGTCGTGGTGTTCACCCTTCTCATCGTGGTGGTCCCCCCTCTTGTGGTGATGCTCGTCCTTGTGATGATGATCACCTTTGTGCTCGTGACGGTCTCCCCTCTTGTGGTGATGATCATGGTGATCGTGGTGGTCGTGGTGGTCCCCCCTCTTGTGGTGATGATCATGGTGGTCGTGGTGGTCATGGTGGTCGTGGTAGTCTCCCCTCTTGTCGTGATAACCCTCGGTGTCGTGGTGGTCACCCTTCTCGTCGTGGTAGTCCCCCCTCTTGTGGTGATGCTCGTCCTTGTGATGATGATCGCCCTTGTGATCGTGACGGTCTCCCCTCTTGTGATGATGATCATGGTGATCGTGGTGGTCGTGGTGGTCTCCCCTCTTGTCATGATAGTCCCCCATGTCGTGGTGATCACCACCCTTATCGTCGTGATCATCTCCGCGCTTGTGGTGATGGTCCTTCATGTCGTGGTGGCCACCCTTATGGCCGTGATGATCCCCCCTCTTGTGGTGATGATCGCCCTGGTCGTGGTGGTCACCGGAATCGTCGTGGTGGTCATCCCTCTTGTGATGATCCTCTTTCTTGCCGTGACGACCGAACCATGGACGGCGACCCTCCTTCTAGTCTACGTTAAGCTGACATTCACCAATATCTGAAAAGAGTACAAACCTTGCCATCGTGCTTATCATGATGTTCATGCTTCTTCGAGTTACCAAACCATGGGCGGCGTCCCTCCTTCTGCATTCGTTGAGTTGACAATTATCTGGCATTGAAAAGTGTACTAACCTTGCCAGCATCATTGTCGTGGTGGTGGTGGTCGTGATGATCCCCCCGCTTGTGGTGGTGATCCCCCTCGTTATGGTGGTCACCAGAGTCGCCGTGGTGGCCATTATCATCGTTATGATCCCCCCGCTTGTGGTGATGATCGCCCTGGTCGTAGTGGTCATCATTATCGTGGTGGTAGTCACCCCTCTTGTGATGATCCTCCTTCTTGCCGTGATGCCCAAACCATGGGTGGCGGCCTTCCTTCTAGATTACGTTGAGCAAACATGCACCGTGATCTGGAAAGCGTACGAACCTTGCCATCATGCTTGTCGTGGTGGTCTATCTTCTTCGGATGATCAAATTTCTTCTGAAAACAGCATCAGCGCCATATCTCCCGTCAGCTCAGAATATCCACATACCTTGTCATGGTCGTGATGTCCAGGCCAAGGCTTGCCGTGATGATCATACTTGCCACGATGACCTTCCTCGGGCTTAGAGTGCGTCTACTCAAAGTCAACGACCGTATAGAAACAGCCACAGAAAGAAATACACACCCTGTGCTCCGGGACAGGATAGAACGGCGCCGCACGCTTGCGCTGGCCGCCGCCACCATTCCCACCGCCGTTCCCGCCGCTCGAGCTACTGCCGGTGTTTTTGTCAGGCGCGCCCAAGTCGGTCGGCAAGAACCGCAGAATGCCCGTCGGCAGCTCGTCCAGGACGGCGGCGAGCGAGTTTGACGGGTTCGCCGCGGCGGCAGTGTCCGTGGGCGCGGAGCCTGACGTGTCGGTGGGTGCGGAGCCCGAAGTATCCGTAGGCGCAGAACCAGAAGTGTCGGTAGGTGCTGAGCCGGACGTGTCAGTGGGGGCCGAACCCGAAGTGTCGGTAGGCGTGGAGCCCGACGTATCAGTGGGAGTTGAACCCGAAGTGTCGGTGGGCGCAGAGCCCGAGGTGTCGGTAGGCGCAGAGCCCGAAGTGTCGGTAGGCGCAGAGCCCGAAGTGTCGGTAGGCGCAGACGCATCCGTCGCCGTAGGCGAAGAAGTGTCGGAAGCGGCGGCGGTGTCGGTGGGCGCCGATGTATCTGCCGCCGTGGGCGTAGACGTGTCTGTGACGGTGACTGTGACGGTGGGTACCGATGTGTCTGTCGCCGTAGGGGCAGACGTGTCGGTACCGGCAGCAGCAGCAGCTGAAGTGTCCGTAGCAGCGGGTGCAGCTGCATCAGTGCCAGCAGCCGTGCCCGTAGCCGCAGACGTGTCCGTAGCCGTCGGCGTGGAAGTGTCTGTGGCCGTAGGGGTAGTAGTATCCGCGGCGGGGGGCGTCGACCGGTTGACGGCAATGGTCACCGTCGGATGGGCGCTGGTAGCGGACTGACCAGCTCCAGACCAATTTACAGTCTGCGTGGGGACCAGATAGCCGCTATGGGGCGTGTACGTTGAGGGAGCGCTAGATGCGGCGCTATTTCCAGAGTTTTGACGGCGCTGGGGAGGGGCACCACTCGTAGCGGTGGTAGCAACACCAGTCCCAGTAGCGTTTTGGCCGCCGGTATAGTCGTAGCTAGTGGTAGGGAAGATAAGGCCGCTGCTGCTAGGCGGGGCCGAGCCTTCAGCGGGAGCCGTAGCCGAAGCAGAGGCTTGCCTGCGCACAACCGAAGCGGTCTGAGCACCAGATGTGGCGGTAGGCGCGGACGTATCAGTGCCGTTGCTGGCGACAATGGAGAGGGGAGGTGCCCCTGAACCCGTAGCCGGCGCCACAGCAGAGCCAGTGGCTTGCCTGCGCGCAACAGCAGCACTCTGGGTACCAGAAGTACCTGCAGGAGCGGAAGTATCGGTACTGTTGCTAGCTAAAATGGAAAGGGGTACAGCAGCCGATGTTTGAGCAGTTGCCGCAGCGGAGCTGGGAGCTTGTCTACGTGCGACCGACCCGGTCTGAGCGCTGGTAGTGCCAGCAGGCGCGGCAGCGCCAGAGCTGCTGGTGGGGCTACTGGAGACGGGGGGAGCGCTCTCAACGGCTGGGACTAACGTCGGCGCGGCCGCTACAGCAGAGCCGGAAGCCTGGCTGGTCAGAGGCTGAACCGTGGCATTCTGGGGGGCGATTGGGCTGGAGGTGGCAGCGGCCTTCCCGGCGGCGGCAGGGTCTTGCCCACCCGTCCAGTCGTACGTCGAGCCAGCAGGCCATATGACACTGTTGCCACTGGACTGGAGCGGGAAGGTGTTGGTGGGGACGACGGTGGGAACGGCAGCAACCGTAGAAGTAGGTGTAGCCGTTGTAACCGTCTGCAACCCGTTGAGGTTGAATTCGGTGGAAGGAAACTCGTTCGCAAATTCGCCGGCACCGAAGTCCTGAAGAAGACAGATAAGTCAACTCTCAGGAGAAGAAAAGGGTTGTTAAGATGGCTTACGGTGAAGTCTGGATCGGTCGCCTGGCGAGGAATGACGAAGCCGTTGGCGGTCAAGGTGACGGAGGCCAAGGCGAGGACGAGTGGGAATGCATTGGTGGATGGCATGGTGGTGCGACGGTAGGTGTCTTTGAGAGGTTAAGTCGCGGATCGAGCGGATGAACTGGTCGATGATCATTAACGGAAGCATCTCTCAGGGTTTTATACCAGCCCCCAAACCTTTGGAGCAGAGAGGAGGTACATTGACAATCCACCTTCGCCCGACGCGGGCTCGAGATCGCCACCACTGTGTGTTCCTTCCGGCGCGCAGTCGGCTGGCCGTTTCGTGAAGAACGCTGTCAGTGATGCCGAATGAATGGAAAAGAGGGGCAGTAATTCTCATCAGTAATCGAGAGGCGCAGAATTGCTAGAATCATAGAAAGGAGGTGAAAGATGGCGCAGTAGCGTTTCATGTTTGCCAACATAAGCATCCCAAGGGGAAGCCAGAGGGGCTCGGAGCCAAATTCAGAGTTGAATCGCCTGAAAAGCCTTATGCATAAGCAAAGGTCCGCAGTACGAAATGGAGGACGATAGCGGATGACGTGCCGTTGCGTACGACCGACTTTTGGAAGTTTTCTGAAATGCCCTTTCAGCCTTTCGTTAGGGACGTTTCATTTTCTTTGGCAGCGTCCATTGCATAGGATATTGAGACAGATGAATGCTCTCTCTCTAGATTTTCGGCGTGGAAAGTCAAGCCTATCGACGGTGTGAGTGAGCGTATGGAACAAGAGTCGTGGGAACATATATAATTTCTCGCGTTGGAACCCATGAGTCCTTCGTCAAACATACCCTTCAGTCTTACGTGCAACCTATGCCAACCACCACACTTCACTGGAGTTAAACATGCAGATATTTATCATTATACTATCATACTAGGTGCGCTAGGCTGCTAGTGGACCAAGAAACGGCCCACGACGTCCAGATATCGCTCCGTCTCTTCAATGTGCGCAACATGCGCGGACTCCGCGAACTGCACCCACTTGACCTGCCGTATCTGCTCAAAGAAGGGGGAGATCGATAGATCCTGCACCTCGTCGTAGCGACCGTTTGTGAGCAAGGTGGGCACTTCAATGTTGTGCAACTCGGACGACAGGTCAAAGGTCTTCAGCGAGCCCGTGATGTAGAACTCAGAGGGACCGTTCCTACGCGCGAATCTCAGTGCTCAGAAACAGGTGGATGGGACGCAATGCATGAGGACCGCTCACATGGTGAGATACACAGTCGGATCTGCGCCCATACTCTCCTCTGACTTCTCCTCAACATCGGGCTTGGGGCGTATCCGACATTCGTGCCGCACGCCAAACGCCTCGCATGACTCCTTGTAATCCTCACTGTCGGTCGTTCCAGCCGCCTCGTGCCTATTCAGCGCGTCCTGCACGCCAGGGGGCAGTGCCTTCCGCAGCTCCGCGCACCCCTCTACGAACAGCGCCATGCTCGCTGGCGATGAGGAAATCACGAGCTTCCGGAGCCCCTTCGGCTTCTGCACCGCAAACGAGGCCGCGAGCATCCCGCCCCACGAATGGCCCAGGATGTTGTACCCGCCCTGGATCCCAAGGTGCCTCAGGAGGTTGTGCAGTTCATCGATGAAGAGCTGCACCGTCCAGAAGTCGGTGTCGCCTTTCTTCTCGGGAAGGTGCGTGGAAAGTCCGCAGCCGAGCTGGTCGTAGATGACCACTGGCATGGAGAAGCGGTAGGCGATGCCAGCGATGGGCTCGACGTACCAGTGTGGGAACCCGGGGCCACCGTGGAGAACCACGGTAGGGGTGACCGAGCGGTCCGATAGATCGCCGTAGACTTTGTACCAGGTCTTGCAAGGCTTGCCGGCTGCGGGGACGCTGAAGTCGGCCTCGCCTTCAACTGTACGTAGAGGGGCCATGTCTGTACGAGAGGTAGCTAGCCGTTGCTTTATCAACGATATTGATTGATCGAGGTGATTGACTAACTGAGCTTTGGTCGGAGCGGGTTATGATGCAATTCAGAGCAGCGTTCTGCTTAAATGTTCACTAGCCGACCCGGTTGCGCATGCGTGAAACATGGTGGTCAGCATGACTCGCAAGGTAATAAGGTAGCGGTGAGAACGGTACCGATACATCTTGTATATAAACATCCGCGAGCGCATTCCCATTTGGCAGACCTCCGTTTCATGTAAGAAATGACCAGTTACCTCGATGGCTTTCGAGTTGCACGAACTTCGGATATCGCAAAGCACTGATGAATAGGAAATTCTACATAAAATGTGGTGTATAACGCGATTCTAATTGTGTGGGATACAGTCAATTAGTGCCCTATACCAGTTGAAAATAGTCGGTATTTATGTTCGAGAACGGGAATCGGGGGTGTGAATCAAAGACATCGGCGGGTGTGGCCACGCACAAATAGTCGTCTGCGGAGGAAGGCCATTTACTAAGGTCGGCTTCGGAGAGCGTGGGGGTGCTGTGCTTCAGATATCAGCAGACCACTGAGTCGGTCTTCCCAGCCCACGGGAGGATATTCATCATCAAATTCGCCTTGTGACTCACTGCGATGAGCCAACGCGTATTGGCGGTGCTAGGGACGTCGTCAAAGATCAAGGGTCCTGACGAACATGGTAGGGAGCTCACCAGTTTCAAGCCACCTTCATTCTTGAAATCTTTTGCGCACATGGAGCAGTAGTGGTGATGGGACGACAAGATGTAGTGCTACCATTGCGCCGTGCGGTCAGCATGGCTAATCCCAATTGACAAGGAGAGGAAGACGCTTACGGTTTGAAGCGAGGTCACGTTAAAGAATCGACGGTTGCAGATTGCGCAGCACAGGTGAACCTTCGAAGCCTGGTCCCCTTCGACCAGATATTTGGGGAGAGATTCGTGGCAAACCTGGCACTGTGACATCGTTGGATCGTAGGAGGTCGGTGGCGTTTCCTTACGGTGATAGCGAGAGAAGACTGAATGAGAATTGCAGGAGACCAAGTGTTTCAAGACGCCGTCTCCATTTTATAGGTCTGACTCTCCATTTTATAGCTCTGACTTGGCGGTCTAAATCGTCACATTGGAGTGTACCAAGAAAGACGTCAGACACAGATATAGGAGCAAAATGACGATGCGCATGCTCGAGCGGGACGAGGCATAGATAGGAGCCAAAAGTGAGAGACCCTAACCCTAATCGTCCTGTCAATGGAGGCTAGATGCCATCCAAGCCTCGGTCGACGTCAGTGCAATTCGATGGCCATCCACCAACGGCCACTCGTGTATTAGTATGCGCTCTGTGAAATACTTCATGTCAGCAGATTCTCGGAGACGGAAGCAAAAGGTCAGAAAGAGGGAGCGTAGCTGGACGACACCATCCATATCGAGCGTGCGTGGCAAGGGACAGAAACGAGAGCTCCAACCGACCGTTCGAGCCGACGCGTCTTGGCTAGTACTTTTGCATTAGCAACACCACTTCGCGTCAGCATCACCAGGCCAAAAATAAGGGCTTCTTGGGCGGAATCTCGCGGAATAAACGATGTCATAATTACGGAAGTAGTCGCACAGGACGAACCCGGGTCCGTGCGTTGTGTGGCAGGCAAGAGCGGACTTTGAAGGCAGAGGCGGTTTCAACAAAACCCATTCCATACAGGCGAACCACCTAATTTCCCTTCCCGTCCACCACACACACCCTCCCAATCCCCCACAAGCAAAGAAATCATGTCGGACACCGAGGGCAGCGGTAAGAAGAGCGGTTATCGCCTGGAATACGCGTCCTCTGCACGCGCCAAGTGTAAAGGTGCGCTCCATGGTTTACTCAGCGATGAGGCGGCGTGCTCAACGGCGTCTATTTTATTATGCAGGTCCCAAGCCTTGTGCTGGTATGTGGCATGCTGCGCGAAATGAATACATGATGCTAACGCGAATTTAGGCAACACTATTGGCAAGGGTGAGCTACGTCTAGGCTCTATCGTCGATTTCCGCGGAAACACGTCTTTGTACGCGTCCTTCGCCATATAATGACTCTAGCTCATCTTGACAACCAATGTACAGCGCGTGGCGTCACTGGGGATGTACGACGACCAAGATTATTAGCAACATGAAAAACAGCTTCGAGTCGGCTGATGAGCTCGATGGCTACGAAGACTTAAAGGACGAGGACCAGGAACGGATCCGCAAAGCCTGGGATGACGGCAAGGTTGCCGACGAAGACATTCCCGAGACCGCTAGGAAGCCCGACAATGGCGAGGAGGAGGAGGAGGAAGAGGAGAAGCCCAAGAAGAAACGCGCGCCCAGGAAAAAGAAGGACGAGGACGAGGATGACGAGAAGCCCAAGAAACCCGCTGCTCGCAAGCCTCGTGCTAAAGTACGTTCCGTTTTTTCTCTGTTCCTCCTCACATTCCTCGAGCTGACCGTACGCTCAGAAAGCTGCTGCTGCTGTTTCTGATGCTGAGGCCGTTACTGAGGACGAAAAGCCCAAGAAGCGTTCCGCGGCGAAGAAGCCCGCCGCTAAGAAGGAGAAAGCTCCCGTTAAGAAACGCGCCCCTAAGAAGAAGAAGGTATGTCTTGTGAATCATCTTCGTCATGCCTGTCACTGAGCGTATAGCAGGCTGATTCTGAGGAGTCTGGAGAAGACTTCGGCGATGAGCTTGTCGGTGTCGAAGACGATGAGGAGGTAGAGGCCCATCTGACCGAGGAGGAGGAGACGGGTAAGAAGCGCAAGGTAAGTCATATGGCGGTTGTTGTTCAGCTCTATACTCAGTATGTGTCCATAGCGGCCCGCCTCGAAGCCCAAGCCCAAGCCCAAGGTTTCCAAGCCGCCTTCATCTCGGGCAAAGAAATCAAGAGTCGTCGAAGTTGAGGAGGACTACGACGAGTAATTCATCTTTCCTAGACCAAAGATTCTGCCTTGATACATCCCGCTCTTGCCTCAAATTTGTCGTCCTCGTTCTGTCTCACATTGTGATCACCAAGCCCTTGTTATCGTTACCCGTCATTTACTGTGTCTAGCCTAAATTTGCAGTGATTTGTAGATTGTATTCCCGTTGGACTGAGCTAGTATGTTACCAATGTCATATAGTGTCTGTCGTCACTCCGTGCATCCTTCTGGGAGTCGAGATAACCCCCAACCAAATGCAAAACAAGGAACTCGAATAAGTGGGAACGGAGATAGGGGACAGATGACGTGTTGTCAAAGATAGGGGCAAGTTAAGGGCAGGACGAAGCGTGTGACTTGGATGGAGATTGCCGAGCGCGCTGCAGCACGTCCAGAGTGTGGTACACAGACGGTGTCCGACAACCCTCAAGACATCCGGCGTTCTCCAAAATGGTGAGTTACCCATCCAGAATGCTGTCGATATGAAGGAAGCCCTCTCGAGACACTCTGGAATGCTTTTATCTGCGTTCGAACGGCGTTGGAGGATGGATTGCGATCTTTGGTCTCGGATGCACCTGCGCGACTGGGATTCAGTTCAGAGTGTTGATGCCTCTCTCCCTTTCCCTTAGACCAAGAAAAGAAGAAATGGCGGCCGCAACAAGAAGGGACGTGGCCACGTCACCTTCGTTCGCTGCTCCAACTGCTCGCGCTGCGTCGGCAAGGACAAGGCCATCAAGCGGTTCACTGTGAGGAACATGGTCGAGAGCGCTGCTGTCCGTGATATCAGCGAGGCTTCCGTCTACCCCGGTGAGTAGCAGTATCATCCTTCCTGCCTCCGTTCTCTTACCGGTGTGATCGCTCGTCATGTAGAGTACGTTATCCCCAAACTCTACATCAAAATCGCGTACTGCGTTTCGTGTGCCATCCACTCGCACGGTGCGTCTACGACATATTCCCTACCTATTTCGAATCACCCTGATCCCCATCCCACAAATAGTTGTCCGTGTCCGATCGCGAGAGGGTCGCCGCAACCGTGCTCCTCCTCCGCGTGTCCGGTGGAAGGACGGCAAGAAGGTGAACCCCGCGGTCGCCGCAGCAGAGGATGCCAAGGCGAACGCAGCAAAGGTATAAGGTACCCCTACGCTGTATCCATATCATGCACCTATGCATATGTACCTCCTGCACGCAATTCTACTCTGCACACTTGCAATCTCTATGCGTTACTCCGTGTTCTTCGACTTTGATGGTTTGATGCTGGAGGATTGAAGCTGTACTCATGTGGTGCTTAAGAAGCTGAGTAGCAAATTACACTGACGCCACCGCAAGTGCTTGCAAGACAAGGGTCAATGTCTCACATCCAACTGCAAAACAGGATTCAACGGCGCATTATTTGGTCAATCCGCTCTGGCAGCAACGCACTCTGCCCCTTGTTCTTCGTCTATCTGTTTGCCTACTTATGTGCATCGACGGGACCGCCATGATATCTTGGACCAGCATTTCTCTTCATCAGTCAGCCTAGTGCACTTGAGACCTTCAGTGACATTTCGATTCACCGTCTGTATGAGAATGCCGTATTCTCGCAGGTTTAGCTTAATCTAATCACTAGTAGTCACTGTCGGAGGTGTCTTCCTGCGTACTGCTGTCCTCTGCTACGTTAGCGCCGGTTCCCTCCCTTTGAACCCTCACAACCAGACACAGCCATCCCATCAAGTTCACCAGCGTCGAATCGTTTCCTCCGTAGCCAACAATGGGGTACTTCTTGTGTGGGCCCAACTTCATCTTCGAGCCCTCGACAATTTCCTTGACCAAACGACGTTCCTCTTTCCTCAGGTCCACGTACCATCTGGGGTTCTTGCTCTTGAACGCCACTGTCCCACACTCTTCGATGTAGCCGTCATTCTCCATCACACCCCATCGCCCGTTCTCGTAGATCCCTTCCGATACACCCTTGATGAACTTGTCCAAGAGAACGTTGTGCTCATCGCAGTCGTACAGGACGGTCAGGCGCCATTCGAGTCCGAGCGCCTCGCACGCGTGCTTCAGTTCCGCATCTTTGCCTACAAGGAGGTTGCTGTATGCCTTTGCGTCTGCTCCCCTCTTGACTGGTACGTAGTGGCGGAGACCGAAGCCGATGTATCCGCCGTTCGGAAGCACGCTTGTGTCCGCTACAACCTTCTTCAATGTATGCTTGATTGCCTCCTCGCTCGGAGACGAGGTAGGTGAAGGCGAAGGGTCGAAATCGTTCAGATCGTCGAAAGACAGCACATAGGTGAGTACGACGACAGATCCGCCGTGGCCAACCCGCATATTGCACCGAACGTCGTTGAGGAAGCCAATGTACGTGATGGCGGCGGGCCGAGCAGATGGCTGGGTCTCGAGCACGTCCACTTTCCACTTTTTGTCATCATGTCGAAGCGTCACCTTCCCATGCACGTTATCGACGGGAAGAAACACGATGAGCTTTCCGAAGCTGCTGTCTTCTGGGTCTGGTGCGTCAGAAAAGGAGGCGCCTGTGCCTGTAAGTCGCACTTAGGAGACCTGTGTCTGGGCACTGGAAGCATGTTACTCGCTATGTACGTTCAGCGACCGCATCTCCATCCGAATTGGCCGCTTTCCATCGGGGTGATCGAGCAAGTGATCGCGGACCGTACGGCGGAACCCTGCCTTTGAGGGGCAAAAAGTCGTGGCGAAAGCGCCAGGCGGCAGGGCGCCTGCTGATGCAAGTGCGGTGAGCGAGTCTTTTTGCGGCTTAGGGAAGTCAATGCTGGCAATTACGATTAGCGTGGTCACGACAGTACGTATTGAGGTAAATGTACCGGTGCGATTCCCCTGTCTTAGGGTCCTGGAAGAACAAAACGAGCTGGTCTGTTGGAACGACGCGCACCCCAGCGATATAGGGTTGACGAGATCCCGCCGCGTCGAACAGATCTTTAAGGTTTTGGTTTGTGGAAGGCGCCATTGAGGAACTTGGTGCGAATGGGGTAGAGACAAGGGTTCGAGGTACAAAGCGAAGCTGCTTTATGGCTGCTCTAGTGATCGCATTTACGGCATTGTTGAATTGAGGTGTGTCGTACAAATGCAAATTGAGATAGGAGCCTGAATCGCCTTCAGTGTGTGGAAGTTTTGGAGAAGAAAGGACATTTACCGTCACGCAAATGACTCAGCCTCGATGGGGTGCTTTCCGGTCGAAAGAGAAAGACCTCGCGTTTCCAGAGCTTTGAATAGTTTCCCTCTGTGTTATTCCACACTCTGTGAGTCAATTGAAGATCGAGTCACCGGAAGGCGACGCGAGAAACGTGCATTTGTACTAAACTCATGAGGATGATTGCACCAAACAGACGTTAGACTATGTGAACATTTCCCGGACCTGAGTCAGACTAATCACCTCGGCCGGTCGCAGACCTGTCGACCAGAAACTGCAAGACAAATGAATCATGACTGGAACAAATAACTTGAACGGTTCATCATTTTGAGGCCTTGATGGATGAATGCCTAGGGATCATGGAGACCAAGGCATAGCAATAGGACTACTGAGTTGAATCTTCTACTTCACCTGATTACAGTGTTGAAGGAGAGTGGTGATCATTCTGAGTAGTAGAATACCGTCACAATGTAGTATAAAAGCATTACAGCGTACATTTCCAAAACTTGTGCTTCAACTTCTACGCCGTTCTCTGCGCCTCTCCGCTCTACTAGAAAGATAGACTGAGGCCATGGCTCTAATGCGTCCATACATTTCCTCAACGGGGCCGCTGGGAGTGAGATTATAAACCAGCATTCTCTCCCGTCGTTCTCCTACTGGGTGAAGGGTAGCCTTCTTCGCCTGTTCTTCGTAAAACAGAGATAGGGTAACCTTTAGCATGCGCCATTCCTCGTAATCAGGAAGCCCATCCAACAGTGACGAAACAACGTCTATCTCCGTCATGACGTATCCTGGCATCATGCAAAGGGCGGTGACGAGCCGCTCATGCTCTAATATATATCGTCCCGCATCCGCAGAGTTCTTCATCCGAAGATTGAGAAGCTCCCGGCGGAGCCGGGATGTTGCGAAGAAGTCCACGCGGTCGAATTTATGCTCGAGGTACCGCCAGATGTCCCGCGCTGAGGGTAGCTTTTCCGGCGTGGTCCTCGCCTTCTGCATGACCTCGCACTCGATTGTAGGCGAAAGACGCTGTAACAAAAGGAGAACGGTCTCGGCATTCTTCATATACCACTCTTGCATAGCTGAAGCTTCATTAGGTGTTGGGTTCTGCAGATCGGCAAAGACGGGCTTTAGCGCTGCTTTTCTTCGACGATCTTCGGTCTCGTGGTCATCGGAGACATAGGTGTACAAGTGATAAGCACAGAGTGCGAGCTCAGTACGAGAGCGCCAGGGAATGAAGGTCTCCGTATCGGATAACGGAGTGATGCTTTCGAGAAAGTCCTCCGGTAGAGGATTGAAGCTCATATGAGATAACGAAAGTCTCGGTAATAGTATCCGTTCTGAACGATACGAGGCAAAGATTAGCAGAGGATGCTAACATGAGCTCAAAATATCACCTGTTGACGACTTTCAGAAACTCCCGGGTCTCCAGTGGTGCAATAGGCGAATTTGTGAGAGGGGGAGAATTTGGCGATGTTAGTAAAAGACAAGGACACGCTGGCGCCAAGTAATACTTCCGGTAACTGCCGATCCCATTGCAATTGCCGCTACGTTCCCACGATTGTCAACCACTTCTCCACCCGCCTGAAGAAAATAAAACTCGACTGACTAGTCGTAGTCCGCAACCATAGGTTCCGATAGGGCAATCTAGTTTCATCCTCTATCCACACAATCTGGGATAATTGCTAACTTCCACAAGCCCCCTGAAGTACCTACCCATCTCCTATTCCTGCTCTCTATCAGGGAGTCCGAGTCAAGATAGAAGGAAGCTACCCCCTGTATTTTGGCGTAAGTTTCCCCTAATAGGCCGTCAAAATATGTGCTATAAGCTACCCTTGAATCCGGAAGTGTAGCCAGCGCTCGCCGATCCTGGGTGCTGGGATTCCTCTCGCGAACTTTCCCGTGGTAATAGGAAGTTCGATAGGCTGCTGCGCACGGCGTCGCGTTCAGACTGATCTGGAAGCCCCTTCAAGAAGCTGTTGGCGACATCCATCTCTGACACAAAATGACCCGGCATGTCTATTAGGATGCGGACGAGATGTTTTTTCCTTTGCCGTCCACGCTTCCATAGCCGCGCTTCCAGCAGGTGGTAGCCGCGGAGACAGACAATAAATTGAACGACGCCTCTATGCCAGAATCATCGGTCGTGGGAATACAAGTATGGGCTTTTAGTACGAGTTCCATACCATTACTCCATGAAAAGCAGGTTGCTGGGTCGGATAGGATTGTGATAGAATCAACCTAGCCATCGAGTAGGGGCTGGCCGAGTCCTGCGCAAATATGACTGCGCTCCGCTTGGCAGAGGTTAACATACTAGAATCCCAACACTACTAGTAGTGCGCTTAGATAATATCATACTGTGTAGAAGCGTTGAGAATCCTGTCAAGAGTAGACAGTCGGAGTAATTGAAGACGTATTCATACAAATGGAACATAGAAATGGAAAGTGATGTTTTGCTCGACTGATAGAGATGAAGGCATCTAGACTTCCGAGTGGGAGAACTGATACAAGGCACTACTACTTCCGATACTTTTCGATCTCATCCTATTACTATGCTCTCACGGTGGTCAAATGCTCTCTTCCTGTCCCCTCTCCATTCTATAGGCGAGATAACGAGAAGCCGTGTCCTCTATTCTCCGGTACATACGCTCAATCGGGCCTTCGAAAGAATGAATGTCAATAATATGAGAAGCCGGCAGCGCGCACAGTGTTTGCCTGTCATGCGGATTGGGATTATTCTCGTTAACTTCATCCTCATACCAAATTGACAGGTCTGTGCCCAGGGCACGCCAGTCAGAATGTTGCGGGAGCCCGTTCAAGAGGGTGCTGGCGACATCTATCTCTGACATGAAGTATCCGGGCATGTTCACCAGAACGTTAACAAGCCTTCGGTGCTCGCAGATATACTTCTCTGCATCCGCGGAGTTCTTCATACGTAAGTTATTGAGCTGGAGGCGGAGAAGCGCTATTTTCCCAAATTCAACTTGATTAAAGTGCCCTTCTATAGCTTCCCAGATCTCTCTAGCAGAGCGTTTCTCCGTTAGGCAATTATAGAATCCGCTGGGAAAGAACGTTCGTTCGAGTTGTGGCGAGAGTCTGCTCGCGAGAATATGGATAGTCTTTATTTCACCCAGTCTCCAATCCTCCGTTTCTTGCAGCTCTGTGGGCGCAGTGTTCCGGGGATCGGACAAGACGGGTGCGTGTGGTGGCTTCTTGTCCGGATTGTAAGACCCACGGTCGTCTGATATGTGGGAACATAGCTTGCATAAGCGCAAGGCATTTTCCGCACGCCATTTCCACTCGGTGACGTAGCTCTCTATGCCATCGAGCACAGGTAACGTTTTGATGGCGTCGTCAATGTTCATTATAAGTGTCTTAGGAAGGATAGGCTAGTAAAGAAGTGTAAAGCGCTGATGTGTTCAAAACCAGGCTTTCGTAAGTTGGTGACTGTCTTAGTACATGATATAGCTTATAGAAGGGTTTATATACCCAGTACTCGAGGTGCACAGACCACCAAACAAGCAGGTATATAAAGGTAGGTCAACTGCCGTCTATAGTATACCACCGCATAAAAGGTTTATACAATGCGCGTTTCGTCACAGACTGTCTTGATTTCTGAGTATGGTGGGAACGTTATAACACAAGTGTGGGAACCGTCACTCACTGTATTCTTAGTAGTGTTGCTGCATTTGGCGAACTAGCTGGAACCAAGCCGATGAAACTTGGACTTGGACTCATTATCAGTCCGGATAACACACATCGTCGCCGTGTAGATGCTAAAAACCGCGAAGATTAACACTTCGTTGGTCGATATTGTGGCAAGAAAGGGTATTTCTAGGGGTCGGTTTGAGCTGGTTTCTCGAACCGCGGCAACAGTAATTATTAGATTGCTTTACCACCGTTAAGTATATTTAGTTGAGTGGATACGGCAGGCTGAGATAAGCGATTCCAGCCATACGATACCAAGGAGGATGAATCTTGCCGCTCGCCATTGCATGACGACGCCAGGTGATGTCGCTGAATTGCCACGCGAGGAAAGAAACACTGAGGTCAGGCTTTGCGATTGGTATTAAGGTCGGTGATGCAGCGTACATTATTTATATACTTGCGTCTAGTCTTTCTTCTGCAGGAAAGATACAGATAAGCTCTTCATCTGATTTGTCTGTACATATGCCCAACGGGACCACTAATATCCGGGCGGTATACCAGCACCTTCCCTCCGGGGTGAGAGAAACTTCCTTAGCCGCTTTATGATGATAAAATAACAGCAGGTTGGTCCTGAGCGAATTTCATCCCTCGTAATCAGGTAATACTTCCAACAGCGACGAGACAACATCAATCTCCGTCAATGAGTACCTGGGCAAAAAGGAGTGAGTGTGGACGAGCCGGCGGTGTTGAGCGACATATCGTTCCGCGTCGGCGGAGTTCTTCATGCATAGATCGAGGAGTTCTCTGCGAATGCGATGAGTCATCAAAAATTTGACCTTGCTGAATCGCTGCTCGAGCGTCTTCCAGATCTCCCGAACCGTGAGGTTCTCTAGCACCGTCAGATGACGGGGGAACTCGTGTTTGATATAGGGTGCGAGACGAGCCAACAAAATGTACTTTGCCATTCTCTCCCGCCTCGTCCATTTCTTCAGAGCCTTTGTTTCGAGCGTGTAGGATATTGCGGATCAGAGAAGGAAGGCAGCTGTCCCGGCCTAGAGGTGGTCACGTTGGGTTCATCCTCATCGATGTACGGTATTTGAGAGTCTACACGGTTCATCACCAGCACAGATTTGATGTCAATGCACCAGTAAATATAGCTTTCAGTGTCAGATAGCACGGTGACCCGCTTGAGATGTGACTCGTAGCCGTCGTCGTCGCTATCGGACAGCATGTGTCTCGGTCTTGGTCGAGTAAACAACCGATTGGTAGGAAACGAAAGCTGCCGAATGAAAGGCGAATGCTCAATACGTAAAATCGAGAAGTAAGGATCATAGACTCAAGGCTTACCAGATGTGACTCTCAGGAGTGTTTCCGAGTCGTGATGGTGGCGGAAAACAATTGGAAGAAAAACAAATCTTTGCGTCTTATCGTGGGAACATCACGTGATAAAGAATCTTCAGGCGAGGACAATTAACCCTTCCTCTTTTCAGACGTCCACTCAAGCACGCTGACGAGACGAAAACCCAGGTCAGAGACCGCCTCTATTGTTGTCTCCACCTCATGCCCTAGAACTTGTGCTCGACTCTTGAACTCTCCACCAAACGTACGGTCTCTCGTCGCGATCCAACGTCTGACAGAGAACCGTTGAGGGATTTCGGTCCGGTCATGCTCGGCCTTCCTGGGTCTCCGACTGTGCGAGATGATAATCTATCGCTTGTTGCCCAAGTAAGCCTCGGGGCCTCTCCTCGGCAAGCATCACCGACAATGATTCTACAGACCGGATTGAGCCTCGCTGCCGGTTTCCACCACAGCGACGCTGGTGTCGATACTTGACGTCTCGGATCTATACCTGCTCCTGAGTACACTTCCCCTTCGAGCTCACTCACGTCGCGGAACTCGCAATTACTTCAGAAAACATACTAGTATCGCTTCAGGGAACGTTTTGGTACGAGATTACACCATCGCCCGATTAATACATTGACAATAAGAGGTATGACGATACAGTCGTTAACGAACAATAAATATCGCTGTCAATCCCAGGACCCCTTCGCCGTGGTGGATAAGCGCGTGAACTACCACCGACAAAACAATTGGATGGTATTCCGTCTTCACGCTTTCCTCGTCATGAGGCATCCAAACTTAAACACTGCCGAATTCGACGGATGACATATCCCGGTGGTGAGCCCGGTGGTACTTTGCCGAGACGAAGAACAATAAGGATCAGGACCGTCACTCCCGGAGATCAGGAACTTCTGGACGTACAAATAAGACGAGCTCTTTCGGAAGTGGGAACTCCTTACAAGTGGGGCCTACCATCCTCCCCGATTCGCTTTGCTGCACTCGGACACCTACTCTTTCTTTCTTTCCAACTTCGTTCGCGTCTTCCTTTCGTATCATTTTGATTGCCTGCATCGATTGCATACTCCCGTTTTCAACCCACACAGCTAACTCACATCTACGATGGCCACCGCCTACCAGAGCACCAGCCCCCAGTCGACCCAGACTAAGCCCACCTCCCCCATCACCAAGTTCTTCTCCCGCTTCCAGCCTCGCTCCTTCCTCCTCCCCGACTTCTCCTCGCACAGCGCTACCTATCCTCTCCGCCTCAACAAGCACTCCAACCCCGTCGCCGCCTCGTCTGAGGAGTGGCTCGTCCGCCTCGCGCAGTTCCGTGCCCCACGCAACGCGCGCAAGCACAAGAAGTTCATGGGACTCAAAGCCGGCTACCTCACCGCGCTGTGCTACCCCGATTGCCCGCGAAAGCAGCTTCGCGTCGTCTCCGATTACATGAACTTCCTCTTCACCCTCGACGACTGGAGCGACGAGTTCGCCGAGAACGGCGTCAGGGGACTGGCTGATTGCGTCATGGACACACTTCGTGACCCATCTACGAAGACGGAAAAGGCTGCCGGACGCCTTGCACGAAGGTAAGAGTTCACGCTACAGCTGTCTCGGCGACATGAATCTCATTCCTTGACCGGTCCAGCTTCTGGCTCCGCATGATCAGCACCGCCAAACCTCTCGTCCAGCAGCGCTTCATCGACTCGTTCGCCGACTTCTTCACCGCTGTCGAACAGCAGTCGCGCGACCGCAAGCGCGGTATCATCCCTGATCTCGAGTCGTACATCACCCTCCGTCGTGATACGAGCGGCTGCCGCCCCGTTTTCGTGCTCATCGAGTACGCCGCGGGCATCGAGCTACCTGATGAAGTCTTCAACCACCCCGTCATCCAAGAGATGACCGTGGCGACGAACGATCTCGTCACCTGGTCCAACGTAAGCCTTTACTCCCCTCTCCCCCTCCCCTGACGCTGATCACCTCTACCCGTTTAGGATATCTTCTCCTACAACAAGGAGCAAGCCACCGGCGACACACATAACATGGTCGCGATCCTCATGGCGCAGCACGGCCTGGCGCTGCAGGACTCGATCGACTTCGTCGGCCAACTCTGCGATGCGACCATCGCGCGCTTCGAGACCGGTCGCGCCACGCTCCCGACCTGGGGCCCGCAGATTGACGCGGACGTGCAGAAGTACGTCCAGGGTCTGCAGGACTGGATCATCGGCTCGCTCCACTGGAGCTTCGAGACCGAGCGCTACTTCGGCAAGAACGGGCGCGCCGTCCGCCGCTCCGGCGCCGTCCGTCTCGCAGGGCCTAAGCGCTCGTGAAGACGATGTGCATCCTTTCCCATGATTGCTGATGGCATAACGCTTCAGCGCCTGGTCTGTGGCTAGGCCTCCTCTCTCTCTCTTCATCCTACTTATGATTGATTATCGCATTGCGCATGGCTGCGATGCCACGACTACCCGCCTTTAGGCTGGTTTTGATTCCCCTCCATTCTTTCACTCGAGTCACTTCGTTCACGACGATTAACGTGTGCATACATTCATTGGAACTGAACATTACACGAGCACTAGCACTTCACTTCACCTTCATCCATACTTTCACCTCACCTCACCTCACCGATTCCGATTATATCTTTCATTCGTGATTATGCGTGCATATCATTCGACTTTCTCGTCGGTCTTTGTCATTTTCATACCAACTGTTGTACTACTAGATGTTGTACTTTTACGCGAACAGGAATTGCGTTGAAAGGGAAAAGTTGGAGCAGCTCAACAATGCGTAGCGCTAACGCCACGGAAATCTACCTTATGCCCGAAAGCGTGAAATCAGCGACTTGGCCACCACTGCTTTGCCAGTGGCTGTGATGCTTTGACCCAACCTTTGACCAGCCTTTGGCAAGCTTAACCCTGGTACTCGCCAATTAATCGTCACGGACTGTCGATGCAATGACCAGCTGTTATGCAATGACGCGATGTTGAGAGCGCTTTGCCAACTTGGCAACAGTTCCGCTTTGATGAGTTTTTTTTTTTCGTACTCCGCCTTGACCCTTGCACTGGGACTCTGAAAGGTATAAGTACTGTACGGGCCTGCAGCCACGAAACAAACCTTTCAGCGACGACCTCCTCCTCAGTCCACTCCCGCTTGCCCGCCATGCATCATGCTTTTCGCGTGGCCGAACTCCTTCGAATGGTCTTGGGATACGTCGCGCACCGAGATCTCGCAGCTGTGTCGGCAACGTGCCGGAACATCTCTCCTATAGCATCCGATCTGCTCTGGGAATCACCGGGATCTCTGGTTCCTCTTGTCCGCCAAATACCTGGAAAGTTTAAGAGGATAGTGAAGGGTCCAGCTATGAGCGTATGCCAACGATCTTGCAGATTATAACGCGTTAATACTCACCCTATTCACAGGTTTACATGTCCAGTCATGAACCGCTTACTTCGGAAGATTGGACAGCCATTCGCCGCTTTGCAAAGCGCATCAAACGCTTCGAAAACCTTACGGGAAATGAATTTGAAGGCGGCAGAATTGACTGGGTCAACCTCGGTGTCCTATATGCCCTCTCCAAATCCCCTACACCTGAACCTTTGTTTCCGAGGCTCCAGAGCGTTCATTTGCGTTCCAGAGAAAACGATTGTGTCTTCTTCTTGCCCGTATTGACGACCGTCTCCCTGAAGCATCTCCACTTCGATGTCACGCCCTGGATGAGGGAGCCTCATACATGGAAGTCTGAATCAACTATAGTCGAAGCCTACAAGAAGGCTGCCTCTGTATTCGCCGAGATAGGCGAGCGCTGCCCGAACTTGGAGACGTTTGTACTGCCTTGTGATCCCGGCTTGGATGACGAATGTAGCACTCGATGCATCTCGGCTATACGCAGCATGGTACCCTCTTTGAAGCGCCTCCGACACTTTGAGTTCCAGCCCATTGACATCGACGTATTGCATCACCTTTCAGCTCTTCCTGAACTACACACCATGGCGATCACCCTACCCGACGGGTTGCTCTCTGCGGAACAATTACACGCTTCTGCTTTCCCAAAAATTAACAACTTGACGCTTGTGCACGCCAGTAGCTTTGGGCCTTGCGCAGGATTCATCCGCGGTTCTCCCCGTCGGCTCCGATTATCACGCATCATCATCCGCTCGAAAGCTCCCGGCCCGGGGCTCAAAGAATTGCTAGAAGCCATGCGGGACAATTGCTGCCCGTCAAGTTTGAAGGAGCTGTACGTCACTGCAAAAACATATGTACCTGATTCTCAGGTATGCACAAGGTACACAGTGTCTGATTTTGTTTAATCGTGTGCTCTTGACATGGTTCTGGAGTCAGGTACATGTACCTGGTATACAAAATCCCAGCAAAGTATCAGTACATAGTGTTCTACAAGTTCGGGATTTGTTCGGGATGAGCACCGCAGGCCAAGATCAAAAAGGAAATCCCCATCTTATGTACAGCTACCTGAAACCACAAAATCATTATCACCCACCCATGCTGATTGCAAACACATATAAATCTTCCAGCTAAAACCATTGTATTACACTATGAATTTCAGTATTCATTAACAGTAGTAGAGCTTCCCCTCCTAAGCTATGATCCGGTGAGACTTGCTGTGTGTCGACGCGTGTGAACAATTGCTATATTCGGGCAGAAGTTTGTAACTCCGCAGTGAGCGGCTCTCAACGGTCGCGACAGCCTCAACGTCCATCCACCACTGCGTTGACCACAGCAACCCTCATGCCTCGACAACGCAGTAATGTCATTCTCCTCAGCTGTGCCCTATTCGCTCCAGCCGTGCCCACTTCGCCGTTTTACGCTCCACATGCAAGCTCAAGCTTCAAGTCTCAAGCCGTCTCATCCCAGGCCCTCCATCTCCCCCATCAAGTTCCGACACGCCCGACGACGTCCCGAGCGTTGTCGTGCTGAACTGCGACGTCAGCGGGTTTGTCTGCACCGAGTGCCGCGGCTCGGGCCCTTCCGTAATGCTCGGCAGCGGTGAACTAGACCCGCTGCTCGCTGTGCTCGTATTACTCGGCACGAGCACGAGCTCCGATAAGCACGCCCCGAGCCCGCTCAAGACGCTCGACCCGCCTGTGCAGTTTGCCGCCACACACGCCTCGCCGCGCAGAACATTGCGGCCGCTGCTGCACGTGAGACACCCACTCAGCGCTCAGCCCCCGGCCCGCACTCCGCATCGCCGTCGCAAACAGCTGGGGCGGCCCGAGCTCGCCCGAGCTCACGCGAGAGGCAGCGCCGGCTCACAGATATCCCCGTCGACGAGCGTTGACGTTGCGATGTGCGATGGGAGACGGTAGCAGGTAAGTAAAACCGTCTATTGTTAAATTCACGTAGATATGCTAACTATTATCTTCTCTTCCAGCACGCAGGCGTCCCGTCCGGACGGCGCTCCGGCTCCTCGCCTCTCCGCTGCCGCTCGGAGCGCAGCTCGCCCTTCCCGTCTCCCCGCCGCCTCCGCCGCTCGCCGCCTTCTCCTCGCGTGCAGCGCGGCAGTTTCACACGGAACGTACCCCCACACAAATGCGACAGCAGACTGTGCAGCCCCTCGCTCGTGTCCTTGCGCACCCGTTCCTGCTCTCGCACTCCCATCGGCGGTGGCCCGCTCCCACGCTGAGGCGCTCGCGGGTGCTTGCCCATTGAACAGCGAGTCCCGACGGCAACGAATACAATTGCAGGGCGAGCAGCAGGATCAAGCGAGCACCCCCATGCGGACACGAACAGGGCGCGGCGACGGCAGTGCACAGGAAACAGAATGCACGCAGTACCAAAGGTGATGGCTGCTGTGAACGTGCGGCGGGATTTCGTGTCAATGCGGAGCAAGGGAAAGCAGAGGGAGCAGTAGAGCGACAATCCGGAGGAGGAGGATATGCTGCTTGGGCACGACGTGGAGATGGGGATGGGGAAGTGTTGGCGCAGAAGCGGGCGAGGTTGCATTCGAGGGTGAGTCTGCTTCTACTTAGCTTAGAGAAGACTAACGAGCGAATTTGGCCCAGGTGTCGAGCAGATCAAGGAGCGGCAAAGAAGTGTACGACGACTACAAGTGCAACCTCCGCGACCGCAAGGTCAACTCCCAAAAGTACCTCATCCTCACCCGGCCAGACCAGGGCGCCGCCGCGGCTGCTCACGACAACAAGGACCCCGAGTCATCGGCGCTCGGTGATGTCGATACGGGCCCGCACACACGATCGGGCGCAGTGGCGGAGATCCAGTAGCTATTTATATCATTATGTAGCTCATTAATAGAATTGCGTTTGTCCTGATTTTTGCACGTTCCCGATGTTGATAACCGCCTTGTTTTCAATGAAAACTAATCATTTTACCGTGGTCTTGCCTTTCTGCCAAAAAAAATCAGGTACATGTAAGGTGATTCGGACAATGGAATCGTACAAAAATGTACATGATTCATTTTCGGGCAAGGACCTGATTGTCATGACAAAATCCCATTGACACTATATACATAATGAATGATAATCACAGATTATGCACACGATTTGTGCTCATGATATTCAGGTATGTCCGGGTTCACAGTGTGTCGATCACTGAAGACTGGGAAAACAGTGACTCCACTGAATTATTCGTCCCTGGTCACACGGTCACTGCTAGTGACATCCGTCCAGCATATGCTTTTCGACTCCTCGACAGGTTCACGATAAAGACAGAGCGCCGATTCCAGTTCAAAGATGAAGACCTCCTGGAGCTCGTGGATGCATGGAAGGATCTTGTCGCCCTCAAGCTTAATCCCGACGGCTGGGGCGGATCGGGGATTACTTTAGAAGGACTTTCGAGAGCAGTTGACCGCTGGGACTGTTGGAAGCGTTTGGAGAGGATATACCTGGCGATCGATGCAGAGACGATGACTGTGAAGGAATTTCTCACCCTGCGGCCTCACGGTGTCTCCCCTTTGTCGTCGCTCAGGCAGTACAACTTCGTGCTGGACAGCAAGTTGGGTGAGAACCCTTATCATACAAGCATCTGTCTGGAGCCCTTCAAAGACGTCGCGAGGCGAAATAACCAGTGGTATAGCACATACGTGTGGCGCTGAACGTTATCAGGACATCCAGCAACTTACAACAAGAGGACTAAGATTATTCTTCTGCACTTCAATAGTTCGTACGATTATATCAATATATTACCTTTAAAACGCCTTGTCATCACACATGCCGGAAGCAAACCGCTTTCTGGAAAAATCGCCGTATATTCGGGAGAGGTAATCGTCCTTCATCAACTTCGGAGAGCACATTTGGACGTGGGGACATTCAAGCAGTCGAGTAGTGCAAAGACCTAGTTGTTGTGCCGAAGGATGGTTGGTTAAGATGATGAGTCCCGGCTGTATCACGAAGTAGCGATCCTGAAATCCAATTTCCACAACATACGACACCGACAATGAACGGTGAGTTATGTCATCCTACTAGTAATCGAGTTTGCAGCCAGGTCCTGACCCAGAAGTTCGTCATAGTAACGTAACACCACCCCAATGTCTTTGAGTGTCAAATAATTGTTGCTCGCAAGACCCTGATCAGCACTGTAAGACAAGCTGGCGGAGAATCAATCACCAGTAGTCACGTACCAAAAGCCAAACCCTCAACGCTCTCAATCCCGCAGCTTGGTATATCATATTATAGTTGAGTTTCACGAAGTCCTTGACACCCTTGAGATAATTCGAGATAAAGAGGTTCCTTCAACCAGATAAATCAGTATCTCCAAACAGTTAACAAAACACGATAAACAATTGATACATACCGGTTGAGAAACACCCACCGCAGCCACAGCGCGGCCATGACCTTGTCCTCGTCCCTGATGTCGTCCATCTCGAACAGCTCCTCCTCGCGGTCGATGATCGACCACGACAGGATCCCGTACGGCTCGAGTGAGAGCGTGTTGAGGAGGTCGTACAGCCGCGGCCCGCCTGGGCGGCACGAGTAGTACGCCCGGCCGTCGATCTTCTCGGGGAGATAAGGGTACTTTGCGGCAGGGCCCAGGAGTGCATGGCGCAGACCGCCGTGAGGAGCCTTGGCTCCTGGAGTTGAGCGTTGGGAGGACGGCAGGGAGGAAAATGTTGAGGTTGAGGAGAAGCGGTTATGCGATGAGGTCGTGGTGATGCGAGAGGACCGAGCGAGATCTTCGGCTTTAGGTTTCTTCTCGTCTTCCGGTTCGGCCGATGAGAGAGTGAAGGAGGATAATGTCCCTGTGACCGCCGAAGACTCCGTGTGCGACGAAAGTGAAAGGGTGTCGCGTGCGTTGGACGACAACGTAGTGGATGTAGCTCTAGTAGCCGTGGGTGATGTCAGAGTTATCGAGGTGGGGGTCGCTCTAGTTTCTGGGGAACCCGTAGACACCGATGATAACGTTTCCGATGCACCTTCTTGCTCTTCCACTTTGACAACCCTCAAGGACGGCATAGGTGCTAGCGACATTGCGCGTCTCGTGTTCATTGGCGCCTGCGACAGTCGCACTATTGAGGGGTTTGAAGGCGCTGATATTGGCAATGGAACATCGTTCTGGCCCAGTGGCGGAGTCTGCCTCGGCTCGCCGTGCGAGGAAAGTGACAAGTGGGTGGTAGAGGTAGCACTTGGTCTAGTTCGAGGCTGTTCATCTTGAGGAATAGTTAACGAAAGGACGTTCTGTAGATGTTGAGTGACATCCCATAGATTCATAAAACGAACAATCGAGGCGGACTTACCTGCGGCACGTCCCATCGCACCCCGACTTCCGCATGATCCCACCTATAATGCGCCTCCAGCATCTCCGGATTCGCGAAGCGTCCGTGTATATCGCAGAACTGACAGATCCACTCGTGCAGCCCTATTTTCCACTCGCAGACCACGCCCGATCCAGATCGTGCAAGAAGCTTGTAGACGACAGTCACAGGCCGCGAAGGGAACTCCTTTGTTGTTGTGTCTACCTTGCGAAATTTACACTTGAACTCGAACCCCTGGCGTACGTTCCGCAGGAGGAATGGGAGCGTACACTCTCTCCGAAGACGCATGGGACCTAGGATAAGTGGCTCTAGTGCAAGCATGAGCTCCTCTGGAGGGGCCGGTGGTGCAGTGGCAGTCTGCGGGGATATTTGTAGTGGAAGATTTGGAGATGAAGAGCGTCGCATCGCAGAACCAGCGTCAGCGGCGAACCTCTCATTGGCATCTTCTGAGGACGACGAGGATGACGTTCGAGGCTGGGACGCCAACTCTGATTCGGAAGTATCGCTTGGCGACTCGTCAGATGACGAGGATTCATCTTCAGTGAGAGCATCGCGTGTCTCTAACTTGCGTGCGGCTTTGCGATTTGCTCTAGCAACAAGCGTGAGGCTTTGAGCACACAACGAATACCATGATAACGCGAGATGGGGCGCTCACAATACCGCGTTGAACATCTCCGGGTTCGTCAGCTCGTCTTGCCCACCCCCGACGCGTGCGAGGACCATATCCGCGCCGACGAACTTCCTGTGGTACCGCTCATCAGATGGGACAACGATCGTCCACTCATTCTCCCGCGCCATTTTCCTGCGTCTGGCTGCGGAAGGGAGAGCATCTTCGCTTGGAATGAGTGCTGATACACTGTATGTGAACAGAGGACGGAGTTGATTGGTCTTGGAGGCACGTTGAACACCAGCGTCAGCTTATCATGGAAGGAAGCGAGTAAGAATACACGGATTGGTGCGCAGATGGAGCGGCATGGTAAACTCACGCGGGTTTGGTGGCTGTCCAAAGGCTCCTGTACATCATATACATGATCATATGCACGCGATCAAAGGGGCGACAGGTAACTCACGTCTTCCTTCGCTTCGCGCACCATTATTCGAGGGCGTAGGATGCCCATGAGGACCCGATGTCTTGCGTGCACTCTTGCTTGCAAGCATTGTGGACTTGACTGCAGCCTGGCTTGCCTGCTGTGGCGCGGCAACGGCACCGCCTGGCTGAGCCCGGACCGGTTGGGAGTCGCCATCGTCTTCCGGGACATCAAACACGACGCGTCTGACCATCGATTTGGTCGCACGTTGCGCTGTCATATGACAATGAGACTCATCATGTCACGAAAATTAGCACGAGCAGTAGTTGAATGCGTACGATTGACGGAACCAGATACGGTCTTCCTCGCTCCCGTCTTTGCCATTTGATCCCTGGGTACTGGTGCAACTTGCTCATCATCATCATCGGAGGCTTATGAAAGTATATGTCAGTTGGATATTCAGGGATTCCCATACATAGACTATTACACACCGATGTCCATGCTCGGCGCTGCTGACTTCATCGCAGCTCTTTTCGCATAAAAAAATGTGGGTTTCCGAGCTGGATAAATACGCACATACCAGTTACAGGGGTGTATCAACAATGAAGAATTTGAAGGAGTGAAGAAAGGGTACGCACCGGTGCCTGATCCTGCTACTGTCTTCCTCGCGACCTCTGTTGCACTAGCAGACGGCACTCTCAGTTCTCCATTATCGTTGCCATTTCCAGGTCTTCCGGACGTTTCGCCATCTTCCTCGTCTGTAAACAGCGAGTCGGACACAATCGGCGCGCTCTTCCTAGCTGCCTGAGTGGCAAACCGTACTCGTGGGACCACGACCGCGTTTTCCTCTCCATCGTCGTCGTCATCCTCATTGTTCCTGATCGTATTATCAGGTTGTCGCACAGGCATCCGAACTGACTTCACAGCGGTGGTCTTCGCCGCCACCCTTTTGCGTGGCGGAGCAGAGCTCGAGGGCATGGCGGACTCTATCGCAAACCTAGTCGACCCTGCTGCCACGACGCCTTCCTCGCCATCAACATTGCGACCATCTTCACCCCTAGATCCGGACGCGTCTAAGCCATGGTCGTTATCAGTGTCCAAGTCTGGCCGCGCTACAGTGGCGGTCTTGCGCGCGCTTTTCGCCGCGAAACTGAAGTGCCCACGCAGAGGTGCCCGTGGTGGCGGAGGTCTGTCGCTCATCAGTGATTTGCTGTTAGTCACGATTAGGATGGGATTGGAAGGAAGGAAGAAGAGGTGGCTTACTTGAATGTGCATGCATCGCGAGGGCGCCGCCATGTGGCTATCTGTAGGTGTTAACTTAGGCAGAGCTTCTGATTCCCACAGGTAACCTGTTTAATGGACGAGATATCACATGATTCTTCGTACCCCGATTCATTCTCCGAGCGTCGAGTCTCCCGTTTAAGTAGAACATTTAGACTCCGACTCATTGTGAGGGCTGATATTCCTGTTGCTGCTCGATTGACTACATATACCTCGTTCGACGCGTTTGCTTCTTGCTTTCTCCTGAATTTACTTTCGGCCATATTAAATGACCCATTAAACGCTATCAGATGTTCCGTCACATGTCGTAGATTTTTTGGATCGATTTTGATAATGAAAAACTTACTCGCCAATGTGCAAGACTTTGTGGCAGGAGTGGGAGGGGAAGGAGGTTTGCTAGGCACTTGGCAAGCGGCCGGTTTCGTTGAGGTCTTTTCTTAGGTGACGGTTCAACTTACTGTAGTAAATGAGGAGGAGGCGGATGAGCTGTGAGTCTCGGGATGCGGTTGACGTCCAGGCCATGGCGGGTACGGGAGTATGCTTGAAAGCAATTTGGAACCTGAACGTTGAACTTGGAGGCACGAAGCGTGAAAGCTTCGGGAAATCCCTCTGTCTGAGGGACATTGGTATTAAGGTGGAAGTACCTATCAGACTCAACAGATCGTAGTGATGCTACACTTTCCAAGCGTCCAAAATCATACAGGGTTTCTGTCGCCAGAATAGGCTCTGAATACTATTTCCTAATCCCTGGAACCGGATTGTCTAACACTGTGGGCTTCTTATAAGTAGCTGCACAGATAGCTACGGTATACAAGACATGCCTAGGCCTTGCTTCGGCGTTAACCGTTTTATGCTATATTTATATGCGGCACTACACACGGTGAACAGCCAGTTGCGAAGCACGGAAAGAGATCCCAGCAATTATAGCAAAATAACGAGGCCAGTAGGCTATAGCGAGAAAGACAAGACCATCGGTTAGGCTGAAAGCACCAGAAACAAAGCGGCGACAGTATGATAGCTATTCCAGAAACAATTGACGATACGGGAATAAGGTGTTGAAATAATGATGGTGGGGAAGCGAAAGTTGAGATATTGACGCTGGTGCCACCACCAGCGCTATTTATAAGGGCACGAAGAACATTTTGAAAGCCGAGGGTCCCACTGACGCCAAGCAGACGTACTCAACAGCATTCGAACAAAGAGGATCTCGATTGATTGAAATGCTAAGACAGCTTACAAACTGGGAAGCTGCGAGCTTACGCATCAACACACTTGTAAGGCGGCTCAGCGTAGAACTCGGGCGGACCCAACCTACCCGCGTCCAAAATACGAGTCAAACAAGATTAAACAAATAACGGTAAGAAGTTGTTAAGATGGTTACTTGTACAGAGAATGGAAGGCTAGGGCTGATGGAAGCAAAAAAAAACTCATAGAAGCTTCGTCTTTATCCCATAGAACTCGTAGCTTACAGCTGGTCGCATTCCGATAGACCAGACCCCACCGCGTACAGGAATTGTCGGATCAAGTTGACGACATGGAGTCAACTCCATAAGCACTGCCAGCCTGATCGTCACAGGTTTGTATCTCTCGCTCCATCATGGGTGATGCATTGATGCCGCACAGTAGTAGAACCCTGCTCGCAATAGAATTTCACCGCCTTGCAGATACATAGATATGGTGGATTTTCTTTCTGGTTAACTGAGAACTGAAATTTGATAGCTAAAATGACGCGATGGCATGTACGGCGCGAGGATAGAGTAGCTTGATCACCTATGTTTATTGATTCATACTATCTTTTATTCGGCTCCACAGACCGAACTGTGGTGGGATCAGCACGTAGTGAGCAGCTAGCTGTAACCTCGACATCCGCGCAGTTTCTAGAAAACGGCGTTGTAAGGCACATTGGGTGTGATATAAACATGACAGCTTGGGATTCTTCTTCGAGGAAAACGGGTTAGAAGCCCGCGTGGCTGTCCATTCTGGTGTATCACCAATCTTGCTATTTCATTGAATTTCCGAGGACTAGGAAGGCGTCATGTGGGGGAAACGGGGAAAAGAAAAGTGGGGGGTCGAGATAGGTACACCAGCCGAGTGGTATGCTCCGCCACTCAGATCCATTGTTGCTATAGTAGCGCTGATCGCTTTCTCCTCATCATGCGACATCCCCGTGTTTGCTATTATAATACCCCAGCTAGCGTTGTCAGCTTTGCGCCATGATTGACACGGACACCTCCCATCCAGATCTGCCATCTCAATTACGAGGTCCACAATGAGATCTTGCTTTTTCGGAGCGAGAACTTCACCGATGGATCATACACTTGCAGGTTGGAAAAGGGAAAGTAGATTTGCATTTTAGCAAAGCTCCCGCTTCTAAATGCAGGGACACGTTTTAAACTTCGCAACTTGGAGGCAGATCGGGCTGGAGGTATTAATATCGAGTAGCGGAGCATATTACTCCACTGGCGTACTTCGCTGCAGGTGTTTACCCGCGTCTGTTACGAGGTCTTCTCTCCCCAAATATGGCTAAAGACAGCTAGGAACAGCGGAATAGAATTCAAGATCAACACTGATAAGGTGTGCAGACTAATCCAGGCAATGAGTCTAGGGGACTCACGCTGGGGTATTTTTAGTGATTTATGGCAGCACTATGGATGTAGAGTTGTATTTTAAGACCTAACGTTCAGTCTTTCACTACAAGGCTGCTGTAATCTTGTGCACCATGAGCGTACGGTGCGAGCGTTGTGGACCACCAACGGGATGCAGGCCTCTCAGCAACTGGGAAGCAGGTACATCAGATGTCCTGTCAGACCCCAAATCGACTGTGGGGCGGATGGTTTTACATGAAATCCAAGAAGCCGAGGACGGCGTTGTGGCCGTGACGGATCGTCTTGAAGCTTGCATGATCGGAGGAGAGGACGGCGCATCCAATGATTTGGCTCAGGGAAGAGAATCTGCGGCCACTTGAACGTCGCCGCGTTATACGCACTCAGTGTCCGAACACAGCAAGCAGTGGGAGCAGGCGACTCTAAGGATTAACAAACGTCTGGCTCTGCGTGCACTTCGGGCACAAATTACGAGAGGGTATAGTACAAAGGAGGGAGTCTTTTGATTATGTCTCACTCCACATGGCATACCCGAGGCTCGCCGTGTTAGTACTCTCCATAGCCTCGGGTCAGGGCCCAAGTAAGATCAACTTCGGTGAGGAATACCTCTGTCTCGAATCTCGGCCATGCGTGCCTTTCCTTGAATGTTCCGTTTCTTGTCATCCTCATGGCTGGTGGACGGACAACAATGCAGCGGACAAGCCCTTTAAAAATAGCCTACGTAGAATAGATAGTTTCGTCGACTTCCTCTGACCTTACAAAGGGTTGCTCAAAGTCACCGCTCACCTCGAACTAATATTCTCAATGGCTTCCCTCAATCAGCAGGTGCGTTGACGAATGGTAATTTTGTTCATGCTAACTGCTGGGTAGTTCTTCTGGCTGTGTGTCAAGTGTGATAAGAGGTACAGCACTAGGCGGAACGCTTTAGAACACAGCTGCGTTGAGTAGGGATTTGACTCATCCACGATGTCCTCCTGCTCACATCACCTCTTCTTGCAGTCAGCCCGAAGATAGGCTCTTCTGCCTGAAAAACGGCTGCGATTTTTCTTGCTGGCAGCAAAGGGTCATGCGCCGTCACTGTGAACACGAACACAACATCAAGCCTGCAAATAAAGCAATACATTGGGAAGATCGAGAGCGTAAGTGGACATCCATTGTGTATTGAGATGGTTTGCGACTACTTTGTCTCCAACAGCCGAGCACATGAGGCTGTTAAGGGAAGAGAGAGTTCGGCCCATTGACGCAGAGAGATTCCCTTTGATTAACTTCACGGTAAGTGAATCGCCACGAAATGTCGAACCTTCCTGAACCTGCGTTTCTAGCTCTATGATTTAGAAGTTTTCACGTCTCAAGTAGATTCCGATGAAGCTGACGAGTGAACTAGGGTAAACCTGCTCTTAAAGAAATGGCATGGGTGTCGGCGTGATGGGATAGGGTGAAAACAAGGGTGAAAACAAGGGTGAAAACAAGGGACAGAATTGACTCACTTTTTGTTACACTCCGTTTACTTTTCTTTTCGTATTCGTCTGAACATCTACTAATATCAGCAACTGGACACTACTAGCAGATTCTATTTCGTTCTATCTGTTTCTTTTGTAACATCTTTGACTCCTTATGAGTCACAACGGCTTGATTACGAACCATGAGTCCTTACGACTCATAGTCTCGGTAGCGACTCATTTTCGGCTCCTTATTTGTATGGCGTCACTTAATAAGCTGTCTGGTCACTTTAGGCAAACATCGCCACAGCCACGAGCTTACCGCCGCGCCGCGCCATGTTTCTCAGACACTCCTTCCTGGGGAAGAGGCTCAACAGAGAAGAGGTCTGGCACGAGTAGACGTCAACAGTCGAGTCAAACGAGTCTGCTAGAATGAATCTTTGTCATCCCAGTGACAAACTCATGAAACTCACAAGCTGACCAAAGTGAATTGCAACCCGCAACATAATTTATTCAAAATCGCGTCATGTCGTGTCGTTAACGATAATAACCAAATGATAGTGATAGTGAATATCTGTAGCTCTTATTAAGGGATTCACGTATATCTACCGCGCGAGATCGGACACGTTCACAGCAAGCGCGAGTGCGCATCCGTGTTCTCATTAAGCGGAAGGTTGAAGATCCAGCGGTTGAACATGTCCTGTAGACGCAAGTGGATTAGCTTCTCCCAACGACCATGTAGCCAAATGGATGCTCACCAGTCCGGCCTCGGGCTGGTCAAACGGAACCATATGTCTATATTCCAGAAATTAGCCCATCAAGCGCTCTACGATATGGAACGGAAATGAGAACGCACCCAGCCTCATGGATAGTCACAAACGTGACATTGCCAGCGCCAGAAGCGCCCGCAGTGCGCACAGTGCCCGCTTTGGTGCCCGAGCGGAGCGTCGTCCACGGCTCATTCACTGCCTTGCCGAACTCGTCTTTAAATACCGAGTCCATGTCGGTCAACCAGCGCTCGTTGCCCATGTAGTTGCACATCATGTCTTCAAGAAAAACAAGGGAAAGAAAGAAAAGAAAGAAAGAAAATCACGTCAGCCCTTTCCTCCTTCATCAGACAACACAACAAATAAAACGCACCAGCATTGCCAGCATAAATCAACAACCTCACACCGTCGTTAACAAGGTCCGTGAGCAGCGCAGGCGTGTAGTGCATACTGTCGCCCTGCATGAGGAACGCCTGGTTGACGTTCATGTTGCACGACTCAAACGTCCGCGACGGGTCCACGCCAAGCGCCTGCTTCACCTCCGCCTGGTTCATCCAGGTCTCGATCCAACCCAACTGCTGGTAGCACAGCGGGCCGTCGCGCTCACGGTCGCACGTGCGGCGTGCGTCGTACGGGTTCAGACCGGACTCTAAGAAGGACATTGCACATTAGCAATCGGGCCTTTGCATATTTGGTTGCTGTGAAAATGCAAGGGAAAGGAGACGCACGCTGGACAGGCGCATACAGCTGACTGTTGCAGTACAGTGCGGCGGGCACACACGTGAAGCGCGAGTTGTAGTCGCGGCACGCCTTGATGAGCCTTTGGCACGTCGGGACCTTGCTCCTCAGCGCCTGGCACTGCGCACCCTCGGGGTCGTCGTAGATCGGGTAGGGGCCCTCGCACAAATAGTCAGGCATCGACGCCATCTGCACGTAGTTGTCCGTCATCCCGTTCCCAATCAACAGCGACTCGAGGTTGATCTTGCTCAGGCCCGGCGCGGGCGCGAAGCCCTGGCTGAACAGCTTCTTGTTCTCGCTGTGGATCGCATGCGCGATGTTGGGCGCGAACGTGCCTCCGTAGGATTCGGTGGCGACATGGAACGGCAGCGCGGCGTACTGCGGGAAGCGCGAGAGGAAGAGCTGCATGAACGCGTGCACGTCGATGCCCGCGTCCTCCGAGTTGTTGACGCTCTCCCCGTTGTCTGTGTACGAGAAGCCGACGTCGACGGGCTGGTCGAGGAAGACCATGTTCGCGTGCGTATTCCAGCTGTGCTCGTTCACCGTCGTGTTCTTGCCTTCATCGGCGATGGCGCACGGGCCGAGTTCCATAAGCAGGCCGGTCGAGGAGCTACAGCCCGGGCCACCGTTGAGCCACATGACGAGCGGGGCGGTCTCGGGGGAGACGCGGGATTCAAAGAACCTTTTGGAATTGTGTAAGTCACTTGAGTCGAGCTGGAGATAAGGAACGCACCAGAAGAAAAGGTGCTTCGAGTCGGAGATATCCAAGTACCCAGAGTACTGCTTCACCGAGGCGTCGCAGAGCGTTGGCTCAGTGACCCTGAGCTTGTAGTTCTTGAAGTGCGGGTGCTGCACGAGCTCGTCTAAGGGGCACAACCAGACACTTGTCAACACCCGCCTCTTCACACCAAAGAGACGCGATTACTCACAAGTGACACCGTTCTGGTGCACGAACTCCTTTCCGGCCTCACTCCACTTATGAACCATCTCCTTGCCCGTCTTCTTGCCCTCCTGAACCCACTTGTCGATAGTGCCAGAGGAGTGCTTGAGCGCCTTGTCGCCGGCATGGAGGAGGTGGTCGAACTGACCCTGAAGGGCATTGTCGAGGACGACCTGGCCGCCTGGGGCAGCGAGGACGGTGCTGAGATATACGAGGGGGAGGAGGGCAGCGACCTTCATGGTGGTTGGGAGTGAGGAGCTGTGACCGCCTTAGAGACGCGTGCGTCACTGCTGTCACTCCACCGCGTACATCCTAATCGAGCAACTGCTACTTTGCACGCCACAACGCGAGTCCAGATTTAAAGTGAGAGGGTAATACAATTGTCGTTAGAATAATGCTAGTAATGGTGTGTCTGCCACTATGTATCTACAGTAATGCAAGAGAAAGAAAACATGATTCACAAAACAAGACAAAAGAAGAATGAAACTCTACAAAGCCAATCACATCTACATGCAGCTCCCGATCACGAACATCAATCAACCCATAGCCAATCTCGCTCAGTCCTTCCAGAGCTGGCGGCAAGCGCTTCACGAGTACGGAAGCTCATCGCTCCCACCTGCATTCGCATCCGCAGACGCGTCTCCTCGACCTCCTCCTCCAGGTCCACCACCACCACCGCCGCCACGAGGACCTCTCCCTCCGCCGCCGCCGCCACCCTCACCAGGCGGCTTACCCAGACCCAGCGGCGCCGGAGGCCTCGCAGGCAAACTTGCAGGAGGCACAGGCCCGCCTCCAGGTCCGTTAGGTCCATTCGGTCCATTCGGCCCATTACCATACCCAAACCCAGACGGCTGATGCCCGCCCCGCTCCCATCTCCCGTTCTGCGGCGGCCCGCCCATCATCCCCGGCACACCGCCGGCCGGACCTCGAGGCGGATGCCGCCCACCACCGCCACCCGGACCTTGCGGCGGCGGAGGCCCGCCGTACCCCCCAAATCCTCCGTATGCGCCTCCGCCTCCGCCACCGCCGTTGTACCCGCCTCCTCGTCCACCCCGCCCACCAGGCCCACTGGGCGGCCCATACGGATTCATATGTCCATGCGCTCTCGATCCTTGCCCAGGCGCACCACCCATCGGCCCCGGACCGTTCATATGCATCGGAGGACCATGTCCCGGCGGCGGCGCGCCATAAAATCCACCATGCCCATGCCCAGGTCCAGGTCCATGCCCATACGCATGCTGCTGCTGCTGCTGCTGCTGCTGCGCATACCCTGGCGGCGGACCTCGATGATGTTGAGGATGCATCGGCGGCATCGGACCACCTGGCCCACCCATCGGCCCACCCATGGGCATCGGCCCGCCGCCCATCTGCATCTGCATCTGAACCTGCATCTGCATTTGCATTTGCATAGGCGCCATCGGCATCGGGCCCGGCGGAAAATGGCGGAACTGCCCGTCGTTCATCGGCACCGGCGGCATGTGCCCCAGGTTCGGCTGCGGAGGGGGCATAGGGCGCCGGCTGCGCTTCGTGAACTCGTGCGAGGCTTCGTACGAGGGCAATCTACGGTAAAGAAAAAAGAGAAAAAGAAAGAAAAGTTAGATGATGAAAAGAAGGAGAGCATGCCAGGCAACATACGTCTTGGGATCTGCAGGGAGCGGGTCGCTCCAAAAGTAATCGTGGTCGAGCGCCTGTGCAGCCGTAATCCGTTCGCGCGGGTTGCACGTCAGGAGCTTGTCCAGCAAATCGCACGTATCCGGGCCAATCCTTAAAAAAACCTATCAGCCCACCCTCCATAAACACCATGCAAAATGCAAAAACACCCACGACTCATACGCCGTCCTCAGCCTCTTCCCATACGTCGTATTAAACCTCTTCACCCCCTCGCACCCCGGCAACTCATCATAGTTCGGCCACGTATGCTGATTCGGCGTCCCGCACAGCTGCCAGATCTTCTCGAGCTGGTCCACGTCCGACGTCCCCGGCAGAATCGGCCGCCGCATAAACATCTCGCCCAGCACACACCCGATCCCCCAGATGTCCACCTCCCCGCCGTACTGCCGCGCGCCGAGCAGCAGCTCCGGCGGCCGGTACCACCGCGTCACGACGCAGTTGGTGTATTTGCGCCCGCTGCTGCTGCTGCTGCTGCCGTCTTTGGATGGGGACGAGCCGGGGCCGGAGCCGTGCTCCATGGGCGTGTATACGCGCGCGAGACCGAAGTCGCCGATGCGCAGAGCCCCGGTGTTGGAGATGAGCAGGTTGGCTGCTTTCATGTCGCGGTGGAGAATATGGTTCTGTGTGCATTTGTTTGAGTATTGCTAGCGTAAAGATGTGACATACTGCAAGAGGGCTGGGTTTACCTGATGCATATACGCCGTGCCCTCGAGCAGCTGCTTCATGTACAGCTTGATATGACTCGGCTGGAGCTTGACGCGTTCGTTCTCGAGCAGACCCGCAAGGTCGTGGTCCATATACGGAAACACCATGTACACCGAGAGCGGATCCTTCGCGTTGCCTAAATCCCGAGTAGGTCGCGGTAAGCCTGTCCAGAAAGGACGGGAAGAAAAACAGGTACGCACTCCGCACGACGAACATATCCAAAATCTCCACGATACACTCATGCTTGAGCGCCTTCAGGATCTTAATCTCGCGCAGCGCCGTAACAGGCATACCCTCCTTCTCATTGTGCATCAATATACGCTTCAGCGCGACCTGCCGGTCCGTCTTGCGGTGGAACGCCTTGTGCACCTCTCTGCAGAGTGCAAAGACCGGACGCTTTGATCAGCCACCCGTATCCGCTCACGCCGCCACACCATACAGCGCAGAAGCTGAGACGGTGAGAAAATAACGCACCCGAACGTCCCCTCTCCCAGCTTGGTCGTCAGCACATAATCGTTCTGCTGTCCGCAGCCCTTGAACACGCGTCCGTACGCCTCTTCTTCCTGTTTCGGCGTTCGTGTAACGGCGGCGCGCTTGCGCACCACCTGCGCTTGAGGCTTTGCATCCGTGTCCTTGCCCTTGTCTTTGGCAGAGGCAGCAACACTCGGATCCTGCGCTGCGTCCTTTACACCGGCATCACCCTTCTTCGGATCGGGAAGCGCCATCGACGGAGGCGTGTGGATGTCCTTGGGTGCGGGCGGGGGTGGTGGGCGTTGCCACGATTGCTTGCTATACGGGAGCGGCGGTCGAGTTCTAAGTTGAGTACAAGACAAGGTGTATTAGCAAGTCTCGACGCATGCACGATGCGTATGAACTCACTGGTTCGGCGCAAGTCTAGCATCAGGCGGCGGCATAGGTGGCGGAGCATCCGGTGGCGGCGGAGGCGGCACATCGAGAAGGTCAACCGGTGGCGGCAGTAAAGGCTCTGCTGGCGGTGAAGTCCCGCCTGTTCGCGGAGACGCCGAACGCGGAGGCAGCGATGGAGTCCGTGGGCCCTTGCGTGAATGTGGCGAGCGAGACTGTCTTGAGTGCCGCGAGGTGTACGAGCGTGCGGGAGACGCAGGCTTGTACGCGGGCGGCGACATAGGCCTGTAGGAGCCTACGTCCGTCCGCTTGTCTCGTCCTCTCTCTCTATCCCTTTCCCTGTCTCTGTCCCGCTCCCGGTTTCTGTCCCGGTCTCGATTCCGATCCCATGATACCCGACGCCGATCCCGGTCATTTCTGTCATAAGCATCATAATGCCCTCGCGAGGAGTGGGGCGACGCAGGTTCCTGGGGCCGATAAAACCTATCATCATTCGGTGGTCGCCGGTCTCGATCCCGATCGCGGTCCCGGTCTCTGTCTCTGTCTCTATCCCAGCCCCGTCGCCCATCGCCTCCAGGCCGCCAGCTGTCGCCCCTGCTGTGGTCCCGCGGGGGATAGTCGCGCGGCCACCACCCGTCATTGCCATTCGCCGCACCATTGTCCTCTCCACGCATTACCGCATCATGATTGCGGTCGAGGCTGTAGTCTCTCCTTGGCGGGGAAAAGTTGGCCGCATCCGTGGGCACGGGGGAGAATCCCAGGCGGAGGGGCGGTCGGCCGGCAGGAGCAGGAACAGGAGCGGTTGAAGAAGCCCCGGCGGGGACATATGAACGCTCGGGTGCCTCGGGAGAGCGACGCCGGCCGGCGTAGGGGCCTGGGCTCAGAGGACGGCCGCGTGTATCTGCGTCTCCGTGCCGATCGGCGCTTACGTTTGGCGAGCGAGGCCTGTAGTGGTCGCCTTGGCGGGAGCGTGGCGGCGGGGAGGGGGAGAGGGGACGGACGGGAAGATGGCGTTTGTGGCTGTGAGACGAAGGAGAGGGCGTGGAGCGGGATGCGCCATTACCTGGCGGAAGAGAAGGGGAGCGGCGGCGCTGGTCGAACGAGGGGCGGGAGCTAGTGGCGTTGTTGTAGTTGTCGTCGGGCCTGTAGCTGTCCATGCGCCTGCTGGTTGGCCATGCCGGTTTACTTCGCGATGAATTTGATTGCCATGACGGGCGCTGGTCCTCGACTCGCCCCCCAATGCGCTTGAGCAAGCTGTTGGTGTCATTCTCCGGACGCTCGTAGATGACAGGTGGCGGCTTGTCCTCAGCTGGGGGTGGCGGCGAAGGAGCCTGTTCCAGCAGAGAGGCCGACGTCGAGACCGACACAGTAGGCGGCTTGCCAGAGTCTATCGTCTTTTTCTTGAAGGGGAATGCGACAAGTTTCTTGGGCTTGCGGTCTTGCTGTAGGGGTGGTGCTGCGGCACTGGGACCTGCATAACTGCTCGACGATGGGTCGTCTAGCTCGCCTTCCTCTGGGGAGTGCGATGCATGCTTCTTGGCGGGTCGTTCGCCAATGTCTGTTGTAGCTGCACGCTTGATGGGGGTTGAGACCATCGTCGAGCACGACGTCCAAAGTGTCCCCAGGCCTTACAAAAGTGTGCTTGAAGTTCACTTATGTAAGCACCTCTTTGGGACACTTCCGTTCCGCAATGGCGGTGCACTCCGTTGCCTCGTCAGATACCTCTCTCGCCTCCACCTGCATGTATGCGACCCCGCGTACACCATCCTTCAACCCTCTGACACTCTTTTTTTGACTCACTCACAAAAAATTCTCCCGAAAAAAACTCACCAACGCATGCTGCGACCTCTCTCACTCCTCGTGAAACTACAACTCAGGCTGCTTGCAGGCTGCACTTTGAACCCATGCCTCACGGCGTTATGCGGAGTGACTAGCGCTGTATGCCAGCATATTGGACTGTTGCTTGATTGTGACAATCAGCGGCGTCTAAACACTCACGGGTCGAACTGGCTGCAACCAATCCATCTCTGTTCATGCTTGATCTCAACTATGTTCCCGTTTTGTTCTCAAAGACGCGCTTTCTTCCAGCTAAGCCTTGATCGGTAGCCTCTGGACTCGACGCGCCTGATCGCGGTGCATTCTGGTGCCTAGCTATAGGACATGATGCTGGCCACTAACGCATCGAGCGCCCTCGAGCGCTGATGCCAACAAGCGTGTATATTTGTCAACTCAACAACGGACACACATGTGATATCTAGTTGCCTCTATTGCCTCTTTCAGCGCAGTACAATACGGAAACTGTTGGCCACCACGTCTACAATCATACCAACGCCCGAAACTGGACCACCCTCTACTGGAACCCCCACATCAACTATGAACGACACTCGCATTGACGTTGTAGCCCTTGGCGCAGGTGCCTCCTTTCCTTGCCTTTTTGTGCATGCAGTATGCTAACGAACATGGACTACACGCACAGGTGTAATCGGCCTCACGACCGCAGTCGTCCTGCAAGAAACGCGGCGGTACAACGTCACCATCGTCGCCGAGACCTTCCCCACCGACCCCAAGAACGCGCGCTACGCGAGCGGCTGGGCTGGCGCGCACTTCCTCAGCCAGGCGATGAAGAGCAAGGAGCAGAAACCGCGCCGCTCTTCTCGCGCTTCACGCAGACGGAGTACAGAGACCACGAGCTGAAAGCGCACTGGCTCGAGGAGATGCCCGACGTAAGTTAGCCTATCCTGCACACCTCTCATCCATTAAAATACAAAGAATACTAACCAATCTATGACCAGTTCGAATACCAAACCCACACCCACACCCCTTCCTCCCTCCCCAAAAGCATCCTCACCGCCTACTCCTTCACAACCCTCTCTATCCACCCGACGCCGTACCTCGCCTACCTCCAGTCCCGCTTCCTCGCCGCGGGCGGAAAGCTCGTCCGCGGCACCGTGCAGCATCTCGCACAGCTCGCAGAGGGCGGTGCGCAGGCGTTCGAGTCTCTCCCCGCTGGGTACGCCCCATCCCAGTCCCATACCCAGGCCCAAGATGGACGTGAGAGACCGCATGCGATTATCGCATGCCCAGGTCTCGGCGCACGCTCGATCGGCGGCATCGAGGATAAAAGCGTAGCGCCGATGCGCGGACAGACGGTGCTCCTGCGTGCGCCGTGGCTCAAGCATGGCTGCGGGTTCAGGGAGAAGGTAGGGCGCTACACGTACGTGGTGCCGAGGCCGGATGGGACTGTGAGTGATCCCCCCTATCTCCTCCACTTTCTAGGTGTCATTACGCGAGGGTCGTTTGGTTTTTCGTTTGATTTCAACGCGGAATGTACTTGTTGCTGGCATATTCCTCCAAGTCTCTCACCATCTTCCTTTATGTGCTTCTACGACGTGTTAACAACCAGTCACGTTAATGCGTAACGTAGGTCCTCGTCGGCTGTGCAACCAGTTCAAACTCGAACGACTGGTACCACCTCCCGCGCCCCCACACGACACACGAGATCCTTCAACGAGCGCTCGCGCTCGTCCCTGACCTCGCACCACCACCACCTACAGGTGCCTTCTCCTCCTCCCATGCAAACATATCTCCAAGAGAGCAGCGCTGACACTCTCACCATAGAAAAAAGTGACACATCCAATCCAACACCCACACCAACAGACCGACACCCCCTAATCCTCGAGACAGGCTGCGGCCTCAGCCCCGCCCGTGGCGGCTCGCGCGCCGAGGTCGAGTGGATCCCCGCCGGACCCCGACCAAGCAGTACAGGAACCGAAGCTGCTACCAAAGAAGAGCAGACGCGGATCCCGGTGGTGTTTAATTACGGGTGAGCCTTTTCGCGTGCCCTTTTCATCCCACTATGTGTGTGTATGGGTCTTTGAGAGCCGGGCTAATATCGGTGCCACCCGGGATTCTTCTCGTTTCTTATCTGTCTCGTGCTCGTGTCGTCTTACTGTACTGTGTTCGCAGGCACGCGGGTTATGGGTTCAGCACGTCCTGGGGGAGCGCGAATCTCGCGCTGAGGATGCTCGACGAGGCGTTGGCGGTGGGGTCGCCTCCGCCCAGTTAGGGAGGATGGGAGATGAATTAATGAAGTCGAATGCGACGGGGACGGGTACATGCATGAATGCGACGATGTCGGTGTTTCAGACTTCGACAAACGAGGTGGATTAGTTGCATGGATGGATGGGATGGATGGGATGGATGGGGTATGCGTGAACAACAGCAAAAGGTATGGATGGGTGTGCATTAACAAAGGCGATGACGTCCGTTCGTCTCGATCGCGCGACATAAACCGAGATCCCGCATGAGAGCATGTATGTATGAATACAGAAGTGTAAGCTATGGCATAATGATATAGCTTCAGGCGAGCAGAACAGGGCGACTGCGAGAGGAAGAAAACACGATGAACCAGCATAAAGAAGAAAGCCAGAGAAGAAAACACATTATGGACACCGATAACGACAACACAGACATCATAAACCGACCATCTAGGCCCAACGGAGGAAAGAGAATAGGAGAAAAAGAGCCGCTTAGATACCGATAAAAAAGCGTATACCCGGACCTCACAATAACAACAACGATCCATCAGAATCCGAAGGAAAGGATTCACCAGTACCCCGCCGGTGGCCACGTCGCAGAGCCAGTGTACGGACTCGCCACCCACGGCGAGCCAGGCGCCGGGACCTGCACCGGCGGCGCAGCAGGCGAGTGCCACGGGCTCTGCCACGGGCTCTGAAACGGCGTCTGATACGGGCTCTGGAACGGCGACGCGTACGGCGAGTGCAGCGGCGACATCGGCGAGCCCAGCGTGGGCACCATCCCTGGCGCCGGAGGGCTGCCCATCATCATCGGCGGTGCCGCCCCGTACGGGCTGCTGCCGACGCTCGGCGAGTACATCACGGGCGGCGGCGGGTCGAAGTGCCGCGGCTTGGGGAGGTCGACGCGCGCGGCGCGGTCGTCTGGGCGTTGCCCGGAGAGGGCGGGGTTGGGCGACCACCATGAGGAGGGGTCGGCGAGGAGGGCGGCTTTTTTGGATGCCTCTTTTGCGGCGGCGCGGGCTTCGCGCTCTTCGCGACGGCGCTTGCGCCGGGCCTCGCGTTCTTCCTCATCCAACGGGGAGGGGGCGGGGCGGTCGTGGGCGGGGGCGGGGTCCACGTCCATGGGCTCTGCAGCTCGCGGGGTGGAAGTGTAGACGGGAGCGGCAGAGGGAGAGAGATCGGCAGCAGCAGGAGGGGGTGTGGTGGAGCTAGATGCTTCTGCGGCAGACGGGGATTCCTCGCGGGGCGGAGGTGGGGGCGACTTGAGCTTGCGAGACTTGCGTTTCTCCTTCAAGACTTTCTCTTTCTGCTGCCAGGCCTCTTCCTTGGACCACTTGGATTCTAATTAGAGGTCGCGTGCTCAGTAAAACGGTACCACAGGGGAGATGATCAGGTCAGACGGACCAACAGGAGGGATGACCTGATATGTGATGGTCCCAGGCTCCTTGGTCTTGGAGAAAGAGACATTCTTAGAGGTGCTGTCTCGTCGTCCTAGCGGCATGCGGGCGTGTTATCAGGGGTGAGGTTGAGGTGGGTTTGATAAGATAGCGTCGAAAAGTTGACGAGTGGAGAGGGGGGAGAGGTGGAGGGGACGATGATAGAACAGGGGGGAAGGCGGAGCAGACGGAAATTTATAGGAGCATGGCCGCTGGCTCCGCACTTTTGTATGTGCTCCTGCGCATCTGACACCTGTGGGCGTCTGTACCGAACAGCCCTGGGAATCTCATTCTGGGAAATTATCAACGTCATCTCATCTTTGTTCTCCCTCGCTCCGTCGTTCCTTAGGAACCCCGCGCGTTCGATGTGACCACCATTCGCATGATAGAGACTCGACTCTCCCTGACTCTGTCTGGGCTCACCCACCGTCATCCACTGCTGTACAGTATTACCGGAGGCGTTCCCCTGACTCGATCAAGCCATCTCAGGCCGCGATGAGAGAAAGATTACACCAAACCCAAAATCGGGAAACTCACACCTCGACGCATCCCGGGACGAGGACGAACTCGGCGAGTCGGGGAGGTGGGGCCTTTCACCCGACCCACGTGGCGGCCTCATGTTTTCGGCAACGCCCGACCCACTCAACAATCAATCCGCGCCTCGAGGCTGCAAGCATGGCTACTTGCTTACAGTCACACATACCGGTGTTGTTTCAGACTACCGCGGCGACAATCCTTTTCATTTATTCTTCTTCCGTCTTCATTCTTCATTCTCCATCAGCTGCGGCGCTCGTCTTTTTGTCGGATCTCCGAAGTCTCTACAGCAAGCTGTGCCCGCCTGCTGGAAGAAGCACGCTTGCCTGATCGATTAACGTTTCTACGTCTCCCATGGCTGTTGTCAATGTCTCATTTCCTCTGGGCGTCTATCTCTCACTCCGGACGGAGCTGAAAAGAAGCGCTGCCAAGCAGAGTACACTAGCTCTCAGGGTTTTGCGTTACTTGTTTAGGGTCAGGTTTACAGCTTCATCCTGATCGTATTCTCTCCCGGATCCACGTCCAGCCAGCTTGGTCTGGAATATCCTCCCCCGTTTCTGCGTGTATCCGCATCTCACATCCAGTCCTGGCACAGGCGCACAAGTACCGCAAGGACATCGACTGGACATGGCCTATTGTCACGACAGACACATGGATTGCATACAACAAAAACACAGGTATCAAAAATGGGTATCATAGGGACCGACAACACACACAACCAGTAAGTCGCATAGCCTTGACATATACCGCAAACCATGAATGAGAGTCCATACACATCCTCGCTTTCATTAATGTTCATCAGCCACCTCAGTAAGCAAGCCCCGCCGCACCCCCTCCCCACGCCGGCGTACCGTAGTCGCCCACCCACGGCCCACGTAGCACCGGAACGGGGCGGAACGGGAACGGCGAGTGGATGTACGCAGGCGCGGCGGCGTACGAGGCGGGCGAGCCGAGTGTGTATGCGTTTGCGGCCTGTGCACAGGGCGTGTAGGGCGCTCGGGGCGTGTAGGGCGTCTGAGGCGTATACGCATATGGTGTTTGTGGCGCGTATGGAGAGCGGTACGGGTGCGTGTACGGCGACAATCCAGGATGGTGGGGCGGATCAGGCGTGCGCGGGTTGGGCGCTTGCTCGCGCGGAGCGGGCCACTTGTTCGGCGCGCAGCAGAACGCGGGGTTGGGCGACCACCACTGGCCGTGGGTCGACCTTGCGGGTGTGGCGTGTGTGCGCTGTTGGGGTGCTGGATTCGGCACTGGTGCTGGAGCTGCCATTGTTTGATTTGCATAGATGCGCTGTTCTGGCTGGTGCGTCGTCTCGTGCCCTGTACGATCGTCAGCGTGACCAGAGACCCGGAGAACGTTAGAATGCCGGACCTGTAGCAGGTGCCTTGGGCCGCCCACCGTCCTCCAGCCTCGTACGCCGAGGCGTCTTCTTCCCCCGCCTCCCCCTGCTTTCCTTCGTCGTCCCCAGATTCCCCTGCTGAGCAAAATGCACATGCGGCGACCTTGACCTCGCCTCCGCCGTCTTCTTCTCCGAGCTCTGCTTCATCCCTTTCCGCTTATCCGACGCCTCGCGCTCGGGCGCGCGCGTGAACACCCACGTCTCCGCGTTCAGATACTCCGCGAGATCCGCACGCGTCGCGCGGCGCACCGTGCGCGTGACGATGCGGTTCGGGTCGCGCGCTGTGGGCGCGTGCTCGTGCAGGATGAGCGGCCGCCCGAGGTACGGTGTGAGGTCCGCGACGGTTGCGCGCGGGAGGCGGGCTGTCGTGTGCCCGGGGAGGGTGAAGCTCGTGCTGTTGGGGGAGGGTGGCGAGGCGTGAGCTGGTGTGGGTGTCGGGAGGGCGGGTGCACTGTCTTTGGGGCGGTTGGTGGGCTTGGTCTTGGGTTTAGTCGTGGACTTCCGGTGCTTGGATGTGGCGGGCTAGGAGGGACACGAGGAGTGTCGGGCGTAAGTATCGCGATGGACAGGCTTGAACGACTGTGGGACCTTTGCTGCTGCGTTTGCTCCGACGCGGGACGAGGAGGGGACGAGACCAGCGCCTGGCATGTCGGTGACTGCGTCCTCTTCAGTGTATGGGCGGGGCGGACGAGATGGATCCTACGCGGCGCGGCGCAAAAGCTAGTAGTAGTGCGGGCTGCCAATTTATCGCCTTCGGCCAGTGCCTGTTGAGATACCATAGAGGGCGCAGTCGGTTAATCTGGGAGGCTGTCGTGTCAAAGGCCGCCCAGTCCTCGATATCTAAATATGTAGCTGGGAAGGAGAGCAGGAGAGAAGGTACAGTATACCAATCGTCTGAATACGAAGCGCCTCCCAACCCTTATCCCTGACTCCTGTGGCAGGAAAGCGGGTCAGATGAGCGGGCTTCCTCGCGCGTTTAGATGAGCGCAGCTCGCGCAAGTGGTCACGGTGCGGGGATCCCAGCCAACAGCGTAGCAGCGCTTGCTTCTATGAGGAGCGGAGGCAAAGAGCATCTACAGAACAAGACGATTTTGGGACGACCCGAAGCCAGGCACTTGACCTGAGAGCCTCATAAAGAACGGTCACCCAGGAACACAGAGATAGGGGCGGCCCGACGCGTCAATATGAGCACCGCCACTGTGTTATATGGCAGCAATCGCACAGCCACCCCCTAAAACCAGTCACTGTAATATTTGGCGTCGACTTTGCAGGGAGGCTAAAGCTGGCAAGCCTGGGTAAACTTCGCGCTCTTATCAGTACGTCCAACTCTTGATAAATCGTCTTCCGAGATCGAACACACCGCTCAATGGTGCACTTCAGGGATCCCAATGAAGCACGCAAAGACGTCATCGTCATCGGCGCAGGTCACTTTTCTCCCTCCTTCCCTCCTGCATCCGATCATTCCAGCAAGCTGACGCATCGCGCTGTTGTGTACGCTTAACAGGCGTTATCGGGCTGACGAGCGCGATCCGGCTGCAGGAGACGGGCCAGTACAGCGTGAGCATCGTCGCGGAGACGTTCCCGACGGACCCGAAGAGCATACGCTACACGAGCCACTGGGCGGGCGCGCACCACGTCAGCCATGCGATGGGCGATATGAGGCAGCGAGGTTAGTGGCCGTTGTTCAATGAGCGGGACATGGGATGGTGTTGACTGAGATGACGAAGCGATTGACAAGGAGACCTTTGATGTTTTTTGGGAGCTCTCGAAGCCCGGGGCGCCGACAGAGGGGTTGTTCGTGCGGCACACGCAGACGGAGTACCGCGAAGATGATCTCGGACCTGAGAAGGCGTATTGGTTGGAGAATATGCCCGAGGTATGCACAGTGCTTGGTCCACCTTGGATGTCTCTTGCCTCGCTATACGCGATCCTCATCGTCCTTGGCCTCGCGCAGTTCAAATACCTCACCGATCTCCCCTTCGACCGTGTCAAAACCGCCTACTCCTTCCGCACGCTCACGATAAACACACCCGCCTACCTCGCCTATCTTCAGTCCCGCTTCATCGCAGCCGGGGGAAAGACCGTGCGCGCCTCGATTAACCACATATCGCAGGTCCTCGAGGGCGGCAGGCACGCGTTCGCCGTCTCCCCATACACATACTCCAACTCCCTCTCGATCGTGAATAGGCCGAGGCCACCGCACGCGGTGATCGCGTGCCCTGGTATCGGGGCGCGCACCCTCGGCGGTATCATGGACGAGAAGGTGTTCCCCGTGCGCGGGCAGACACTGCTGCTCAAGGCGCCGTGGCTCGATTACGGGCGGACGATGACTGAGGAAGATGGGACGTACACGTACGTGATGCCTCGACCGGGCGGGCTGGTGGGTGCCTCTTTTTAATCATATACCAGTACTCTCATTGGGCACCACAGGCGTTAGTCGGCGGTACGCGTGAAGCCAACGACTGGTACCCCATCCCGAGAGAAGAGACCTCCCAGGCCATTCTCCAGCGCGCATACGCTCTGGTGCCCGACCTGGCTGAACCGGGGGCGCGCTATAAGTCCCATCTTCCGCCTTTACCGTCACCCAAGCCCGGTAGTACGTAGTGATTCCTCGAATCGCATGTCGAGTTATACTGAACAACGTCCTATCTTTCAGGAGAGCTTCCTGTTCCAGAGGGCGAAGAAGCCATACCCCTCTCCATGCTCGAGATGAATACCCTGGAGGCAGGCTGTGGACTCCGTCCCGCGCGCGAGGGCGGCGTGAGATTGGAAGTCGAATGGCACTCTGCTGGCAAGCAGAAGGACGTGAAGATTCCGGTCGTCTATAACTACGGGTGAGTGGTGGCAGAAAATATACTGTAACACGAAGCGACGTTGCTGAGCATCCTTCGGCGGGTAGACACTCTGGATACGGTTTCATTGCGTCTTGGGGAAGCGCGTCATACGCCCTGAAGTTGCTTGAGGATGCTTTGACGCAAGGTTCTCCGCAAGATATCAAAGGGAAAGGTAAGAGCGCGGAGCACAGGACGGTGGATGGAAGCATCGGAGGGAATTAAATTTTGTAGTAGAGGTACAGATGCGGATAGCAAGCCATTTGACATAAATGTATCAGTAAATGTAACAATATCATATAGGTTGTGACGACCATGTTTGTCGCATTGAAATTTATGGTCAGTCACCGAATTTTGTTTTGCGACTCTCTCACTTCCTACTCAAACAAAAACGCCACCCTGCTGCTCAGTCCCAATGTCCTCCATGTCTCCGATTTCCACGGCATGTTCCTCAGGGAGATTCGGCATTAGGAACACCATGGCGCTCAGCGACCGCATTGGTATATCGGCGCCTCCTTTCACTCGGACCATGTCGTGCTTGCGAATGGACAAAATGAACCATGGGCCGATCATGCATAAAAGCATCATCTGAAGGATCCACCCTATATTGGTAAGGACCACGGTTTCGAGGTTCTAATCCAGTGCACAATAGAAATATAGCCGTGTCAAGGAGCATAAAAAGTGGGTGTCCTCACAAGTTTGATTGTGCCCGAGACAAGCAGCACGAAGGCGTGCCACAGAACATACCTGTCTTGGCCTGAGCATGACAGCCTTGGTGGATGGGCTGCATAGAACGCACCAGACGAAGTAAAGCAGACCCTGCTGGAAGATCACTTGCGCGACGCTCTTGAATTGACGTACAAAGTCCTTGTTCTCCCGTAAGTAGCATATGGAGCGGTATAACATCATGAGAAATAATATCATTTCGAGGCCCAAGGAGATTGCGGCGTCAACAGGGTTCAGCCACGCGAGAAATAAGGTTGGATTAAGGGTGATGCAGTACGGAAGGCCCATGTACACGGCAACCGTTGCTACAAAAATCAGAGACTTACTGTCAGCCCATATTAATGTAGAAACTATATCCGTAAAACTCACAGGTATAGCCATATGGTGGGAGAGACTCCATGATGTTCAGCGCTGCACTGACCAGATGGGCCAGGAGAAATCCAACGTATACACAAGTCAAGATATTCCGTGTGGATTTGTAGAATACACAGACGCAAGCCGTCATCACTCCTGAAAGTAAGAGAGATAGAATGTTGTAGGGGAGATATGGAGTTTCCAGTGTCAAGTTAACTCACCTTGTAAAATCGCTTCCAGGACATATGGTACGCTTAGTTGCACGACCATGTGAAGCACGGAACCTGTGGGGCGCGTAACAGGAGGTTTTCTGTAAGCATGCTTTGCTTTATTTACACTGAACTTACAGCTTCAGAGTCATCAATCGGGTCTTTCAGTAAGAAGAAACCGATTTTCCAGAGACGAAGAACAGCTTACATCTATCAAGCTATGAGTTGAGCACGACGTAAATGAAATAGTAGAATGCGTACGTTGTTCGTTAAAGACTTTGATGGTAAATAAGAATCTATGAATGGAAGTGAGTATTCAGTTGATCAAATTGCATCGAACTCTCGTACACGCCATCGCACTGATGAAAGAAGTAGAATCAGCTGCAGATAGCTTGCGAAAATACTGTGCCGCACAGTGCATATAACAAGCCTATGTAGCGGAGCTGTGTGCCGGTCAAGCCTTGGTAAAAATAGGTGAATGTTTGCGTAACTTACGGATGCATAACACCACGATATCCACGAAAGTTTACGCCTCTATGGATGTGGCGTTCCATAGTAAGAACATCTGTAGATAAAATAAGGAGACATCGACTAACCCAGATCAGGTCAACCTAATGTAGTCAAGAGCTATTGAGTTAGCGGGTGTAGCTTCATTGGGGAATGTCCTTACCTCTTGACCCAGACAAAGAACTAGCGAACATATCATCAGGTAAAACGCACGGCGACGAGAATAAACAGAATGATCCCACTATAGTCATAGGCAGCTAACGCTCCAAAAGATACTGTACTCAAGAGCAAACGGCACTGAAAGTCAGCGTGTAGGTTTGCGAGTGATCTCGAATCATATTCATACCAGCAAGGTAGTTGTTTCCTTGTGACGTGATTAGCAACGGTATGACCTCGGGAGAGTTTGTGATAAGCGGCACTGACATGATATGTCTAAAACAAGAGGTGGATGAAAGTGGATAAAGCCTACCTGAATGTCTTTATATTCACTCTTCAATCCGAGCGTCTCTGAGCTGCAACAGGTTGCCGGACCCTGCAAATTGAGGGCCGCTGAGCCCCGCGTGGCAGCAATATGGATGCATGACATAGCGGTTACGTGCTAGAGTACAACAAGAGATCCCAAAGACGGGAGAAACATCGGAATTAGGTACCATCGCACAGCACTTGGTGAAATATTGACCCACTCACTTCGTTGTATCACGAATGTATGAGGGCGACCCTGATATACTACCAAACCAGTCAGCCTTTCACTTCCGCTACATTCCGCTATATGATAGCCTGACACAACGAGATATGCGATACATACACGACGACACTTGCCTGCGTCGCGAACGATTGACATTTCCTTGTAGACAGGTTATCAGATCATCTAGCCGCACGCCATGATTAGCATGTGCTGCATCGTCCTGCCATAGCCTGCCATATACTCACGGATCACTAAAGCTATACTAGCGCCACACCAACACAGCCATTTACACCAAGGAGTTGGTAGAGATGCCGCTGATTATCGGAATAAGCCGGGAGCCCGAACGATGGACGTAGTGAATGGCAAATGCAATAATACAAAGGTAAGAAGCGATACGTACGTTACATATGTTTAAGGCCCGATGCCTTCAGCTCGTGTCGGGACATTTTAGGACTTGATAAGAAAAAGAGAAGTTGGACGAAGTGATATGAAGTTGCGAGAGCCAGGACCGAGTCAAAGGTCAGGTCAGCAAACTACCACGTTCAAATGGATGAACGTACCTTTTCCCCCCTTCAGCCCGTCTTCGCCGACGTCTCGCGGTAACTTGGTTTTAATTGGTGGCAGAACGATGCACCACCGGACACGCCACCCGATCACTTTACTCAGGACCTTTCATGCGTTTGCTTCGACAACAAGAACATCTCGAGCTACTTGGCTTGATGTGGCATAGTCTGACCCGACCCTCTGGATGAAAACGCAATGTGCACCGCGAAAATGTTTTGAAATCCTGAAGCAGCCCCAGATTTCGGTACCGCCAGAGGGCGATGCATGGTCGCAATCATGAAGAAAGCAAGCGCACATCCTTCGGGCCTTGACTCCGACGATCGGTGTACCTACGTCACCAATCAAAAGTGATGAACATAATCTGTTGTCCAGTGTAAACTCGGATACCCCGGCCGAGCGACCGATTTAAACCTAGGCACAGACAAGGCACAGGCTCACAGCAAGGAAACAACATGTTGAACAAGGTCTCTAGGAGAGTCCTTGTGCCTTTCTTTGCTCCACTTCGGGACTCTCTTGTGATCTGAAAGCAACATTCGCCCCTCGTCCTTTACCTGTGGCCCATCTGCACGTCCCACGTCCCTGTGCAATCCAACGTCGACTTTCTCTCAAGGCAGGGTCTCTTGGACACACCATCTGACTGCTTATGGGATGACGCAGAGCGGGGAACTAAGATGAATTGAAGCAGCATGTGTGACAGTAGAAGCAATGTACGACACCATCAATGACCTTACGTATGTCGAGGGGCCCCAAACCACCACCTCACAATCTTGCTCCCCTCGCCTTCCAGGCCGTCTTTCTCGAAGTCGCATCGCCCCACAAAGGGTATCCCCTGAAGCAAGTGCCTCATCCAATAGACATCATCGGCCCACATCGTTTCGTAGGGTATCTGGGGAAGGTCGCTGACGAATGCTGCGCCGGCGATGTCAGAAGGAAGCGCGAACCACTCTGGGCGCATTTCATCCGTTCTGGGCGAATAACATTAGGCTCAAATCGTTCTGGCAGCGGAATGTAAGGGAAAAGGAAGAAGGCTCACTCAATCGGCTCTCCCGTGAACTCCCGGGCGGAGTATACGTCGATATGGAACGTCCATGGTACGGTATCCAAGAGAAAGACTAGTGTTCCGGTGTGCTCCAGCGGCGCCGAGATGCCCGCTTCCTCCTGTTAGACGCGGTTTGGACGACGTCAGACGCGTACGGCAGGGTAGAATTGTACACAGACCTGTAGCTCGCGCACAGCCGCCTCAGCAGGAGTTTCCCCGGGATCCACCTTGCCACCAAAGCCGTTGTACCTGACGTCGCGACGGCGGCGACGCGTCAGCGCGTGAGTATGAGTTCCATTGCGCGAGATGAGACGCGTACTTTCCCAGCCCGAAACCGCGTTTCTTGTATCCAAGAAGGATCTATCACGACAGAGTCGCGATTAGCGACGCGTCAAGTGGTGTGCACACGCGAGACTCGGCGTACCTTTCCTTCCTGGATGATGAACGCATTCGTGTACTGACGCGTTTCGGCGATGGACGTCCATTCTCCCGTCCCACCTGTTGCGAACGCAACGAAATTAGGCGGGAGCCCTGGAGGTGCAGCTATACTGTTGGTGTGGGACATTTTCGTGGTGAAGGGACGACAGAAGACGTGAAGCTTGAGTTGGGCGGCATGCCGTCACAGCCGGGGATAACTTGCTCGCACGGTGAGTCCAACCATGCGGCATGCACACTGCAAGGTGGCCTATGGCCCCTAGCTCGAGCTGCAAACTCGGCCAATGCAAGTGTTGTTTGTGACGAATGGTTGCAACGGTCGAGCCCAAGTGCATGCTGAAGAGTGAGCGTGACGTGCATAACTTTGATTGGAAACGTGAGGGCAGTCAGCACAGGTAGACATCTATTAGGCCATAATCTTTCGCATCGGCCGAAATGTCACGCCAGGTCACCGAGATGGATGAACTCTTTATGTTATACATTTGGCACTAGACAAGGACGCCACACATGATGATACCAACAGGGAATGATCAACCGCCAGTGCGCCGAAGCAGCTTAACCCAGCGGGCGTTGTAAGCACAGGTCTCCCACTCGGGGTTCCAGACATCACTGCCTATATACCATTTACACGTCCTACCCGTCAGCTCACGAAGCATCCGCGCCATGCCTTCCAAAGGCCTCCAGTTTATAGAGTCCCAGCGGTCAGGGTCATCCGGAGAGGTGCCAGCCATCAGGAGTCGTAGGTTGTTGTCTTCGAGGGCGAGGACGTGGTCTGCTTGCGAAGACATGACTTGCCGGCTCAGGAGTGGCCAGTCTAACTTGTTTTCCAGCTTGTCGCTCAGGGCAAACCAAATGCCTGTGAAAAGGCCGTAAAGATAGTCTGGATGGTTCTCGTCATGGAATACGGCAGCGCCCAGACTTTGGGAAACGGGGAGCAGGTCTTCAACGGTCAACTTGAACCCGATGCCGAAGAAGAGAATGGGAGGGCTGCTATGCGGACCACGAGTGTATTCGGCTGAAAGACTAGGGCCACGCCATGGCTCATGCTCAAGCATATACTTCTGTGAGAGACGCTATGACGATAGCTTCAATACGGCAAAGGTTGTTGAGTATCACAGGGGAACATACACGGCTGAATTCACGGGCATCCGCCTTGTCTCTCTCTGTCAACTGCAACCGTCCATGCTTGGGACGTCTCGCGCGCGCAGATGACGGTGTCTTCTTGTCGATACTGAGTTTGCTGATCTGTCGAGTTGCAGCGTCCATGTTTGTGCGATTGGATGGCTCCGCTAGGTGAAGCTTGAAGCTTGAAGGGCTGACGCGGTTGACGTCGGCGAGAGCAAGACGCGTCGACGCGTCGCGCGTCAGCATCAACACTGAGACAATTAAACGTCCGGGATTATCGGATAGACAGGTAACTCGGTACGATGCATTGTCATTCTCATTCATAAGTAAATTTGTCAATGTACAGGTATAATTAAATTATCAAGAGGGATGCATTACATGCCAAACGCGCTGTAGCCCTTCCGAGACTCCCAATCCTCGTTGTGCATGTGGTTGCCTATGTGCCACATCGGATCTCTGCGCGTCAGCTCATGAAGCGCCTGCGCCGTATCCTCCAGCAAATCCCACTCGACAGAGCGGAAGCGAACCATGTCGTCGACGAGCGCACCCTTATTGGACAAGCTCGTCAAGCTATTGTCAGTCAGGGACATCACCCGCGTCAAGTTTGTGTTGGGTGAAAGGATCCCCCAAAACTTGATGCGCCACGGCGACTTGCCAAGCTTCTTGTTAATGGTATCCTCTACACCCAAAAGGACCATGTCGAGGTACCTCGAATGGTTCTTACCGCAGATGGTCGGCTCGGGAACATTGAGCTTTTGGGCGAGCGATAGTACGTCTTCGGCGGTACGGTTGAAGCCTATGCCGAAGAAGAGGACGGGAGGGGCCATGAAGTCGCTTTGGATATACTCGGGTGGAAGACGGATGTTATTCCACGGTTCGTGGGCGAGCAGATACTCTGTCGTAAGACGCTGTAGACACGTATTAACACGAGCCAGTGAATGAGGATGGTCGAGATCCAACTGGAACATACCTCCTTGAGTTCGCGAACAAAAGCCAGATCATCTTCAGTGCATTGATTACTCAACCTATGGATATTGAGCTTGTTGATTAGCTGGCGACTGAGGACTTCCTCCTTAGGCTTGCGGTCCTTGCCCTTCCGCGTCTGATCGCCTTCTTGGCGTGCTTCAATGGTTTGAACGCTACGGTCGCCAAATTGACGAATAGCGCCGTCCATGGTCACGACTGCGTGAAACAAGGTGTAACACGGGGGCTGGAACCGACCCACGCGTGAACGCGTGAGCTGCGGGTAAAGCAGACAGATAGGGGCTGGTTGGTGGGCTAGTTTCACTACACAAATCGCAAAGAATTCGTGTTTATATTCATTGTAACGTCCAGCGTAAGTATATGCACCCGTTGATCTAGGAGATTGGTGAGTAATTGAGATATGACGACCTGTTTATTTCAGCTGCTTTCACTGATGTTCGGAACAAGTAAACCACTAACTTATGTTTCTTGCACGCCCCTGTTCACGGATCTCCTTTTGATGCTCATTCACTAGATAGTAAGCGCATACCGTAACTCTACGAACTTGCCTTCCACCTGCACCATAGATCCTCTCTTATTTTCCCTCTCAGAGCACTTCCCTCCCTCACTATTGCAATCTTGCTGTACCGTGATCGCCTTTTGCCGCTAGCATGAGCTGTAAGTGTTTTGTCCATCGGGAATCCGACTTTATCATCTATGAAGTTTCACCTCTCACTCATCTATCTAGCTCGTATCCTCCCGAAGTTCTGGGGCTTCGCTATATCGGAAAGCTTCCTGCTGCGGAGAGCAGCTGCAGCGGGGCGTATCCCTCGAGGTGGCACTAGCAGGAAACAGAATATCGTGAACGCCATCGAGGGAACCCTTCGCAACCTTGAAGTGCATGTCCGTCCGCCTGCTCAAAGCATGCCCATCCTGGTTCTACACCATGATGGAAACCGGCGCCGTAGGCTTTGGTGCGTTGCTCTTGCTACGTCACAGCCATCGGAGGATCTCCCACTGCCGTCGGAGCCGCCGGAGGAAAGGTACTACGAAGACTTGGCTAAGGAGTTGAAGGGGGTTGTGCCACAATGGTATCGAATGCATGAGGACTATTAGTCTGAGGAGAAGTGGGCCATCCTGAGGGAAGGAATGGTCGGTCTTGTGTGCAGGACGCGGATGCGAAGATTGAGGTGGCCAGGGGCTTGTCCGAATAGATGCAGGTAACGTCCGCACCACCCAAACCAAATGACATAGAACAACAAAATGTCCGACAAGGACCTGGATAGCAGCCTGATTAAACAACTAAACAGAAATATACATTATGTTAGCCTTAATAAACAAACAAGATTCTCCAATGAACAATCCATAAGTATCTCTACTCTCCCTCAGTCCATCGACACGACACGCCTGACAAACGGGAAACTTTACGACCGCCCCCTCACCCTCCTCTCCCCGTCCACCAACCGATCCACAACACAGTCCCTTGCATCCTCGAGCAGCGGCGCATCCTCGCGGTAGTCGAACACACCCGAGCCCAGCACGCGCCGCAACCGCACCACGTCTCGCTCGCGCTCCTTCTCCGCCCGCTCTTGCTCCCTCGTCGCATTCGCACCGACATCAGCGCCGGCAGCCGCAAACCCAGAACTGCGGGGCGGCGTCGGCGGCGGCGACAGCACTCCCTCCTCGTCCGCGTCCACGCAGGCGTGCTCGACGACAATCGACGGCGCGATCGTCCCAGCCGCAGCGGCGGCACGGGGGAACACCTTCCGATGCAGCACCACAGCAGCAAGAAGCACACGCGCGTCCTCCTTCGAACCGCTGTTGCGTGCAGCCTGGGGCGCTGCAGATGCAGAGCAAGCGGAGGATGAAGGTGCAGCAGGGGCAGGTCGACCGAGCGCAACGAGCTCCGCTAGCTCAAGCGTGCCCAGCGTCCACGCGCGCTCGAACGCGTCCGCGAGTGCCCGCGGGGCCCCGCCGAGACTCCGCGCGGCGGCGACAGTGACGCGCCAGCGTTCATCTCTCGCTTCCTTCTCCCGGCGCTTGTCATCTTCGCTTTGCTCCTTCTCGTCGGAACCATCGGTGCCAGCGGCAGTATCCGCGGAAGACTCGGGCATAACCCGCTCGACGAACAACTCCGCCGCGTGCGCGCGCACGCGCTCGTACACGAGCTCGATGGCGAGGAGGTCAAGCGGCGTTGTCATCGTGTTCGCGCTCTTGCTCTTGTCGCCGTCCCGGGCGCACAGCGCATCCAGCATCGCACCGGCCTCCTCCGCGAGCAGCGTATCCAGCACAAGACGCTCGCACGCGCGCACGACGCCCTTGCGCGCGCTAGTACGCGCAGCGTCCCACAGACGCTCGGCACGGGACCGTGCGAACGGCATCGGGAGCGTACGCGCCAGCAGAGCAGCAGTCGCCGTCTCGCTCGGTGCAGCAGAGGCACCACCAGCGGAGGATGCGGAAAGTCGAGAATACACCCGCATACGCGTGGCCGCGGCTGTCATCGTCGCGCCCTCGAGCAGGATCACCTCGCCGAGCCGTGCCCATGCGCGATTGACGGGAGCAGTGGCGTTCCCCTTACGTGCGGTGTCCTCTGCACGGAGCGCGCTCCGCACTGCGCCGAACACACCAGGCGCAAGATTGAGCGCGTCAAGTAGAGCAGCCTTTTCGTCCGCCTGGCCACGGCGCATCAGCGCTTGCGTGATAGGGTCCTTCGGCTTCGCCTCAGCCTCTCCTTCCGCCTCCGACTCTGCCTCCACCTCCGTCTCGCTCTCCGATCCGCTCACAACCGGACTCTCCGGCGGCGTCGGCAGCTCGTCCCTGCTGCTCACACTCTCGTAGCTCGTCGCTGGCGTAGCGACAGCAGGGGCAGGAGCCGATGAGGTAGACAGACCACGCAGCGCTCCGCTGAACGGGATCAGCCTTGCGAGACGAGAGGCGCGCACGCGCCGCGGCAGGAGCGGGAAGACCACGGACACAATGACGAGCAGCGACGCGAGGAGGTGTACAGTCTGCACCGCTGTGGCCCATGTCATGCCCGCAGGTGCAAGCTTCTCCGCGGTGGCGTTCGCGTGTGCTTGAGCAGGAGAGGAATGCGAGAGGACCGAGCCGGTGTGCGCGTGATGCTGCTGGTGCGCGGAGGAGGCAGTGTAGGACGTAAGTGGCGAGTTGAAGAACGAAAACAGCGCAAAGACCGCCAGAAGATACTGTTGCGGCTGTCCCTGTTGCGCTTGTTGCTGCATCTGCAGCTGTTGAACCATCGCAGGATCCGCAAGCATCACAGGCGCAGCGCCCGGAGCAGCTGCTGCTCCCATCGTCTGTGCCGGAGGCGCCCCAGGCTGGATCTTGCGTGGCCGACCACGCTTCCGCTTCTCTGGCACCGTACCAAGACCCTCAGCAGGGACAACAGGAGCGCTCGGCGCTATCCGTCTTTGCTGCTGCTGCTGAGAGGTGACGGGCGGTGTAGCCCGCTCCTTCTTCACAGGAGCAAGGCGCACCCTCTTCCTCGGCGCGTCCGCTGCATCCTCTCCATCGCCCTCGCCGTCCCCATCCCCGTCTTCATCATCGCTCAGCTCCTCCGCATCAGCGTACGTGAGCTCGTCGCGCTCCGGCCCGCCAAACTTGGCCACCCACTCGCTCTCCCATTTGCCGAGAAGGTTGGCGCCGCCGGGAAGCCCGCTGATGAGCGTACGTAGACCGAATTGTTCGCGGATGAGCCGCGATTCGCGGCGCTTGAGTACCCTGTCAAGCGAATCGTGATGAGCATCGCATACATACATTGCACGAAGAAGAGTTCATACCTGATGTATTCGACGGCTTTGCCCAATACGTTTGCCTTGCTGCCCTTGCGCGCGACCTTGACACCGTCAATGTACCCGCGCTCATCGACCACATCGTCCGCGTTCGCCGTGTTGGGATCAAGCACGCGCAACGCGGGCACAGCCTGGCGCAGGCCCTGGATGCGCGCGTTCAGGTTAGTGCGGTAACGTCGCTCGATGGTTGTGTGGCTCGTCTTGGGCCGCGGCGCGGGTGCCGAGGGCATAGCAATGGCTCCCCCATTGGCGTTTGCAGCGTTGAAGTGACCGGTTGAGTCAGGCGGGGTGCTGGGCCCCGGGGACGGTGATGAAGAGGTGGAGGATGCGGAGGAGAGTGCGGGCTGCTGGTTTTGCATTGCAACGGCGGCAGACGGCATGAGTCTTGGGATGGGGAGCTTGGGGTTGATGTTCAGAGCGGCGTGAAGAGCTGCGGTGAAGTCTACGTAGCTGTCCTAAGTACTGCTGGCCTCAAGCTGACGGATGGGGCGGGCTTACCGAAGTTGGGATCTGACCCAGGATTGGGTGCGGGAGCTGGAACTTGGATTGGAGGTTCAGATGGGATTGGCGACTTGTCGGCAGTGGAATTGGAGGATACAGAGGTGGTGCTGAGGGTAGGAGAGAAGGTGAATGGGAAGCCGCCGGCGAACATGTTCTGTGGCGGCTGTTGATGCTGCTGCTGAGGCGTGACAGGTACACCAAATTCAGGCTGGGAGATAGCCTTGTTGTCGAAGTGGAGGGCGCTTGGATCGACGGACATGGACATGGACATTGCCATGGCGCCATTGGTAAGATCGAGGTCGGGCAAGGAGGAAAAGTCAAAGTCCATGCCAAAGTCGGGGAACTTGGAGTTCATGTCGTCCATAGACGGGGGCATGGCATTCTGAGTGTCTGCCTGACTGGGCCAGAGGGAGGAGTACTGGGACCAGTCGGGTGAGTCTGCCGAGGCAGAGGAGTCGTCGGTGTCTGTGGATTGGAGGAGAAGGTTGAGAGGATCGGAAGGGTCGAGAGTGAAGTTCTGGAGGTCGTCCTCGCGCTGAACGTAGTCTGCGTCCATGGTGAATGTATGCGACCTGCAGCGGGTGTGGTGGAGGTGCAGGTGGAAGTCGAGAGGGAATAAGTAACGTGCTCCTCGTTATGGTGCCATGGACATCAGGCCACTTTTACCAGTGGCTGTGCTGTCCCACCCTTCTCGGACAAGTATATTTTTCCCACGTCAATATTTAGCGAACCAATAATTTATCGCTGCGGTACACGGACGTTGCTCCAGGTTGCTACTCGAGATTGGTCCCTCGTTGTCGTCCCACTCCTTGCATCGACCCATCGCTCTCTTCCTGCATAACGCAAGAACAAGAGAGATCATCGACCCACTCGTACACCGACACGTAGGCACATACGGTAAGTTATCACAGTCATTATGACGGCTTCCACTCCTTCAACCGTAGGCAAGTGCACGTCCTCCTTCTCCTGGTGTCAACTAACCTCTTTCATCCATAGACTATAGCTATTATGGCGGCGCAGAGTCCTTCTCCGAGGGCAAGCGCTCCCCTCGTCGCACAGAAGTCGTTGCACCCACCGCAAAGGACGACGGCAAATCCTACCCCGGTCCACCCCAGGACCCTTCCGACTTCCTCTGGATCATGACCGAAGAACCCCACCGCTCCCGCCGCATGGCTATCCTCAAGGCCCACCCCGAGGTCACCAAGCTCATGGGCCACGAACCCGCCACCAAATTCGTCGTTGTCGGTGTCGTGTCCCTCCAGATCTTCATGGCGTACGCGCTCCGCAATACCCACCCACTCTCCCTGCCCTTCGTTGTCTGCGCGTACGCGATCGGCGCGACCGCGAACCATAACCTCTTCCTCGCCATCCACGAGATCACGCACAATCTCGCGTTCAAGGGCATCGCTGCGAACAGAATACTGGCTATGATCGCAAACCTCCCGATTGGTGTCCCGTATTGCTCTGCGTTCAAGGTGCGTCGCACGACGCCTTCACACGAGCGTTTATTGACGATGTGCCGCAGAAATACCATCTCGAGCATCACAAGCACCTCGGCGAGGACGGCATTGACACCGACCTACCCACGCAATTTGAGCTCATCTGCCTGAACAACGTCCTCGGCAAGGTCTTCTTCGCGTACGTCTCCACCTTCTCACCTTCTCCTCACCAACTAAACTATTTTCTCCCATCCCACCAGCACCTTCCAAATCTTCTTCTACGCCCTCCGCCCCGGCTTCGTCCGCACACAAATCCCCACCCGGTGGCACCTCTTCAACCTCATCTTCCAAGTCCTCTTCGACTACATCCTCATCACCACCCTCGGCCTCAACTCCTTCATCTACCTCCTCCTCTCCTCCTTCCTCGCCGGCTCGCTCCACCCCTCCGCCGGACACTTCATCGCCGAGCACTACGTCTGGGACGGCCTCCACCAGGAGACGTACTCGTACTACGGCCCGCTCAACGCGCTCAACTACAACGTCGGCTACCACAACGAGCACCACGACTTCCCCAGTGTGCCGTGGACGCGGCTTCCGGCGCTGCGCAGGCTCGCGCCCGAGTTCTACGACACGATCCCGAGTCATCCGAGCTGGCCCGGCGTGATTTTGAACTTTATTAGGGATAGGGAGGTGGGCATTTTCGCGAGGGCGAAGAGGCATACGAAGAGCAAGGCCACGGGCGGGGAGGCGGTGAAGGCGGCGGTAGCCGCCGATAGCGAGGAGGCGTCGACGCCCGGAAGCAGCGATAAAGAGTAGGTGGTTTGCTGGACATAAAAGCTAGGCTCAGAACAGCCGTGACGGATTGGAACTAAGATACCTTTTGGATACTTGCATTGCACTAGTACTCACTAATCACTTAGATCTACGGGTGCACATACTTATGCTGGACGTTACGATGAATGAACACGCTTTCTTTGCTACTCGTGTGGTTGAACTGGGCCAGTTAAACTGGCTCACGCGCGGGTCGGCTCCAGCTCGCGTTACACCTTGTTTCCGTAGTCCACCATGGACGACGCTATTCGTCAGTTCAGCGACCATAGTGTTCAGACCATTGAAGGACAGCAAGAAGACAATGAGACGCGAAAGAGCAAAGACCGTGAATTTGAAGAGCATATGCACACTCGCCAGCTAAACTAGTTCTACATACATAGCTCCAGATTCCAGTGTACTAAACACAATCGCAAGATGTTATGTCTCGGTTGGTCTCGACTAGACTACGCAAGCCGTCGAGATTTACTTCGTGTGCCATAATCTTTGGGGTCCATTTCTATCAGCCGTTTTGTCATTTAGGTGCTAGGACCGTATGGTGACCCCTCTGGCTCAGAACGTGTATCCGGAGCAAGGTCACGAGCTGCCGCAGCGGAGCCAGCAGGGGGAGTCGATGGGCGTTTTCCAGCCGCAACGTTAGCCACTGATTTGTACCATTGACTGAGTTTTTTTTCGCCCCCTCTCTAGTTTCTATGTGTTCAACGGGACATTAGTACAATGTATTGCGGAACACGGGCTACGATAGGCTTACCCATGGCTCGCTCTCGAAGGTCCTGACTCTAAGATCATCCAGGGGGAAACGAGGGCTCTGTCGGATCGCAAATTCGGGCTCAAACGCGATCAGAAAGCACTTGGTAAACGCGTATGAGATCCGAAAATGGTACTGGCCGTCGCACGAGACAGCCTCCTCGTCGTATATGAGGGTTTCAACTTGTACAGTTACACCTCCAGGACTTCCACTCGAATTTGTCAAGTTCTTGAGCGGCGGGACGGGCGAATGGGCGCTCATCGTCGAAACGCGTCACGTTCATCATCCAGAAAAGAAAGGTGCGCCGAGTCCGCACCACTTTAACGCGTCGCTAATTTCGAATCCGCCATGGCAAATCCTTCTTGGATACAAAAAACGCGATCTCGGGCCCGGAAAGTACGCGTTTTGTCACTGACGCAGCATGGGACGGATGCTGACGCGTCGCGGTCGTCGCGACGCCAGGTAAAACGGCTTTGGTGGCAAGGTGGACCCCGGAGAAACTCCTGCTGAGGCGGCTGCGCGCGAGTTGCAGGTATGTGGACGGTTCTACCCTACCGAACGCATCTGATGTCGTTCACACCTATGATAACTGACAGGAGGAAGCGGGTATCTCGGCGCCGCTGGAGCACGCCGGTAGTCTCCTTTTTGCAGCCGTTTTACACGTGTCGCTGCGCTCTTTTGACGCTGTGTAAAACTGGCACGCCGGAACGCTGGTCTTTCTCGAATACCGTACCATATACGTTCCATAACGACGTATGTTCCGCACGGGAGTTCACGGGAGAGCCGATTGAGTGAGCCTTCTTTATTTTCCGTTACAATCCGCTGGAACGATTTGAGCCTAGTGTTACTCGTCCAGGACGGATGAAATGCGCCCGGAGTGGTTCGCACTTCCTGCCGACATCGCCGGCGCAGCATTCGTCAGCGACCTTCCCCAGACACCCTACGAAACGATGTGGGCAGACGACGTCTATTGGATGAGGCACCTGCTCCAGGGCATACCTTTTGCAGGGCGATGCGACTTCGAGAAAGACGGCCAGGAAGGCGAGGAGAGCAAGATTGTGAGATGGTGGTTTGGGGCCCCTCGACATACGTAAGGTCATTGATGGTGTCGTACATTGCTTTTACCAGTGTCACACATGCTACTTCAATTCATATTAGTTTCCCGCTCTTCGTCACCCCACAAGCAGTCAGACACTGTGTGCGTGAGATCCTGCCTCGAGAGAAAGTCGACATGGGATCGCACAGGGACGTGGGAGGTGCAGGTGGGTCACAGGTTAAAGACGAGGGGCGAATGCTGAATTCAGATCACATGAGAGCCCCGAAGTGGAGCGAACAAAGGAACAAGGACTCTCCTAATCATCGCCAGTATCAGCAGCCCTGGCGTAAGCTTAAATCTAAGTTTAACAAGAAGGATTTCCAAGTCAGGCCCGGGGCTACTTCTCATATTCCCTCACAGTATATTATGTACAAGTAATTTTACCCAGGCTGCTGCTCCGCTAGCCTTAGTTGAACCTCGGACTCCTTCGCGGTTCAGTGTTCTGCTCCAGTATGAGATAGGCCTGATATGTCCCACGAGGGGGTTCATATGATGCATCTGGACCGTACGATGTTTCGGACGAAACACTTATGGATTGATCACCAGCGTACGAGTCAGTGCTCGTGTCCCCATCGTTGTTGTCGATGGCATAAAACGTGTCAAGTAAAGTATTGACTGTGTGGATTTTCTTTGAATTTGCTTCAGTCCAACGCTGCATCGATAGCAAAGATAAACCTTACCGCAGGATCAGATGCAAAATTAGTGGCGGAGATGCTTTTCAACTTTGTAGTAAGGAAAAGGTTATCTAGGACTCCGAATCCAGGTGGAAGAGCGGTCAAGAAGCACTTGGCAAACGCAGGCGATATACCAGTAAGACCCCCGCGGGTATCCGAGATGCTTCGTTCCACAGTGGGCTCATCGTAGAGAATAAGTCTCACGTATTGTTGTGGAATGAACTCTGAAACAATGGCATCATCCATGTCTTTGCTGTTGCGTAGTCCATAGTCTGGATCCTGCTCGCCGAGGGCATTGTCCGCCGTTTCGGGTCCGTCTAGGTTTTGAGTCAGCTTGCTGGCGCAAATTGAAGTGTCAATGCCGAAACTTCGATCTTACCACCAATGTTGTTTTCTTGAGGCAGGGATTCCAGATTGTCGGGACGTCTAACTTCGAAAAGAGCGAAATGAGCCCCAGCAATGAAGGTCACATACATGACTGGATCATCAGGGAAAGTATGAAAGGCGACAAAAGCCTGAAGAAGAATTTGACGGAGACTTCCTCGAACGGCAAGGTTGAACTCTCTTCGCGAATGTTCTGTCAACCAGAAGTATGGTCTATAGCCTCCTGCGGTCGTGTCAGAAAAAGGAATGAATCAGCAATAAAATGATGTCGCACCAGTAGCTTGACTTGGAATGACTGATCTCTTGATCTCGATAAGCATTCTGCACCGCTGCTGTATCTCCCCTGCTTGGCTAAGCCGAAGGTGAAGTATAGAAAAGTCTGGGATAACGACCAAGTACTTCTGAACATTGCGGTGAAGTTCATAGGCTGTATCAGAATCCATGTGCCGTTGGCCGTACAAGATAAAGACACCTTCAGGGTGTGGTTGAATGTGATCAGTGAATGTGCTCAAGATCTTCTGATAAAGGCCGTATAACGTATTCTCCGAGCGGCTATGGCGCTCGCAGTCCTTGTATGCAAGCGTTATCTCGAGGAGAAACCGAAGATAAAGCTCCTGCGGGAGGTATCTATCAGGGATGGAGAGATGCTCTCCAGGGATGAGGTGAAGGTACGGAAGTGCGTCCATATGAAGGAACTGGGCTATTCGATGATTCGTCCAGTTCCCCTTGGAGCGGATTATTTATACTATGCACCGTTTTCAGCCAAAATTCCCGCAAGAGATCATTTGCGTAGCACCAGTGAGTAGGTAATGGGCCCGAGGTTCGTTTGAGGCTTGGAGGGGAGAACAATTATCAGACACACTGCGGCTGTAAGCACGTAACTTAAAGTGACAAGCATTCAACAATAAACGGCAGCCGAAATGTCAAGATAATGATACCACCGAGAGACACCACATGGTTGCACAAAATCAAAGGATGGCACTATATCTGAGTAAATGACATATGGAAGATGATGACAGGTGGATAGTAATATTGGCCTTGCAGAAGGAGAGTCAAACAATTGTATGTGTTGACTGCCGAGGTGTTGCTAAGCTCTCGACTTGAACAATAACAAGATCACGTACAATTAGGACAATAAGAAAGCCAAGGCAACCGATCAGCAGCAAAGACAATAAGTGCAGTACTAGTAGAGTGTGTGATATGATATGATAAGAACAACTGGTAGATTGCGGCCTGATCAAGTCCGATTTTAGTACAGAAAAGACAGCACTAGTACTGATCGATTGATCCAGCACAGATATCAGGAACTTCAACTGGGACTTGGACAATAGAGGGCTTAGAAAGACATTCGAAGGCAAGAAGAGGGCCGATAAGGTCAAAAGATAATCCGAACTGACATTACCGGGGATCGGAACCGGGACTACGTACAGCGCCGGCCCGTGTTTTGCGCTCGGAGGTTGTACTACTACCGTGGGACGTATTAGTCACGTGGCCGTTCAATTCACCTAGCGTTATATAGAACATTGCTCTCGCCCCCTCATTTGACACAACTCCCCATGGACGTCCTCCTTCGCCTGCTCGTCAATAAGCGAAATATCCATAGCTCGGGCGCTCACTGTACTGAAGACGATCAGGCTTTTGTTCGCAAGCTCAAGGAGGTACGTTCCAGTCGGATCTCGATGATCCTCTTACACTGGCTCATGAAGTTCACCTGTGTCTACAGCATCTTAAGAAAGAGTACCTGCTCGCCCACGAACCGTGGCGTGGCATTCGTCTGCCACCCGAATATATCCAAAGTGACTTCATGGCCCCTCCCGCCCTCTTCTTCGGCATAGGCTTCAATCAAACCGCCGAAGACGTGCTATCGCTTGCCCAAAGGCTCAATACTCCAGAGCCGACCGTCTGCGGCAAGAACCATCCAATGTACCTCGACATGGTCCTTTTGAGTATCAAGGACACCATCAGCAAGAAGCTTGGCAAGTCGCCATGGCACATCGAGTTTCTGGGCATTCTTTCGCCCAACACAAACTTGACGCAGGTGATGTCCCTGACTGACAATAGCTTGACGAGGTTGTCTGGGAAGCGTCCACGTGTTGACGACATCAGCCGCTTCCGCTCTATTAGGTGGAATTCATTGGAGGATACGGCGAAGGCTATCCAGGAGCTGACGGGCCGAGAGCCAATGTGGTATATAGGCGATCACATGCAGAATGAGGATTGGGACTCTCGGAAGGGCTACAGCGTGTTTGGCATGTGATGCGTCCCTCCGGGTACCAATACACTAATATGCACGATACTTATTTGACTTACCTGTACAGTCTCGATTTAGTTATGAATAACATACGGATGACTTGGCGTATCAACCCTTCACTTGCTCCAGTACCGCCAGTGCTTAATATTTGAGGGCCTGCATCTATACGGACATAGCCGGATGTTTAATTGACTGTCGCGTCCGACGCGTCTCGCTCTTGTCCGCGTCAACCGCGTCAACCTCACTTGCTTCCTCTGTGCACGCTCCTCCCACCTTCAGTCTCTACCGGCCATGGAGGTCGCAACTCGACAGGTTGGCAAACTCACCGCTCACGACAAGACTCATTCATCACCACGCGCGCGACATCCCAAGCCTAAGCACTTATCGGAGAAACGAAAGGCGCATATACGTGAAATCGGACGTGTACGTTCCTGCCTGTGTTCCCTCTAGACCATTCTGTACTAATGCCATCCTTGTAGCGTCTCACGCAGAGCTATATGCTCAAACATGAACCTTGGAGTGGCCTTCACCTTTCAGCCGAATACATCCATAGCCCATTCAGCAGTCCTCCCGTCCTCTTCTTCGGTATCGGGTTCAAAACGACTGTCGAGGACTTGCTCCCGCTTTCCCACAGCTTAGACGCTCCCAAACCCTATGACGAGAGCCATCGCGACTACGTTGAGGGCCTCTTTATGGGTATCTGGTCCACCGTGCGCACAAAGTTCGAGCCCCAGTCGAACTGGCCTCTCATGACTCGGGAAGTCAGGTCTTCCGAAGCTGACCGGGTTATCACTCTCGAAGACAACAAGTTACGCTTTCTGATGGGAAGCTCTCCTACGGATGACCCGAATTGTTGGGACTCTCTCGACTGGAGACCTTTGGAGGGAGCAGCGCAGAAGCTTCAGGAAGTGACGGGGAGGACATGTAAGTGGTACATAGGCGGCGAAGTTTGGAACCCCAAGTGGAGGTCGCGTCGCTACAACGCCCGTTGGACTAAGCTAGTTCCACCCACTGAGTGATTATCTTGAATGAATGAAAGCATATGTGTATACTACGACATCTCTTGTTTCCCGGTGTGAACCCACCCAAGCACGTTTTGCGTCGACACTGAATTGAGGAAATAGGGGTTATATTTTCAGGGGTTAACAAGTTTACACCGACATTGCTGTCTTTCACCCGGCTATATTCAAGATACAGCTGCCACTGGCAGAAGATAACGCATCTACCTGCTGATCTTCTTCTCCATGCAAAAATCCACGGAAGAAAATCCACCTACAGACCAACAAACAACGCAGCGAGGGCGCTTTGGCGTCCCCTATCTCCATGGTCTGAAAGTCTGCATTGACGCTGTGCTAGCTCGCATCTACCCATCTCCTCAACCGGCTCTCGGTTCTGGAGATGAAGAATCTAGAGAAAATACTGACGCATCCTGTAAACTGGAAGCTCCTTCAAATCGAGAGGAGGTAAAGAGCGTAGTGACACTAGCATTCGAACAAAACAAGGTCTGTTCCGCCGTGTTGCATTTGCTGTTTCCCTTCCATTCTCAAGCTGACTGATATACAACTCCTCTTAGACGCTCAAAGAGTACATGTTCGAGCATGAGCCGTGGTGTGACCCTCGCTCTTACAAACAGTTCCCCCGCATCAACGATATCAACTGCGATTTTCCACTCCTCTTCTTTGGTATCGCGTTCGAGGATACCGACGAAGACGTGCTGTCGGTCGCGCGTACCCTCGAGTCCCCGTGTGCTCTAGCTGAGTGCTACGACGGAGGCGTTGAGTACCTCCTCGCGGATGTTTGCGAAACCCTCAGCGACAAGCTCCATAGCTCAAACGAGGTGAAGATCCGCTGGCCCCTCCAGGTTTGGAGTGTCGACTCAAAAAGTGAGGCGGAGAGGATTATCATTATCGCTGACAACACGATGCCGCACAAGCGACTTCGGCACTTGAAGAAGGTGGGGAAGGAGGCATCGAGGCTGACGGGCAGAGAACCGAAGTGGTATATAGCGAGCAGCCTTCACAACGACTGGGACGAAGGACAGTTTGATCTCTGCCGCATGACATGGGTCAAACGATAGGTAATTCAAGTCGCGCACAACTCTGTAAATGGTACTTCATGCATAATGCTATTGCCACATGCTCTCTCTGGCGCTATGGCTTGAAGACATCGAAGCCGTCCGTGCAAACGTTTGGATGAGTGAATCACTGTTGAGTCCGCTGGCTAGAAAGGGTCTCAATTTTTGGACAAAAACGGGTTACTGTATTATGCAAACCTATCCCTATTCGTTGCCTACTCGCCCGGGTTACTCAGAGCGCTTCGGCTTGGCGAGGTCGAGCAGGCGACCGGAGCGACGAGGCGGACGAGTGGGCAGGGGGAAAGAGGAGAAGAGGGGACAGTGCGATGCGCCTGGAGCATCGGGCTCTCGTCGTTGCTGTCTTCGCTGTCGCAGGGCGCGAACGCAAGGGCGGGTGGGCGAGCGCGTGCAGCGTGGGCTAGCCCAGACTCCAAACCAGTCGGTCAGACGGGATGACGCGGCGCCGGAGTTGCCTTTTTTGGAACTTGTTCCAAGGTCATTCGTCTGACCGACTGGTTTGGAGTCTGGGGCTAGCCCGGAGTTCGCCTCGGCTCGGGCGCCGGGGTTCGCACTGCTCGCGTGCACGTCCTGGCGTGACGCGAGCCCTCATTTCGGGCGGGTGAAAACTGGCTTTTTGCTGACTTTCAGGTGCCTTGCTCACCATGACAACATTACTCGTCAATTCAACAACAACTTAAGATGATGGACCTCTGAAGGAGAAGGATATGGT